GCAGTTCAGCTCAGCTCATCCGTCCTCAGCAGCAAGCTTTCCGAGGAAACCCTGATCAACCGAAGTGCCCGGCACAAGAGTGGTTCTAACGGTCACTCACTTTATCGTGGCAGGTTGCAGCAACGGTCGAGAAATTCTAGCCATGGCCAGAGCAGCACCAGCAGTAACGGCAGCACCAGCAGTTCCTCCGGTTTTAATATCCTCACCGGCTCGACAACAGACAGTAAACCCGCAATGAGCAGCCTACTCAAGCCTGATCACCTCATCGTGCTGGTCACCGGCGCTTCGGGATTTATCGGTACACAAATCATCCGGCAGCTGCTAGAGAAGCCGACAGTGGCACAAGTTATTGCCCTAGTCCGCGACGATGAGCACCAGCCGGCACGGACCCGTACTATCGCCTCGGCGCAGAAGGCGCTTTGGTGGACAGACCTGCATGCCGAGAAGCTCGAGGTCTGGGCTGGTGACCTCTCMAAGCCGCATCTGGGCCTGGATGCCAGCCGATGGGGCCTGCTGAACAGCTCAGACAATAGCAAGCGTGTTGATGTTATCGTCCATGCGGGGGCAGCTGTGAACTGGACCCGGAGCTATGTCGATTTGGAAGCCGTCAATATCGGCTCCTCCGTCGAGCTGCTGCAGCTCGCTGTGACGGGTAGTCGGCCGCGCCTCGTATATGTTTCCGGCGGCCGGCAATGGAAGTCAGAGCACGAGTGCGACGAGGATGTTGCGCTCTTCCTGGCTAATGACATAGGGTACAGCCAGACTAAGTTCGTGGCCGAAGCCGTCATCCGGCGAGCGGCGTTGCGAACCTCCCCAGACTGCAGCAACATATCTATCATCAAGCCCGGCTTGGTTATAGGCACAGCGCAAGAAGGAGTTGCCAACATTGACGACTACCTTTGGCGCCTGACAGCTGCAAATATCGCTATCGGTGCCTTCGACAGTGCGCAGGCGCGCGAGTGGCTACATCTCTCGGATGTGACAACACTTGCCCGCCTGGTGGTGGAGACTGCTATCGACCCCGGCTTGGACCAGAACCCCCAGATCCCTGTTCAGTACATCCGTGATGGCATGACCTGGGGAGCCCTATGGGACATCATCCGAAACCTGGGCTACCAGCTGGAGGCCAAGAGTACCGCGCAATGGTACGCAGCCATACGCGCTGACCTTATCGCCCGCCGGGAGCAGCATCCTCTATGGCCACTGTTCCACCTGTTTGGCGAGGAGACCGAGGACAGTGAGGACACCGCGAACTCGTTAGTCACTGCCGACGAAGTCCCAGTCCCTCCACTACACCTGCGCATTGCCGTGGTCAAGAACGTGGAGTTCCTGGCTCAGATCGGTTTCCTCCCAGCTTCTCCCCAGAGCCAGATCCACGGCCCCAGATCCCTCTTGGGACAACCCTTCTCCAGGTCTCGGTAATCAGCAGAAGCTGCAGGATATTTTGGGACGAACTTTAACACGCCTATGATGATCAAATAATTTAAATTGTGGCGACTAGGGAGCTGAGAAAAGTGACTTGGAGCTCATTCAAACGATGAAATTTGACACAAACTTCAAGGCTCAAGAAGGTTGCAGACGGAAATCGACTTTGATTCTCTTTTCTCGTAACTCTGAAGTCAACACGCATACGAAATAGCATTCAGTTCAAGCCAGGCAGCCATTTATTTGTTACAATATCCTTAGTTGCGAAGAATTCAGCGATAGTTAAGCCCTGCAAAGTGATTGCTATAGCGAGTCTTGCCTGTTAAATTCAATTTCTTGGAGGATATTAATCTCAAAACTAGTTTCTTCTTTTCTTTTTTAGTCTGCTTATGGCCTTTCTTTCTCATGTTGTCATTTTGGGACTTCAAAGCATTGCAATGTGGGAAGTATTATGGATTCGCTGTCAGGGTTCGCTCTCAGTCTTACCCTAACGTTGGATTCCGGTGCTCTGGAGGAATTATTATTGTCTCTTAGGATTTCGAGTCTTGTATTTCTCCACTCTTTCTGCAAATCAGCAGTCCTTTTGTTCTTATCCTTGCTTCTAGTTCATCTGTCAGTTTGCAGAATTTATTTTACGTTCCCATGCCAGATCTTTACATTCGCAAGCACATGCCACATTTTGTGGGTTTGAAGGTGCTCAAGCAAATTGTTTATACGCCAGCGTGCACCTACGCCAAAACGATGCATGTCTCGAAACACTCAAACGAGTCCTCGGAACGCTTTGTTATACGCAGTTCACACACTAGGAATAGCTTCACTAATCCCCTGTGGAATACACATTCCTTTACATTTGTGGGGAAATCACCACCAAGATGAAGCCTTTGCAAGGCCTCCATGTAGGCTTAATAGAGCCTATTCCCCCCCTCCACTTTATATTAGAGATCAGCCATTAGTCATCAGTCATCAATAGTATTAGGATACCATACCATATCGATCAGGCTCAACCTTAGAGGCTTCTCGGACTAGCCTCGCACCAATCCCTGCTTCGTGCTCTAGGACCGTGCTAAACCGACACCAATATTCTATTAGGTAGCTGTACGATGAAAAACTAAGCATGGAGATAGGAAGATGAGCTGGCTCTCCAATGAAGCCATCGAATAAAATGATCAATCCGCAATCGTTATGTGTGAGAAAAAGATCACAAGTATACCCGTGGAGTAGCTCATGAATCGTACAAACCCTACATGCCAGATTTCACACAAATCAGCTCCGAAGAAAGTCTATATAAAATCAGCTGTAGAACATAATGTACTCAAACAGACAACTCAGTGTATACAATCTTGCTAGTCACTTCTTCTTTTACCGTCTTCAGGATTGGCCTGGAGTAATCCGCCAATCCGACAACCGACACAGTGGGCATCGATCGTGTCTCCTAGATTTTTCATAGCTTAGTAGTTTCTAGGTTTGATTTTGTATTTAATTGGATTTTTTGTTTCTGTTGCGTCAATGGTTACTAGAGGAGTTAGCAGGCTTGTCGTCGATTAATCTAAATCGATGAGGTGCCCATAATAATCGTCACTATCCCAGTATTTTCATATAGGGTCCACCAGCGCCCCTGACGAAGAAGCATACAACTCGCCCGTTGGTGTTGTGGTTCGATTCTAGGCACTTGCTTATTTCTTTGGCTACTCGGCCTTGTTCAATGTGTGTATACATATCTAAACATTGTCTACGAAGGTTGACTGGACTGGAGGGTCCGCGTCCTGTCAGCGGTTTTCGCTGAATTTTGGACTCTTCCTTTCCGACTGCGAATACTGATGTTCTGATGAGAGCCATCCCTCTGTTCCTGACTACAATGAATGTCTCGCTGAGGAGAGAAATATGTCCGGGAGCGGGTGATCTGATGTTACGGGAATCCTTAGCCAACAAAACGAGCGCTGATTGGCTGCGTGGAGGCGTTTCACCAGACAATGGCGAAACAGTAGGGTCAGTTATTAATACACAAAGGACTATACTTGATTTGGAATATTCCCATTCTTATTTTATTTTTCTTTATTATTGTACTCCCTCCAACAGTATATTATTTTATGGTAAGGCAAAGCGTAGAAAGCAAGAATATGTACTATGTAGGCAAGGAAGCAGTTAGCAGCAAGCACTAGCTGTTCCGCATTACTCAAGCCCTAGCCCTAAGTCTCGTCTGGAATGTACCAGGACAACAACCTGGCTAGACCCTGGCAACGACAGTCACCGATCGACTCGAGAAATGTGCAAGATCTCGAATCATGCCGGGATTTACACATTGCGTAGTGCGATTTTCAGGGTCAGACAATTAAATAACACGAGGACCCCCTGTTCAGCTTGGTACATGAATAAGTGCCCAGACCGAAGCATTCCAGAATTCGTACAAATTGCCTGACAACGAATATTCTGTCGTCTAGGCCCTAGTTCAAATAAACATTTAGAGCATATATGTATCGCTTCGACATCTCCATTTGCTTCTTACCAAATTTATCTCATTTGGTATTTAACCACCCGTCCACACTTCTCAATTGTAACCATCACCAAACACCGAATCTACCCAAATACCTTAATTTGATCTCCTGCCAGCGAACAATTATCAGTTGTCCGTCGATCAGCGAAACGTGCAAGCCGGCTGGTGTTTCAAGTTTCGACAAGCTCGCTCGTCTTAGGGCTTGCGGCGTCAACGCGGCACCAATCAACGGGCCCAGGTCCCTGAACATCTCAAACAAGCCCCTGTTCGAAGAACAGCGTTTTCTTCACAGCCTCGACAAACGATTTGTTTCTTAATCGGGAGAAGTGGGGTCTTGAAACAAGACTATCCTTCGTAATTGAATCGCGAAAGGGTTCGATAGGTCTGATGATCCATCCTATGCTTGTTTCTATTGTTTCGTCTATTGTGAAGAAACGGGCGCTGATTGGCCGGGATCGCATTATCTAGGCCAACAAACGGGCTTCACGCTCTTTATTAATCGTCCTGAATAAAGCGATACTACCTGATACCTGATACAATAGAATAGAGGCAAATCGCTGTAAGTGGGCCGCATTGTATTCTATTCAGTGTCTGTGGTCTAGGGCCAGTGCCCTCCTGCCGTGTGCTGCTTACTACTTGACTCTCTAGATCTCCCCCTTCTCTTCCTCTTTTCTCTTCTTCGCTCTGCCAAATATCTCGACTTTATCTATTTTCTTTCTATCTCAGCTTCGGCATTCATTCTTTTGTGGCTGGKGTCCGCAGTCGTTCTTTCCTTTCGATTATTTGCGACGATTCACTGTCCCGGTGACGGCCAGTTAGTGATTGATTGCACGCGAAGTAAGTACAAATCTATATTATGTGATACAGTTGGGTACCTGATGCTAATATTCTACAGTTGTATACACATTGTACGTGGTTTCGAGGCAGCACCCTACAATAGAAGAAAGCATAAACCTAACCGCCCTGGAAGTGATACAGACCATCATCAGTGTCCTTCAACCCAACTTGAGAAGCCGTTTACCACTCGTTCAAGACATCTGCCGGCCAGATCACATTTACAAGTTCATTCAATACAAACGACACCATGCTTTTCGTCAAGATTCTTTTGCTTCTTGGCTTTTCAGCCCTACTGCAGGCTGCGCCTACGCCACAAGCCAGCACTGCTGCTTCATCTTCTGGTTTCTGGATGGCCAACATTCAGCGACAGGGTACAGTGGCATTTGGAAACTCGTCAAGCTACCAGATCTTCCGCAATGTAAAGGACTTTGGCGCTAAAGGTATGCCTAGAACATGAGAACCTGTGGATGATGTAATACTCATATTTATAGGTGACGGATCAACTGATGACACCGATGCCATTAACAGCGCTATCTCCAGCAGCGATCGATGTGGCTTAGGATGCGACTCGTCAACAACAACTCCAGCTATTGTCTACTTCCCCCCCGGGACCTATGTCGTTTCGAAGCCCATTGTCCAATACTACTATACGCAACTCATTGGTGACGCTACTGACTTGCCTGTTCTAAAAGCTGCCGCCGCCTTTTCTGGCATGGCTGTCATTGATTCTGACCCATACACTGACACAGGCGCCAACTGGTACACGAACCAGAACAATTTTTTCCGTCAGGTTCGCAACTTCGTTATTGATCTTACTGCTATGCCTCAGAGCTCTGGAGCCGGTATCCATTGGCAAGTGGGTCAAGCTACTAGTCTTCAAAACATTCGGTTTGAGATGGTCAAAGGAGGTGGCGACGCCAACAAACAAGAGGGTATCTTCATGGACAACGGTTCAGGTGGTTTCATGACCGACTTGACCTTCAATGGTGGCAACTATGGAATGTTCTTGGGAAATCAGCAGTTTACAACCCGAAATTTGACTTTCAATGGTTGCAATACCGCTATTTTCATGAATTGGAACTGGGCTTGGACTTTCAAATCTGTCACGGTAAATGACTGTGCGGTTGCTCTGAACATGTCCAACAGCCCATCGAACCAGACTGTAGGCTCGGTCATGATGTTGGACAGCACACTCTCAACTACCGGTCAAGCCATCGTTACTGCCTGGACCCAAGACAGCATTCCTATTGGCGGTGGTGACTTGATTCTGGACAACGTCGACTTTACTGGATCTAGCGTCGCCGTCGCTAGCATCGGTGGCGATACAATTCTAGCAGGTGGCTCTGTTGTCAAGTCATGGGTCCAAGGTAACACGTATACCGGCGGCTCTACCTCCAGCAAACGTGATCTTGAATCTACAAACCTTGAGGATGATACCTGCCCAGCACCCGAGGTTGTTACCGTGACTGTCTATCAGACTCTTGGCAATGGTGCTTCAGAGGCCACATCTATCCCTGTCGCCTCAGCGGCTGCTGGTACCTCTGTAGCTTCGCGACTCAGCCCTGCTCAGTCCGACTCTGCATCTGGATCTCTATCTGGTGCTGCAGCTTCTTCCAAGATCCCCTCATCAGCTACCGGTAGCCCGTCCACCGGTAAAGCATCTCAGACAGCCACAACTGGGACACCAGCTTCTGGCACATCTTCTCCTAGCTCTGGGTCCTCTGCGCGAACTTCCGCCCTAAGCAGCAAAACTCACTCCGCTGTCGCTTCAGGTAGCACATGTGCGGCTCCATCTGCAACTAAATCCCGCGTTCAAGCAACCAGAGCAGCAGCATCCAAGCCCGCCGCTCTTGTTGACAGCTCTGGTAAAGTGTTTGAGCGTTCCAAGCCACAGTATGAGACGGTTGCTGCATCGTCCTTCGTCAGCGTTAAGTCTGCTGGTGCCAAAGGTGATGGTACAACGGATGACACTGCGGCCATTCAAAAAGTTCTCGACAGCGCGACTTCCGATCAAATTGTTTACTTCGATCATGGCGCTTACCTTATCACCTCTACCATCAAAGTCCCTAAAAATATCAAGATCGTTGGTGAAATTTGGCCCCTTCTAATGGCATCGGGAACTGCTTTCTCGGACGAGAAAAACCCCATTCCTATGCTTCAGATCGGTGAATCTGGTGATACTGGAAATGTGGAAATTCAAGACCTTATTCTTGAGACTAAGGGATCCGCTCCAGGCGCTATCCTAATGGAGTGGAACGTCGCTGGTTCTTCTCAAGGTTCTGCTGGAATGTGGGATGTTCATTTCCGTGTCGGTGGTTCTGCTGGCACCGGATTACAGAGTGATACTTGCTCGAAGAACCCGGCTTCTACCCATGCTGCAAATAATGCTTGCATTGGCGCCTTCATGCTTTTCCATGCTACCCAGTCAGCGAGCGCTTATATTGAGAACTGTTGGTTCTGGGTCGCCGATCACGAGCTTGATCTTGCTGATCACAACCAGATCGACATCTACAATGGACGTGGTGTTCTCCTGGAGAGCCAAAATGCCGTCTGGATGTACGGTACTGCCTCTGAGCACAGCCAACTGTATGAATACCAGCTCAGCAACGCCAAGAACGTGTTTATGGCTTTGATCCAGACAGAGACACCGTAAGTTAGTTCTACCCACGAACACATCCTCGATACTAATCTGGCATATAGATATTGGCAATCCAACCCCACTGCTCTCACACCTTTTACCGCTCAAACCAACTTTAATGACCCAGACTTCTCGACCTGCACAACTGACAGCTGTCGCAAAGCCTGGGGTTTGCGCGTTTCCTCATCGTCTGATACTTTGATCTACGGAGCCGGCCTCTACAGCTTCTTTGAGAACTACGATCAAACCTGTTTGGCTACCGAGTCCTGCCAAGAAAATATCGTCCAGATTGACTGCTCTAGCATTTCCATCTATGGACTGAGCACGAAAGCTAGTACCAACATGATCACATCGTCAGACGGGACGTCCTTAGCTCTACAAGAAGACAACACAAGCTCTTTCGCTTCAACGATAGCGTTGTTTGAGCAATAATTTTGTGTTTGCTTTTTTCATTTTCACTTCATCCATATACATATTCAGTTTATTGGAGAGGAAAATTATTCATATCCCTATCTTATGTACTTGAAGGCGATAGACCATGATTATTCTGTTAGGTACTTAGTAGTAGTTAAATCAATGATACCATATTCCTGCTACAAGATATGCACTTGATAATTCCATGCGTCCCCGCCTCATATGCTTTTAGAAATATTGACAGAGAAGCATATGAACTCAAAACAGTTTTTGAATCTCCTAACAGAGTCAATGTGAGAACGGTTTCTGTTTATACATGAATGTCTCCTCCGGCAATGGTTCAGCAGGCACATCCACAAACGCAGGCTGCAAGAAATGCGCCAACTCTCCAGCCTCCCCATTCCCTGTCTGCGTAACCGACCATCCATTACCAAGCCACGCGAGCCGATTCACCTCCTCCCCGTGCTCAGTCTCTCCCTCATACTTATAATTATAATCCTCCCACCTCGGTGACCTAATCGTCTCCATCGCATGCAGCGCACTACCCGGCCACAGGCCCGATATCTTAGGACCCTTCCCACCTTCATTCCTATACCAACTCGAGCACTTATCCAGATAAACCGTCTTTTTGAAATAGTTCTCCGCCACAGCTGAAAAATCTCGGACCCTCCGATGCTGAACTTCCATTCGAAGGATGTTCTCTTTCTGCATTTTGCGGATACACTTTACGATGTAGTCGCCTGTCATTTCCATCATTGTTGTCAAGGGGCCGGTACCGATTGCGGCGTTAGGCCCAAGCATCATGAAATAGTTTGGAAACCCGTCTGTGGCGAGGGACATGTATGTTTCGGGGAATGGGTGAAATTTGTCTGACATTAATTGCCCAGCAACGCCTGCGACGCGGAAGGGTGGTGGTGCAGAGGTACGGAAACCGGTTGCGCAGATCAGTATGTCAAAGTCGAGTCTTGTGCCGTCTTGGAGTTCGAGACCTGTTTTGTGGGCTACTTTGATGGGTGTGTTTGTGACGGTTACGTTATTTTCGACCAGGGCTTCGAGAAATCCCGGCCCAGGGGTGAGTCGTCTACAGCCCACGCCAAAGTCCGGGAGGAGATGATTTAGAATTTCAGGCTTTTTGGAAAGACGCTCTTGCATGAGAGAGGTGAATCCTTCGCGCGCGAGACGTTGCATCTCTGAGTCTTTGAGGGTCACGGAGTGCTCTAGATTGGCGGCTCTTTCGAGAGTTGTGCGGAATTTGAGATAGTATTCTGGATCGTTTGCGAAGCGGGCGCGTTGTTCTGGTGTAACTGGTTCTTTGTTAGCACAAGTATTTCCTTAGATATAGGTAGCAATTTACATTCCGTGTTCTCGACACCGAGATCTTTCAAAATCTCCGCGCCGAACGGATTCGCAATCCAGATTCTGCTGCGAATCATGCATGTGAGTTGTGCGTCTTTGACCTTTTGTAAAGCCGGAATGATCTGAATGGCGCTGCTGCCACCGCCTATAATGCCGATTCGTTTGCCTTCGAATTCTTGTCTGTTCAAAGAATCAGCCTACGTACAGAAAAGATTTCTCAAGGTGACTTTTCGTACCTGTCATCCCATGCCGCCGAGTGCATGACTGGTATATTCATATCCTTCAGACCGGGGATATCTGGCCACGATATGTCATTTAGTGTTCCGCGAGCACTAATAACAACATCTGCTTTGTCGACAAACTTCTCCGCAGTGGCATGATTCTGGATTGTGATGTACCTATATTTCTCATGAGTACCTAATGTCACAGATACACGCATACAGTTGGGCTCAGAAGATCAAGGACATACCACTTCGATACCTCCTCATGCCACTCCACATCCAGCACCTGATGCGACAGCTTCACAAATCTGTCTACTGAGTACCTCTTCACCACGCTCTTGAGATACTGATGAATCTCCGGACCTCTAGCATATACTCTACTCCACGCCGGATTCGGCGCAAATGTATATTGATACGAATGCGCTATTGGAAATCAAATCAGCCCATCCGGCCCTTTTGCCATCATAAAACCTACATGGCAACTTACAAGGAATATCACAGGCACACCCGGGATATCGATTTTCATACCAAGTCCCACCAACATCCTCATTCTTCTCGTAAATGGCCAACTCAACGTTGCGTAATCGTTGCGGGATACGGACACCGAGGTATATACCTGAGAACCCTGCTCCGATTACGACGACGCGCATTTTGCGGAAGTTTTCGACAGGGGTGTCTTTGATGTCGAGCCCGGGGATTTCGGCATTGATCTTACTGTCAAGGCCGTTGGGAAGGTTGGTGTGTGTAGATTCGCCATTTGTGAGAATGGGGAAGACGGGAGGGGAGGCAATAGTTTCTACCAGAGTCATGGTTTCTACTATGTTCAAAGCTGATGAATGTAGAATATTATCAGAAATTTAATAAAAGCTCGTCGCAATTATTTATTATAAGAGAGTCACCATCGATGTAACAGAAATATGTCGTGTCGCGATTTTATCCATCCCATAATGATTCAAACCCTGGTTCCAATATCAACCGGATGGTATACACCTTCCGGATGCGTCCTCCAAAAAAAACATTGTCCATGCCGGTCCAATGAAGGTTTCTCGAGCCGGTCCCTTGGAAAATCTCCAAATCTCCGCATAGAGCGAGATCTAGTTTTAAGTTAGAAGAGGCTTGTCAGAGAAATGTAACTCAATGGTCAATAGCCACGGTTCGAATCATCAATCCATAAAAGATTGTAATACCAAGATAAGTAATAGCCGAGATCAGCGATTGTTATTCGCAAACCTGTTCCTTGCCTTCCGCTCCCCGGATATTCCCCAGAATACTTGAGTTGATTAACAGTGACATTTCCTCTCTACATATCCGCAAAATACGCGCTATATCCGTCTGAAACACTATTTCTCTACCAAAATTCGCTTCCCGATCCTTGTAGAGCTCTTCCCGAACGCATCCGATACCAAAATGCTGTAGCATCTATATCCGGCCGACGAACTCAAACCCTAAAGGGGGTTTTCCGGAGGCAAATTGAGCACACTTACCCCAGACGGAATCGATTTGATAATCCTTAATCAGCATTTGGTTGACTAACCATTTGTGGAGTTGCTGCTAATCTCGAGATGTTTAAGGCGTGGGGAAAATATTCAAAGATTTTTTTTTATCTATCTTCGTGTTTTCGTTCTTAGGTAGATCAATTGTTGAATGTTGAGAGATTCAAAAAATGCCAGTCTTCCAGGAAACAGCACATTCATCGCGAGATCTTCGCGTTAGACGTTCTCGGGCGCGTCCGTTACCACGTCTTTCAATGCAGCCAGAGATTAGCCGGAGTAACGGACATGATGGTGACGAGAAATATGAAGTAGTTGTGATCGGGGTATGCTTTGAATTTTCCCGTATTCCTCAGGAAGCTGAAAATATCTACCAAACGCGTATAACTAATTACATCAATAGGCTGGCCCAGCAGGACTTTTCCTCACCTTATTGCTAGCTCGTTACGGCCTCTCCAACTCCCTGGCATGCTTCGACAAAAAACCCGGTACCCTCAAAGCCGGACAGGCAGATGGTCTACAACCACGCACTCTGGAAGTCTTTTCAACATTAGGCCTGCACCACGAAATCCTCGACGAGGGATGCCACATGTCTGAAGTCGCATTCTGGAACCCCAGTTCTACCAAAAAGGGTATCGAGCGGACCGCATTTGTGCCTGACGTCGTTGTTCCGGCAAGGTACAAGCATGAAGTTACCATCCACCAGGGACGGATTGAGCGAATTCTGGAAGAGGATTTTCATGCTTATTCTCCTGATCGGTCGATATTTAGATCGACTGGGTTTGTCGGTTTTACGCTTGATGCGAGTACTGATCCCGAGTTTCCGGTGAGGATTGAGATTGATGTATTGGGCGATGAGAGGACATCTCCCCAACGTAAGATTGTGAGAGCAAAGCATCTCATTGGCGCTGATGGTGCCCATTCAAAAGTGCGTCGAAGTATGGGGTTACAATTACACGGCGATACTACGGATCACATCTGGGGTGTCGTTGACTTTGTCATTGATACAAATTTTCCGGATATCAGGAAACGCTGCGCAATTCATTCGGACACAGGCTCTGTTATGGTTATTCCGCGGGAGCGTATTGCTTCGGGTCATTATCTCACTCGTCTTTATGTGCAAATCAAGGATGTCATTCCCGCAGCAGAGGAAGGAGAAACTCTTGATGAAAAGGCCAGGTCGAGTAAACGTCGTGCTGCTATTACGCTCGAAAGTATTCTAGAACAAGGGAAGAGAGTCTTTGCACCATACAATATTGCGATCAAGTCAGGAACCGACATCGATTGGTGGGCTGCATATCAGATTGGACAGCGAATGACGCACAAATCGACGTTGAAGGATGAGAACGGAGTGGAGAGGGTGTTCCTCGTTGGAGATGGTGAGACTTCATCCCCGTCAATGATACTAAATTTTTATACTAATGTCTCATCTAGCATGTCATACACACAGCCCAAAAGCTGGCCAAGGAATGAACGTGTCCATGATGGACTCTTATAACCTGGCATGGAAACTTGCCCACACACTTCATGGTCTCAGCCCTGAACCTCAGAAAGCCAATAAAGCCTCTGAGTCGAACACGCCGACCACTGTTCTCAACACATTCGAACACGAACGTCTCACAGTCGCCAGACAACTAATTGAATTCGACTCAAAATTCTCATCCATGTTCTCCGGCCAAATCGGTGCCGAGAAATCAGTCGAAGGCCTTACACACGATGAATTCCTCAAAGTCTTCAGCGACGGAAGCGGGTTTACCAGTGGCTGCGGAGTTGAATACGCACCTAGCATAATTGTTGATCAGGTCTCTGACCCGGAAACAATTGCGCACGTCGATGCCATCAGCTTTGTTAAGAAAGATGCCTATCTTTCTGGTGTCCTGCGGCCAGGTCGACGTTTACTTGACACAATTGTTCGTCGCTATGCGGATGCAAATTTACGGCATCTTCATGATGATTTCCTGTCGACTGGTCGGTATCGTATACTTGTCTTTACGACAGACGATCTCGTTGATCGTCAAAAGGTGACAACCCACAAGGCTGAAACATCTATATCTGCACAAGCTCTTGAGACAATCTGTCGCGAGATCATCCCCGCATACCCCAGAGATACCATCGAACTAGTTGTCCTTCATCCATTCCACACACGCGATTTTGAGTGGGACCAGATGCCAGATTGTCTCAAGGATTTCGCAGAGATGACTTTCCATGGGCCGACGGGTCCGGAGTCTTTCTATGAGATATACGGAGTTCTCGAAAGTAGAGGGGCTGTCGTAGCTATAAGACCGGACGGATATGTTGGAGTCGTGAAGTCCTTGGCCGATGCGAAGAGTCTTGGGGACTATTTTGATAATTGTTTAGTACGCGTGGATGTTTAGAGTGGAGGTGATTGGGTAGTGCTATATAATCAAGATACTTCTAATTTATATCAACTGTATTGTTAGAACTTCTTCTTTGATTTTCATATCCAAACTGAATATCTTGGTCTCATATCATGACACTACATGTCGAGGTCCCAGGCTGAGACCTCGTCCTAGAAGCGCTCTTTATTGTATTCTATATACCTCCATGAACTCTGAAATATTTAGAATCACGTCATTGGTTTGCCAAGCCTAAAGACTTTGGGAATCAGTATCATGGGTTCTAAATCGGCCCAATGCTTTTCTGGTCATAAACCATATTGACTCTTAAACTCTATAACAATATAGCAAAAGTAGTTAGCGTCGCTATATCAAAATATGGTGAACTATAAATATCATAGTTTCTCGGGCGTACGCCATCCAGAACTTCTTTTAGACCATGTCTGCTGGTGTTAACCCAGAGTAACGCTTTTAGGGATCCTCCACTCCTCCTTGTTATAATTCTTAGGCCACACATCATCCTTTCCGGATGCAAGGATGCTCTTCAGATCAAAAGCATTCTTGATCTGCTCATTAAGCTTCATTTGCGCATTACCATTGGGATCATATGTCAACGCAACTTAGTCATAACGGCTAGATGAGTGCGGTACTCACCCCAACCGTATTCGGCACAGTCCTTTATCAGATTCTCAATGACCCCTGTGTGCTCTCCGCTTTTATTCTTCGTAATTGCTGTTAATTTGGTGCTCCGTTATCAATTGCGTACTGCTGGGGTATTTCCGAAGGCGACCATACCCCGTAGTTTTTACCCCGCATTTCATCTTCTCCTGAAGAACACCAAGTCCTGTTGGATATACCACACTCCTATAGCCCACCCAGTCTTAGCTTGAAATGCCTCAACTCAGAAAACCGGGAAAGTGATGAGTCTCTTAGCGTATTTGCAGGGCTGAGCACACTTGACAGAATGCCTCGAGCTCGAGTCGAGCCACACAATCGGAGACGTGTATTGCGAGCCTGCGATGTATGTCTCTCCATAATACTCCCTTGATATTGATTATCTCATTAATTCTATGAACAGGTATGCAGGAAACGCAAGGAGAAATGCGATGGCAAGTCACCTTGTGGCCACTGCCGAATGCGAAACAAAACCCATGACTGCCAATACACTCCACCATGTCCATCTTCTAATGGCTCTAATCACAGTATATTAGCAGAGCCACGGATGCTCTTGAGTCCACCTCAATTTCACTTCTCGGAGGCCTCAACCTTCGGCGACTCTACTTACAGTGAAGTGGATGCATTGTTCGGCTTTACTGCACATTCGGAACAGCCTGCCGATCAGACCATAGTAGACTCGGCCCCGATTCCCAAACAGTCTCGCATGTTACCGGATGCAAAGGGAAAACTAAGTAAGACCTTTACTGTTGAAATCCATTGACTCTGTTGTCTAAAAACGAACAGTCTACATCGGACAATCAGCCTCACTATCATACCTTCACATAGTCCAACGTGTGGCTGCAGATTGCATAGGCTCATGTGCATTTACCGACGACCCACAACAGCAATATATACTTGAAAAAGAGTTTACCAGTCATCTAGGAAACTGCCCAGAACCAGAGCCAGACCTTGAGCGGTCTTTGGCCCTCGCAGAGCAATACGAACTAGCTGTTAGCGGCGTTTTCGATTTCTTCGACATTTCATATCTTCAGAACGCCATACCTCCTTGGGTCGCTGATCCTAGTAGGCGAGATAGGCCGGAAACCCCAGTGATATTTCTGGCCCTTGCAATTGGGGCACTGGGAAGAGCTGCTGATGACAAGGATGAGGATATTGCAGAGACGTATTTCAATTATGGTCGCCAACAAGCCGTCATTTACCTTATGGACGACCCATGTCTAATGACTGTTGTGGCGTTCTCTCTAATTAGTTACTATATGCTTGCCTCGTGTCGACGGAATGGGGCATTCACGAACATTGGGATAGCTGCTCGTGCGGCATATGCACTAGGTATACATCGGCACGAAACAAACCGCGCTTTTGGTGGTGGAGCAAGAGAAAGGGCTTGGAAGTCCCTCCGTGTGTGTGATTTATTTCTGAGTGCATCAATGGGCCGTCCACCTGCTACTTCTGAAGCTGACTGCAACATTCCATGGTCGAAATCGTTCGCAAAAATGAATAATGGAGACTATAAAGACGACAGATCTGTACCTACTCAGGAGGATTCGGCGATATTCCGAATATGTCTGATCTTTGAACGTATATTAGTCGAAGTATTCTCAAGAAGAGCCGTATCACTCGATTTAGCAGGAAGTATATCGCAGCAGCACCGCCAGTGGACAGAAGAGCTACCATCAATGTTGAAAATCGACGGCCTCCTGAGGAATGATACCAGCACAAAAGCAAGTATTCAGAAACTAGGGACTCATATCGTCACGATGGCATATTACTACTCTATCACCTTGCTTTGTCGACCTTTTCTGTCCTTTCACGTCGGTACTCGGCTCAAGAAGGCTGGGAACTATCAAGATCCCGAGGCCTATTCTGATTTTATCACAACATATGCAGATGCATGCATCGACTCGGCTGTCAAGGGTATAGCTCTTGCTCATGAAATCGTCTTTGACGAATCCATGCCAAAACGCCAACCATTGATCATAAACAGTGTCTTCATATCTGCACTCTGTCTAGGCCATGCAATATTTGGTGATTACGATCAGCGCGGTTGGCCACTGAACTATAATATCGATACCGCAATCTCTATTCTTCGGAAGTTAGGCCTCAAAAATCCACAGGCGGCTCGGTATTGTGAGATTTGCTGCTATTTGAAGGAAGTTGTCGGAACTTATACCCATCGAAGAGCGGACACATTACTACGGTCCCCGAGTTCGAATGTGAGATCGATGTTTGGCGATATTCAAGCTATCCGGATTAACACTCCGCATTTTTCAAAAGATGCCGATGCCGACGACTTTCATGATCGAAATATCGAACGCTTTTCTATCGGTCAAAACCATGCATTGGCAGCACAGAACAAGATTATCAATTGTAACGATAACAATATCAATGATTTTGCCGGCTCCACTATTCTACCACCAAATTCTATATCGACCCCGGAAAGCTTGATGCATTTGGCCAGCCTTCCTCAAGATGACAACGAATTTCATGAAGCAGTAAACAAGCACTGTGATCAGAATCTCGATGTGGAATCTGAATATACGCCCACTATGAATAATTTTGCTTTCAGTGATACCTTGCCTTTGTTCTCGTTAATTGACGGAATAAATCCAAGTCTGGGCGCTGATCATAGCGTTTTACTTGGCTACATATAGCTATACGAATGAGTCAAGGATACCAATGTACTATATCTGAATACAACATACTTTGTTCTGAGACCCATATTTCAATATACTATTTTCCCGGATACCATTACAAGACTTGTTGCCAAAATTCTCCATCCAAGAGATCAAGCATTGGCATCGGTAAGAGATCCCCAAGATCCAGACCAAAATTTTCTTCTGTCAAATCGCGCGCTCTCTCAACCTGTGTCACTCTTATTTTTTCATGAGTCTCTTTCATCAGCTTGAGTCGCGACCCAAGTTTCAAATATGCTTCCGTAATGAAAAGTCTCGAATCCACGCCCTGAGTCCAGGAGTCTAGCTTGCTAAATTTCTCTGCAATTCTATCGATTTCCTGGGGAAAGTCAAGTGCATATTGCTCATATATCCCTTTCCACAACTCATTTTCCATAAGTGACAGTTTGGAGAGGACGACTACCGCTTGACCGAACTGCGACCAACACGTGGACGGTGTACAGATTCGTACTTCTAGTGGAAGGTCCGAGATTTGGTTAAGAAGAGCCTTGGTAGCTATCAAGCAGGACCGAAGAATATTGAAGCGAGTTAATTGATATTCTCCATAGTCACCGTCATTGAAATTGTCACTCAGCGCAATCCCGTACAATGATATCTCGAGCGTGTTGACATAACTCCGGAGCAATGCTATAATGTTGTTGTCAATGGAGATCCACCACCGTAATGAGCTGCTTCGCAAGTTGGCTACAGAATCATGACTTACTATTCTGAGCCAAGTCTATTGGTATTAGCTCCATGAATTGTCGAAGCTCCGTCTCTAGATAACGCACGCACATTCCCACCGGGGCCGCTAGGCCCCAGGCGATATCGATCGGATCATCCCATAACGTCCGGCGAATTTTCTCACCTATTCGATGTAACCGTAACAGATACACGATGTATTCGTCGGAGGGGTGTTCTTTCATTTCACCGAGTGTCACAAGGCACTCGTCTGTGTACTTTGTATACTTTAGCACGGACATCTCTCGGTTACATAGGGCGATTCTACGTGTTGTCAGGAGGCCAGTAACTAGGTAATTTTGATACAACATGTTCCACTTACGTTGTAAGTAGGTGGTAACAGCCGATGTATGCTCTTCTCTCTTCCAATGTGCGCTGTCTGGGCACCTCTGGCTCGCTATAGAAGGTTCTCAGATAATGGAGTGGAAGCCCGGTGGTGCCTCGGATACCGGAAGCCCGATGAAGTCCCAGATCCATCAACATAGCCATCAGCAGATGAGCCGGGTTGGACAGCTGGGTACGATTGTGGAGATGTATGTGAAACCTTGAAACAATCGAGTTAGGAGTTGTTATATCCGGAGGTGTCTGGCAAGAGAACAATTACCATCCCAAGAAGACAAGAAGACCTTGAAGCAGGTCAAAATTTTGCTCGCCATTAACCAAAATTCTTTGTATATAGTCATTCTTCACTAATTCACTCAGAGCCTGTTGATTACTGGAGCTGCGCTGGCATGCAACCGTCATAATAACTCTGTATAAGAATGGCTTGCTCCGTTGAAGCTCCTGAGGAGTTACGTTCTGTGGTACTACAACGAAGGGGAAGTGCGGAGTGAAGTTTTCCCGGTATATGTTCAAGACTGACTGTGCTTCCTGCCCGTTTGCGTGGATAATGTTATCCAAGATGTGGACGCTAGTTCCCTCAACAGTTCTAAACGAAGGGTTTTCCGTTGTTCGTTGCGAACCAGCTGATTGTCTTTCAGCTGTCGCCAGAATAGCAGCCACGCCATCGAGTTTTTGCTCAATACGTGCAATCTCACTAAGTAGACATCGAGTTTGGGATTAGCTATAGTGCAGTAGATCACCGTGCCATTGGTCAGATTACGGTATTCTTGTTTTCTTGCGTTTATGGGAACCAGGTGTCTGGACGGTACATTGCTTATTCAGCCTCAAACACCTATTTCACATGGGAATAAATCAGCAACGGACTCCGAGATGATTCATAATAGGGAAGTGAGATTATTACCGCTTACACCTGCCACCGTCCACCTGTTCACAGCGTACTTTAGCCTTTGCGCAGGTCTGGCAGGCTGTTGGCCCATGACTACCGCCGAGCCTCTCCATCGGCGTCCGGATCACAAACGCTTTAAAGGCGAGAATCACTGCATGTAAAGCTAAGAAATAACTGGGCGAGTTCCGTTCTTCAGCAAAGCGTTGTCCAGTGTTGTCAGGAAAAAGATGATGAAGAAGGTGGGAAGAACGGACACGGAGCAGCCGTTCCCGATGTTAGCGCAAATGCCCTCGGGCGATTTGGGGTCCGTAAATTCATCATTTCTGGTCCTACAAACACTGTTGGTGTGCTATATGGTGGTTAATGGTAGAATCGGAGCACTCGGAGCATGGAATTTTTATCATATATAGGTGTCCGTGGGCAATTATGGAGTTGGTTAGAGCATCATTTATTGATATGAAGCACCAACAAAATGAACTTTAACAGAAAAACCCCCACTGAGACGACAGAAGCTCAGGATACATCTGATATTAGCGATATCAGGAATACCGAGGATAAGGATGGTTCTGAAATCGAAAAGAATCTCCCAACGCCGGATCAGAGTAGTGAGGATAACAAGTTGTCCGGCGCCAAATTACTGATCCTAGGGTTTTCCCTTTGCTTCATGGTCTTTCTGATTGCTTTGAATGGTACAGTCGTTGCTACAGTAAGATTTTCTTATTCAAATGGACCTGGGCCTGGCTAAATCGTTTGGATTCATACAGGCTGTTCCTCAGATCACGAATCAATTTAATTCCCTCAACGACGTTGGCTGGTACGGCAGTGCGTCGCTGCTTACGAAGTATGTTTGACCAATGGAGGAAGAAATATTGTATCCGATGAATGCATGTTAATCAATTGGTTTTCCTTATAGCTGTGCTATCGGTCCACTTACAGGCAAGATCTATACGTTCAGTCCTCTGAAGGTATGATCTCGACTCAAGTCAACCCTGATCCTCGATCGAACGGTCTCTAATTCTATCAAACAGGCCACATTTATAATTTTCCTCTCGATCTATATGCTCGCAAATCTCCTGAGTGCCGTTGCAGTCTCTTCCAACATGCTGATTATAGGAAGAGCTGTCCAAGGTATAGGCGGAGCAGGGGTAATGAACGGGGKATTTACGATTATCGCAGCCGCTGTTCCGAGAGACAAGAAACCGAGTGAGTACATTTTTGCCTGTGGATTTTATCTTTATCTGTACTAACTTCACAACCCCGCTTAGTTTACCTTGGTGTCGGTATTGGGATTTCTTCTATCGGTCAGTGTTGCTGTATCTCTGTCGGCTCATTCCAGACTAATGTTATCATACAGGAGCAGTAATTGGACCAGTCGTTGGAGGCCCTTTGACCCAGCATGCCTCATGGCGTTGGTGTAAGTGTGCCACTTTTCTCTTCATTTGACGTCCATACCGACTGATTTTACTATCTATCTAGGTTTCTACATCAATCTGCCTCCTGTCGGACTGACAATTCTTCTCCTTCTTTTCTTGAGGATTCCTGAACAGACGGCCAAAAAGCCAGTCTCGCAGAATATTATGCCACTTCTTCGAGAACTAGACATTGGCGGCTTTGTCTTATTTGCTCCCGCTTGTATCATGTTCCTTTTGGCCATGAATTGGGGTGGCTCAACCTATTCTTGGAAATCTGCCACCGTTATAGGACTCATCTGTGGCTCTTTTGTAACAGCCTGTATTTTTGCTGTATGGCAACGGCGCAGAGGTGATCGTGCTATGATACCTCCCACCATTATCAGTAATAGACTCGTGTTGTTCGGATGTCTTGTCTCCGGATTGCAAATGGGGGCTTTGTCCCTGCTGGCATACTATCTCCCACTCTGGTTTCAGGTTGTCAAGGACGCTAGTCCCACAAAGAGTGGAGTGATGACCCTTCCTTCAGCTATTTCCCAGGCTCTGGGCTCGTTGGTCGCTGCCAAAGTCGGTTCGTCAAACAAAAGACAATCTTCATGAACGATCGGCTAAATTTGGACAGTGCAAATCATCAAACGCTGCACCCCATGGGCAATATTTGGAAGTGTGCTGAGCGCAATTGGTGCCGGTCTCATGTCTACGTTTCGTCCATGGACTGGGGCCGGTAGCTGGATTGGTTTTCAGATATTGACTGGTACGGGGCGAGGGTCTGTGATGCAAATGGTATTTATCGTATTACCTCTTTGATTCACTGGCACTAATAGATCCGATCAATAGCCCCTAACAGCTATTCAATCCTTTCTCCCGGGAAATCAGGTCGCCATTGCTACCTCTTCGATCTTCTTCTTCCAAAACTTTGGCGGCGCTCTCTTTCTTTCTCTTGCACAGACAATCATGGACAACAGTCTTCCATCTACCCTGAATAAATATGCTCCAAATGCCGATGCACAAGCCATCATCTCTGCTGGAGCTACTGGGTTCCGATCTTTGACCGACAAATCGGATCTTACGGGCGTGGTACTTGCGTTCAATTCTGCGATTACAAACACCTATGTGAGTTGCTGCATCATATAACCGACTACCTTTCGGCGTCAAATGACTGATTGAATAACCAGTATCTCGCCGCGGGTGGTTCGTGTGCTGCTTTTCTTGCATGCTTTGGAATGGGTTGGCAAAAGATTGAGAAATCGGCTGGAAAGAAGTAGAAATTATCTGACTACGGCTGTTATAGTACCTCAACGCATGCTCTAGTTGCTCAAATACTCCTCTTCGTTTCAATCTCAGGATTAACCCACTGCAGGCTTTATTCCTATGGTCTGATGTCTGGTATAGGGTGTACAAAGTATACAGTTCAGTACGCAGGCATTCATATGATGAAAGTAAACCAGAAATTCAACTTCTTTCGCCCATGATACCGTCCACAATCATTTTTCATTCGCAGTCACACCACCACATATGTATTATTTAATGTGTCCAAAAAGGCAATACCAATTTGTCCTGTTTGACGCCCTTGACTAAGGGCGTTTGTTGGGCAACACGTTTGTATTTCATTAGAGGATACCGACAGGGCGCACTAATCACTATGGGGACAATGCCCTGGTTACCCAAGAATCCATTAATGCAATCTATTCATTGTATTAATTATGACTCCATGGGCGTAGCCTAGGTTGCGGTCACGTGTGATCTGAGTATTTGAATCCCCCTTCCCCCCCTCTCTCCACTCCCTCTTCTTCTCCCGTGAATAATTTCCACTCTCAACTATCTCCTTTCTTAAATCGCGTCAACTATATATTCTATTCTCTGAAGCGACTCTTTTCTCTTTCAGATTCATTGCTACAAGTCTGCCTGTATCTACAGTTTCGCCCCTTGTCAACACTAAACCTTACTCTCCATAAGGTCCAAGGAGCCGGACCAAAAGATCGTGGTGTTCGGCTCTTTCCTTCGGTTTCTTGATATAGTTGCGGTCACACTCTAGCAAGACCTCGGATTTAAAGCCTATGATTCGATGGAAATCTTGACAAAGACCAGAAGCAAGCCGCACGAGACCTATTCAACAGTGCCCCTGGGTTCGGAATCTTACTAGTCACGAGCGATGCCATCGACAGAGTCAGAAAAAAGCAGTGAAAGTATTTCGTTTTTATGCCGCGAATGTCCAAATTGACAAGACGATGTGAAATTCGCACAAAAAGGAGTCCAAAACGAAGACCGATATCATATTGAGACATCCTATCGATCTCACGGCATCCATCATGATCATCTTTGCTAGCTATATCATACCATACTATATCATCTAGTATGCGCGCAGCTTTCTGGTTTAGTTGGCTGCACCAACATACCATGCCTGCAGTTGCACGTAAGGTGAATCAGCCGATCCAGATAGATACGTCTTACGAATGAATTATGTTTTAAATCACGCACAGCTTAAATTAGCGGCTCTCGCTTCGGATTCTGACGGTTGTCCAACACGCACGCGGCCCTATCAAAACTTTACATGCTCAACAACACAAAACTAGGACCATAATACACTTATAGCAGCTTTTGGAGCGAACATATCCAAAGGTCTATGATATCAGACCAATTAAAGAGGAACCACCAAAGACGGCTGTGCGCAAGTTTTAATCTCACGAATGGTATAAGCGAAAGGATCAGTAATCAGGGGATATTATTATATCGTCGATGGCCATGCGGAACCCATCACATAGAGAGGTTTTTATAACCTTAACAGGTGCATGGAACAGGACGAAGTGTCTACGCCGAATGGAGAGGGTCTGAGATGATGAAGATGAACTAATCTTAGCCAAAGCCGGTAAGCTATACATTCTAAACATATAGTTATATCAAATGCTGATTTCGAAAGTGGGCTTTGTCAAGGCTGAAAAAACAAAACGATGACCGCAACAGACGACAATTTTCCAACAGTCCAGCCCTTCATCTCCCTCCAGAATCGCGCGACTACGCCTTCACCTCACATTGGCGCAAAAACAAAAGTCGAGCATAAACCCCCCGTTAAGCGACAGAGTGTGCCAATGACGCGTCAACCCAATATTGATAGTGCCTTGCTTCCTGGTTTCTGCGGTACTAGGCTACTTTCTGTGTTTTCTCTTTGTCCTACCATAATATTCTTGAACAAATTCACAGTCATTTCAGTCAGTCATGGCTGTCAATAGTTGGATATCTCTTTTATGCGAGCACGCCGGGCGCCCTATCTGTTCAATACAATATCAGTTCGGTATATCCCACAGCATAGATGTGCGAGCATTGAGCTATTTAAGTTTTTTGATTGGTGTATGTGAACTGCTTCCTTACGTATTACATACTCATTATTGCTCTGCAGAGAACACAAATATACCAGTTTATTAGAAGGTGAATCTACAGTTGCCAAATCAAAACCATATGCGCTAAAAGCTCAATACGGATCATCACATGCAAGAATTAGATAATAAATCACCACAACTGTACAAAAGAGTAGATCTTCCTCCATCGTGGCATTTTATCGTAACCATCCAACTCCTGAATTTCGCGATTTGTCAACGGCCTCCGTCCAGTCTGCAGGTCTACCGAACGCAAATCACGGACCTTTGTCCGGAATATCAGTTTGTATCCAATCGCAGTACCAAAAATTAGGACTAAGCCAAACATATACTGGAAGAAATAGTAAGCTGTTGGTGTGTCGGACCCCTGGATTATCAGTCGATCTGTTAGCTATCACGGTAAAAAAAAATAAGACTGAAGGAGGATGATAACATACAATCGGATACAGAGCAAGATAGAAAGAGCATGAAATATAAAATAAGCAGCAAGAGAAAAGCCAAATCGGCGGAAAAGGCCAAAGACTAGTTCTCCAGGCATAAATTTCGTTAAAAAGAGGATCATTTTGTGCCTTGAGAGCCGCTCGAAATCGGAAAGATGTGATTGAAATCACAAACCAGACCATGAAGTACCCTGTGCTAGCAACTTGGGCCAACCAGTTGAAGACGGTCGTTCCCCCTGCGCTGAGGTTAATGTATGTGAGAACTATAGCGAGGATACCGGTAATTGCCAACGAAACACGAGGGCGACCACGCGAATCCACTTTTGCAATGTATGAATGGATGAGACCTTGTTGAGCCATGGACTGGAGTATACGCGAAGCAACAAAGAAGCTTTCTGCGGCAATTGCTGCTACCGCTGTAATAATCACTGCATTGAGAATATCCGGGAGCACGCTGATGCCGGCTTGGTCGATGGCGATGACGAATGGGGATGCGGCAACACCACTGCTACCGAATAGATTTTGGTTGGTTGGTGAAACCAGGATTCCGATGAGGACCACAGAAATGAGATAGAAGACTGTTACTCGAATCGGGATCAAGATCACGGCATGAGCGACGGAGTATCGAGGGCTTTTAGACTCTCCCGCGAGAAAGCCGGTGAACGTGTTGTCTTTTTTAGATTAATGTTTGATTCTGTATACTTTCAGAGTGATGTAAGTAGAAATTTTCAGACATACCTCCAATTGACAGAATTGCTAGAAGGACCCCGTTTCCAAACCCTTTAAACCCATTTAGAAAGGCCGATCCATCTTGCCACGCCTCGCCGTGATGGACAGTGCCATCCGGACCGGCTCCAAACACCATTGCTAGTCCTACTATCACGAATAGAATCAAGGTGACGATTTTCAAGATTGAATTGACGTATTCGAACCAGCCAAAGACCGTATTAGGCAGACTGAAGATCACAAACATCAGAAGCAGGAAGATAGTCACTAATATGCGAGAACGTCAGAGAACAATGTCATGAGCTATGAAGAAGATTAACATACACCAAATAGCTTCATTCACTCTGTTTTCTGCCCAGTAATTTACAACCACAGAAAAGAATGTAGCTTCCGAAGCAATTATAGCCGTCCATCCTATCCACATGGAAAACCCAGCCGCAAAAGACAAAGCTGGGTCAACAAACCGGTCTGCATAATCAATAAAGTTGCCAGATGTAGGAAAGGCGATAGTCATCTCGCTAACTGTTTGGAGCACTGCCCATACACATGAGCAAACAACTACAAACCCCAGGAAAAGCGATCCAGGCCCGCCATCTCGCAAGATAGAGCCAGTGGTAATAAAAAGTCCAGCGCCAATCTGGCCTCCAAGAGAAATGACATGGATTTGTCTAGGACTGAAGCTTCGATGGAATCCTGCATTGTTGATCAAAGTGGTCTCTCCAACTTCTGTGTCGCTGTATTTCTCTGCTGGCGACTCGCTAGTAGTTACTTTGTCCTTCGCCACATCCATATCTTGGATATAACCCCGAGAGACTTTCAAATTCAAAATGTGTCTTACTAACATCGAAGGACCATTCGTGATAAAGTCAGTTATATATGCGGTTACATTTTATGCTCCCACTTATGTATCATGATAAGATACAACTTAACGCCCTGATAATCTGATCATTGATATGCTAATACCCAGGCCAAGCACCGCAACTTGATAGGAAGGAGCTGGTCCGAGATAAAATGGCGACGGTAGGCAGGTCGATGCGCCGATCTACGTATTCAATGAGGGGAAGATTGGCCTACTACGTATTACTAGCGCGTAGCTTAATCTAAGTACGCACTTGCTATCTTTAATACGGTGATCGGGAAGACGCCGAGGTCTGTCTGATGTGGATCAAAAAAAAGGTAATTGCGGCGGATGGTCCGATAGTAGGAAGGCTATCAGTAAGTTAACTCGCTGGAGATAGGCACATATGTATATACCTAATCCCGTTCAAAGCCGGTTCATATCTCTAGGGAATCATTATCAAATGACTAGATGGCTTGAGGATCATCGCCGAATGACATGCACATAATAATTGCGCCTGGTGATACACTGTAGGATATCTTAATTAGGGCTAAAGGTTCAATAGCCCTAAACTAATCATAATACCGAGACACCTAGAGTTTTTGAGACAAGCATTTCTTCGGTGATCCATATTTTGGGACCTATAGTTCAATCGTATCTATTTACAGCAAGCTCTTTGGGGGTGTTTCCCAACCTTGTAGCGAGCTCAGATCTACTGGAACCTCCGGGTGAGGGTTGGCCTCGTAAGCCGACAATTTGGCACCAGGTCGCCACTTCCACTTCGCAGAAATAGCTGGATCAAGTGTTCCCTCCATCATTTCAACAATGTATTTACCCAGCACTGGCAGGAACTTGAATCCGTGTGCGGAGCCTCCGATTGCAAGGCTCAAATTTTTATGTGTAGGATGGGGAGTGATCAAAAAGTGATAGTCGGGCATATCACCGTCCCTAAGGAGTAAGAAGATAGGAAAGTTAGTCTCTAAACCCACAATCCTCATATAGCAGCCCGCTTTCATCTTGTAGAACTTACCAGCAGATCCTAGTCTCGACCCATTCACGTTGAGCGAGCTCGGGCACAAACTCCGACATCCATCGACGAAGACGGGCTTCTATTTCGGCCGGTATATCATCTCCTGGGTTGTCTGAGCGATAACGAGGCAGCGACATTCCATGATAGGATTTCGCATAGTTTGTCACAAAATGGATAGCGCCAATTTTCATGATACCATCCTCTTGCGGTGGAAAGAGAATTCCTATTCGAACCATCAGTCTGCAGTTTTCGCGTATGGCAGTAAACTAAAGAGCATCATATACCTCCTTCCAGATGATCGATAATTGGCATGTCTTTGTATCTCTCGATCTCTTCGGGCGAGAGTTGGATATGACCGATAGTATGGCCTTTAGCCACTATCTGGCCTTTCAAGTCCAAAATGCTACCGGCAGCAGCTCCAGCTGCGACCACGATCTTCGTGCCATGATAATTTGAGCCATCGGCGGACCGGACCCCAATGCATGTTGAGTTAGCATCGAATAGCAACTGTTTGACGTATCCGGCATCCCCAGAAATGTACTTGACACCGCTGTTTATGGCCTTTCGAGCCATTCTTGTGATTCCTTCTCTGGCATTCACCCATGCTCCACCAGAGCTCCAATATGACTGCCAGCCGGGGAGATCACCATTTATCATTGGCCATTTCTGATGAACTTCCTCTGTGGACACAAGTTTCGGAGGTTCAGTCCCGACGGTCTTTGCACTTTTGATTGAAGCCTCTACGAATGGCATAGAGCGATCCGATGCGCCAATAATCCAGCCGCTAGGATGGTACAGCCCAGATAGTAATCCATTTGGATTGCTCCAAATGTTCTTTGCATCGGTGGCCAACTTTGTGTAAAGGGGGTCTGGGTACTCTGTTCGAACAACCTTGTTGATATCATTGCCAGCCGCTTCTAATGAAGGTACTGGGAAGCGATCCAGAACTGTGACATTTGTGTACCCTTTCTTTGCTAGGTGGAAGGCCGTTGTCGTACCAAAGGTGCCTCCCCCAACAATGATGACTGGCTCTGTAAGTAAAGCATCAGCCATCTTGAAGTGTGTTTTGAGATGTAAGTAAAACAATCGTGAAGGCAGGAAAGGAAGCTTCTATTTTTCTCATGTATTTTTCAGTAGCTTTTATATTCGAAACCTAGTATAGCAATTTGATCAATACATCCGGGCCGTTAGGGTTAGACATCATGGGTATTATTTGGACCAATTAGGACTTATGATAACGATTTCTAGGGCAAGTCGATGCGCCGTGCTAGTGAATAGCACGGGTCTTTAGCCGAGTACAATCAATCCACTTTCGTCAATAGCCAGTCGAATGAGGATATGACGATAAGCTCGACTCTAATTTAGTGTATAGTATTGTATACAATCGGTGGGGAAGTCAGGCAACTATCTCAACGACGTTCCTCAGCTCTGACTACCTACATCTAGTCTCTATTGTATCTACCTATTCAACATCCCACTATTATCCGATAGGAGAACTTGAGGGTGAACGGAAATGGGAGGGAGAGAAGCGATCCACCCACCATCGGAGTCAATCCGACGCACCCGATCAGGCTGCTGGAACTGTAAAGGTAAGTGTGAAACGGCAAACCCGGATCCAGCATCAACTAATAGGTATGTAGGACGCCGGCGTAGATGTACTGGTGAGTGCTCGGCTTAGCTAGACACAAAGAAAGACACAGGCTCAAACTTTTACTACTTTCAGAGGAAAGACCAACATGTACTGGCTGTGTAAAACGAGGCTTACAGTGCCATTATGGTATTCGCTTCCTGTGGCAGGATGAAGCAGAATCAATGGGCATAGCCTTCGGGCGAACCGGAATGAAGGACCGATTCTGCAAGAAGAAAGCTACCCCCACACACTATCTAGTCTCTACCCGACCCCGAGCTATGTATTGTTGGTTGAATACGAGTTCGGAGGACATTGACTGTCTGTACTTTAGCAAATGGCCGCAGAAAGTTCATTTCGACAGTCAATCACAGGCATTTCTACGACCAGGAGGGGACCACGAGCAAACCCCAATCTTACCAACGCTTACCCTATATCCCTCGCTCGGGACAGATGCGTACTTCTTCGATTATTGTTAGTTTCCTTTCATACTACCAACTAGTGTACTAAAATATTGATGCTAACTATTAGAGCTAAGTCAGCAATGTTTGTACTCTTCGAAGATCTCTTATCAACGAAGTGAACCCATGGCGTACCGTTCTCCTTCCACTATGCCATGAGTCCCCAGGCCTTCTACATATCGCCATAGCATGGGCAGCTCATGATCTTCGTAATCAATGCATACAACAAAATCAAATACACTATGAAGACGTGGTCCTTCAACACAAATGCCGCTCCCTTAGGTATCTTCAAAGGATGATGCAACAGCGTAGTAACGACTCAACGACACATGCAAATCATACGCAAGCAGACCGAGATGCCATCTTACTTGTGATTATGCTACATTGTCTCCTGGAAATAGCAACTGGGAGCGTCATGGAGTGGACATTTCATATGAAGGGAGCTATTTCGATCATGGAATCTTATACCCAATTGAGCGAAGCTTCAGACCGCAGGAGTGATGGTGTTTTCAGCCCTCAGGTTTTGGAGCTCGTCTATAGTTTCTTTTCTGAGATCGATACCTTTCTGAATACGACCTACAATGATAGGGAAGCCCGCGCTAGTCGCCATTGGTCTGCCCAGGTGCAATCCATGTTTCCTTTTCTCGGCCATCTGTCCTTGAAAGTGAGTCCTTGTATGGGGTTATCCCCCGAGCTACTTGACATCATATCTGGTACCACAAACCTGGCAATCATGAGACGATGTGAATTAGCAAACAACGAGCAAATTATCCACAAGGAATTCTTGAACTTGCAACTACGTTTATCCCGTTTGAAAGCTCAGCCGGAACGTATGAAGCTCACTGGCTTGATAGGTCTCCACGCAGCAGCTTTTGAAGAGGCTGCCCTGATCTATCTACACCATGCAATTCAGGACCATGACTACTCTGTGAATAATTCCGTACACAATCTCTATCTCCCTCGACTTCTGAAGATTCTTGAAGAAATACATAAAATCCAAGGACCTCTCCTTGGGACATTACCATACCCCATGTGGACGTTGTTTATTGCAAGTTGCTCAGTATCGGAGGAAGATCGAGTGAAGGTTCTCGAGTGGTTTACCTTGCTTAAGTGCAACCGGCCAATTAGTAATGTGCCTTCGACTATGACCGCAGTTGAAGCTATTTGGAAACAAAGAGACTTGGAGATGGACAGAATGTGCGGGAAAACGTCTCGGCTTTCTTTGGGTTGGGAAACTACAATCTCACAGCTGGGTTGGAAGATGTCGTTGATTTGAGGATTACTCAAACCCTTGGAACAGTGTATCTAGCTTGAACGCATTTTATATGGCACCCATGAACGTGATTGGTTATATCAGAAGAGTTTCGTGTTGGCAAGTAATAACATGTGTTAATCTTGAGTTTCCTTTTCCACCTTCGAGTTCGGCCCCCATGTGTATGTAAAGCAAAGCAACGCAACGCCCTTAAATAATGTACCTATATGCCAGCCATACATACTCAGCTCTGGAAGCATTCAGGATCCTTATTTCGTCATTCTCGGTCTTCGTCGAGTAGCTCCCCCGTCAATGCAGCCATATGGCAGATATAGATTATATACTACCCCGCTGAGTGCTGATTCTTTTTCGTTTTGTTGCACTCCAATGTAGGTCAGCTCTTCAGGTAACTTGTTAATTTCGATCATCAATTTACCAGCATTCACAATGGACGCGACTGCACAAGCCAGATTTAATCTCATTCGCGAGAATTTGGATGAAGTTCTCAATCCGGAAATTGTCGAAGCCATTCTTGCCGAGGGGCGCAATCCACGTATATACTGGGGTAAGGACCACAATCTTTTTGCCAACCAATTTATCAGCTAAACAAATTGATTGAAGGTACTGCAACGACCGGACGACCTCATACCGGATACTTCACCCCAGCCATCAAAATAGCCCAACTCCTAGCTGCAGGCTGCGAAGTCGTAATCCTCCTCGCCGACGTCCACGCATTCCTCGACTCTATGAAAGCGCCTCTTGAACTGGTCGAGAATCGCGTAAAATACTACGAAAAGGTCATTAGAGCAATCCTCGAGGCCGTCGGCGTCTCGACCGAGAAACTTGAGTTTGTGCTCGGAAGCTCCTATCAACGAAACTCGGATTATGTCATGGACGTATATCGTTTGGCGGCTTTGACTACTGAGCATGATGCTAGGAAGGCTGGTGCTGAGATTGTGAAGCAGTCTAACAATGCGCCGTTGAGTGGGCTTCTGTATCCTATCTTGCAGGTTCTGGATGAGGAGTATCTCAAGGTTGATGCTGAATTAGGAGGTAATGTTTTCATCACTCCTCAATACATATAGAACATTCTGACAAACCAGACAGGCGTGGATCAACGAAAACTATTTACGTATGTCCTCTCTCGATTGCTATCTCTGACTATTCCTGACTCTATTCGCTCTAGGGCAGCAACTGAGTGGCTACCTAAGCTTGGATATCGAAAGGTGACGCGCTCTCCAACGGAACTGACATTTTAACAAAAACTAAAAGAATATATCAGCGTGCCCATCTTGTCACGCCCATGGTCGCCGGCCTCAACGGTGGTAAAATGAGCTCCAGCGATCCCGGTAAGCACTTTACCCTGACACCACTCCACATCACATCGTCCAATGACTCAAGTCAAACAGACAGCAAAATCGACCTTCTCGACCCCCCTGAAGCAGTCGCCAAAAAGGTCCGCAAATCCGAGGCAATTCCTCGCACAATTGAGAGCAACGGCGTCATTGCACTTGTCGAATACGTCCTCCTTCCAGCAGCCAAACTCAATGGAAAGAACGAGTTCCGTGTCGAGCGGCGGGATGCAGAACCCTTGATATATACGGATATTCAACAACTGAAGGATGATTACATGAATGATGTTGTATGTCAATTCGAATGCGCCAGCTTGCTTCAATGTTCGAAAGGGCATTGCTAATATAATGCAAACAGTTAACGCCACAACTACTAAAGCCAGCCGTTGCAGAAGCCCTAACCAGCCTCATGGCTCCTATCAGTGAAGCATACCAGAAGTCACCGGAATGGCAAGAGATCACTCTCAAGGCTTACCCGCCGCCGGTCGTGCAGAAAAAGCAGAAAAAGATCAAGGATAAGGGCTCGCACTACCCAGGCGGCAATAAAAAAATTACCACGGACAATGCAGAGAACCTGAAGGATAAGACAGATCACACAGAGGCTGAAGCTTAGGCTCGCTCTCTAAAGTTGTAGTTAACAGCTCCAAAGCGAGAGCTATATGCGCTCGGTGGTTATTTGTTATCGAGAGGTGCAAAAACATAGATAAATAACGGTTATATGACTACGTATCCATCTAAACAGCTTGAGGAGTCCAAGTTTTCCGTTCCCCATACACCTGCAAAAACGACATTTCAAGGCATATCAGCATTTCCTCATGTACCTCAATACTTTTCTCGGCATCATTTGGTCAGTATCTAACATCTTTTTCTTTCTATTTTGTGAAATCTCTGGTTCAGATCCTGACACTTATGTTTCTGCTTTGGAAGCTATAGCTCATCAGTCATGTTTTGCATATATGTATCTTCAAAGGTAATGTCTAGGATTAGTTGGGCTATCCACCAAACCAGCCCTAACATGGGTAACGGCGTCTCGGTTGATGCCTAGAAATGGAATGTCGCTGAAGAAGCCTTGGCCTCGCCCATCGACTTGGTGGCTTAGAGTGTCTTGTGAAGTTTTCAATGAGCATCAAATTCACATATATACTTCGTTCTGCGGGTAAATGTATACGCAGCTCGGATGATGTCGGGCTAACTCGGGCCGATGGGCCAAACAAGGTACTCTAAATATATACTACGAGAACCTTTCAAGGCCAAAAGATACAGTAATAACATCACAAGTTTCCTGTGCTCATGATCATATAATGACCAATGGTGTCATTGGCCAGACAACCATTCAGTCTCCAAAATATTTGTGATATAACCGCCCCAAACGAAAGAAAATTATTTACAGCTCTTTCTTCAAAAAGTGCTCTGGCTTATGAGTCGTTTCATAATCCACATGCACATAGGCACGTTCGACGTCAGGCAAGGATTCGAGCTTGATTTGCAGTTCCTCGGCGACATCGTGGGTGGCCATGAGTGTGGCATTGGGGTCCATGACAACATCGACTTCGACGACAAGACGAGGCCCAGAGGTATAAGCGCGGACTGTGTCGATTGCAGTTATGGCGGGTGAATGTGTCATTGCTTCTCACGTTAGTATTATTAAGATGAGATTTGAGAGTAATTAAGATGAGATTTGAGAGTAAAGAAGGGCTTACAGATATATGTTATTAGCTGCTGCATTTGTGTGTCTGCAGTGACACCAATGAGCAACATGAACTCCGAATAAGCCGTCCGCAACCACAAAAACGAAATCAAGCACGATAGCAAGATGGCGCCCATCGGATCGATCCACCAGCGCAACTTACTTCCACCGACAGACGTCAAAATACCGAATCCGTTGATGAACAAGTCATTACGATGATCTTCCCACAAAATTCGCACCTGCGAGAACTGGTTACGCAATGCCCAGCAGTACAGGAACAATGAAAGTTTCGTACAAAAGGCGACGGCAACAGCAATGACGGAGGTGAGGTGGAACTTGGTGGTTTCTTCGGTGCTTCCGTCGACGAGTTCTTTGACCGAAAAGGCGATGATAATGAAGGATACTGCAGTCATCAGGAAACAGAAACAGATGTTTCCTGCAGTTTCGATACGAGCCTTGCCAGCGGGAAATTTGCGAGGATCGACCCTTGTAACGGCTTTGTTGGACAGTAGAAGGGTGATGTTCGACATGGGATCGAAAATGGCGTCGGCCATGGTGGTGAAGAGAGACAACGAGCCCGAAGATACGGCACCGTATACTTGGACAACAGACAGGATGACATTGGCTGCAAAACTACCCCATACTGCAATCTTGAACTTCAACTGGTTTGAGTTGTTGAACTCTTTGGCCGCACGTACATGCTCTTCGACGGGGGTCAAGAATCGCTCGATATTTTCGTTTTGCACTTGGTAAAACTCTTGCAGTTTGCCAGAAGAGGTAATTCCGAATCTGTCCCCGATGAAAGACGGAGTTACCCGATCTCGTTTTCGGGAAGTGTTGGCGCGAATCTGTTTGATTTCTTCTTCTGTTTTGAGCTTGGATGCTAGTTGAAGCGGATCGTTCGTTGGAGTGTACCGAGGCGGAGAGTTACGTTCTTCGTCAGAGGTGACGATATCGGTATCGGTGACTCTTTCGACGCCCGAAACGACGGCCGCTTCATTGGAAGAAAAGGTGACTGGGGTTCGGGGGTGGGACACAGACCGGCGAGCATCTTCTCGAGAGAGATTGAAGGGATGAGGGTGGAGGGTGATGGAATGGCGGAGCGTCGAGTCATCCATGGTGACTGGCCCGCGAGTGACAGACAATATTATTGCCTATGGAAGAGACTATTATCGGAGCTCTGCTATCGGAAGTCGTATGAGGTCTATTGTAGAAGAAAAGCAGTTCGTTGAGAAAGTAAAGAAGATGTTATGTCGATAATGCAGGAAGGAGAGGACAGTATAATTTTTGACTAGTTACACCGGAGATAAGTCAGGAATGACTGCGCCCGCCAAGCTGATTGGCGGCTCAGAAGCCAATCAGCGCGGCTTGGGCCCCGATATTTCTCAACCAATCAGATAGTGGACAGCAMCCCCGCCAAGAGGCTCTTTCGTACGATTCGTTACGGTACGGTAAATACGATACTTTCAGTACTGTTCCTGGGTTCCTCTTCCATGCAATTAAATGAAGTTGTTTGAAGTACAATAGTTAAAAAAAAAAATAATAAGTGTCCTGTAAATCTATACGAGAATGCCTTCCAAAACTGTCAGCAATGCATCTGTCACACTAATAAGCACGCCAAGCCAGCTAAGACGACTGTCAGTGGTGATCCTGACAATCGCGGTGGACTCGATGAGGCTGTGCAGTGGGTAAGTCGTCACATCTCAACCTTTGCGTTCCTCTGGATCAATGTGATTAGAATAAAAATCTTAAAAAGTCACAGTGGTGGCTGTTATGTATACGCGGCTTTCTAGGCTACAGGAAAGATGGTTTGTTGTGTAAATGTAATATGTAGTTTGAACATTGTGATACTCCAAGCTATTTTAAGCCGAATTAGCTTAAATGGGATGTTGACCTCCAAGGCTCCCATGCGAAACACCGATTAAGCTGGAGCTCTTCGGCCGGGCCTCCAACACTTGCTTCTTTCCTCTTCAGCTTTACCTTACATCCATTCATTATTCATTTCTTAGCACTGCGCCAACATGAAGCGCATGTTCACTGGCCTGCAAAGGCGAGTCAGTAAGTTAGATTTTTGATCGCAATGCGGAGATCTTGTTGCCGCACCTACACAATTCACGATGGTTATAGCTAACAGCATTCTTTTGAACAACAGCAAGCTCTCCATCGAGTGCACAGGACAGTCCTTCTCCTACTTCATCAGGAAGTGATTCCCCCGAGTCTATAATTTCTCGCGAAATTGTGCGTTAAATTCAATACTGCGCCTGTTCACAAAGGTTGATGCTGATAACTCGAGAAGAAAGCTTTTTGTGAATCCGGAGGACCAACTAGCGGCGTACGATAATCTTTCGAAGGGCTTAGAAATGTGACTTGGCTGACATATCTTTCAGTCAAATGACTACCTCCATCTCCCAGCCATCGTCGAAGCCGCCGAATCCAGCGCCAATGCGGCCAAAGAAGCCGCCGGGCGAATACGCAAATACCTCTCGAGCCCGAGCAAAGCTCAAGGCAACGTACAATACAACTCCATCATGCTGATTCGCATCTTATCCGAGAACCCCGGTCATACATTTACGCGCAACTTTGATACCAAGTTCGTCACTACGGTCAAGGAGCTGCTGAGGGAAGGTCGAGATATGTCTGCTCAGCAGATGCTGCGTGAGACGTTGGAGATGTTTGAGACTCAGAAATCATGGGATGAGGATTTGGCCGGCTTGATTGCTATGTGGAAGAAGGAGAAGGTAAAGATTGGGAAATATACACGATCAGTGAGTTTCACTTTTGCTGTGGTTAGCATCGTCCCAGACTAATGCTATCTAGCCACCACCACCCGGTCAAGCACCATTCCAACAACCACCATACCCTCACGCTGCCCCTCCCCGTCGAGGAGGCCAACTTCCCCCTCCAGATGAGCTAGCATCACGCATATCCGAAGCCAAGACGACCGCAAATCTTCTGATTCAACTAGCACAAAGCACTCCCGCGGCAGAGGTGCAATCGCACGAACTGATGCGCGAGTTCTCTCAGCGCTGCCAGGCCGCCTCCAGATCAGTTCAGGCTTACATGGCCGTCGACAATCCGCCACCAGACGAGAATACCATGCTCACGTTGATCGAGACGAATGAGCAGCTCTCCGTGGCGTTATCAAAGTATCAGCGTACAGTTTTGAATGCGAGAAAGGCATTAGGAACTTCCACACCTGTTACCTCGCCAGGCTCAAATGGTAACTCTAGCAATGTTCACAGTCCGCCTCCTGGTCCTCCTCCTGGTCTTCCGTCTATTAATGGACAGACTAACGGAAATCACGTCGAATCCGGAATACTCATTCCCGAACTGGGAAGCCAAAGTTCGTCTCCTGCAAATGCACATGAGAGCCGATCACTGCCACCACTTGCGTCTCTAAACGAGCCATTTTCGCTATCCAGATTCGATGACCCCATTGAAGTGGCAGCCGACGTCCCGGCTACGAACACGAGAACAGTATCTTCAATATCCAACCAACCTGCCGCCAAACGTTATGAATATAACGCCGATGAATTCGCGGTCGAGAATCCATTCGCAGACAACGCCGCAGAAGATGCTCATGATGCAGACCATGACCGTCATGAGCCTTCGCGGCGTGCTGTTTGAATCTTCAGCGCTTCGTCCAGCGGGTCAACATTTCTTCATTTCATATACTTCCTGCGTATCATATCATTTAACATACACCACTCGTCGACTTGCGTCCATTTTGCCCCAGCTGCCCTACAGATCACATATATACCCCTTTCATTTCATGTCTTTTGAATCTTGCAGTATCCAGTATATACTTGAGACTCGGTCAAATGCATTGCCATCATTCTATCCATGGATTTTCCAGATGCAACGCCGGAGAGATCATACGTAGGCACACAAGACAGTATTCACCTAGGTATGCCTTGGATTTATAATTGAAAAGTTGTAAATGTTGATTCATTTCAAGTAGATTAAATCATTAGACTTCGACGCCGTGACTCTTGGAAAAATATGAAAGGAAAGAAAAAAACAATTCAATCGTGGCGTTGTTTTGTCTTGACAAGAAAAATGAGATTTTGAAGAAAAATCTTTCTCGTTTTTCTCTTTGGAAAAAAATTCGTTTCAAGGAATTTAGAAAAGTAACAAAGGTATTTCATTTCAAACTCCTATGCCAAGTTTAGAAACCGTCATCGAGATTTGTTCTCTTTTTTCCTTCCCTCACTTTCAAATAGGAAAGTTTTTATTCAACACACACCCCTCCCTCGACTCTCTCGCACATGTTCAAAAGATCTAAGCTTCGGTGATGGCGCGGCGGATCTGGGCACCGCGTTGACGGGAGGAGAGACGGGCAGAATCTTTGGCGATGGCGTGAGGAGCCTTCTGGACAACTTCGTCGCCCTCGGTGAGGATGAGCTCGATGTGGCAAGGGTTGGTCATGTAGGGGTTGATCTGATATCGTTAGCAGGTGGAAAAACTCCTTTTGATAGAAAGGGGGCGGGAGACGTACACGACCATGAGCACGGTAGGTGCGTCTGCGACCCTTGGGGGCCTGGTTGACCTGAATGTGCTTGACGACGAGGTTGCTGGTGTCAAGACCCTTGGTGTCGGCGTTGGCCTCGGCGTTCTTCAACAATCCGAGCAGCTGCTCAGCGGACTTGACGGGCCAGCGAGCCTTAGAGACACCGAATGCCTTGCCTGTATACCATTAGAATCATTCCATTTCAAGATTCAACAGCCGATTAGACAGAATTCCGTCGTTTTCACATCCACGTAAATTCTCCTATCTCTCAATCCCTCTTCATCTTTGCACGGAATTGCTATCATCGACTCGAAGAGCAGAGTGGAACTCACCCTGGGCAGTGCGACCGGTGGAACCGGCATATCGGCGCATGGGAACGGCCTCCTTGTGATTGATGACATTCTCGAGGTAGACGAGAGCACGCTGCAACTTCCATCCGTTGATCGCCTGGGCAGTCTCGCGGGTGTTCTTGAAGCTGACGCGGAGGTAAGAGCCCCGAGCGCGGGCGCTCTTTGCGTTGGGGATTGTGTGTGCGGCGTAACGGACCTGTGTTAACATCCGTTAGTTTTGACCTGTTGACTGTATTTGTGAAATTCAATTGCGATGGCTCGTCTGCTCGTGTCGGTCGTAGGTTTCTCAGTCCGTGATAGTTCCATTCGTCGTTGAAGTGTCGTCGAACATTGTCGTTGAATAGACCATCAATCCATCGATAAACCACAGCGTCCGTACAACCGACCTCCTCCAGCAAATTCACCATCGCAATTAAACAGACATCAAACTCACCATCTTGAAAGATTGCCGAAAAAGAGATGGTCCTCGTTGTCGGGTTGTCGAGTATGTAGGGAAGGTAGTAAAAAGACGTCGTTCAAAGATCGATCACCGCCGAATGGGTCTCGTCAGAGCACAGAGTGTGGTTTTTTTCGGTCTTGGCACGGACGGTTAAGCCCTAAGCGAGCCCTAAGCTAGCTGTTTCGGGACGTCACGTGTGTTCATCGAAACTCGAAAGGCGGGTGCGGAGACTAGTGCCGTTGATGTTTGCCTTCAGTGCGTACTAACTACTTCTTATGAAAAGTACAATGAGAGCATTATCATGGCCAATCATCATAGTTGTCTATATCTATTAATTGTCTACTTCTTCTGCTCGGGTATCTGAGTAACCAACCCCCCCTTCTCCACCGCCGACCTCAGATTCTCCAACACCAACAACTCCATATCTTTTTGCGTCTCGAACGTCGCAGTGCCAATATGCGGCAGCAAAAATACCCTGTCACTCTTCAACAATCCCTCTTCGACCTGCGGCTCGTTTTCATAGACGTCGAGGCCGGCAGATCCAACCTATCTCAGTTAGTTATATTCAGCCAAGGTAAGAAGTAAGAAGCAAAAAAGAAAAACGGACCTTTCCAGACTCAATCGCAGAAACAAGCGCCTTCTCATCAATCAGCGCGCCACGCGCCGTGTTGACAATGACAACGCCATCCTTCATCTGCGCCAACTCCTCAGCACCGATGATATGGCGCGTCGAAGCATTCAACGCCAGATTCAGACTAAACACGTCTGAAGTGGAAAGTAATTCCTCAAAAGAGACGTATTTTGCGCCGTCCTCGAGTTCGGGGGATAAGCGGCTGCGGTTGTGGTATTGGATTGTCATTCCGAATGCTTTTGCGCGGTGTGCCATTTCCTTTTCTCGTCAGCTATGGTTTGTAATTAGGGTGAGTGTAGTGCATACCCGTCCGATGCCGCCCATTCCTAGAATTCCAAGTACTTTACCCTTGGGATCACGGCCTAGGCCAGACTTGCCGCCCCATTGTCCAGCCCGGATAGCAGTAAGAGGAACATGGGCATGGCGCAAGGCTCCGATCATGAGGAATATGCCGACGTCTGCGGTGGCATTGTTCACGGCGACGGGTGTGCTCGATACAGCAATTCCTTTTAACCAGCCAGTCAGTAAGCATAGTTTTGTAGAAGCGAGAAGGAAGGAACGTACCAGCCTCCGTCACAACAGGAACATCAATATTATCATATCCCGCTCCATTGTGCACAATATACTTGACCGACTTGGGCAGAGCAGAGACTAGTTCCTTGTCGAATCGGCCGGTGTGTTTGGTAGATGCGTTGCTGCGATATATAACCACGACATCGTCATATTCTCCATTTTTGCAGTTTGTGAGGAACTGTTCTCTAGTTCCGCTGGGGAATTCCTTGACAAAATAAATAAGCAATTTGTTACTCATCTCCGGAGAAGGAAAAATACCTTGAGTGTGAGTGTAGAAGAAAGCTGCTCCCATTCGGGTCGCGCATGGGTGATTTCGCCGATTAAAAGAGCTGCTTGCGACGGCATGACTGCGAGTTGTCCGGCGATGTGGGCGAGGCGCTGATGCGATCTGGATTTATGCATTAGGGATGTATCTCGAAGATCAACTCAATGCAGTTTTGAAGATAATTTAGATGGGTTGTAAAAAGCAGAAGGTGAACTCACATAAAGTAGAGGATAATTAGTCCACTAATTGAAATATCAAGTACTAGGAAGGTAATTAAGGCGGATAAATTCAGGATAATCGTAGCTTGGAATTGGAGATTTATTCTTAAGAAGTATCCTACTTTCAAGGCAGACCGATTCTCCAGTCCTCGGCACAATTCCATCACTGCAGAAAACATGCTTGTCTTTCTACCTACGGCAAATGACCGATACACTCCTCCGTGGGCATTACATAGCAATACATGAGTACATGCAAAGTAATGTAATATAGATGAGGAGTGTACGCATAGTAGGAGTACCAAAGCAATTGCCGGACCCCCACGTCACGCAGCGAGTCAATTGCCGACGAGTTGTTTTGCCCCTCATTCGGATTTCTCTCCGCTTTCACTCAGCTTGACGAGGGCGACAATACAGTCATTACCGCAGAAGCTTGAGTCGTGGGGTGATATATGGTGGGATCCAGATGTCTGCAATATATTGCCGTTTAAATATCTCTTTATAGTTACATTTTTGCTAATTCTATACCAATTCTAATACGATACCCGATTGCATTGACCTGATATACTTTAGAGAAAAGAGAAAAGCTATAGCCATAATGACGACAATAACAACCTCCAAAGCCCTCATTCTCCATGGCGCCAAAGACCTGCGCTTGGTATGTTCCGACTTACTATTTTGTATATTCCAAGCTCACTGTAGGTATAGGAAAACCGCGACATTCCCGCACCCACAGGCAACGAAGTCCAACTCGCCATTCGCGCAACCGGCCTCTGCGGCTCCGATCTACACTACTACACTCACGGCCGCAACGGCGACTTCGTCGTGCAATGTCCCATGGCCCTAGGCCACGAGTCCAGCGGTGTCGTCACCGCCGTCGGGCCCGACGCCAAACACCTCAAAATCGGTGACCGCGTCGCCCTCGAAGTCGGCTTGCCCTGCAGGAAATGCCTGTACTGTTTATCGGACCGCTACAATCTCTGCGTCAACATGAGGTTTAGGTCAAGCGCAAAATCGTTCCCACATTTGGATGGCACATTGATGCAGTTCACGAATCATCCGGAGGATATGTGTCATAAGCTCCCCGAGGGAGTCTCGTTCGCGGGTGGTGCGCTTGCGGAGCCCTTGGCGGTGTGTTTGCATGCCATTCGACGCTCSCACCCMCCTACGAGTGAAGAGGCGGCACTCGCCAAGTCGGTGGGTGAGGAGAGCGCAGCCATGATTTTCGGTGCGGGCGCAATTGGGTTGTTAATGGCTGCTGCGTTGGCGGTTTCGCAGAATTTCTCGTCGATTGTGATTGCGGATATTGATGCAAAGCGGCTCAAAGTTGCGGAGGATTTGGGATTGGGGATCAAGACGTTTTTGATTGAGAGGTCAGCGACGCCGCCGCCGCCGAAGGATGCGCCGCTGGAAGAGCAGACGTCGTATGCGATGAAGAGTGCGCAGGAGACTGCGAATAAGATCAAGAAGACGCATAATATCCCTAATGGGTTTGCGAGAGTTTATGAGTGCACTGGGGTGCCGCCGTGTATTCAGGCGGGTATCTATGCTGCTGCTGCCGGTGGTGTGTTGGTACAGGTTGGTATGGGTGCGCCTATCCTAACACTTCATCATGGTGCAGCCATGTTGAGGGAGGTTGATGTTGTGGGCGTGTTTAGATACGACAAGTACGCATACCCAGCAGCGATTGAGCTGCTACAAAAGGAAGCCTTTAAGAAAGTGGAAGACAAGATCGTAACGCACAGAGTTGACTTGTCTGTTGAGGGACAAGGGGAGCGAGCGTTTACGTTGGCTGCCAAGGGGGTTGATGAGGAGGGTGTACCTGTTGTCAAGGTCATGATTGAGTCTTCACTTTAGTATCATATTCTCATAGCTGTATTAAAAGTATATATATTTTATATCTATTTCAATCCACCAGCCAACAACAGACTCTGCCCCGTCATATACCCCGTCGTAACCAACATCGTAACCGTATTAGCAACTTCCTCCGGCACACCCAATCTCTTGAGAGGGATACTCTCCGCTAACCCAGGAAACGCAGCTCCATTCGGAATCATGCCCGTCTCCCCAATCATAGCAGGCGCAACGTCGTTGACGCTGATGTTGTATTCAGCTAGTCGCGTGGACAGATTGCGCATCATGCCTGACATACCGCCTTTCGAAGCTGCGTAGTCTGTGTAGCATCAGTATACCCGTGGGCCATCTTTAAACAACGGGGGGTGAACGTACGACAACCATTAATCCCCCCTCCCTGCGCCGCAATAGAAGACATAAATACAATCCGTCCCCATCTCTGCTCCCTCATATACTCCACACAGCCCTTAACCAAAATGAACGACGCCCTCAAATTCACGTTAATCGTATAATCAAACTCCTCCAACGTAATATCCCATATCTGGGGCACACGTTTTCCGTACCCGGCATTTGAGATAAGTATATCCGGACGGTGGCCGTGCTGGGTGTCGATTTCGGAGAACATTTGATCAATGTCTTCCTTCTTGCCGACGTCAACTTTGTGAATTGAGATTTTGAGGTTGGGGCTGAGGGTGTGGAGGTCGGTGACTAGAGACTCAATGGCGGAGAGGCTGGACATGTAGGTTAGGGCTAGGTTGGTGCCTTTGAGTGCGAGTTGGCGAGCACATGCTGCACCGATTCTATACCAATTGTCAGTATCTTGTTTGGAAGAGGGGGGTTCTATTTTTATGGTTTATTTGAACATACCCCCCAGAAGCACCCGTGATGAGGGCCAAACGGCCCTTGATGTTGTTAAGTTCTGACATTATCGCTGACTATATTTGTAGTTGTGTATGTATTTGGTGTATGTACAACACAAAAAGTAGAGATGGGGTAGGTCTGCTGATGTAGAGCTCTCTTTAAATTACATTCATTTCTTGTACATGTATCACCACGGTATCAATCGATACATTTTGAGTCGGCCTATGAACCGCCGGATCAACTCCGAGTGGGGTAAATTACAATATGAATAGCCGAAACGTCGCACGTATTACAACATGTCCTAGCAGACTAGTGATTTTTGTAATGTACAGATAGATATAAACTTAAAAGAATAGACTAGTAGACATGGAATCTCCCGTCCAGAATGGCGTTTGCCACATTTGTTGCTGTTGTTGTGGTTGTTGCTGGTCGGTAGAATACATCCCATCTTGCAGAGCGCCGTCAAACCCTAACATACCGGCTGTCATTTGATCGCCAGAGACATAGTCGCCTACAGCGCCCAGATCGAGCCAGGAAAAATCATTAGCAGGGTCGAAATGGGTTGATTGCTGATGTTGATGAACTGCTTGTTGATGCTGATGGTGATGTTGTTGTGGAGAGTGTTGCTGGTGTTGGTGCGGTGCTCCGCCGCTGACTCCGCTCACTCCTGCTCCTCCCGCTGCAATTACTCCGCCGGGAGACATGGTTGTGTTGTTGTTGCTGTTTGCGAGACTGGCGATGGAGAGTTCGTTGCGACGGCGGGATTCGGATGATGCGACCGATCCTGAGGACCGGGGTTTCCATAACAATTCGAGAAGTCGTGCGTATCGCGAGCCCATGTCATCTGGACCTGCGCTGGCGCGGTGGAGGGTTTCTGTTGTGCGTGATACGAGTTCACGCACTTCGATTTCTTCTTTGGGGGACATGACGCCAAACGAGCGGGCCTGCTACATCAGCTTGAGACATCGGGAAGGGATGTGGAAAGACACACCTTATATAAAAAAACTGCCGCGTATATGCTATATAAGTAATATCGAAGCGGCATAAATCGCAAATGCTCCTCTGGATTCACCAGACTGACAAGTATATCCAGATACGACCTGGCCGCATCAAGCGACTCGTATATAAAACGTGCATCAGACATTGATGCGACATTGCTAAACGTTGCTCGTAGATGCTCTTTTTGATGATGCTGGTCCGCTGTCTTCGAGTTGCGTACAATCGCCTGAGAGATAGCCGCTTGGAAAGCAAAAGCATTGGTATATAGCCGTAGATATTCATAAGACATTTGTAGAGTGAGTTTGATGTTTGGTGAGCCTGTCAGTCACGTCAGTAAACTACTGTCTTCTTCTGGTTGTAAGGAAACGCACAATTCAATCCTCCCCATGTCTGATTCCACCTGTGTATCGCAGCGCGGAAATCATCCGCATACTTGATATAATCACCCATGAGCATCATCTGATTGCTTGTCCGCATGCCCGAATACAGAATCTCATGCACATTTCCATACAACTGCGTCAAATCCAACGTAGCTTGTATTATTTTTGCATAATCCTCATCTCCTTCTGTCAACGGCTGCAATGACGGAAAATCCTGACTCACAAATCCAGTCATTGGACCAGGTCCACGAGACCAAAACGCCCGTCCGATTCGGACAGATATCAATCTATCGGTGATATAGCATGAAGTCCAAGCGAGGCGTTTGCGTGCATCGCAGTCCTCACCGGTAGGGTCGCCGCGGAATGAAGTTCGATCCAGACCCATAAAATAGCCAGATCGCAAAGCCAGGCCGACATGCATCCATGCAGCACGATCTTCTTCGCCTCTTCCGACACGCTCGATATTCGGGCGGAGACCTTGTGGTTCCCATTCTGCCAACAATATCAGAGATTCGACTGCTTCTACGTCGCATTCGGTTCCGGCTGCGATGCTTGCGACCAGTTCATGCATGTATTTTGAGCAGTATTCGTGGATATGAGGCATTTCGAGCAGGTCTTTGGACGCTATTGTGAGCACGGCAGTGAGCAGGTGCTTCTCATTCGAGGCAAATGCGTCGAGCATCCCACGCTCAAAGTATCGTCGAGGGACAAGGGGTTGGTATGGGTGGAAATGAACTTGGTAGCGTTTGATCAGGTTGAAGATCAACTCGGGATCAAGCCAGCCATTCTTGACGAGTTCGTATGCCCCAATGCCAGACGCGACAGGTGTTTTGGAAGGCATACCTGTAAGCCCGTCTTGGACGTGTACGGCAAGTGGTCTCTGCTGCGTCACACTTTCTGTGGATAGAACAAACTCTTCAGTCTCTTCGCCTCGTTTCGCGATGCCAGTCAGACATTGCCATGCATCGGAAGGATTTCGGGGTACCCCAGAATCTATCGCACTATCGGAGCTAGATACGGATTCATTGTCATCATCCTCGTATTGCTGTTCTTCTTCTTGATCCTGGTCATTAACATCCGCCGTAATGGACTTGGCTGGTTTGCCGGTCTGGTTCACATATAGACCGGTGATTGGATAGCCAGGCGCCGAGAAACTTGAGCCGTTGTTATGCTCTGGATAATCTGATATAGAAGATTGATTCTCCGGCGTTTTGTGTGCAGATGTTTCATCATCTTTGGATGCAGCATCAACACCCTTGCTCTTCCGTATCCGTCGTCCACCTCTATTAGAAGTTCCCAGGATACACTCCCGACCCTCGCGCACACACCTCTGACAAGGTGGAGTTCCTGGATTGCCGCTACTGTCCCTGTATCATTTATTTTTGTTAGTCTTAGTATCGCATCGGCAATCTGCCGAATCGGTTATCAACTCACAAATCGCAGCGGGACTTTCTCTGGCGGCAAAAGAGACATGCCCGCGACACGCGCTGCCCCGGGCCGAGTTTTCTGTGCTGTCTTGACGCAAAATCTTTCTGTATCTTTGCAGGGCCCATTCTGTCAGTCGGCTATCGTAGAGATCAAGCTGAATAGCCTGTTAGTGTCGTTCGGGTAGAGTTTTGTGCATGTTCTAGCTGTTAGATGGGACCATCCCGTCTATAGCCGAGGAAGCGATGATATATGAATGTCTGAAGATTCTCCACACAACGTTTGAAAGATTGAGGACTAGTACTCTATGCAATTGAGAGATTTATGAACATGACCAATTCGTGTTTGGCTCGTGACTGGAAGAGGTCAAAGAGCGGACGGAGTTGTATGGTCGTGCCAATTGAATCTCGACTATGAGCTGATTATGTAACACTGCCTTCCCCTCAGAGACAGGGGCAAAATCCGGGGTTTACAAATAAGATTACTTTCACTGGTGGAATAGTTCTAGATCAGAATACTCGAGTGTTTTTTCTGGTCGTCTCGGACAGAACACGAGTCAAGACAGAAAACTCGTCGTATTGAAAAGTCGAGTCAATTGCCGATGTTTCTCCGCATCGGCAATTGCTGGTCGGTAACTGCCCCTCATTAAGAATGGAGGAGCTTCTCGTGACAATAAAATTATCCAAGAAAGAATCTAGAACTGGGCACCACGTCATTCAACTCACGGTGTGACTACTCAATTGACGAGTTTGACGAGTTTGAATCATTAAGATCGAAATTGAAATCTGACATTGTGTTCAACAACCATCCGGCACACACAGCGCCGTGAATAAGCCATCACAGTGCAGATAATCAAATGGCGTCTCTATTTTCTTTAGAAGGCAGGACAGCCTTGGTCACCGGCGGAACGCGAGGAATTGGTCAGGCAATGGCCATTGCCCTTGCCGAAGCTGGCGCAGACGTTGTTTTAGTCCAGGTACAAACATCGCAGTACGACACTCGGTGACGGCGCTAACAGTGAAATAGAGGGACGAATCAAACACAGCTACACGCGACGAAGTCGCCAAACTTGGCCGGAAAGCTTTAATACACGTCGCCGAGCTATCGGACCGAGAGGCAGTGAAGAGGATTATCCCTACGCTCGTACAACAGGGTGTTCAGCCAGACATTCTCCTGAATTGTGCGGGGATCCAGAGGAGGCATCCCAGTGAGAAATTTCCAGACGAGGATTGGGATGAGGTAGGTTGAGCCATTACACAAACGGATTAATCATTGACCGCCTACCAGGTCATCAATATCAACCTTACGTCAGTTTTCACACTCACGCGCGAGTTCGGCGCCAATCTACTATCCCGAGATGCCTCCGAATTTCCTCGCGGTCGACGCGGCTCAGTCATCAACGTCGCTTCCTTACTCTCGTTCCAAGGAGGCATCACAGTCCCCGCATATGCAGCATCCAAAGGAGGAGTTGCGCAATTGACCAAAGCTTTGTCGAACGAGTGGGTCGCCAAGGGTATCAACGTGAATGCCATCGCACCCGGCTACATTGACACGGACATGAACGTTGCGCTCATCAACGATCCCAACCGCAATGCCGGCATTATGGCTCGCATCCCTGCTGGTCGATGGGGGAAACCTGAGGATTTCAAGGGCGTGGTTGTGTTCTTGGCAAGTCAGGCCAGTGGCTATGTTTCTGGAGAGATAATCACGGTTGACGGAGGCTGGATGGGTCGGTAGTCGTGACGTTAGAGAACTGTATATTCATCGGCCGTTGACGACCGAATCCACAAGTCATAGAGAATAGTATATATCAAACAGCGTGAAACAAAGATGGATGAAGCGAGATGAAGACAGCGCGTCCTTGCGCGCTCCAAAGGAAGGAGCTCCACTGCCAAGTCTTGAAACGCAAAACAAAACGCTCTCATTGGCCACTCTGGTGTACTCTGCCGCTGGCCGCTTTCAGCCAATAACAGCCGCGGGTTCTGCTCCTTCCTTCCTCTTGGACAGGACAACCTCGCCCAATCCTTCCTCTTCCTCTTCAAAGACTTCACACACACTGTTTCATCTCTTCATTTATCTTTCCATCCCTAGATAGGACACAAGGCATGGCACAATTTTATTGTCGGCAGGAGCCCCTTGACGGGTCAATCGGCTCGCTGCCGTCCGAACTGATTGGCCCAGCGCTTCGTTTCAATGAAACAGATCAATAAAGATCAGATTGACTAGGCTTCTCCGTCGTTATCAATCTGCTATTGATCACATTCGAAGGCCGAGTCCCCAATAATTAGTTGATATTGAGTCTGCTGTCGCTTTAACCTGGTCCACCATGTCAGACGAAGGCTTGACTCGACTCATACGACGTCTTTATATGTGGTGACCCAACCACCTTTCTCTATTGTTAGCCTATATCTCTCTTTTTTCTGTCCACACTCATCTTTCGCTTCTCCTTGTAATTATTGATTATCCTAATGAATCTGCTGGCTGGCTTTCAGCATCCTTTCATTTCTTCTATTACTATTGGCACGTCAGAGCTGGTCTCATCTGCGTAACGGTACTATCATTTTTCGTTGTGGTGACTACATCAATCGTCGCCCTTGATCGTCAGACCACAAGCCTCTTGCCTTGACATTATTTACTGAATGCGTCAACAGCATTGCCATCTTTGACTACTCGACTTGGCAATTTGACAACGACACCATCAACACTTCATTCCACAGCACGTGTTACCACCTACGTGCCTGCACGCCCTCGTGTCGTCCTTCAACTCATTGACACCGATAGCAATCGTTGAGTAATATACATCTCCGTATAAACTCTATCAACGGTCTGGTCCCTCGTTATTCTCCACGCGCTTTCGAAAACAGAAGTCCGCCAAGAATGTCGACATCATAGAATATCTGTAGTGGACGACTTGCGCTTCAACATTTTCCAAGAAAAATTACAAATTCATTGATTCAACGCTACTCTTTACAAGATTGTCTCGATCGCTTGACTTTTTCCACAACTGGTTGCTTCATGTGGATCGCATCTCCGCATTCCTGACTGTTACCAGCACCACGGCACATTCCAGCCTTGTTTGCATTCGGAAGGTCTAGAGAAGGTAAAGATCCGACTAACCGAACAAACTTGATCGTGAAATCTGTGAGTTCAAGACTTGGATTTCTTTGATTGAGGTTATGCGCCATATGGTTGCTGACATGGTGACGTAGATATGCCCTTCTCAAAATCTACAGCGATATTTGAACCAATACACAACACAAAAAATACTATATCCAGAGGGCACAGTGACAAGCCGTCTGCACTGACTGGTCCTCGGTGACAAGTTCGATGAGTTCCTCCTCTTCGGGGCCTGACGGCCAGCCCTACAGCACGAACTACACCTATATCTATGAATATTCAAGAGGCTTGAACGGCGTGGACGTACCTCGAGATGAGATCATTACTCGAATCATCTGCGGCACCCTTGGTGTCGTCGCAGTCACGGTCTTTGCCTGTCGAATGATGGAGTTTGGCAACGCATACATTCGTCACATCAGCTGTCTTTCAGCAACACAACGGCAGCAATACTTTTGGAGCTTAGAGAGGGGTATATGGTCATCGATCAAGAAACATCTGGTACACTCTCCGTTATTTCGGAAAAGGCACCACCGGGAATTTCAGCTCTCGACTGCAATGAACATGGGAGTATTACCGTCCCGCCTACAGACAATCCTTATTACAATTTACGTGCTCAGTCAAATCGCTTATTGTGCTTTGCTCAGCTACTCAGTCAATGAGAAAGCAGCGCTAGTTGCAGAGCTTCGAGGCCGATCAGGAACTCTGGCTATACTGAATATGATACCCCTTTTCCTGTTTGCGGGGCGCAATAATGCCTTGATCTGGCTTCTAGGGGTCAGCTTCGATACATACAACACATTTCATAGATGGCTTGGCAGAATCGTTGCGATCGAAGCGCTTGTACATACAACTGCATGGTTCGTCAATGCAATCAACGAACAGAGCTTCTCTGACGCCTTTAACCGGATTCGAGATACGCCATTCTTTGGTTGGGGAGCTGTTGGCACTTCTGCAATGATTATACTCATAAGCCACTCTCCATCTCCGATACGACACGCATTTTACGAAACGTTTTTGCATTTGCATCAGTTTGCTGCTCTGTTAGCGGTGGTTGGCGTCTACCTTCATTTACAAATAGATTCTTTACCTCAGCGTCCATGGGTATATCTTATCATATTCATCTGGATCTTCGAGAGATTTATGAGATGGTATCGTCGTTTTTCGATCAATTTCAACCTCAGAGGCGGTGGTAGTACGATGGTGGTTATCAAGGCTCTTCCTGGAGAAGCATGCCGAGTTACCTTTCATCTTCCACATCGCATCGACGTCAAACCTGGCAGCCACGTCTATGCATTCTTTCCGACCATAGCTTGGTGGATGTCGCATCCTTTTTCTGTTGCATGGGCTGATCCTAGCACCTGCGTCACGGCCCCCAGTCACCCAACAGCGGCGTGGAACGAGGCATACAACCCGTACGAGAGAAAAAATCTGTCCGACAGCCTCGGTCTATCAGATCTCGAAAAGCAAGACTACATGATCAACGAACTCCGTCAGGGCAACAAACGAAGGACATCTTTATCGCTCGTCATCGCCGCACGAACCGGCATGACCCGCAAACTCTACAACAAAGCCCTTGCGTGCCCCAACAGCACTTTGCGCACCTACGGCTTCATCGAAGGACCCTACAACTCCCACACCTGTCCCATGGGTAGCTACGGAACCGTGATTCTATTTTCCGGCGGCGCAGGAATTACGCACCACATGCTACACGTCCGCGACCTGCTTCTGCGCGCCGAAGAAGGCTGTGTAGCCACCCAACGCATCTATCTAATCTGGTCCATCCGATCCACCGAAGCCCTAAACTGGGTCCGGGAATGGATGGATGCAATCTTGCAACTACCCAATCGCAGACAATTACTCGTCATCAAACTCTTCATCTCCAAACCGAAAACGCAACACGAGATCAAGTCACCCAGTGAGACAGTGCAAATGTTTCCTGGACGCTGTAGGCCGAGCGTCGTTCTTGAGGAGGCGCTTCTGCGGAGAGTAGGCGCTACGGTTGTATCTGTCTGTGGACCCGGCGCGTTCACGGATGAAGTCCGGGCTGCGACGAGGGAGTGTATGGGGCAAGGGATGAGTTTGGATTTTGTCGAGGAGTCTTTTACTTGGTGATTTCGCTTTTATACAATTCTTCTTCTTCTTTATTTTCTCTCCCTTCGATTGTTGGGAGGTTAGACCTTCAGAGGCATATTAGACATACCTAGACATTGCATTCTTTGCTTTCATACCTTCTCCGAATCTATATTAAGGGTAGCTTTGTTCTTTTCCAAGGTTCTTGGAAGATGGCCAGCTTCTAACCGCTACGCTATGATTGATACTCCCTTGGCGTCTATAACATGGAAGCTTTGAGCTGACATTCAACACACTCCGTCAATAATATACTAAAAAAAGAAACTCAACAATCCTAGAGACCACCCGAAAAAGGGCTGACCGCAGGTTAATCATTTCAATTCTCTATAAACTTTCATTATCATTCACGTTTCCCTCTTCTTCTTCATCTGAATCCTCGTCATCATTTTCAATCATCTCAACTAACAGATTCCCACCGCGACCAATCCGTTCTCGCACCGAGCCACCAGCTTCAACTTCGTAGACTGTCCGGGGCATGGGGGAGACTAATCGGAAGCCGTACTTATGCTCAAAGCCGACTGGTTCGGTAGCAAGTTTCTCAGATTCCTGCTCCTCTTCGTCCTCAGCGGCGGTCAGTACTTCGTAGCATTCTACAAAGGCGTATACCTCCTCCAGATCCGCATCTGGTGCAAACTTGCGAATTACGCGCTCGCCGGAAGGGAGCCGGATGCTGACGCGGATTGCGTCTTGAGCTTCAGGTTCCGGGGCAAGGTTCTGTGCACGCCAGTTTTTCCATTGCTTCAGATCAGCGGCTCGTTTCTGTTCTGCTGCGGCACGGGCTGCCTCTTCCGCCTCGGCGCGCTGTCGTTCGGCTTCTGCTTCGCGTCGTTGGCGCGCTCGTTCCCGGTCCTGAGCTAGCGAGCGCTCGTACGCTGAATCCTGCTCTTGACGCAAGGTGCGGGAGGCTTGTTGTTCTGTACGACGAGCCCGGACCCGGTCGAGGGGTTCTTTGTTTTGTGAGATTGCTGTGCGCAGTTTCGTTAGAAATTCCGAGGCGCTGGTGTTTCCTGGTATTCGGCCGATGTTGGACATAGCTGTTGTCCCAACGTTGGGCGTATGCACAATCACAGAGGCAAAAGGGAACTTGGTACAGCGCAGGGAATTGGCTACTTGGTATGCCTCTGAATCTTGCACGTTTCCGCCCCATAAGAGGATCTGGTTATTTGGATCGTTGATATATTCGACAACTTGTCTTGATAATAAAGTCTCTTTGACCCAGTCGCTCGTGCCGTCGTGTTCAGGTGACAGTAAGACAACAATGAGGAACTTTAGTTCTTGTTGCGCCTTTTCCAAGGCCATGTTGTATCCATTCTCGAGAAAAGGGAGAGAATGGCTGCCGTATTCTTCCTCGAACTCACGTATGAATCTGGCCGCGGTATCCTTGGGTGCCAATGCTCGTCGACCACTCGTATTTAGATTTCGTTGTAAAGGAGACGAACCCGTTGTAACATTCAGCCATCGCGGCAGGAAAGGGAACAACGTCCCAAAGAGCCGGAACGAGTTGTATAGTAGACGATATATAAGATTGAGAGGAGAGAAAAGAAGGCTGAGGATAAACGGGGGTCGAAATGCCGGTTGATCCTCCGGTTGCGTTTCGATGCGAGGAGCAGGCTCGAGTCCGGCGGGTCGAGATGATGACGATGACGATGCGGAAAAAGAGGCACGCGGAGGCAGCTCGTCAATGTCGTACATGAGGTTTTGAGTTCGGCGGATGTCTTGTGGTGCGTTCAGAGCAGCACGGGCTTCTTCGACGGGATCGGGGCCTTCGCCGTCGAAGAATTTGGAGATTGCAATCTGTGCGATCAGTCAGCCTCGCTCTACGATTGATAGACAGCGTATCAATTGAACATGCCTGGACATTCCATTGTGATCGTTGCAGTAGTGGGATTGCAGCGTCTGGTTCCTGGCCCGTGACATTCATGTACGTCTGAAGAGCTTCCTGTTGAGTGGAGGAGAGCTCTCCAATGTCCGCGCCTCCATCCTGAGAGGACATTCTGGGCTGTCGCAGTCGGACTATCTAGAGCAATACCCCATATGTTGGCAAGACAGCGTGATGTCTCGGATAGCGTGCGTCAGGGATGCTAGATACCAGATGTGTTAGTCGAGCGGACGAAAGAGACAGCTTGAGGCTTCCGCTGTGCTGGTTACGGCAGCTGGCCCGTGCACTATGACGATTATCTATCAGATAACTACATGATATGTAACTAAGTAGCAGATATCACAGCGTCAACGACTACTACGATTGTTTATTTATACTGAGTTATCCATGGGCTTCATTTGAGTACTTCATAGACTGATGCTCTATAACAAGGTACAACGCATATGCATTCCTAGCGTCTTGTGGCCTGCACAATTAATCCGCTATATATATTCGGACACATAGTCGATAAAACATCTCCGGAACCCTTCAATGTACCAGCATCGAGCCGGAACACTATTTCATGGTATTTACTCTTATGATAGATCCGATTCCATCCAGATGTTAGATACAACTAAGCAAATAGCGATCCGTCCGTAGTAAACTGCCTCCTGTAAATGTTGTTTTAGAAGAGAGGTTTCACAGTGATATGAATGGCCCACTCCGCCGATAGTCCCATGTCCCCCACCGCGCGACACCATTCCTCCTTCATCCATGCCCGCCTCATCAGGACGCCAGTACAGCTGTCTTGCTGCTGCGCATTCGTCGTCATTCGACGTCTGGCAGGATATTTGCGAATCGTATAGGAGAAATTTGGAATAGTTGCCTGCGATTATATTAGGCATTCGCCGTCTAGCCCGCTCTCTGCCTAGAAACCGTCCGTTTAAAACTCGACTTCCCGCCGGCTCGAAACAAGGAGGAATGCGGTTTTCTCTCAACTCCAACTGCTACCTATTTTCGCTCATACGCCGATTCAATGGGGAGCGCCTGGCGCTGAATGTTGGCGCCCATAAATCACCAGTTCAGCCATGGCTTCCACGGCGAAATCCGGCCTCGATGATTCCCGTCGCAATTTGGGATCGCCGAAACTCAGGGGACGAGGTTGGTATATCCTGAGTTCAAGATTGATCGGTCTTTGCTGATAGACATGGCTTCAGAGAATGCAAAAGATACACTGTGTCGAAACGTGACTATATACGGAAAATGTCGATATGAAGATAAGGGTATGCGTGAATCAAAATGATAGTTGGATGGCGACTAATCCGATTTCTCGCGGCAGGCTGCGCGTTTAACCACGATCCTCTCAAGTTACAGAATCAGAATCAAGTTGACAGGTGAGACCCTTACCGAAGTACCGAACGCAAACATCGCGTCGACCGAGGAACAGCACTGACATTGTGTTTTGGTCAAACAGGAAGGGATTGAATGTCGACTCTCCCAGTTTCACACCAACGTTATTAGCAGCGAACGGGTCAACACCGAAGAAACCCAACACCATCTCTCCCAAAGCTGCAAGCGCCGCTCCATTTCTCCCGAAAGGTTCGATCACTTTCAACACGCCGTGTAGGGTGAAACTGAATATCTGCTAATTATTGAAAAGGCCCAGGCTCCAGCGCACAATCAACACGCTCAGATGCAGGAAGCTCAGAATGGTCTGTAGCCGAGATAGCAGACTTTGTGCCGCAAGGTTTTGATGGCGGGCAAGTGGTAAGTCCCTCCCTCCTTCCGTGTCTGCACCGACCGTACCTGCCGTGTGTTCAACACACCTCAACCTCCTATTTTTTCTTTTCTCTCTCCCGACAATCTCTTCTTTCCATTCCTTTTCCTCTCGTATTCGTCTGTGCAACCATGCTAGGATGGAGCTCGCGTTAGATGTGTCACCTCTCAGTCTAGACGCTCGTGCCAATCCATTCCAACCGCGAGCTGTTCAGCGTTCCGTCTCCCTTCCTTTTGTTTTGTCTCCTCATTCATCATCCACCCTCGAGACTCCCCATCGCTTGATCGCTTCTGAAGAAGACATTCCTCACGTTGATCCCCGCAATATTACTATTCCTGTTCAATACTGTCCGCCCCGCGTGTCTCCGGGGTCTGAGCGTGACGTTGGCCACAATGTTGTCGTGACTCAACTACATTTAGTATTACCGCTAACGACCGACACAGGTCCCACTTCAAGGTAATGGAAATGGTGTATTGAGTCCAGCACCTCCTTTTGATCCTTTCGTGACACCGCAAAGCTCCATAGCAGGCAGCTCTGCAGTCACACCTCACCCTGTTCCAAATCCGTATTCGCATGAAGCAGCAGTTGCTGCTTCAATGGGGGGTGCCTTCTTTGCGGGGCAAACTGGATTCCAACAGCCAGTTCAGTATCATCTATACGCACCAATTGGTCCCCACAGCACAAATATTTCAGGATATCAACGAAATGTCCACGACCTTTTCCTGCCCAATGATTTCAGGGAAGAACTGCAGAAAAAAGCGGCTGCCACTCTGCAAACGCTACCGAGTAAGTTCAATTTCTGCCTGGACGAAGCAGTCACTAATCGAATTTGCAGATTCATCCTTACCAGCGCACGTGGACCATTTCCACTCCTTGGTTCCTCTAGACCTCACTCACCAGAAGAATGCGGCGATGTTTGGATTCCCGAGCTGGGTATACAAAGCTCAGTCGAACAAAGATGGCAACTTTTATGTTTTGCGCAGACTTGAGGGCTATCGCTTGACGAATGAGAAAGCCATACGGTCCGTCCAAGCGTGGAAAAGAATTACGAACGGCAGTGTTGTTACGGTCCACGATGCGTTCACTACCCGTGTGTTTCAGGATAGCTCGTTGATCTTTGTCATGGACTATCATCCACTGTCCAAGACATTGGCAGAACAACATTTGGGAGCAGGGAATCGGTTCAACGCACGCAGCAACGCGCATATCCCGGAACAAGTCATGTGGAGCTATGTCACTCAGATTGCATCGGCATTGAAAGCAATCCACAGCAGTGGCCTTGCAGCAAGGATAATCGATGCCAGCAAAATTCTGCTTACAGGCAAGAATCGAATCCGGTTGAATGCATGTGCCATTATGGACGTCGTACAGCACGACACACAGCGATCTGTACAGGATCTCCAGCTTCAAGATTTGGTCAATTTCGGCCAACTTATGCTGAACCTAGGAGTTAGTGCTGCAGGCGCTCTTGGTAGTCCAAGCAAGGCCATGGAGCATTTCACTCGTGCTTACAGTCCTCAATTGAAGAACTCCGTGTTTTGGCTTTTGAATGGTCTGCAGAAAGACCAGGAACGCAGTATCGACATATTTATCAGTGGAATATCATCGCAATTGATCTCTACGTTTGACTCGGCGCTACAATTGGATGATCAGCTTACTTCGGATTTGAGCCGCGAGCTTGAAAATGCGCGATTGGTGCGACTTATCACGAAACTAAACTTTATCAATGAGAGGCCGGAATACGAACACGACCGCCAGTGGTCAGAAAACGGGGAGCGATACTTTCTCAAACTCTTCCGGGATTACGTGTTTCATCAAGTCGACGCGCAAAACAATGCCGTCGTGGACCTTGGACATGTGCTGAACTGTCTCAACAAGCTCGATGCAGGCACCGAAGAAAAGGTGACTCTGATCAGTCGAGACGAGCAAAGCTGCTTTGTAGTTAGCTACAAGGAGCTCAAGAAAGCGCTTGAGTCATCATTTCAAGCTTTGCTGAAACCCGTGAGGCGACTGCACTGATCGTCGCTTTGAAGAATAGAAGCAACATGTTGGCGTCTTCGACGTATATCATTGGACGGACGATCAAAGGACATCACAGCGGCCGGTTTGAGTTTCTGGAAGTATCTAAGCTTGGCTTATAAGAACTACAACGTATATGGTACGAAGAATTATTTTGATGTGTTGCTTGAAAATTACAAATGTCAGAGAAAATCATATCATTCAAATAAATCAATACATTCGTCTATTTCATTACCCGTCATACTTGATCTGACAAAAGCTTTCATTTTAATTATTCCTCTGCCTGCACAAATGGATTGGCAATCTCCTCGCTACCGTCCGCCGGCGAGATGAGGACCAGAAGAGTGCCACGAGCAACGATCAAGCCAAGTGACCGGGTAGCCTCTTTTCCCGATTCATCTACATCCGTTAGTACCGTTGTACGCATAAGGGGGATATGTAACATACCGCGCATCTTCTCCTTGACGTCGTCCAAGACAAGGTTCATTAACTGATCATATCCCTTGAGGATTCCGCTGACTATACACTCGTCAGCGACTTAAATTCCTGTAGTAGTCCGTTCAGGAAAAGAGAGACAAACCTTCCCGACCTCCATTAAACTTAACAATGACTTCCTTATCCATATACTTTGTCAAATCCAAGATATTCTCCTTTTTGGGCTTCTCCTGTTGGTCGCGGTCTCCCCCATGTCTGTCTCCTCCTTGATGGCGTGCACCGCCACGGGTGGAGCCGCCGCCCCGACGGTCACCGCCTCCTCCTCCGCCGCCGCGAGGGCCCCGACCACCGTGACCACCACCACGGAATGAGCCTCGTTCCGACATTTTGTCTGTATCAACAGGAAATATGAAGTGTGATAAGGTACCTCTGGGAAAGGCTGATAAAATTTTTCTATGTCCTTCTTCCTTTCTTTTCGTAATGATTTTTTGCTTCTGCCCTCTCGTCAATCCCGTTCGCCGGCTCACTGATAGGTCGCGCAAAAATCCTCGCAGCTAGCGTTATCAGTAATTTCGAGCGGTGAGCTCTAAATCTCTGCCGAGTTTCAAACTCAGAGGGGGCTTTCTCTCTGGCCCTAATGCGATGGTGATGGTGGTGGCAGAGCTAGCGCTGATACGTAGCACACCCAGTCGCCCAAATTAAGTGAAGGATGTAATTAGAAGTTGATGTCACCCCGCGCAGTCAGATCAGACGACCTCCTGCAATGGAAACGGAGAAATGTGGAATGACGGAATTGAGAAAGGAGCGACACAGACACACCCTGGCGAACTCGAATTGATCAATGGGGGTGGCTCATGCGGTGTTATGAGGGGAGGGGGTAACAGAAATGCGAAGAGTCGACTGGCTGAGTGGAAAGAGTAAGCTCGAATCCATGTGTGGTCGTGACTTGGTGAGTACGTTTTTCATACAGTGTCGTATTAGACGGTACCATTAAAAATATTACGACTGTGTTAGCCAGTTATGTGCAGCTACTTCTGTAATTAACTTGAGCGGCTACGTATGATGTATTACGGTACAGCACAACTGTACTGTAACAACCCTCGGTGTGCGCAGCCAATCAGAGATACGTATACAGTCAGACCCAGCGGAATCTCCCGGCGGAAAGATTCAGGTCCACGCTCCGCTCTCGATTTCACCCATCTTCCCTCCGGACCTGGTACCTTGTACGGCTATGTGCGAGATTAACTGAAATAGCGAGAAAATCACTTTCTTGTGATATATCCCAGTCTTCCACTGTCGCTATTTATGTCATGCTGAACAAGCGCAGGCAGGAGGACGAAAAATAGCGCATGTCGTCGTAGTCCTGTCCGTGTCCGTGATCCACCCCTTCGTCTCTCGCTGGTTTCCGATCCGCCCGCTCTAGACACCGTGACACACCACCCTCCGGTCTATTATCAATTCCACGCTTGACTCGCTGTCTTTGAGTCACAATGTAGTGTGCATGTTCCAAGGACGAAGCCTGATTGCTGCCCGCTTCCGCATTGTCTCGTTGCAGATACCTGTGTATGAGTGTAGAGCACGTCAACTCTGTACTTGGTACAGTACGTAACAAAACGACTTATGCATGCCTTGCATTGATAGACATCGACACTACTATGTAGGTACGTAGTACTACGTAGGTTGTAGAGAAGCAGTGCGGGAATTTTCTTGCCAAGTCCAGCGTGTTAGGCCTACGAGCGTCCCGGCCGGCATCGCAAATCTTCCTCCGAACCTCCACCCCCTCCAGACTTTCCACGCCCACTCAACCTTCCTCTTTTTTGCTTTGTAACATAGAATTCACAGGCTGATCTTTTATTCGATTGAAGATTGAAGGTCACTGATTCGTATAGCGTATCGCCTCCTTCAGTACTTTCGCAGCTTTGTCTGTTGTGACTTTAGCCGCCGTCTTTCCGGGCGCCTCCTCGCACTTCTTTCCATCGCACTGCCGATCCAGTCCGCTGTATACTATCTCCACGCTGATTTCGCCCTCACGACAGCACATGGCCAGCCTATAGTCTGATCGTCCGACATAGGTCGATTATTTCCCTCATTGCTCTAACCGTCTATTTATACGAGCACAATATTCTCTCATGGAGTCGCGAACGGTGACGGCGGAGATTCCGTCTCACAAACGCCCACGGTCCCCGTCGGGCGACTTCTCGCCCACCATTTCCAAGATGCCCAAAACACAATCCAACTCTCTGCATATCAACTATCTCGCTCGCCAGTACCCGGACAATCTGCCTCTTGTCTCGACAGATGATAGTCTACCGAACATTCTGCGCCTGATTGGCGAATACGATGGCGTCTTACAGCGACACGAGAGTATCGCCGGTAATCTCGGCGCATGTCCTCTGGGCCCGATTCTCATGAAGCGCTTTGAGCGCTTGTTCGAGGGGCCACCGCGAGTGCTCAAATCTAATGGCAAGGAAGGCACCAATGTGACTTGGCTGGATGTGGTGGAGTTTGCGAAGAGTAAGCCGGAGCAATTTAATCTGGAAAAGACTCGGAATGGGGTTCGCGTGTGCCAGTTTTATACAAAACAATGCAGAGTGGAGATTTCGGAGGAGGATTATGTGTTGATTGCTTCGGGTATGCCGCAGAAGCTCATACCGCCTCAGCCGATTGATGAGGATGAGGAAAAGGAGGTGGGAGTGCTGGAGATTCTAGAGAAGAATCTGCAGCAGATTACTGCTATGGCAGATTCTGGTAAGTTTTCTTTGCTTCGTATATTGTGGAAGGAAGCTAATCTCTATAGCTGCCGCGCGCGCAAGACAGTTGAGCTACCGGTTGAAGAGCCGTCGCAACGCTATCGTCACCCGCCGTGAAAACGACCGAAACAAGTACTCGCAGAGTCCTCCGCTGCATGAACATGGTAGTACAGACACTGCAGTCAATGGAACTGGCTTCAACCCTCCGTCTCCACCAGGTGGTTTCGTTGCTGTCAATGCGGGCAGGCCGGTCGACGCTGGTGACGAACACCCTAGTCTTTCTTCGCAATTTATGCTCAATCATCCGAACACGGATAATATTACGATAATCAACGGTACCAATATCAAAGGCGCATCGCCAACAACACGTGCGGAACTACTCAAAAAGTTTCTCACAACCGCAGACAGGACAGGCCGAAGTGGCCAGTCGGAGGCTGAAGACTCCTCATTGACTAGACAGTCGTCGCGAACAGGACCGCGAAGATCAGAAGCATCTGAGATGCCTCCTGTCATGTTTAGTAACTCGACAGGCACAGTAGCGATTCCAAATACTCCGCCATCGCTGCTACCTCAACCGAAATCAGTCAACCATCACGAACGGGATGATGGCGGTCCCTTTAAATTGGAGATGGTCGCACGCATGGAGGATCTCCAACGAGGAGAACGGATTCTGCCGCCGTGTGATCGATGTCGTCGCTTGCACATGGATTGCTTGAAGAATCTGACAGCATGCATGGGTTGTACCAAGAAACATGCCAAGTGTTCGTGGAAGGATGTCAAGGAAGAGGAACTCCGTGATCTTCAGCCTCGCCAACCGCGCGCTCATGTTGATGAGCAGCGAGACTTTGCTCGGCCTGCTGCTCCTGATAGCAACAACCATCAAGATGAGCATAGTGCAGATCACAGTCATCCACATCACAGCAATCTATATACACCCCACGACAACCATAGTGAACCGCACCCTACCCCCCACAAAGCTTTGGTGCTGGCACAATCGGAGCCACCATCTTCTCATCCGTACAGCCAGCACCAAGCGCCTCGCGAACATGCGACAGCACCTCGACGAGCGAACAGCGATGTTCACATCATGCTCAACCACGACCAACACCCGGACACTCATCACCAACATCATCACCACCAGCCACAACACCAGCATCAACAACATCCGCCGCAACCCCAACATCAACATCAGCCTCAACACGACCGTCGAAGCTCATTCCACCATCGCAATATCCTTCACGATAATAACTCCGTTAATAACGCTAATACCCACCACCGCAACAACCATCTCCGCAACGAGACGGATAACGATCCCGATGCGAATTCGAGATTGATGCAAGCGATTAAAGACACAGTTGATCATCACAGTACGAGAGTTCAGAAGCATATACGAGATGGTGAATAAGACGATTTGTCGAAATCTTTTTTCTTCTCTGGATATATTTGCGGCATTTGAGGCATTGGGTCTTGCATTGTGTTTGCGTTTTGTTTTTGTATGATACCATGATTATTCGGTGGCTTTATTTCTCGAGCATATATGAGTGAGCTGATTATATTATCTGTAATTGATTTATTCTACTTAAGATATTCTTCAAGAGGCATAAATATAATCTTGATATCCAGACAGCCAATCGGAATACATACAATAGCTGACCCCACCAGGGCTATTTCCTGGAGAAAATCCGGAGTACTTACCTGCCTGCTCCAACAAACACTCGCTTCAATCGTTAGGCACTGCACTGGAGAAGAGGCGTTTCCCCACGGATCGGAATTACGGAGGTCTTACTCATCTTTTTCAAGAAAATTTGAGTCAAATCGACCAGTAAGACGCTGAAAAACATCGGATATAGAGAGTGAGGGGTAATTCCGGCGTGTCCATCTACCGTTTCGGATATGACTTTAACCCACGTCGACATGCGACGTCGGATGTGGTCGAGCATCGGAAACCCAGTCTTGTCTACTATGTTGCGGATGATTATTCGTATATATCCATTGATCTCTCATTGACATATCACAACTTACCAATCTCACCTCATACAAATCTTGAAACTGAAAAAAAGATGGATCCCTCCCTCGTCAAAATCCCTCCCTTGCGGGACCTCACAATCGATAATATCACCGAGAACGTGATCCTGATCAACTCGCTGTGCGAGGATGCGCGCATGAAATATGTGCTGGAGCGATTGGTCACGCATCTCCATGACTTTGCGCGCGAGACGCGGCTCAGTTTTGACGAGTGGATGGCTGGGATTCGGTTTTTGACGGAGACGGGCCAGATATGTACTGATGTGCGGCAGGTACGCATATCCCCCCTTCATCTTTTCATAATGAATGAATGAAAAGAAATATTTATCGCTGACGGGATTTTGCAGGAATTCATCCTCCTCTCCGACGTCCTCGGCCTCTCGCTACTGGTCGACTCAATCGATCACCCCAAACCCCCCAACTCGACCGAAGGCACCGTCCTCGGCCCCTTCCACACGCACGAAGCACCACAAATGTCGCACGGCGACTCCATGTCCCAAGATACCGCCGGCGAACCTCTACTAGTTGTCTGCAACATCAAAGACCGCACCGGCCATCCGATCCCTGGCGTAAAAATCGATATCTGGGAAACCGACTCCACGGGCCATTACGACGTCCAACACGCCGATAGGTCAGGTCCCGATGGGCGATGCGTAATGCACTCCGATGCAAAGGGCGAGTTCTGGTTCAAGGCTATTAAACCAGTGCCATACCCAATACCGCATGACGGGCCAGTTGGGAAATTGTTGAAGAAGTTGCATCGTCACCCTTACAGGCCAAGTCATATGCATTTCATGTTTGAGAAGGAGGGGTACGATCATTTGATTACGTCGCTGTATCTAAGGAATGATCCCTACGAGACCTCGGATGCGGTCTTTGGGGTTAAGGATACGCTTGTTGTTGATCTGGGGGTCGTTGATGCGACGATTGCGGCCAAGTATGGCGTTAAGGAGGGGACATTGTTGATGACTTATGATTTTGTGCTGGTTACGGATGCCGAGACGAAGGCACTCAGGGAGCATAATTCGCAGGTTGCGTTGGATAAGTTGGGGAGGAAGGTCAAGATTGTGAATGGGTTGCCCATCCCTGATTTGGATTAATCTTCTTTAATGGCTGAGGTATGAACGGAATGTGTAATGAAATTGATATGGTATAAGAGATATGTACGACATTAAGTGAATTTGATTACCTCGCATCAATCATTTCCCCAAAATCATCAGCATCGTCGTCTGTTTGACCAGGTACAGCCACCTTCAGACTCCTCAAACCTTGATCATCTTCGATCCAGCCTCCCCGCTTCTCCACGTCTTCCGAGTACTCGACGCTGACCCGAAGGTTAAGGCTAGCACTCAGCGCCTTTTGTACTCTTGTCTCTCTTCCTTGAGAGACAAGATCCCGGAAAACATGTACAAGAAATTCGCTGAGAATATCAACGCTCCAATCGTCAGGAACTGTAGCCAGGACCTCATTAACATCAAACCAGCGTGAGAATTTAGCCAGCAAATCACTGGTCCTCTCAATTCGGTCGGATACATCTTCAATCTGAAGAAATTCCGACAACAGATGCTTGAATAACAAGGCCGGCTCTGTATATGCAACATCATCGGAAGGTGGCGGTAGAGAAATCGTAGCTGCAGGTTGAGAGCTTGATATTCCGCCAAAAATACAGTATCGAATTGCGGAATCGTAATCCCCGAGTCCATGAGTCAAAAGACGCAATGCTTCTTTGTGTCGCCCTTGACGGCCATCTAGAATAATACTTTCAGACACCAACTCATTCTGAAAAGGCTCGATACGGGCAAGTACGGCCGAAACAGAGTAGGACAGATTGCTGGCCCCAGTACTAGACGTAAAAACCGTGTTGGGTCCGCCCAATAACTGTAAGAGTCTCAAACGTGACTGCCACCAGCTCTCTTGTGGTGCATTTTCGTTGATGAAAGTAAGATACGTAGGCTTAGGCGGTCGTAGGGCACGGTATGTAGAATATGACTCCCTGAGAGATATGCGTGCTTCAGAAGATGCCTGGAGGACATTGATGACCGTGTCGAGATAGTATGCAATGAGATCATCTGCATATTGAGTATGCTAGGTATGACTGTCAGCACACCGCTAGTAGATCAGTGGCAAAGAGGACTCACGTTCTTGGAAAAAACAAGATGCTCCAAAAAATCCTGAACGGCATCTGGCGCTCGCTTCTTCAACAGTTGTACCACCTTGTCAGGTTCCAATTTGACCTTTGCACTATCATCCGAAAACACTTGGATACCCAAGCTAGGGTTCCGCGATGCCAGCCATGATCCATATTCCTCAACCAGTTGCGGATCGCGTATTTTGGGAAGATATTTTCGGACATGCACTTCCACTACGGCAATCGTAATATCTGTGTCATCCTCTTTCTCCCCATTGGCAATTCTTTGCCAGGTTCGGAGTACCTTTCCGTATATTTTGCGTTTTTGATAGAGTCGGCTGAGAATAAAAAGTCGATGGTACCGCTCTAATAGTGAGACCGCGCGATCAAAATTTCCCTTCCAGTCATCTACCAGTCCGTTCAACTCGTTGCGGGTGGCTCTTGTCACTGGCTGGGACGCTCTCCTGAGTCGCGCTTCTTGCTCCAAGATTAAGTGCAGTAGAGCTGCGTCAACACTATCAAATACGTTTGATTCGTCCGTCACACTCCCGTAACCTCTTTTTCTCTGCCAAGCACTCAGATAACGTTTCACCATATTTAGCAACGCTTCATCAGGAATGTCAGGCATAGCTTTTGACTCGGCCAAATGGTCTAGGTAGAATTCCGCTTCGCGAGCCAGGCCTCGGTGAACCCAGATTCCTTTCTTTGATTGAAGGACCTCCTCCGCTAGAAAGGGGACCATAAATAGAATAAGGCGAGGGTCTAAGTTGCTTTCCACAAGGACTTCTTCAGTGACACGTATTGTACTCTCGCTTCTATTGTTGGGGTCCATTGCAAGTAGGTCTGCGAAAAGGATCAAGCCAGCTTTCTGTTTGATATATTCCAGACCATAGAATTCGGCTTCAGTCGTAGGATCAGTAGATTTGATGGAGTTCAGTAGATCAATAACCGCATCTCTATCAACTGATTTGAACTGACCTTCCTCCCATGTCTGCGCACTCTGAAGAAGCCCGTCCAGTTGTAAAGGTAACGGATTCTTGGTGACTCTCCAAATCCGATTTCCAGACCACAAAACCAAATGAGTTTGAATATATCCAAGACGATGGGCAAAGGCAGACTCCTCTTTCGTCCTTTCCAGTTCCAACGTTTGTGTAGACCCCGCCTTTTTGCCAGATTCGGAATCTGTCAGCTCCTGAGACTCGAACAGTTCTTTCTCTTTGCGTACCTGTTCAATGGTTGCATTGGTCCGTGGGTCAGTCTCCTCAGGGGCATCTTCTCCAGTATGCGGCGTTTTCAACCTGACCAATCGAAGAGTCTCTCCAAGCTCATAGAAATCAAGCTTGCTTGAACTGGTTGTATGTTTAATACCAACGTGGGCAATCTCGAATCCGTCTACAGCCGGTATTTGCACCAGGGTTTTCTGACGTCCATACTCTCCTGGTTCAACATCCCATCGCTGTATTTCAAGGTACTTGTTGACGCTGTCTTCCTCTTTCAAGTTAATGATAGCGAGAACGTATCCTTCGGAGGAACCTGGATTTCCAGAGCTGTGATGGGATTCGGATGGAGCATCGACAATAACGGCTTCTGGGTACCGTTGAAACTCAATTGTGCCCCTAACAACATCGCCGTCTGTATTGACAAACATGCCAACTCCAGGCTCACTTTCCTGGGTGCCAGTAACCAGAAGGAACTCTGACGGCGTTGGGGAGACTATATGCGGTTTTAGGCTAGCAATGCCTAGCTTGGGAGCTGGCGGCAGCGGCTTCTGCTTGTCTTCTGCAGTTTCTTTTGGAGGTGTGGGTAAGTCCTTCGATGTATCAATGTCACGCCGATCTCTTGAAACAGACCTCCGAGGCGTATCATTGTCCGACGGACCAGGAGTCGAATTGTTGGAACGATCGTTTAGACTGGGATGTAAGCTATCATTATTGGCACCCAGTCCTCCTGCGAACGTATTCAAACTGGTACTTCTACTATGTTCGCTTCTCTTGTCAGCCTTTGAATTGGCGTGACTTGTGGAAGAAGAGCGTTTGAGGTTTGATGTCGATTGTGGTATATCCTCGACATGACCAGACTCGAAAACTTCACTCGTCGAAGAGATAGGGAAAAGGGGAATTTTTTGCTGATGTTCAACTTCCAACAATGAATATGCAGTTCCATCGGCAACACAAGCGATCGTGTCTCGCCGTGCACCTACCAGACACCCTGGGAATTCAATATACCTAAGCCTATGCGCTACGTCTCCGATTCGAACAAGCATTAAACGATCGGAGAGTGCGATCATGATGACCGGTTTGTTGGCCGCATTATCCGTCTCATTTTGATTCAAGTCCACACCCCCGATCCATTGACTGCTCACTTTGGTGTTTTCAAAGGCGGGACTCAGTTCAGGCAACGAGTAAAAGGTGACAACACCGTTGCACAAAACACAAGCCTTGGAAACGGTGGGAAGTAGTAAAATCTGCTGGATTCCATTTTTCTTCTTCGCTTTTCCGGTTATCTGCAATCGCGATGCTAGGATGAACGTGGGCTCGTTGGTTTCGTCAGTGGGTTCTGGCGGTATGGACACAAAGTGAAGGATCTCAGCCGCGGAGGTGCCTATATACAGGTTGTCGTCTTCGAACATCAATGTTAGCTCTTCTCGTAAAAAACTGAGGACGTCATACTCACTCCAGAATTCTACACATGTAATATGAACGTCCGCTTCGACGCTCTCCGGCTCTATCGGGACATTGTCGAGCAATTGACGTAGAACATAGGGTGCTGCCTGGGAAGCGGATAACTTCCTCCGTTTGCGAGACCCTGCGGATCCATCCATCAAGCTGGCTCCTAGATCTGTAGTATCTGAGTCCTCAGTATGCCTTGTGGGCCATCAGATGGGATGCGACACAAGGAGCGTGTCTGATGCGAGATGTCATTGAGGGGATAGCTCTTGATTGGGAAAGAAGCTACCGGGCTTATCGCGGCTTAGTCATGCGGCGATTGCTTGCGCAACGTGTTTCAACACCCCAACATCGTAGCACATGCTATTTTCATATGAGTAACGAGCTTTCTAGCATTTCCCTCTTTTGATATGCTCTAGCCTTGTCATTTCGGGGCTAAATATATTCATTGTTCGGCAATTTCGTGCATATCACCCGTTCCTCCAAGATCTAAGCCAAGCAGTCCCGACCCGCAACGCGCAATCACATCCTCCGCATCAACCGATAAACTCGACCTTACGCTAATTTGTTCCAATCTCCCTAACAGGGTGCGGCATACATAGCTATTGAATAGCGGAATGCCATAGCGTGAAGGGCATTGGTCTTATCAAAGATGGACGCCTTTGCGGTCAGCGAGAACATTCTTGCGGAACAGGAGAAGCCAGATGTCAACGGCAGCCAAAATACAGAGGAAACAAACAAATTCCAACGTGCCATATCCTCATGGCGAGGTATGATTATGCGGAAGAGTCAATTACACTGGCTGTACTAACGCATCAAATTATCCAGGCATCGACTTAACTAATACTATACCGAAACTTGACGCTACTGCTTCCGAAATCGTCGCAAATCAACGAGATGCTCTCGTACAAAGGAAGGACCTTGCTCAGAAAACGAAGGATTTTAGAAAACTCGATGATGCCTCGAAATTGACCGAATACAAGGGGCTTTTGAAAGGTAGGACCTCGACAACCTTGCTCAAACAAAAACCACTAACATTATACAGCGTACCAAACGTTCATTGATCTTTTGACCACCCATGGCAAAACATCCTCGTCAGCTTTCTTACAACTATACTCCCCGCTTTCCGAAGCTCCCGATCCATATCCCCTCCTCGAAGCATCCGTTGACTCGTTAGTGGCATCTGAAGACACCGTCCCGAAACTCACCGCGGAGAAGGAACATTTACAAAAGTCGGTGGCTCAATTAACAAGTCAGCTCGAGACTACCGAGAAACGCCTGGAAGAAGAAAGTGAAGCTCGAAAGAGATTGGAAGACTCCCAGGAATCAAGGATCAAAGAAATAGAATCGTCCTGGGAAGCAGTACTATCCGAGAAGAGTAATAATTGGGAGGCMAAAGAGAAAACTCTGGAGGAAAAGATTGAGAACCAAGATCGGTTGGTTAAAGAGCTCAAGGCTTCCCTTGAGGTGTCGCAGCGACTCGACAGAGATGAGGATGTTGACTCTGCTCGCAATACCGCTACGGCAGCCGAGCTGGAGATTGTCGTCTCGGATCTTGAAAAGACTAGTCTTCGGTTGGCCGAGGTTGAGGCACGTAACGAACAAATGCGGCTTGAATTAGCTCAGGCTGCATCTCACTCGCAAGCCGAACAAAGGCCGATTGAGGATGATCCGTCATATCTTCGATTGCAGTCCGAAAATTCGGCTTTGATCAGGAAACTGGATGCGGCAAGATTTGACCGTGATACCGAAAGGCACGATTGGGAAAGCAAGGTCCGTCAGTATGAGCGAACGAATTCGAAACTCAACGCAGAGAAGGATGAATTCCGTTCAAAGCTCGACAAATATGCAGACTACGAGGATATTAAAAGAGAGCTCGAGGTTATCAAGGTAAGATACGTACAACCTATTTCAAGATAAAGTGACTAACATCTCTAGTCTATTGAATTTTCTACTGGTGATGATGACGATGCTGGTACTCTTCAAGAAGAACTCACTAGCACGAACGGCACTTCCAAATCCAAGGAAAATTCGTTGGAACAGTTACTGATGGCTCGCAACAAGAAACTCAGCAACGAGCTTACAGTACTTCGGGTCTCCCATCGTGATCTTCAAAGTCAGATCGAGACGCTACAAGAGGATTCATCCACAACAAAAGCCGAGCTGGAAAAGTCTCAGCAGCTATGTGCAACACTTGAAAATGACCTCTTGCGCATGCAGAAGAGCACAAATGCTCTACCTTCGGCTGCAATGTCCGTTGCAGGTACTTATACATCCCGCTTCCCTTCATCTCGAAGGGGCGGCGGCACATCTCCCACATCGTCGATCATATCTGGCTTTGATCAAGTCGCTGCTTCTGCAAATACAATGGATGCAATCCGTGCCGGTGAAGCTGTGGGCGGTGGTTCTGGTATCCTACCAATGATTCAGGCCCAACGAGATAGATTCAAGCAAAAGAACGCTCAATTGGAGGAAGAACTCTCCAAAACATACGCAACTGTCAAATCACTTCGATCAGAAGTTGCATCTCTTCAGAAAGATAATCTGAATTTGTACGAAAAGACTCGATATGTTTCAACCTACAGCCGTAACCAAGGTGGTAGCGCATCCACATCAGCATCTTCCTATGCCAACCGACCCAGTGCAACATCAGTATACGCATCCGACGAAACCCCCTCAGGCGTCTCACTCGACAAATACCAATCCGCTTACGAGGCGCAAATCTCTCCCTTTGCAGCATTCAGAGGCCGCGAGGCAACGAGGGCATATAAACGTATGTCTCTCCCCGAACGATTAGTCTTCTCCATCACTCGCGTGGTGTTGGCAAACCGAATGAGTCGGAATATCTTCGCGGCATACTGTTTTGCTTTGCACGTGTTGCTCTTTGTGATGTTGTACTCTATGAGCGCTGTTGAGATCGAGAAGCATCACATCGACAACCTTGCTAATGGCGCTGCGGCCGCTGCTGCTGCTGCCGCTGGTGGCGGTGGCGGCGGCGTTGGTGGTAGTGCTGCTGGAAAATTACATGGAGATGATTGGCAGCAAGAGGGTTTCAGCAATTGATACGACTAGTCGAACCCCATGTCCATGCATGTTCATTGTGTATATATATTTATAATGCTTCCTATCTCTCATTTGGAGTTCCTGCGAGGCGTTTTGAGTAGCATCTCGACATCTGAGTTCTTGTTTACATCCTGGTATATTATTCTATCTAGCTACCCTGGTCAATTGTTGATAACGCATTTCTTGAACAGAAGTACACTTAGTTTCTACGTACTACTGAATGATTCTAACTCTAGTCGAGAGGTAGAAACACAGCACGCTGGAATAAATAACTTATAGAAAGAAAAAAGACAGTTGATTTACTGTACAGATATAATGACAAAAGAAATTGGAAAACAGGCGATATAAAAGAGKTAAAAAGTTATGCGCTATAACACTACTACTGTCACAGAGCCCACAATCGTCTATTGGTCATGGTAAAAGATGAGGGTTAAATCGCAAGCTCTAGATGATAGAGGGCTTTTCTTGTGTTTTTATCAAAAATTTGATTTTTTGGTTGTTTAAGCCAAGTTACGGCTCATATCGTTGGTGATGCGCTGGTAGTCGAGAAGACCCTCGATAGATCCGTAAGCACTGATGGCGAGTTCCTTGTCCCAGAGCTTGGCGTTGGCGAAGTCCATGACGTCCTTGGCGGTGATGCGGCCGATGGTGGCCTCAATGTCCTCAGCGCTCAAGCGGCGGCCAGTGGTGATGATTTGGCGGCCAATGTCTTCGGCGACGGCAGTGGTGCCATCGAGAGACAAGAGAATGGAAGCCTTCAATTGAGCCTTGGCGCGCTCGACCTCGGCCTCGGTAACGTTAACTGAGAGACGGGACCATTCGCGGAGAGTGAAGTGGACGAGGTCATCGAGGTTGGTAAGGTTCTCGCTGACGAGGTAGATACCCCAGAGACTGCATCGTCGAAGTTAGCACACATGAAAGAAAAGCATGAAAGAAAAGTATGAAAAATATCACTCACCCAGTGTCACTGTAGCTGGTGGAGAAGCTCATGAAGCTGTTGGCAAGGTTGTGGTGAGAGACAACGTTGCTGAGCTTGCTGCCGAGGAAAGAAGCATTGCCCATGGTGCGGTCCCAGTTTCCCTACGATAGTTAGTAAATATGCATGAATCAGCAGAAACGAAAACATACAATAATAGCCTGGGCAAGGAGAGCGGTAAAGTAGTGGTCATCGTTCCAGCTAACACCCTCAACGGCAAGAGCAATGTGAGCAGTAGGGATGGTGTCGTCACGGAGACGGACCTCGGAACCAATGAACTCGGGCTTGCGCTTCTGCTCAGCGGCAATGGCAGCAGCGGCAGAAGAAGGGGGAGCAGATGGAAGACCACCAAAGTGCTGCTCAGCAAGTTTGACAAGGGCATCGTGCTCGATACCGCCGGCACCGACAAGGACGGTCTTCTCGGCCAAGTAGTTGGTCTTGATGTAGTTGACAAGGTCGTCACGCTGGATGCTCTGGATGTTTTCCTTGGGTCCGAGAATGGTGCGGCCAAGAGACTGGCCCTGGAAGGCAGTGGCGTGGAGATGGTCGAAAACAACCTCCTCGCTGTATTGAGTCAGTATCGTTCGAGCATGAAGGGTGCCGAGTGACATACCTAATCTTCTCGACTTCCTCGGCTTCCCGGAGAATGACATCACGCTCGCGCTCGATGGCAGAGGTCTCGAGCTTCGAGTTCTGGAGAATATCGGCAAGGATATCGACAGCCTTGGGGACATCGGCGTTGAAGGACTTGGCATAGTAGACAGTGTTTTCCCTCTGCGCGGCAATTAGCATAATTCGGCAACGGCAGCATCGGATGTTCGTACCGATGTGTAGGCGTTCAAGTGGCCACCCATGTTCTCAATTTCAAGCTCAAGCTGTCCCTGGGTCCTCTTGTTGGTGCCTTTGAAGGCCAAATGCTCAAGGAAGTGAGCAGTTCCATTGGTTTTGTCGGTTTCGGCACGAGATCCGGCATCGACGTAGACACCGACGGTGCTGGTGGCAGCGTAGGGGTTGTGTTCGGTAGCGATGGTAAGGCCGTTCGACAACTATGCAGCGCGGCGGTCAGTTAAAATTTGATATCCAATGGCAAGAGACGATTGACGACACATACAGTGGTCGACTGTGTCCGTGATGGCAGACCAACTGGCGTAGCAAAGCCGCGCTTCACGGGCTGGACAGCCTTCAAGGCAGCGCGGGAGCGCAAAGCCTGGTTGAACTGCTGAGCAAGCCGCCGGGAAGCCATAAGTGCGAGTTGGCTGATATGTAGATGGGGGGAGAGAGACAATTGGAGTGGGAAGGACGACAGGCGAGGATGGTCGTTGAGGTTTGGAGGTCGACTTGGAATGAAATCGGGAAGTCAAATTGTTCGCCAGCTCGGCCGACCAATCACATGACCCGTTTTGCAAACCGCTCCGGGCCTTCCCTACGCTTAGTCTTCCTAGCTCGTTGTCAGTATTCCTATTGACAATTAATCAACTTCAGTTTTAATTATTGCCTCTTCTAATTATTTTCACAATTGTGGCCAACAGCCTATTTATATACTACTACTCTAGGCTAAAGAACTCGCAAACCTTTTGATATTCTCAACCATCGAGATATCATCCGCAAAGCCCAACGCCCTAGCACGCGCACTGTCAAACAACGGCGACCAACTCTGCACAATCCTGTCCACGTCCGCGTCATACTTTTCTTCAACCAAAGCCCTCTTTTCGGGCCCACCAATCTGCTCCAACGCATCCAGCATTTCTTGTACGGTCACCAACAGACCAGGCAAATTGACCGAACGCGAGTCTCCAAACGCCTCGCCGGGGACATCCCGGGCATGCAATATATTCTTGACAATAGTATACGGCGAACAGATCCAAACAGGCGTATCCTTTGCGACAGGCAAGATAGCCTTCTTGCCATGGAACGGCTCACGAATAATGTCACTCACAAAACTGCTCGCAGCCTGCGTGGGTTTTCCAGCCCGCACAGTCACGGTGGGTAACCGTACAGCCCTCCCATCCAAAAACCCGCGACGCGAATAATCATTCAATAGAATCTCAATCATGAGTTTCTGTGATCCGTACGATGACAGCGGCACGGGCGGCAAGTTGGTTTCGTTAATAACAAATCCAGCTTTTGTAGGACCGTAGACAGCTAGCGAAGATGTGAAAATCACTTTTACGCCGGGCATGGTGTCCTTGAGACGATCGAGGATGTATCGATTTGAGTCGAAGTTGACTTGTATGCCTAGATCAAAATTGGCTTCGGAGCCGCTGGACATAATCCCATGGAGCAAAAAGACGGATTCGTAGGGAGTGGATGGGTTGATTAGTTCGTCAACGACCTTGGGGGAGGTCAGATCTGCGGCTACGGTCTTGAGTCGCGAGGCATGCTCGGATGCTGATGCCGGTACTGGGGGTTCTTGGACGTCGGCGATGATGACTGTGGTATCGGGGGAGGAGGTGCGTAATAGTTCTGCTGCGAGTTCTTGACCAACGTAGCCGCCAGCACCGGTGATGAGTATAGAAGGCATGTTGATTGCTTGCAATTGTAGACTGAATTTCAATTCGGACGGTAACAGGAAAGTAGCAAGAACAAGTCTGATCTTCCTCGACTTGATTTATAGAGTGCGCACAGTCAAATGATGCATTCAACATCCGTGGGGGTTCTCTACTCATTATATACTCTCCATCAATACTTCGCGGGGTCTATGCATCGCCCGATTTCCGAGGCATAGCAACAATACGAACCGCGAAGTAAGTACATACACGATCAATACAACGAGGTGTCGTGCTCGTCTTGTATGTGAATTACATGATACGTAGTGAATCATGGTTTGTGAGTGGTGGAGAATATGCCGGAATATGTACTCTTTGTATGTTTGTCACGGAGCAAAGACCGACCTTTTGTAGATGCTCGGAGAAAGACCGAGTCGGTGAGGTGGACTGATGACCACGTATTTTAACAAATGATCAAGATAATTGAGTAAGTCTGGGATTGATTGAAGAGCTTTGTTTGTTTTTCTCTTTCATTCGAGTCCGTGTATGTGGCGGAGAGAATATACGAGGGAAGATACCACATAGATAGACGATTGAATATTTGAGGCGTCTTTTTTTGGAAATGAATTCTCAACCAAGATATTTATATACATGCTAATTGAAATATAAACAGAAAATGGAAGTACACATGCCGTGTTAGACATCTAATGCCCATTAACCCCATTAACAGCCTGCTCCTCCAACCCATTAAAAATCTCATCAAAGTTCTCCAACGTTTCCTTGGTCGTATCAAACCCATAAATCAGCTTCTGCACATCTGCATCAGCCCACTTATCCGGCACCTTGCCATTTCCTTGCTTGAGTGCTGCAAATTGCTTGTCTCTTTCCTCCTTTGCTGCGCCATCACCCAAATGCAACGTTCGGCCGGATGCAGCGGCCATTTCTACGAGGGCATAGGCACGATCTTTGCGAATCCTTTCGTAGACGCGAAGAGCTTTGTTGATGGTGGAGGGTTGCGTGTCCGGGAGACGGGATAGGGATGCGGCGAGGGCGGCGGCGTCTTCGATGGCTTGGGCAGCTCCCTGGGCAAGATGCGGGAGAGTAGGGTGGCAAGCATCACCTACAAGAGCAACGGTTTTGTGTACCCAGGTGGGTAAAGGGGCGTGAACACGGAGTTTCCATTCACACACTTCCCCCTCGGGCACATGGTTGAGTATACGCTGAATCATGGGGCAGAAATCCTCAAAGACGCCCAACATTGCTGACTTGGATCCGCGGGTTGTGTATGTTGCTGATGGGGCTGCGGCAAAGTTTGTGTCTGGCTGCGTCGTGGATAGATTGTAGATGTTTTTGTTGTCGACTGAGTAAGCAATGATGTGCCTCTTTGCGCCAATCCAGCGAACGACGGTGTCGCTATCGAGTAGCGCCAGAAGCTCCGGGTCATCCTTGATCTGGTCACGATGAATCATGATTCTGTACGCGGCCTGTTTGGTGTCGATGATCTGTGCATCGACGTTTAATAATTTGAGCATCTCCACGCGGATGTTACTCTTGATTCCATCTGCGGCCAACAGGACGTCAGCCTCAACCTTGTACGGTTCAGAAGAGCCATCGCGGGGTTCGGCCAGAACGACAGGGTTGGGGCCGAAGGATTCGATGGATTTGATGCTGGTGTTGAAGTGGAAAGTGATGGCGCTCTCCTTCAGACAACCCTGATACATGGAGTTGGCAAGCGAAAACCGGTGACCGACCATGTGAGGGTATCCGTAGGTTTTTTCGATGTATCCCAGCTCTACGTGGCCGAGTTCCTCGTTTGTGGATCCTTCTATTTGACGTTAGTGCTTCTGCTTCTTCTTCTCCGTCTTCAACAGGAGGTTAGGGACTCACGTCTGATGCTGGTGGCCTGGATATTGGTCGCTTCCTTGGCAATAGGTTCCCATACACCGAGTCTGTCCAGAATCCGAGCCATGTTGGGAGCAAGCTGGATACCGGCGCCGACGAAGCCCAGATCAGCGGCATATTCGTAGACGTCGATTTTCTTGAAGCCTTCCTTGGCGAGGGCGAGTGCAGATGCCAGGCCGCCCATGCCTGATCATTCGTTAGTTTAGATCAGCGTTCACTTATATCAAGATAGGTAGACAAACCAGCACCGACAATGACTATTCTTAAATCCTTGATTGACTCTGCCATTTTGTCTGTCGCTTCTTCGATAACGAAGATAAAAGTACGTGATCTATCTCGGGTCGTCCACAAACTTAATGACTAGCCTCCAATATCGACAACAGAAAGATAATAATTAAACAAAAGCGGAAAACACCTAAGAAAATAGATGACAATAAGATGCTAGGATAAATCCGGGGTTCAGTACTTAATATACTCCTCCCTGCAAGCCGGGGTCCGGATAAGCATTCACCAACTCAAGGCTTATGTAACAACCACACTTTTGCCTAGGCAGACAAGCCCACAAGCAAATAATTCTGGCTTAGCTGGCTAGAGAAAGCTAGTTTGCGCGCGTGGTTTGCGGCCAATGAGATTCTACTAGAATCGCTGAGCGAGGGAGATCTAAGAGAAACAGAGAGAGTAGGTTGATAAACTCTTTCCCGGCTTGGGCCCAGTTTTTTGCTTCCTCCCCGCATTTTGACCTATGTGCTCCTACTACTCGGTAGACAAAGGAAGGATGAAGGGATTTGCCGGGTTAAAATATTTTCCGCTTTGCTGCTTGAAGCAATAAACTGATTCTAGTGATATGGGGGGATACGTAAGTATATGTCAGTGATTATAGGGAGCTTGAGCACGTTCTCGGGTTGATGCTAGATTGCGCGGATTGCCGACAGCGACGTAGATACTCGGAGTAAGGGAGGCTGGCATCCGATTGGTGATGCCGAGATGCTCTACAAAGATCGGATCATCGGAGACTGATACACTTCGTTGCAAGTAAAGATGGACGTTGAAATGAGTACCCTAGTAACCATGTACATATCTATCCAAGTGCACAGTTTTGAGAACCAACTTAGATTCAAAGCGTAGTAGCATCCATTCAATACCAAGAGAAAGATGAAAGGCAACAAGAAAAAAAATCGTAGAATACACTCAACGCCGAGGGAAATGTCACTGAGAAACCAACAAGATCGAGAGAAAGATTTGCGTCATTTTTTTTTAGTCTGCGACTCACATCGAACGCATGTATTGACCTGCCACGATACAGTGGTCACGCTCGAAAGGTTCTATAAATGAGGTTAGTAAATGAGCTGCTTAGAGCAGAGTTCTGATATTTGATGATGGCTTACCAAGTGTGAGTTCTATCGAATGAAGTTAGCATGAGTTTATCCATCTTAAGGCGGCTCATAAGGATACTTACGTTCTTTGGGCTTGATCTTCTCGGCTCTGAGACGCTCGACTTCGTGAGCAAAGACAACCTCCGGCTTGGCCGTGCTGTCGATACAGCTGGCCTTGATACTGATCAACACACCACCCTCGTTCTTGAGGAACATGTGTGCATTGAGACCGACGATACGGGCCTGATCGGGTTGGGCAACGTCGGCGAAGATGACGTCGACCATGGGGACGAGGAGTCTGTATTTCATAGGGTGCTTTGAGGTGTTAGTATAGATCATGCAGCAACCACAGAAATCAACTTACGCGAGCATCCTCGACGATGGGGATGACGTTTGTGCGTTTTCTGTCAAGGGTTAATGCCTGTTATTCCAGAAAGTAAGGAAAATCATACGTTGCCATGCCGATCAAGTCACGACCAGAGCGGTGGGAGAATTCAACAGCGTAAACGGTTCCGGTAGGGCCGACAATGTCTGCAACGTGAGAGACACTGGTACCAGAGGCTGCAACCTGTCAGTACCTAACAACAAACGCGGGAAACGATAAACCATACCAGCACCCAAGTACAAAACCTTTGAGCCAGGCTTAATGAAGATCTTATCCAAACCACCGAGAACACCAGCAGCAAGCTTAGAACTGTAATCGACTGTCAGTACCAGTTAATCTCGTGAAGAAAAAGCTAGACCAACCGGAAAGGATTCCAAACACGGTATTCGGTCTTGGCAGCAGGAGCGTCACCCTCAGCAGGGGCCTCGACAGCAATTCGCTTCTCGCCATACACCGAATCTCCAGGAGTTAAATTCTTGGTGACCAGCATGTCTTCCTTGCCACGAGCGACGAAGATACCGGCGTGACGATGGGGTTCGATAATGGCTTTCTGACCGCCCCTGGCACCTCCACGGGGAGGACCACCACGGCCACCACGACCTCCTTTACCAACGTTAGTATTTTGTGGATATTTCGATTGTGTCTGGTTATTGCCAACCTCTAGGAGCACCACGTCCACCGCGAGGACCGCCTCGGCCTCTGGGGGCACCGCCTATACAAACGTTGATTAGACGAGGCCTTCTCAAAGCTCAGATTTGAAAAGATTATCGCATACCACGACCACCACCACGACCACCACGATCACCACCTCCAAAACCACCACGGCTTCCTCCAAAGCCACCGCGTCCACCTCGAGGGGGACCTCCTCGTCCACGGGGTGCGAATGCCATCTCGACGATTAAGGAATCTGCTGAAACTGATGATAGAAAAAGAAATCGACTGCGCAACGATCACAGCCCACAGACACCGAATAAATTCGTGAAAAAAATGTAATTGGCGCCTGGACCAATTTTTTTATGGCGAAAATGAGTATTGAGCTGCGCGCCGAACGTTACTGACGAGCAGTTGGGAGATGTTATCGACGAGAGCGATTTGACGGTCGAAGCTTTTTTTTTTCTTTCTCGAATTGCGGACCTTGAGAACGCTATCCCTGTTTTGGAGTAGCGTGTCTTGTCTTCCAAATTTGTGGATGCTTATCGGCACGTGACTTTATCGGTATGGCGAGGTCACGGGATCTTATCGTGCCCTACATCTACAATTAGTCCAACCAATAACAGCTCTGAAGCTTGTGTTTCAAAGATCTACTTTTACTGTTTCATCTTGATAACACTGTCATATTCATGATATCTACCAAATAATATTAAGAACGCCTAGGAAAGGTATAGCAATTTCACACCCGGTGCCCAACTCATCACCTCGATCACCGTAAACATGAGGAAACATAGTCAAATCAATTTAAGCATAAATGTAGTATTGTCCCGAGTACTGAACCTGGAAAGCAGCCGGTTGGCCCGCACAAGTGGTCGGCGCAGCACCTCCAGCGGTGTTGACTCGGTACACAGCAGTGAACCCATCCGTCGTTCCAGTAACGGTGGAAAGATACAACCAGGGTACGGCACCATAACCGACATTGAACTGACCTAGCACAGAACCAGAAGGAGCGGCAGTCGAGTTTTGCTTGGCTGTAAGCGCGAGGCCGAGCTGTTTCTCGGGTGTGGTGTTGAGATTGAAGGCTGGTTCGGTGGCAGTCTCGAAGTAGTGGTGGCCTAGCAAGTACAGGTTTGCGGGTGCCAGGGGAGTTTGAACGTTGGCCGAGGGGAGAGAGTAGTTGAGGACAATGTCGGTGATGAGGTCGAGTAGGTCGGGGTAGTTGGCAGCGACGCAGGAGGCGTCGTAGAGGTTTGCAACGGCGCCGATTTGGGCGGGGACGGTATCTGCGGTGGAGTCGGCGCAGGTGTAGTTCTAGTAAGTTAGTATGAAGGTCGGTATAGAATCCAAGATAGTTAGCATGCATACCTGAGTACCACGACCAATAGCGACATATTTTAGCGAACCCGTAGGAGCAGGCAGTTTTGACGAAGGCAAAGACACCTTGGACATATCGCAGGTAGGCGCAGCTCCATTGGCGTATTGCGCAATGTGGGTGCTGACCTTGGTGTAGAACTCTTCCAGGCTCGAGTCGAAGTTGTAGACCTCATTGAAGACGCTGCTGGTAGGAGCAGCCACGGCAACTGTGGCCAAGGATGCAAAGATGAGTCCGCTGAAATGCATTTTGATAGTAGTGACTCCAAGGATGCTTTGTTGACGAGATTGAGAATGAGGCCGAGGCTGAGGTTCAGGCTGAATATAAGAATGTCGAATAGAAGGTTTGGCGGATTCAGGATTATTCTTTGTCTTGGGTATTTTCAGTAGGGGAATATCCGCGGAAGATAGATGAAGTTGGAATAATAGACGAAAAGCACCAGGCTCTTTGTACTGAGTCGCGATAACAAAGGACGGAAAGAATAAAGAATAGAGTAGAAAATATGCAAGAACGTAAAATAAACGTAAGTACGAAGAATAGAAAGAAATTGATATTGAGGATTTTCGGGATGCAAGAAGACACAATCAACACAGTATTATCTGAAGAAAGAAGAGGAAGAGGAAATTCATCGACATGCCAGCCGAAGCGTTATATGTACTGGCTGTACCTACCTACTGCCTAGCTGCAGATACGAGCAAGAATAGAAACCGCTAAGATCTAGACTCATCAGCCTGTAAGCAAGCTGATTGGCGTACAAAAATAAACTCATGAGCTTCTGGGTCCTTGATTGGCTGTGGTCTATGCGCCGCAACCCTAGCTGAGCAACCAATAGAATCACCGAAAACAGGGTTTAGTGGGTTTCACACATGCCATGTGACACCGCTGATTGGCCCTGCCCACCCTTGGGCTTGACCGGGGTTGCGCGTAGCGAAACTGTTTTGTTTAGAGGGCGGTTACACTATTCATAGTATTCATAGTGTAGTGTTCCAAATATACTACTACTCCGTAGTATGCCTGTATGCTTTCGGTGTAAGTACTCCGTATGTACTGTGTATTCAGTACAGTTCTTCAGACTCGGTCTTTGTTCGGTCGTCACGCTTACTTCTTAGTGCTTACTCGCACATGGCTGCACATTCCTTCAGTGTTCCATCAATTCTCCGACACAGTACGAACTCACGGAGTACCCCAATATATACGAGGCTCTACAATAAACATAAAACAATCCTTCAACTGAAATCAGAATCCTCCTTCCCCATACTCCGTACGGAGAGTATGGAGAGTCTGATCTTGATTAAACTATGTCCCGTGCTTTTCGATAAGCGGATACTTCGTCTACCCCATCTTGCTTTCTTCAGGTATCATCTTCTCCAGGCCTAGCGTCGTGGTTCTGCTCTAGTGTACCTCAAACTGATACATACGAGATACGTTTCTATGTACTCCGTATGTACGGCCAGCACCCTGGTCAGCGTAACACACTAACACACCATTAGCGCCGGAAGTTCTCAAATTAGGGGCCTCACAGCCAATCGGCAGCATGTCGCGCGTCGAACTTGATGGAGTAGGGCCTGTTTTTGAGCTTTTTGCCATAAATAGTGTGTTGACTCTGGGGAGGCTCGTGATTGGTACCACTTGAAGATGCAGCAGCCAAAAATAAGTACACTTGAATATTGAATTGATGGATAGATTCAAGGAAGGTGCATGGTATAGGCAATTCTTCAGTTGCTATTAATACTGGCTTCCAGGATAGGTATTACGTACTCTTGTCTACGTGTTGATTTACTATATATAAGCTGGTCCGCTCTGAAGAGACCTTGTTAAGAAGCTTCCAGATGTGAGTAGCCAATGGACTTGCCGAAATGTCGCTCACATGGCAGTCCGATACGATAAGGTGGTAATATACCCCTTCAGAGCGTTCAAGAGTCAAAAGAGAACAATGCTATCTAATGCCTCGATATTTCCTTTGTTCGAGCTTCGTGGGCCTGTCTGGACAATGGAGAAGCCTAGTCCATGGCGGGTGCCACCTAGAGTTGGCTACCAACTTATGTAGCTGTATTACGAAGCCTCCATCCATCCGATCTTGGACAATGAGGAAAACTAACTCACGCTGCGTCTTTCAAAAGCCGGATTCTGTTGCTCTTTAGGGCTATATTAGACAGTCCACCTTCGTATTCATTCGCTAGTGTCTATACATGGTATAGTCCCAATGCCTGGTCATTGACCACCTGCTGCACTCTTGTGATAACGTAAATTAATCTCGATACCAGAACTGTCATCTTATAAGTTCCAATCGTCGGAAGATCCACGTACACAATAACAGCCCAGGATGTTCATTTAGATGACTCAATGGTGTCCCTCCCCAATTTCAAACAGTGTCATTATCACGAGTCGTATGCCGGTACCCTGGGATTCAGTCTACACGTCGCTTGAATTTCTGAAACACAACAGACAAAGAACATTGGTCATCTCCGTCCGAACAATGGACATGTCTTTGGCGGGATTTACATTACTCGTTCGATCATGCTCGTAGAATATTCTCATATCTAGACCTGGTCAGGAAATCAGTAGTCAGTGACACGCTAGGGCAAAGGAATACTAGTCAGTCAGTCAGCCTCCCAAGCCTCAAGGTCAAGGCGGGGTAACGCAATCCGCGCCATTGTCTCTAGTTGAAACTTATCATAAGCCCATATACTTGTTCGTGCCATGCCGTCGAATATATATGAAACGAGACAAACTCATGGTCCTCGCACGGTTTTTTTGATCTCTTTGTTAATCGGCTCAGTCGGAGAGCGATAGCGAAAGAAGCTGGCTGTCAAGTGTCAACGGCTGGCGGAAGCTGCTTACAAAGGACGAAACGATCGAGCCGACAGAGGCGACCAAGAGGCAACATCGGGCGGATATGGCTGTCATCAGTCATCAGTCTTCTAGACAATTCCATCGTGCGATATTTCCTTGACGGCACTATCTAGGAGCGTACTGAGTCGCACGGAGAATAAGAACCATGAAAGAGCAGAGTCGGTGAGGTGATTGCGACGGGATGACAAACGGCGGAGGCTAAACCTGTTTGGGACTTGCTGCCTGACAGATCAGGCGCACACAAAGAAGGTACACAGTTTTTCGTTTCTCGAGGCCTTTGTTGCACGCTTTTTGCTGCCGGGATTCCGCTATTCGAGCTCGAAGAAATTTACAGGCTGGCAATGTTGAATATGCCAGGTTTCTGTACTCACTTGAAGCAATCGAGGGGAACGTGGACTCAGGTCTGATAGAATCTTCAATCTACTATGTAGACACGATCTTGAGTAAGCGTGACGCCATGACGTGGGGAGATCCAAAGATCGAACTGGTGGAGTTTACGTTGTTCGTGGTTGGATGGATGCAACACCACCAACCCTTCTCTCGGTACTCTATGCGCTTATAGTACTAGTCTCCAACTCGGAGAATTTTTTTCTCTGCTTCTTTGCTGCTTCTTCCGTGGCGCTTTGCGCTCTTTCGCCATGCACAGTGACAGAAAAGCCGAGGGGGGGATCATTGTCATGGCGTTCCGGACACAGAGGTTGTACGGAAACCTCGCCTGCAAGTGACGGATATGACCGCTTTGAGTAGCACCGCGAGCCACCGTATCCATATTTGCTGTTCTTGGGTAGAGGAAAAGAGCCTTACGCAAGCATGACTAGAAGTATAAATGTAGCCTCCTCCCATTCCGGGGGCTCCGTCGAATTCTAGTCTAATCATAATCATACTTGCCCTTCAATCTCATAATACAATTGTGCAACATGCCAGAAAACAGAGCTCTCTTCTTCAGCGATATCCCCTCGGGGCTGCCTGTCGCAGGCAAGGATCTCACCCTTGAGTCTGTGCCATACCCCGAGGAAGCGCCTGCGGACGGCATCATCCTGAAGAACATATACGCCAGTTTCGACCCGTATCTCCGAGGTCGTATGCGATGTATGTCCTCCTGCCTTCCATTCCTGTACTTGCAATGACTGACCTCATAGCCCCCGAAAAAAAATCCTATGCGCCCCCCTTCGAACTCCACAAACCCATCGCCAACAGCCAAATTGCCCTCGTCACGAAGTCCAACAATGCCAACTTCAAAGAAGGTGACCATGTAGTCGGCATGCTGCCCTTTCAGGAATACGTCGCCCTGAGTGGTCAGCAACTCGCTGCGCTGAAACCGCTACAGAACCCACTGGGTCTTGAGGACATTCGTGTCTTCCTCGGTGCGTTGGGTATGCCTGGCTTGACTGCGTATTCATCCCTGTATGAAATCGGAAAGCCGAAAAAGGGGGACACAATTTTTGTGTCTGCTGCTAGTGGCGCGGTGGGTCAATTGGTTGGGCAACTTGCCAAGCATGAAGGGCTCAGAGTCATTGGTAGCGTTGGCTCAGATGAGAAGTTGGAGTTTATCCTCAAGGATTTGGGCTTTGATGCTGGATTTAATTACAAGAAGGAAAGTCCCGCACAGGCACTGCAGCGATTGGCCCCTGAAGGGTTGGATATTTACTATGACAATGTTGGCGGAGATCATCTCGAGGCTGCGTTGGATGCAATGAAGGCGTACGGACGTGTGATTGTGTGCGGTCTGATTGCGGGCTACAACCAGAAGCCTGAAGAGATTCACCCTTTGCGCAATTATGGACAGATTCTGTGGAAGAGATTGACTGTCCGTGGTTTCTTGGTGGGTGATAAGGGAATGGGCGATAAGTATGCCGATGAGCACCGAGAGCGTGTCTCGAAATGGATCAAGGAGGGTACTTTCAAGGCTGTGACCTGGGAGGTTCAGGGCATTGAGCAGGCTGCTGATGGATTGTTGGCTCTCTTCACTGGACGGAATTTTGGCAAGGCTGTGTTGAAGTATTAACAACATGCCTATGCCTTAGGACGCTCATGAGCAAATTACCTGCCATTGTATTCTTTAAAGAACCAATATATACAATATAATCCTTATAAAATAATAACAACTGTTGTTTATTCATTCTGTAATTATGTGTACCAGGGAACAAACATCGTGTAATTTCTGCTGGGCCCATTGACGTTCAATATGACATGTTTGGTTTGATCAGATCCGAATCATAGCATACATTTGATAAGCTTACTCGATGATACTATCTCAAGAATCTTAGATGAATAAACTAGAATAATCAACAAGGTACTGAAATTACTTTATGTTTTCAGAATACAATGCCACATCAATAAGTTTGAAAAACAGCAAAGAGTATTATAGTAAAATATTCTAGTGGATGTTACGTCAAATCAAGCTAAACCAATCAGCTCACCCTCATTGTTTGAGTTGGTACCTATAGCCTGTAGGACTGCTTGCTCCATTCCATTCACAGCTTTAAAATCAACTCTCCTTTAGTTTAATAGGTTTCCATGATAGTCTGACGTGTTTGAAGTCAGTATGTTGCTGCGTTGTTTCACAGTGTTGCTATCGCCAGTCGTTTTCTAAACAAATAAATATCCCCAAAAGCCGTAAAGAGTAAAACGTTGATCTCTACCTATTGAATCCAAATACTCCAATTCGAATACCTGCCAATGGGATCCCTCAACTAAACCTAACCAAGCGTGTTGCAAACAAAGCAGCCGGCCTGATACCATTCATAATAATCAGATGCAGTCGATGCTCGGAATGTGCTAGGATAATGAAGTTTGCAGTAATTTCCTTCCATCAAATACAAATTTATACAGCCAGATTTAGATAGGCATTGAGCACCACAAGCTGCAGCACTTTCAACGTATGGCGAGCCTGATGTATACGACACTAGCAAAGTCGATGAAGGATCATTTGAAAAACCATATGACCCACAAGCAACACCTGAGCAAAAGCACGACGCATCATACCATAAGTAGGAATTGCTTGTATTACTTGCCGCAAAGGTGCTAGTATCAATGTGCAAGTTACAGTATTCCCTTCGATGAAGTAGGGATTTGTGCAGGAAGAAGTTGCTAAAGATTGAGCTCCACAAGCAGCTGCACTTTCGACAAAAGGGCTACCGGCTGTGTATGACACAATCAGTAATGACCCTGCATTATCATGCGAGGCTCCAAGGTCGCACATTCTGACACACTTGGTGCAGGGGTTAACTAAACGGAGGCTTATGTTCACGTTATAGACGGCGGATCATCATCGGCCCAATACGAAGGGTCATCCCAACTGAACATTGGAGCCACGCAGTATGTTGTGTTCACGACCAGACTTGTGTCACATTTGGTACCGCTAAGCGACGGGTTGATTGCAAGGAATAGACTGGAAGGTATAGACTCCATGACGCAAATTTGGGCGCATGTATCTCCCTCGTTGACAGTATACCATATACCGCAATAAGTCGTTGTCCCCAAGGCTACCGTTGCATTTATTGGCGGAGCTGTAACATACTGCGAATAGCCCGTAGAGGGCACTGAGGAAGCAGGAGGGTTAGGGTGGAGCCTACTGTTGGAAACGAACTTCCCAGCTTGAGGGCCCAAGCATAACGTATGTCCGAGAATATCAGTCGATTCCTGGAGATTGCTATAGAAGTAATTGATCCATGGATTGTACTGGTGAAGAGTACCATCCCGCAGTCTGTTTGCATTTTCGATTGTAAAACAGTCGTCGTCAGGCTGCAGAGAGTACAAAGGTGTGCATGACAGAGGCATGCATATTGTTCTTCCAGGAATGAGTGATGAGCAGCTATTTATAATCATACGATTATTGGTGAGGATCGAGGCAGATGTTACGTGGTTTGCAATGGCGATGGAGTCGCATGTGTCTCCTTCCTGAATCGTATAGTTCACGCCCGACAGGCACATCGGCGTCACCGTGGGCTGGGCTTGAATAAGAGATTCGGGCATAGTGGTTGGCGCGTCTAGAGAACATTCGCTGACCATGTATTGCATCCCGGACTGATAGTAGTCGTTAAATGCAGAATAGGAGCTATTTTGCATCATAATAACCATCTGTGTCCAGCACCACGAGCAAAGCTCATTAGTTGGCATTGATTCCATGCTGTTGGCGTCAGAGAATGCTACCAGCTCTGGAGGCTGGGACCACAAGTAGAACTGCACATCAAATCTGTGAATGTGGAGTTTCCAGTTGATCGGCCGACTTGCGGCGACAGATACATGGTGAGATATTTGGGACATCGAATGGTCTGGGCAACGGCTGTTTGACAAGTGCTGGTAACGAGTCCGTCAAGGTCGTCGAAGTCATATATATCAAAGCCGGAGAACGTATAAGCTCCGATTGTTGCATTGGTCTCTCTCACCCACGCGAGGATAGAGGACACGAAGCCGTTAACGTTGTTCGCGGCGAGGGTGGCGTATTCGTTCACAGGACTGACCATCTCCACCATGCCTTTAATGACGATATGGTATAACCATATGTCCGTACTTTGCGCAATTTCAACACCCGCCAGCTGGCAATTACCCGTAATTAGACATGTCTGACTATAGTCGGAATACCAACTATAAAATCCTATAGCAGAAGTCAGTTGTGAAGGTAGAATAACCGATTTGATTGGACGTAGATATTTACCAGAAGCCATAGAATACACCGTACTTGAATCAATCACTCTCAACGCCCAAGAGCCAGCACATTTTGTTGAAGTTGTATCACAATCGGCGAAGGTCGGGTCATTTGGGAAAAGCCCTGCATTAAAAGGCAAAGGTGCTCTGGGTGACGGCTGAAAGTACGGTGATTCTGTTTGAATCATGCTCATGTATACGTTCTGGGCTTGAGAAATCTGGTATTGGTAAAGTACTTGATGCTCAGAGGCTCTTCCATATACCAAGTAGAGCCTATAATCCTATTATTGTTCCTTCGATCTATAGATTGAAACAAGGACGTGACCATGAGATGAGCCATCGAAGTGAATTTGACGCTAGAGATCCATATGGAGTACTACCCATATACTTTATCGTTCGACGAGACAGGGCAAAACCTATGTAGCATTAGGTCCTAGCATACATTGGTCGATGCGATCCATTTATACGGGGTGGAGAAGATACATATTTTACAGCTTTTCAATATTGTAATTACATGTACTAGTCTCATCGACGCATCCATGGATTTAGGGCTTGCCGGGTCACGCCAACCCCACCCTACCTAGGTATTGTTGGTGCTGTGCTTACAGGTCAATATTGGTCCGTACAATAGACATTTTTTATCATTAAAGCAGATGTTTTTTTCTTTGTTAGAACGACTTCACCACCGCATACATCACGGTCACCTCTAGCAATATTTTCCTCTGCTAGATCATCTAGTATGCACATAGCTCTCTGCTCTCGTTGGGACGGCCCAACAATTTTCAATAATGTAGCCGAGGATCACAGCTGGTATACTTGGCAAAAAGATTAAATGAAGAATCAACTGGGTGGAAATGATACCACTATCTACGAAGATCCACTACCCTCAGTCAGGCTGTTTTGGGGTCGCTGGCCGGATAAATCGTATACGGGTTGTGCGGCGCAGGACATGAAGTAGCATACACTATAGTAGTAGTAACTTCGTATATGGCTAAGACGGAATTGACCGGATCAACAGAGTTCTTTCCTGTTCCTGCCGAGTTCACGAACACGTGGGCTTGCTAATAAATCCTCGCAATGTCATTCCCATACTTCGTTAGGTTGTTATGTACACTCTTCTTTTGTTATTTTCACCTCGTTGCTTGCCACGTGCTATGAGGAAGATACCTGAGGAAAATACCTGCAACGTTAAGCCACAACCACGCAGAGATAAACGAGCTAACAGTGCTGCCTTGAACAGGAAAAAAAAAAGCCAAAGACCCTCAGAGGAAATACCCGCTCGCGACCTCAAATCTAAGGCTGAGGTTGAATTCCCAGGAATCGGATTGGACTCACTGATGCTTCAGGGGACTTCCGCGCACGCTAATTTTAAGGGCTTTTTGGGAGTCGACTAGCACTGGATCAAAGTAGACATTTGAGTAAGATCTAAATTTAATATAGCCCTTAATAAGGGGCTCTGATTAGACAAATTACTTTTAGTTAAGAATTGAAACACGGGATGCTTTCTAAAATAGTAAGAGCCTTGCTACTTAAGTATCATTCATCCCATACCCTTCTTTTGTAGAGATATTTGAGAATATAAGAGAAAGGTTGGAATGATATGGCTTKGTCAGATTATTGGAAGTCCCAGTAGCTTGACCACTGCCTCATGCCCATTTTTTGCAGCCCATGATAGTGGTGTGTATCCATCACTATTTTTAAAATCTCGGTCAACTCTCTTATCATCAAGCAGCAGCTTGACCACTGCTTCATGTCCATTTCGCGCAGCCATTAACAGTACCATACGTATTCTTAGAATTTGGGTCAGCTCTCTTACCATCAAGCAGCAGCTTGACCACAGCCTCATGCCCATTTTCCGCAGCTAATAACAGTGGCGTCCAGCCACTTTTATCCTTAGAATTTGGGTCAGCTCTCTTATCATCAAGCAGCAGCTTGACCACTGCCTTATGCCCATTTTCTGCAGCCCATGATAGTGGTGTATATCCATCACTATTTTTAAAATCTCGGTCAACTCTCTTATCATCAAGCAGAAGCTTGACCACAGCCTCATGCCCATTTCGCGCAGCCCTTAACAGTGGCGTCTTACCATACGTATTCTTAGAATTTGGGTCAGCTCTCTTACCATCAAGCACTCATGCCCATTTTCCGCAGCTAATAACAGTGGCGTCCAGCCACTTTTATCCTTAGAATTTGGGTCAGCTCTCTTATCACTAAGCAGCAGCTTGACCACAGCCTCATGTCCATTTCCCGCAGCCCTGAACAGTGGCGTCTGACCATACGTTTTGTCCTTAGAATGTGGGTCAACTCTCTTATCACTAAGCAGCAGCTTGACTACTGCCTCATGCCCGTTTTCTGCAGCCCATGACAGTGGCGTCCGACCTGAACTATCCTTTGGGTTCGGAGCGTACTGCTTCTCTAGTAAGTCCGTCATAGATTCCACCAATCCAAAGTATGCTGCAAGGTGCACTGCAAGGTGCACTCCTTTCATCCTCATCGGAACTTCCAGATAATAGCCCTTGTAGTCCCTAAGCACCATCATCGCTTGGATACAAGCAGATATTTTAGTCTCACTCTCAAGAAGATCCAAAATCAACTTCCTGTCCTCAATTGAAGATATACGGGCATGGTGTCCCCAATTTTGTGCGGCATAGCCGTAAAGATGATTAGATTCTAACCTCTTTTCAAACTCATTCTCCGTTTGACAAACCCCACTGTCAAAGAGACTGAAAGAAAGATATATTAGACAGGTTGTCGTGATCCTGGTTTCTGCATCCCGAAACCACGTGCCTTGTGTCCTTTTAAAGTATTCTTGAGTTGTATAGTGGACCAAGCGGATGATATTGCTTTCTTCGTCGACCGTGACCAATCCCGCACACACGGAAATCATATCTTCTATTTCTGGAAGATTCTTTGTGTCAAGTTCAGATGTACCGAGTTCCACAGCAAGGGCATGTCGAAGCTCTGATATGGTTAGATGCCTCTTAGCACAGGTAATCCATAATAGAACGTTTTCTGCAAGCTCACGGAAGCCTGGTTTCTGACCCATGATTCTCTCCATCGCTTGTTCATATGCTTGAGAAAGTAATTTTAGCCGTTCATCTTCATCCGATGCCAGATTGTGTCCTTGGAATTGTTTTAATGAACTCTCGACAGCCTTTGTTGTCAACTTATCGTCGAGGGAATCTAAGTAGAGTCGTGCTAGCAAAAACCTGTTTGAGGTTAGTAAGAATATGTAGTTTATGGGGAAGCGATTACCTACATGCCATCAGCAGCCTTTATCACTGCAGTTTTGATTTTGTTTTGGAGGTCTTGATTGCGTCCCACAAATGCCGGCAGCTTAGAGATATTACCATCTAGATATCTTCCCACATCCTCATCGCTGGCACGGATTTCCAGGTTTATATTACCCTTAAACCTGTCTGTAATATCACTGATGAATCTTGAAGTAGCAAAGATACTCGCCCCACTCTTAAGCTGTAGGTTAAAAATTTCAGATAAAAAACGTGATCGGGAACCGTCGGTTGCTTGACATTCGTCAAGTGCGTCGATGACAATGAAGACTCGTGAATAAGTAGCAATCACAGAATACACAGCTCTACTAACTTCATCAAATGATAATGGCGTTCTCTTATTTACATAGACGTCATAGAGAGCCCTCACACTGTCCGGTATAGATGGAGATTGCTGGACTAATTGCTTCAAAAGACTTAGGAATAAGAAATCGGCTGTTTGCCCCTCTTGGCGCTTAAAGTTGCAATAAATGTACGCGATTCCAATTGTGGCGTCGCTATAAAATATCTTATAAAGATGGTCGACCACAATCGCGGTGATAATTGTCTTCCCCGACCCAGGAATGCCTGGACAGAACAACGTCTGCTTGTTAGTTTCTAGCCAATTCTGATACTGTGCCGAATCCAGCAACCATTGGCCAGTCCCCGATTGTCGCTTCCTGATGAGGTCGTTCTGCTGTGGAGCATAGTTGGTTGGCGTGAGCCACTCCAGGATTTTCTCCTCCTCTTGACCGTGTTGATGACGGATAATCTCATCGGCCTTTCTCGCAATGCCTGAAACTCTTTCTTGGATGTCTGCCAGAACTGTAGGTTGTTAGTTATTTCAAGATCGTCGTAACCCAGCAATTCAATTATGATAGAGGATGCTACAGTGATAAGGGTAAGGACCCATTTAGTGCATCAGAAATCTGTGACTCAAAGTTGTATTTCATCATCTGCACTTCGCAATCGACTGTCACAGGAGAAATGAACTGGCGGAGAATGAGAAGTAGTTCTACATACGGCCTTCCATTTTCCCCGCCCATGGCGGCAGCCCAGCCACCTTCCGAGGCTTCAGAACATGAAGAAGCTCCCTGGCATATGCAGCAGCCGTGAGTGCTGCATATTTGTGCCACTCATCATTTTTGTGTGTATCCGAATAATCGCAGATCCCCCGGATCACCAGACAGGGGAAGTTGTTCATCAAGCCAGCGGCTTCCATCTCAAAACACAAAACGTTTAGTTCCGGATCATTGGCATAGAGGTCCCTTTCTGTGGCATTCTTCATTACCGAATTGGCAGATGCAATGGTCCCATAGTGGATCGTGACTTCACGACTGTTTTTACGCTGTGGACGCTCTGCCAATCCATCAGCTTCACATGTCACACAGTTCTTTCCACCTTTATGCGCGTAGTCAGCACGATACAATCGATCATCAGCAGGGCGTTGGTAGTCAGGCATATCATCCATCAGCCTCAAATATTCAGAGATTTTGTCTGACTTCCTAGGGTCATTGTGACGTCGTCGTATCTCAGGAATAGTTCCAAGAAGCACCTCTGGAGGAGCGTTTAGCTGGCCTGTTCGTTGAAACCGGCTGTTCGACAGCCTTTTCCCAAAATCGTATTGCACGACACCTCCAAGCTTGCCCTGGGGTACACTGACAACGACGTCACCAAGGCGGATATCTCTCTCCGGCGTCGGGGCGCCTCCTCCAATTCCCACCATCAGGGCGAACCTCAGATTGGGAAACGATCGAACTATGTCTCTGGCAACCCTAGCAGCAGAGCTTGTGCCACATCGGCCATCTGGCAAGCATCCAATGACAACATTATGTCCACCAACACAACCAAATACGTAGGTGTTGTTATCATTTATCTCGCTCGTCTCCGGGCCGTCATATTCAACATCGAGCATTCGACATCCAGCCTCATACTCTTCTTGCAAGGCACATATCCAACCGATCGTGTAATCTTCGATAGACGGTTCCGACATGGGAAATGCAGGAGCAACGCCAAAGGATGGTTCCTCTTTCGTTTTGGAAGGTATCTTTATCGCTGAAATAGTAGCAGCGTTAGAGGCTGTTGAATCAGAATCGAGTGACTAAGTCTGTGTGATCTATACGCGCACAACGTGGGACTTGAGAGTCTGATAGTGATCGGTCAGTCCTGGTCGGTTGTATGTAGTTTCTAGTAAAGCTCGATAGCTAGCAATTAATAGACCAATTGCGAAGCTCGAGAAGCAGGAAACGTAGGTATCACTAGAAAGTGGGATGTTATCGCCATTTCCAGCCAGCCTCACAAGCTAACTCGGGCGGGGTCGTCGGGCATGTTTGCAGCAGCACGGCCAATATAGAGATTTATGTAACTTCACGATACACAGACATGACCCATACCGTATGTACCCGTATGTATAAATGCAGACCACCCAAAAGAATTAGTGAGTCCGTACGACGTTATGTCTTTGCGACGTCTTTGAGAACATCCTTCGGTGAAGGTTTTACAAATAAAATATGAATGCCTCGAGGGAATGACAATACTTAAAAGCATCTCTAGTTCTAACCCCATGCAGCTAAAAAGAACTAGGCCTTCTTAAGTGTCAGCTTCCTGCAGCGTTTTTGTGTGGCGGTCTCGCGCCCATGGTCTTTCTCCCTTCCGCTCCCTTCGGTCGTTTCAGGGCATTTTGTATGGGAATTCACTCGGCGTAATAAACTCAAAAACTCAACTTGTACGCATTTTGAGCCTCGCCGAGTATTTAAAATTTAGAATCAATGCAAGAACCTGATCTTATAGTGTCTACTGTCAATATGCAATGCGAAAAATACAGCTACGTGCGAGTAGTGTACCCTCGAATTAACCATTGGCACTCATTGTTGTATGTGGATATCGTGGTCTGTTCCAGCAGAGGCGCCCACGCTTGCTCAAATGCTACATAATCGTCACTATGTACCCATTCTGCCTGTGCCTATATGGATCCCATGATTTCCGTGCGATTTTCGGAGGCAAGGGCCACATTCATCGTGTAGCCATAGCTTGGATAACATAACTATTTCAGGCCGACAAATTCGCGCAAACACACGTTCATACATGTAAAAGGAGGTGCGTTTGTACGAAAACAAGCCCGTCACTCCTGGTGGCGATTTTGGTGCTTCATTCAAGCTATCAACTATGGGGTTAACTATCACATTGCTTCGGCCACTTCCCACTCTCTCGCTGTTGTTGCTCTGCGCTGCAATTGCTGCATCGCAGCATTGTAGTGCGACCAACTTATGCGCAACTGGCTGCTGCTCTTCGTAAGAAAATTGATGGTTCTACAGGCTTGCGAATTGACCAAGTTATCTGACTACTTCCACCACAGCTCTGGCTATTGCGGTGTAGGGCCTGGTTACTGCGTGAGTATTTCTGGTCCAACTTGTTATCAGTCGAATCATCTTCGGAACGCTTTGAAAGGGTGCCGATGTGTGTATAAGCACATGTGAACATACAGCTACGGCTCAATTTAACGCCAACAATCACTGCACAGAAAGGTGTTGTTTGAGATTCGGTGTGGGTTGAACTCCATGTACTACAACAAAAACTACCAAGCGGCTTGCTGTACTACTGCAGAAGACAATATGAAGGTTTACTCAACGATACAGTGGTTAGAAAGGGCCTGCCTGCGATAAAGATAGCTGTCCATGGTCTAACGCATCTGATGGAGTGCTATTGGCGAACTCTGCTAAAGGTAGTGGTGGTGCTAAGTGCAATCTAATCGGCGCTGAAGATCCTTCACATGTTCTTTAAGGGTATGGGAATGGGGACTATACCTGCTCAGAGAGGAGGCTTTGTGCCAATACCAGCAATTCGAATTTGTCATTCGAAAAATGCGCTTGGCATTCAGATTTAGGAGAAACTCGTTCAAAAAGTAGTCCATTCTGTAGGTACAGCTACCCTGCTAGTCAAGTTCGAGCGGCCCCGCATCAATTCGATTCTTCTTGTCAGGGGAAGGGTGGTGCTCGTTCTTCCTGCTGCGAAGCTATATGTACGACAACAACACAGACTACTAACCCAGTGCTACAGCAATGGAATGGGCAGCTGGCTGGCTTTGCGGAAAACAGTACTTGCCCACTCCGTCAGTAATCAACTCAGTGGACGGGACTTCCCCGTAGCTTGTTCGTCGGGGACTCTCTCCACCTACCTCTGATGGTGGCACTAGTAGCCTTGAGCAGTTGGACTACCTATCTGTGACTCTTGCTCGTCTTTTATTGACAACTCTTATAACTGACTTGGAGGTGCATATGAATGCTATCTGGAACAATAGTCACAGCACAATTTCCGAATCTTGTCAAGTAGACCCCGAGTTCTTTTATGCAGACGTTCACACCTTTCATTGTGAACGTACATGATGAGTTAGCCGAGGAAGACGACAATCCTTTTTGCCATGGCTCCCTTTGGGATCCTGGTTATCAGCCACCATTTGTCAGGAGGGGTCTGGTGATTCATCATATTCCTCCCAGAGGCGCGCTAGCAGGACCGACAGTACTGAAGACGAGGATGTTCCGTCACGTCATTCTCACTCTTTAGACCGGCATGCTGGAGGTGAAGACAAGAAATATAACGTGTATTGCCGCGGCCAAACAACAAGTTACTGGATCACCGGGCTTATACTTAGATCCTGGCCCTATCCATCTAGGGGTGCATAGATCCCTTCAAACTCTCAATAACAAAACGCCAAAATGACCAAACGAACAAGACTAGCAACGCAAATATCACTCAATAGATATTTAAATTCGATGAGAATATCATTGCCGATATGGATACCTATGTTGCCGATCTTAATGACCCTAGCCCTGCCCTCCAGGGTATCCGAGACGTTATTACGGTTTGAGCGTACTTCAACGACCATCCTGTGCAGCAGTCGTTTGTTAAGTTCGGACATAATTTGCGAGCCCAGCTTCAAGTTACACAGCACGCAAAATCCCCAGACTCAGATTAGCTTGGCGAATGCCTGGGATGTATGGTCTCACGACACGTTAACATATCAGGCGCAGCGCTGTGAGTACTGAATCAGGACCCAGATGGCCACTATGAGCATTTGTTTCACGTAGTCACTTCCAATGGGAAACTCTTCCACTTAAAGTTTAAGGTGAACTCCTCCGGTTCGAAAGGCCACAAAGAGGAAACCACTTCTTGGACTTGTCTCGGTACTTCGAAGGGTTCATCTAAGTCCAAGTCATACTTTGCTTGTCCTGCAGTGTACAGGTCAATAAGCTCTTTCCCAATCTCCTGTATCTTCATATTGGCATCCGTGTACGACATGGACCTTGATATGAGAAAAGAACCCGCGCCAGTCGTTGCGAGAAAAAGAAAGAGCAGTTGATAGGTGTAAGTGCAGGGGTCATCAGATTCAGACCACGTTTGAAGGGCTCCCATATCAACGCACTCACTCTACGTGGCTACTACTTGGTTGCTCAAGGAATGGCGAAGACATAAGTGGACATTTCCTCGAATCATATCATCCCTGATATCAACCTGGCAGACCACCTAGTAATCGTAGATGACAGCACGCAATCCGAGGCGTCTCTAAGTAACAGGCTCGGAGCGCTTCTAGCAACAGCACAAAAAGCCCAGGATGGGATCCAAAAGTACGCGCAAATGGTATGGCTTCCTTCATAGCGATAGTAATACGGCTGACTGTATTATTAGCACAAGCAAGAAATCCTTGATCAACTCGTCGCTGTTCGTGGGGAACTTCAGAAAATGAAGGAGCTTGAAAATGGGGACTTGTTATCTGCTTCGAACGTCGTCTGAGTGCATGTTTTTTCACATGATTTCGGTACAATTTCTGACATATATGAAGTAGAATCTGGCTCGCATGAACAGAGTGCGTTTGACTGTAGCCAGTGTAAGTCCATTCCTTTTTCTTTAGTAGCATAGCCGACCATGAAGGATCTGGAAATAATCAGTAAGATCATACATGTTCAAACTGAAGCTGTACATAGTAGAGAGTCGGAAGAAGGTCGGCTGCATGCTTGACGCGACCGGGCTAATTCGGCTACCGTCCGCCAATCACAAGCAACACAATCGGATGACCGCATTCTTTCCCGAGGAACCTTAGACTTCCAGACTTCACTTCATCTTCAAGATTCACAGCATCTACCTACAGCCTAGCACGTCCACGAGTCGCTTAACGACCGACGAAATCTCGCTTGCTGGTCGTCGCTTACTCTGCCTCGAATCTGGATCCTCGCCACTCTTAAACAACCAGCAACAATGGCCGCCTTCATCCGCCCCTCCTCCGGTGCCATGATGGGAACGATCATGAGAGTCCCAGCTGTCTACTCGACCAAGTCAGCTCCGTTGGCTATGACTATTGCTCGTCAGGCGCAAATCACACAATTTCATAGTTCTGCCAAGAGGCAGATTCTTACGCCTTTGCCACGTGAGTTCTTTGAATTGAATTTGGAATTGGATATGGTATGATTTTGATGGATAGAGACTAATTGTTGAATGTAGAGACTATTAAGGGAACAAGTACGTGACTCTGCCAATAGCTTCGTCGCTTGGAAACCACTTATCGCCAGACGAACGATGTCGCAATGCACGACACAGCTAACAAGAATAAGTGAACGATGCCGCACCTGTCCCCCACAGTTCCCCCAGCCATGGCAGCTACCACTGGACCTTTGAGCGGTATGCATTCGATATATCAGTTGAGGACCTACAATCGGAGCCGTACTAACAAGCATAGCCTTATCGCCGCCGGCCTCGTCCCTCTTACCATCGCTCCCTTCATCGGCGGGKCCCTCAACCCGGTCTTGGACTCCATTCTCGCCGCCGGAATTGTCCTTCACTCTCACATTGGATTCCAGTGCGTCACTTGAAATAGTTCGACTTTGAGGAATCGCTAACAAAGCTACAGAGCCCTCATCATCGATTACTTGCCCGAATACCGAGTCCCCAAGACCCTTGCCTTGTTCAAATGGGGTCTCCGCGCCGCTACCCTGACCGTTGCCGTTGGATTGTATGAATTCGAGACGAATGATGTCGGTATCACCGAGGCGATTAAGAGGGTGTGGACCGCATAGACAAAATCAAAGTATTTGATTGACCTGTTATAACTGTTATACAACTTTTTTCCCTTTGTCGGTTTTGACTGAGAAACTATTGTACATTTTGATATAAGAGATAAGGCGTATTTCACCATTATTGAATGCATCCAATATACAGACTCTAGTAGTTCTTTGTGTATGATACAAGATCAACCCTCAAACTCATCATCATCCACCTCTTCCTCCGGCAACAAATCATCATCATCCGCCTTTAGGACCGCCTTTTGAATAACCTGCAACGTCGCCTTCAACGGCAACCCAATCACATTATCATAACTGCCCTCAATCTTATTCACCAGTATCGACCCTAAACCCTGCAACCCATACCCACCCGCTTTATCCGCTCCTTCTCTCGTCTTGACGTATGCCACAATCAGCTCGTCCGTGACACCCGAATCAAACTGGACACTGGTCTCCTCAACATGCGACTCAATCGCATAGCCCGGCATCCGCGCACTCGCTAGCGGTACCATGGCCACAATAGCCGTATAAACCATATGTCTCCCCGCATCCCTCAGATCTTTGAGCATCGCGACATGATGCGCTTCGGATCTCGGCTTCTCGAGTATTGCGCCGCCGTGCGCGCCATCAACGACGATTGTGTCTGCAGCGAGTATCAGACCTGGTTCTCCCTTTTCTGCATTGTCGACTTCCTGTCTGTAGATGATCTGTGCCTTTTTGGTGGCTGTCGCAAGCACGTAGTCGATGGGGCCCATAGTTTTGGGGAAGTCTTCTGGTTCGGTGCAGGGGATGATTTCGAGGTTGGGCAGACCCAGATAGGACATTATTTGTTTGCGGCGCGGGGATTGGGAAGCGAGGATTACGCGTTTGCTGCGGAGTTGGTGGAGGATGGGGAGGGCGAGAGGGAATGGTGGTCTAGGTTGGTTTGGGCGGGTTGTTGTTGTAGTCGTTGTTGTGGCTGTTGCATCTTCGTACGTTGGGGGATCTGGAAGTGCGCTGCCTGGTAAAGGGCCTTTTTCTGGCATGTTGAGATTGAGGATTTGGAGATAGCGGGGTGTGGTGTTGGAGTAGTGTACAGTAAGTGGTGGTATTGTAGATTCTTTGACAAAATAGGCAGTATTCGGTCGGGCGATTCGAGTGAAGACTCTATTCAGGTAGTTGATCTCAAGCTGCCTGTCGTGTGGTTGCGATGTTTTTACAGACATTAGAAATGAGGAATGACTCAAAGATATGCATAAATTATATGCTGCCTTGCACAACTGATCACGTGATGAAGATCCATGCTCGTCATAATTTCGTTTTTCCATATTCCTTTTTTTAGATATCAATTGGTAGTAAGGAGTTTCATTAGTGGTTTAGATATCATTCTAGTTTATGACATTGACGCTCGTTGGTTGGGATGTAGTGACCGGGATAGTTGTTTAGCCAGAGCCCTATTAGTGCAGCCTCCCAATTGTCGCATTTGATGATCAATCACGAGGATCAATTCTACTTAGCAGGTCTTCGGCCTTTCTTTTTCCACTTGTACTCGCTACCGAAGTGAGGACTCTCGTTGGCTGCATTCCAGTATCGGTGTCCTGCCATTCGCTAATGTTCCATTCGAAGGTTGTCGTTTCATCGTCGCTGATCCCAATACCTCGTCGACTTCTCATAATACGGCCAAGTCTGCTACCTTCAATCATTTCCTCGAACCAAGGTACACCCGCCAACGTTCCTGAATAGTAAGAAATACGAGAAGATGAGGAGGACGGTGCTGTTGGCGCCATTTCAACTGTTCGTGTGACCAGATTCGTAGGCACCGTTTCAGTAACAATCTGCTCGCTCGAATCCTCATCAGAGGGCAGTATTTGCAGATCCTCCAATAATCTCAAATCATCCCCTAGGAGACTCCCCAGAGCAACAGACATGAATTCTGCCTCGCTGTCGGGTTGATCAGTCCAAAACGTCAATGGAGTCCCGCAATAGCCGCAAAAATTGCGTTGTGTGTTAGGAGCATGCAGCGGTGTGAATGTGCGCCGAATTGTAGCATGTGTTTCGTCCGCATAGTAAGAGTGTGTTTGAGACTGAAACCATGTGAGCGGAACTCGTAGCCATGCTGTCAATGGGGCTCCTTGAGCTCGCCCTGTAATAATCAGTTAGAACTGTTGGGGCCTAAAGGATTGAAAGACTCCGAAGGATTCAAATACGATGATGAACTCACGGTGATCTTGATGGCCTGAAAAAATTACCTCGGCTTCATTAGCAGCGCCGTTGGGGATGGAGATTGCGTAGGTATTTCTGCCGCAGGAGCACCCTCCGTGCAGCAATGGTTGGGGAACTTCCATTGATTAGAGTGTGCTTCCGTTTTGTTGGTGCAGGAATGGCCTGATATTCGGGAGTTTTCGTAGAAACGACTTGCACGTGTTAATTCAAATTTCCTTGATCTCGTTCAATTAATTAAGTAGATCGACTATTGGCCAGGGTGCTAGCTTCAGGGGCTCAATCGATGGAACTGGAGGGCGAAGGAAAGACAAGATTGCATGACGGAGAAGCACCAGAATGTCAGAATTGTCGATAAGAAAAGAGTCACGGTGGACGAGAGAATGAAGACCGACAGATGACGTCGTGACATGCAATGCGCGAGCGAAGCATTACATAAGCGATGCCTTTTTCCTCAGGCAGCGATGGTTCCTTCGTTTTCGGCGCTCCACATGCACTCTGGCCATCTGGAGCTGTTTCACCTTAAACATTCCGTTCGTTGATTCGGTTTCATTCGTTGCAAATTACAAAAGGCTGCCCCAACATATTCAATAGCTTTGTCTCTAGTCTACTCCAGACTCTCTCCCTCTCCGCATTTTCGGATCTGCAGTTTAGTCGGGATTCGGGTTGACCCGCTCGCAGTACAGCGTATAGCCGACTACTAAACCTTAAGTCTCCCCCGGCGACAGACATCTACTCCGTCTCACAAGTCATCGCGTGCCCTATACAATCATCAACTTGCCAAAGCCAGTAGCTATCACCGTTTGCATTGCCTAGACTCAACGCACCCTTMCCCGCCTCATTGCGACTCCGCTTCCTCACCAACCGAAGTGCCGAACCATGTCGTCCGATACCAGCCACAACGTCGACCACAGTCGCGACTCGGTCAGCTCGAATAATGAAACGCCCGGCCTGGGTGTAGACGGGAACCAGGACAAACCGCGTTTGACAGAACAGGAAAAGAAGAACAACCACATAGCCTCAGAGCAGAAGCGTCGTGCCGCGATACGAGAAGGATTCGACAGGCTGACTGAGTTGGTGCCTGGGTTGGAAGGACAAGGTCGCAGCGAGAGTGTAGTGCTGAAGAAGACGGTTGATTTTCTCCGTTTGAAATTGCAAGAGAGGCGTGAGCTTATCGCGGAGATTGAGAGGACTGGTGGTCACGTCGAGGAGTCATATCGCACGCGTTGATCGTGGTAGATGCAGTTTTTTGTAACCCACGACTGGGTTCCGGCCAAGGATCGGGATACCTTGACGTAAGTCGAGTCGCAGTCACTGATTCAAGAATTAATTGGCGGTCGATATGCATTCTCGATAGATCAAGCGGGTGTTTGCATTGCGTAACATACCAACGAAATCTGGCCAGGGCCACGGACCCGACACCGTGTATATCATGGGCTTGTCGCCTATGTTTAGTGGCACCAGCATCGCTCAGAGTCCTTGCAGACACTTTAAAACCGCTGCCATTCACTCCTCTTGGGTCCAGGCATTCTCACACTCGGTGCGAGGCTCTCTTCTCGACGAAATCACCAAAGCACGACAACATAGCCAAAGAATGAGACGACCTCTGACCAAAATGCAGAGTCAGCGGGGACCTGTCTGAAGATATGAGGGTATGACCAGAAAGAAGCCAGGATTCACCAATCGAGTCGCTGCCATCAGGGAATCAAATACTGGCGTAATGGGCAAAGCTACGAAACAAGTTGTGACTATGTCATAGACTGTGCTGGGGCACAAGTCCTTTGTTGTCTTTTATTATTTACAATACCATTCATTTCAATACAACGCTCTTGTTCAAATTCCGCTTTGTGTTGGTATGAATGTTGTCGTTTTGCAAACAAAATCACGCCAATTTTTCATAATTTTCACTTCTGCTCAAATGGACGCCGACAAATCTTCTTGCTTTCGTGTTCACCATCTTCTATTAAATACCAAGGACTCACATGTCCAAGGTAGTCATTCCATCCTCAACCAAATCTACCAACACATCTTTTCTAGCAACTCAGCACAGAAACTTTCATCTCAAGGTACGCATGCATCTGCCATACTCGAAGAGACCTTCGAAGATCTCTTCGTCCACATCATCGAATATATTATTCTGTACTCGATTTACTATCTAATACTGACAGTTGCCATTGTATGTAGACTATCAATCTCACCATCCCAGAAACACATTCGACAACATGACTATCACCATGAAGGCATCTCTTGGAGACTTTGTGCTTCCACGTGGAGCTGGCGGTCCCCCCAAAGGCGATCCATCATCAGAGCCAGCGCTCCCATTAAAGTCGAAGGCTAAGGAGTCCGCACCCTTTATGGGGTCGCGCCATAATCCTCAATCCCGAGGCCAGAAGCGCGACTGGTACAACAAGCGTCGCAATGATACTGGGAAACATTCCCAGCGTGCGCCACAGCCCGAGAATGGCCATCGTCTAGGAGAGGACCAGCATCAGGGCTATCAGGACCAGCGTCAATACCAGCCCCTGTATTATGCGCCTGCGAACGTAGTTCTGGAGCACCCCGATTACTTCAACTACAACCCCTCAAACGACTCCCATACACCAGGTCGGATTTATTCTGATGCGTATGGCTTCGACCCTCAGCTTTTACCTATGCTACCAGCCTCATACCCAATCTTCATGTCGATTCCACCATCCCCTCCACGTATGGGCCAGCTCTTTCCATCCTCGATGACTTTGGCGGCTTTGACAGCGGAGTTCGAGAAGCATCGCGTGTGGGATGAATTGGAGGAAGTCGCTTCTATGTGGTCCCCCCCTCTGCCTTCAGTCGATCCCTTTGTCGATCCCCCCAAGTCTTGGACTAAGATGCGTCGTAGTCAAGCCGGGTATCACCATCAGCGTTCAACGCTCCGTCCTTGGGCGAATGAATTTGTGCCCGGTCGCTTGTTCCACCCAATCTTGGGCTGGTAGAGTCGATTCATTCAACTACTTCGAACACCTAGTTTGGCGGGCCTCTGGTGATAGATTCATCTCGGATTCTCTTCATCAATTGCTTAGCCTTGCTCATTCGGTTTGGTTCAAGCATGCCCTATCAATTTTCTTGTATTCACTATTTCGGGTTTACTCGGTCATTTTGTGAGATGGAAAAGCTTCGGTTCTTGTACCCTCAATTTTCTCGGAGCCATTTTGGTCTTGCTCATTCAGATTGGTTCATTATGTATAATACATTCATCAAAAACAAAAAGCTCAATTAAGAATCTCTATGTAGCATGGTAGATTCAATGCAAGTCTTTAACATAAGAGTAATGGTATCACCTGAACATAGAAATACTCGCAAAAAGTGCAAAACAAAGGAAACAATAGAAACTCAAGCAAACCCGAACTACAAAGATACTGTTGACATTCTCAATGAGAAATCGTCATATCAATCACTTCCTCCCCTCAACCTTATTCAAAATGAAAATAACCAACCAGCTAATTGGACCACCCCTGTATTTCCGCTTGGGACGAGGAGCAGCCCCTCCCGAGGCACTAACCCCTTGCTGGTAGCCCTGCTCCTGCAAACCAACATTCTGGTATTGCGAAGTGTTCTCAGCAGCAGCACTGCCAGAAGTAGGCTGTAATTCCTTATCCGCATCATAAACCGCCTTTTCTCTGAGCTGCAACGTCAACCCAGTCAACATCATAATATAAACCACAATAATCTCCTCAAGCACATCCATGACCAGGAAAACAGTCACGTTGCCCGTAAATAAATTGAAGTCTGAATCATGTTTGAAAATTGACAGGATCGAATACATAAGTCGAATGAATAGAATGGCTATGGAGATTGTAACGGCCCATAGTAGCCTGTGCTCGCCATTTTCAATCCCTTCGTAGCGGAACCATATCATGATTGTAAGGAATACGGTGGCAACCCAGGTTACGATGAAGAGCGCAATGCCGGCTTTGACTTCGCTGCTGGTGTAGCCGGCTTCGAGGCTGGAGTCGTTGGAGGTTTGGCCGACGATGGAGAGGATCATGGCGACTAGAGAGATGAGGCCGATGAGGCGGAAGATGATGGGCCAGTATGCGGTGCCAGTTTTGCGTTGGATGGAGTCATTTCTTCGAAAAGTGTTAGTTGTGATACGACCCTGGAAGGGGAAAGGGTGGAGCTTACACTCGCGATAGCCCAGCAAGCAGTCCCAAAAGCAGAGGTGACAATCCGACAGAATTGCAGACGGCGTAGGCAATGTATAGATTTATGTTGTTGGGGTTGTTGATTGTGCCCAGATAGCAGCCATTTCCGATCAATCTGGCAAGCGAGAAGAGAATGAAAAAGTACCATCCGGCTTGACGGCCAAAACCGTGACGGAAGCCCATGAAGAGAGCCATGAATAAGGCGGGAATGTAGACGATCATCTCCAGGATGGAGAGACCTTGGCGGTAGTCGACCATGTTTATGAGATGCTCTGATATGCTCAGAGAGTATTATATAGATCGAAAGGCCGTCTAATGAATGGAGGAGAGATATTTTGTTGCCGGCTGTCGTCGAAGACTTTTTCTTGTTCTTGTTGATGTTGGTTCTGACATCTTGAAGTCCAGCAGCGAGACACCAGGTATTTATGTTTGATCTTTCAACTCATCATGGCTATGTTTTCTCTGCTTCATGCACTTTTTTCATGAAGCCACTATTCCCGATTTGGTCGATATCGCGAGCTGGGCGGATCATCAACGAAGATGGTGTCAGCTCAGCCAGTCACCGAGTCGTATTCCCGGGGGTCCACTTCTACGACTGATCGTGGACGGTTGGGGCTGTAAAGAAGCCACACTGAAAAAGCTTGATGAAGATTAACGAGGGTTAAAGCTGCTGCTGTTGGCGCCGTGCCTGGCGTGGATGGCTGAGGCAGCAACGATTAGCGGCACATGATTGGTCAATGTGCGAAACTACGCACTGGTTGCCGTATTGGGTTAGCAGCTGGTCCGCCCTGCGAGTCTTGAGGGAACTTTACTTACTACGTAGTAGCTTAGGCCCCCAAATTGTTCCTTTTGTATTACTACATAATATTTACACTTCGACCCTTGAGATAGACTTTCCTCGTGCTGCCAATCCGGCAGCGAATCCTTGCCGAGACTTGACCCGCTGACGTTAGCCAATCCAATGTTCAACGTGAGAGCATCTGCTCAGCCGCACTGCTGCGGTCGATTCGGAGCGACCGTACCTACAATCTGACTGATATCTACGGCTTCATATCAGATCAAGTCCTCGCAAACATCTCTTCAACTGTATATAGGGAAAGTCAATTGCATAGACTCATCGACCTCATGGTCTACTGCGGGAAGCCTAGTAAAGGCTGCGGTGCCTGCCGCGCACGCAAAGTCAAGGTAAGAATTGAGCTGCCTAACAGTCATGATGCAAGACATAGAAAACTGCCAGGGGTTTTCCTACAATCAGGAAGATGCAGGATGCATGTGGAGGATATATAGTCTCCTGCTGCTTGGTCCCGTCTCATCTCCTCTCTCAGTTTCCAGTGCCCACTTTCATTCAGATCCCTCCTTTATAGAGCTAACCCGATTCGGATACCAGTGCGATCAAGCGACGCCTTCCTGTCAACGTTGCATTAAAGCCAACAGGACGTGCCCGGGCTATCGGGATCAGCTGTCGCTCCTCTTCCGTGACCAGAGCAGTTCGGTGGCCAAAAAGGCCAAGACAAATAAGACTAGTCCCCACTCACCGTCCGAAGTCACAACCACAACATCACCATCATCAGGCAGCTGGCAGGACCATGCAAACACACCAACAGACTATGGACTGATACCAACAAGTTCGTGGGATTCTCCGCTAGATACCTCTTACCGTGAGAGCTACGACAGCTATGACAGCTACGACCAGTTTATAGATGCCGAGAACTTCTCTCTTCTACCAGCATTTACAGATCGGAGACAACAGGCCATTTGCTACTGTCTCAACAGCTTTGTTTGGCTCAATGGCAGTCTCATCAAAGGATTTGACTATGATGCAGACATTTCGTCAACAGCCCCCATGGCTCAGAAAGCTATGATGAAGGGAATTCTGGCAGTGGGCATGGCCAATTTGTCACGAACAGGAGCTCGTTCTCAGTCCATGAAGCTCGAGGCACAGCAAGAGTATCAAAAGGCGCTGAAATTTACAAACATGGCCATCTCGCATCCTAAGCAGGCCACGGATGACGCTACACTTACTGCGATTCTGTGTATGTCGCTTTTTGAGGTGCGTTCTTTTTTCCTTCCGTTCGGTCCTGGTCTTGAGCTAATACCGATTTATCTAGATATTGACGAGTAAGAAACCTGAGAAGGTGGACTCGTTCATTCAACATACAAGAGGCGCCGTTGCATTACTCGAGATGCGCGGAGAAAAACAAATCATTCAAACTCAGTATTTGCAGATGTTTGAATTCATGCGGAGTGAAATAGTATGTGTTGTATGAGTCATATTGGAACGTGCTAACATATAGTTAGATGGTTAGCTGTATAATGAGATACTACCCCGTTCCTAAGACGCTGCTCACTATCTCCGAGAGAGTGGCCAGTCTCCCAAACATGGCCTTTTCATCTAAACTCTCACATCAAATAACTGTTCTAATATGCCGAATAAACGAACTCCGCATTGAAAACAAGGACGAAAAGAATAGCATGGATTTCGCGTCTGTCATTATAAGTCGTGCTTTTGCCCTGGATGCCGAACTGGAGACAATGATTGATACACTGCCACCTGAGTATGCGCCGGAAGTGCATACACTTGCCCCCGGACAGTATTTTGAGCATCCGACACTTCGCATCCGACTTACTCCATTGAACGGGGTATATCATAAATATCAATCATTCTTTCATTGTTCCATGCAAAACGTCTCCCGTTATGGTCGAATCTTCGCCATTGAGCTCATCCTGAATCGGCTGGAAAGAATGACTCTTCAACCGGACTTTATCCCTACAACAGAATTCAAGGAGACCTGCCATCGACTCTGCAACATCTCGCGACAACAAGCTCAAGCCATATGTGCCACAACACCGTTTCTATGCGGCTTTCTCGGCGATCAACAAAAGACCGGCAAATCGCCCTTTTTGACGAATCCGGCTGGAGGGCTAGCTTCTTTGTTTCCGTTGTGGACTGCAGTGAGCGTCGATGGGCACGGCTCTGCTACATGTCGTTGGATTGAGAAGACTTTTGAGATGATTGGGCGAGAGATGGGGATTGATCAGGCTCTTGCTTTGCGACAGATAACGTTCGTTGAGAAGGGTACGACTCTGTTTGTGGATAGATTATAGCGATGTCCTCTGGCAGGGCAGTCTCACGAAGATTACGATTTTGTTTGTTATTTTCTGAGATACAGGATTCTGTTCACTCAGCCTGGCGGTGTTGAGGCTCTGTTGAGGTATTACCATGGAACGTGCCGTGATGATCAGAGTCTATTTGTTTGAAATTATATCAATACTAGAAATCCCAGCCCGTGTAAAGGACTCAAAAAACGCCCGGCAATGCCATGAAGCCATGAAGCCAACGTATCAGTCCTAGGGACACATTTGGAAGCCTTGTGAGGGTTTCTAGAAGCCCTAGCTAGGCCGCACAGGACCCAAGGCTACGGCTACATAGCCGAGCATGATTGCCTGCTTTTAACCGCACTTTCTAGCATCAAGCCAGTAATGAACGATGAAACGATTCAAGATGCGACCACGTTTCCACTAGTATTTACTAGCATAGCCCGCACTACGTACTGGAGGTGGCCATTGAGGTGACCAGGGTGGGCCTGAGGCAGACAATGCTGCGCCGCCGGCGCAGTAAGAATAAACGCCTCTGATTGGCTGAATCGTACGACTTTAACACGATTCAGCCTTGTGAGCTTGTCTCAATCCACGGGCAATATAATATTGATTTTAGATGAGTATCACACGGACTCGCATCTGCGTGGCCATATTTTGATATCGCCCCTTTTGGAGCTATGAATTCTGGGTGAGGCGAATTTGAACGTTGTGAGGAGGAATTCATGATGGCGAAGTCATCAAAGAAGATGTATATAATGTTGGATGGTTGTAACTCTTTTGGGTGAGACGAACCCTCAGAGTCAAACAGGGACAGTTTGCAGAGTGCCAAAAGACGAACATAAATAGATAAAAGAAAAAGAAGTCAAATACCGGCCGACAGTTGTTTTCTCCTTGATTGGACTTTCCCCAGGTACCAACATTGTGCCCAGCAGGAAAGAGCTGCCTAACAAATCCACCACTATGTCTTTATTCAACAAAATCTCAACCTCATCCCTCTCCAAGACCTTATCCTTCAGGTCTCATTCCTCCTCGTCCAAATCCGAAGAGACCAGAATGGGCTCAGGACACAGTCGTCCTAGCAAACACGGCAACGCCATTTCGAGGGGATTCAGCGACAACAACAACGCCGCGAGACCACCGTATCCTGTTGACATGTACCCATCACCAGCGAAGCCACGACAGTGTGATGTTTGGAGTCCTCCTCCTTACAGCCCAACACCAGCTGCAGCACAGATACCATACAGCCCAGACTCTGTCCAGAGCCCTCCTTACCCCGTCAACAACGCCGCTCCTCTACCATCCTCGTCGACAAGTGCAAACAATCAAATTTCCGACGATTCTGAATACTCATTCCTAAAAATGTTCGACACCATCTTCCTCGTCGACGACAGCGGTAGCATGGCCGGCCGATCCTGGTGGGAAGCCGAAGAAGCCATCGCCGCCATCACTCCGATCTGCACACAATACGACCAGGACGGCATCGACATTTACTTCTTGAACCACTGCAGCACCTTGGACAAGATCGGCGGATACCCAAAAATCAAATCCCCGGGAGCAGTTCAGGAGATCTTTCGCAGTGTTGAGCCAAGGGGTATGACGCCTGTCGGTCACCGTCTACGTCAGATCCTCCTCCCGTATTTACGCCGAATCGAGAAGATGGCCGCCAACACGGATGAGTTCGGCTGTGTTCTTAATGAGGCCTTGATTGTTAAACCCCTCAATATCATCGTTATCACAGACGGAGTGTTTAGCGATGATGCAGAAAGCGTGATCCTCAAAGCAGCTCGGACTCTGGAGAACTGCGATGCGGCTCCCTGGCAGATTGGGATCCAATTCTTTCAAATTGGTACGGATATTGCCGCGCAGAAGTATCTAGAGCAATTGGATGATGAGTTGGGTAGGGCTGTCAAGACTGGTCATTTTAGAGATATTGTGGATACGGTGCCGTGGAAGGGGCAGACCGGCAGGACTCTTTCTGGAGATGGGATTTTGAAGGTTGTTCTGGGGGCTGTGAATAAGAGGTATGATCGGCAAAAGGGGCAGCATTCTTAGATTTCTTCTTTCTTTCACACCAACAGTGGTAGACAGGTTTGCTTATTACAGAGCCATTAATACATTTATTTCTATCGAAAACTATAGCCGTGTCTGATTCCTACTTGTGCAAAGCCGAATAATAATTTTTACATTACATGTAACCCAAATCGTCTTTCTCTCATCGTCTAGAAAAAGTATGGATAAGTATTCCGTCCATACCATATGGAAAACCAGCCTGTTCGATGGTAGATCATACCGTACTTCCCAACATCTGGACATTGATGTCGACTCTCACATCCGGTGAAGTGTCAAGCTCAAGACTTTTAGATAGTTCAAAGATTAAATAATCCGTCGTCCAACTGAAAATGAAGTATTGCATGGCTAAGGATATCATCTCAGCACTCACTAGGTCACATTTTTCTTCGTGCTCGGCTAGAGCATACCTTGGTCTCTCAAACTTCTTACCAAACTACAACCCTCATCATGGACTTTTCATATCCATCATCATATTACTCTTACGGCTCAAGAAGTGACTATTCCCAAGGATTCGGCCAGAGTTGTCAAGGATACAATCAGACGAATGGGCGATGTAAAGGCTGCAACAGCGCTATCGAGAAGCTACGGAACAACCTTGTGGCGCAGACGAACAACTTGAAGGAGACTGAACGTGTGCGACGATCGGTTTTGGGGGAATTGAAAAGTGTGGCCCCGGAGGTCACAATGCTATCACCATATTTCAAATCAATAACCCCGGGGACATTATCTAAGTCCCGGTATCTAATTATTTAACTGTATCCAGAATGTGTACTACCAGGTGAAGCATAACCGGAATATTGTTGCGTCCTTTTGCCTCAACATACTTTTGATCCTCATCATTCCAAGCTCGTACATAACACTAAATCATACAGTTTATCAAGGATCTGGATAAAAATGGTGGATTGCCCGTTCCCGTATCGAATACTACTTTCTGCTCTAAAGTTATAACGCATGGCTGTTCAGGTTATTACACATTGAACGAGATTCCAACTTCAAAGACCCATGAACGATGCGACTCAGGAGAAGGTCAAGCAGGATTTCAAGGCGAGAGATATCTCGGGGGACCAAAAGCTGAGCTTGGCAGGTATTGGGTTTCTAATTAGACTATGAGACATTCCAGATTTATTAACAATCAAGTGATTGTTAAGGTCTTGGGAATTTATAACACAGCATCTGTAGACTCAAGATGATTTGATTGGGAAGGAAGGCATTCTAAATCACCGGTGTAAGTCAGGGTTGCTTACTATGAAGATTACACCTATCGAACACTAGAGTCTCTCTAGCTTTTACAAATCTTGGAGCTTTTGAAAAGCAAATGATAGTCTGAACGTCACATCTGCTCCGAATCGCCTCTTGCTAACTTCAAATTCTGAACAGACTACATGTATGATATTGGAGGCATCTATGATTTTGACGGATGCGAGTGACTTTAATGAGTATTTAATGAAAGTGATGCGTCTATTAGGTTACAGTATCAGTTTTTATTCTCGTTGGTTATTACCCCAGATTCAGGGGAGTTTTGAATCGAGACGTCTGGCATTGAGGACAAGTTCACTATTTACTTCACGACTCGGGACTTGAGCTGACATCCGGAAGTTTTGCATCTAACAAAATCCGTGGCTTATCATGGCGTGGTCTTTGCATATCATAAGTTTTTTATTTCACCATTGAGAGTCTCGATGTTCTGTGTTCTCCTGGGACGTATGTGTATCGAGCATCCTATGTATGCATTCTGATCGTGGAGGTGAAGTCTGGGTATTGCTGAACAATATTTGGATCAACTCTGGTTGAAAGCAAAAGTAGTCTGCCAATTTCCTTATATCCTCTTTCTGCTGCAAATGAGAAAGGCGTACAGCCATCGTTATCGGGTATATTGACGTCAATACCGTCTGTTGCGAGCAGCAATTCGACTATAGGGACATTGTAGTTTCGAACTGCGCTGTACAGTGCGGTCCTGCCATCTAGATCCGTCGCATTGACATCGATCTCCTTTTTCTCGAGAAGCAGTCTGACTGTATTTTCAGGCCCTTTCGGTGCTGCTTTTGGGAGAGCTGATGTGCCCATAGAGCCTTCTGCATTCACGTTGACCTCGCTTCTTTCTAGGAGTAGTTTAACTATGCTTTCATGCCCATGCAACACTGCAGCGGAGAGAGCTGTTCGACCACCGCTGTTGTCCCCATTCACATCGACCTGACGTTCCTTGAGAAGCAGCTGCAATAAACTGTAATCTCCAAGTTTTGCCGCGATTGTGAGTAGCCTTTGATCAATAGACATTTGTAATATATCATCTGTATTAGCCTCTGCAAATAGTTCTTTCAGCATGGTATCATATCTCTTTCTTGCTGCATATGATATGGATGCATTCTCAGGGGTTTCAAGCATTTTGACAGCTGTTTCACTATTTCTAGGGAGTAGCATGAACACCCCAAATTGCCCCCCCGCCATCGCCTGTGACATTGTTGTTTTCAAATTATCAGAATCAACCTTGACGTGCTCAAGAAGTAGCTTGACTATATAAGCATGTCCAATCCCTGCAGCGTATGAGAGTGGTGCTTGACCTAGATCATCCTCTAAGTCAGCATTGGCCTTCTCAAGCAGTAGCTTGACTATATAAGCATTTCCATTTTCTGCGGCGTATGAAAGTGGCGTTCGACCATGATGATCTTTCAAATCAGGATTGGTCTTCGCAAGCAGCAGCTTGACTATATAAGCATACCCGATTCCTGCAGCATATGAGAGTGGTGTTCGACCTTGAGTATCCTCTAAGTCAGCATTGGCCTTCTCAAGTAGTAGCTCTACTATATCAGAATGGTCATAAATTGCAGCGTATGAAAGTGGTGTTCGACCCTGATGATCCTTCAGATCAGGATTGGCCTTCGCAAGCAGTAGCTTGACTATATAAGCATATCCATTTTCTGCGGCGTATGAAAGTGGCGTTCGACCCTGATGATCTTTTAAATCAGGATTGGCCTTCGCAAGCAGTAGCTTGACTATATCAGAATTGCCATAAATTGCAGCGTATGAGAGTGGTGTTCGACCATCTATGTCAGCTATATTCACATCGGCCTTTTCAATCAGCAGCCGAACTACGGCGAAATACCCCTTTTCTGCGGCATATGAAAGTGGTATTCGACCGGCTCGGTCCGCCAAATTGATGTCAATCTCATAATTTTCGAGAAGGACTTTGACTAGAGCATCATGTCCATATCCTGCCGCATAAGAGACTAGTGTGCGGTCACGAGGGTCAACAGTGTTGGCATTAAAGTTGTTCTTGAGCAGCAACTCAACCAGTCCACCAAATCCCCTTTCTTCTGCATATTGTAATGGTATTTCGCCATTTCTGTTCGGTGTATTGTCCGTACTGATATTGACCTCATAAGCCTCAATGAGTAGCTTGATCGTGTTATAACATCCATGTTTTACTGCCCACGATAGTGGTGACCTGTCTTTGTAATAGTTGTCGCCGAGCATATCTGGGTAAATGTCCATTGCAAATTGAAATATTATTTCATGATCAAATTCGACGAGATGGAACAGTATTCCCTTTAGCTTCAAGAATGAGAAGTTCCGCCCAAAATCAGAGCGTGTACCATCATCCTGACAGTAAAGATCGTAAAGGTCGCTGAGATGTCTGCTCGAGGGCCGTTGCGCAGCATGCGCTCGTAGGAAAGCGCGGACAACGGCTCGATTCCCCATAGCAAGAGCTGCAAAGAGTGGGGTACCATAACGCTCCTTCTCGATCTCAAGATAGGACATCACTAGAGGATGAACCTCTACTAGATTCGGAGCGTTGAGTTCGGCGAGTAGATATAATAAACTCACGTTTTGTGCGTGTCGGCGAATATGATGCTTTCCAATGACATTGTCTAGTAAAACCCATTTGGGCACGCAAAACTCTTCAAGAGACTCTCCTTGAGGAATGCCTGCCACTTGAGCGCAATCGGAATGATAGAACACGTTCTGAAGTGCATATTTCAACAATGGGAACGCTCCAATGACGGATTCACGCAGGCTTTTGGCTTGTTTGCTTGATGCTTCAGGAATTTCTGTGTTAGGCTGAATATAGCCAGAAAAATCAATATTTATATAGTTGATGCAGCAGGACTTTAGCCGCTCATGGCTCAGTCCTCGAAAATTGGTTCCAATATCGTTCCAGATGTCGGCAAATCCATTCTTTTTCAAAAGAAAATCCACGACTGACTCATGAATGAACTGAACAGTTGGATTTTTCGATCGCGTAGTCTCCGCAAGTCCTTTAGAAGAGTCGAGAATGAATCTTTTTATTACATCTTGTGTAATTTCAACAGTATCCCATTCGCAAAGCGACTCAGGTGCAACGCCGGAATGCATGGCGAAGTAGAATTGCTCGGGTGTCAGAGGTTGTCGTGCGAATAGGACCCATTGAATACAGAGAAGAAGTACATCCTTATCACTGTCGTTGCTGTCTCGTCTGAGTATATCCCGGAATAATTCATGGAGGTCGCTGGGGATATCCTGAAGTCTATTTCGAAGTCCCATGATGCGACCGCGATCATATTCTTTATTCAGTATATCAACGACCAGGACGACCCACATGAAAACGCCGGATGCTTTTTCTCGAAGAAGATCTCTGATATCTTGTGCTGCTTTGCTGTTTCCAATTTTCAATTTATCGATCACGTAGTCGGCAATATCTTGATTATGCTCCTCTTGGCCTTCGAGGACCAACCTCAATCCCCGATCGATTGAAATATGTGGGTAGTGTCTGCTGGAGAAACAAACTTGGAAATGAAGATCTTCATCAAGATTTTCTCCATACTCATCGACCTCTTGGAAGAATGATATCATGTCTCGTACTTCTTCCTCGCTGCACTCATCTAGTGCGTCGATAAAACACACTATAGAGTGACGATCGAGACTATGAATTGCCTCTCTGAATATGTACTTGAGCGTATTTATAGTGAATTGTAAGTGTTCGGCAGTGGTTCCAATTTTCATGCCGAGGGTCTCCAAACAACTGAGAAGTACATCTTGAAGTTTTGGGAATCTTTGAAGTAGTTGTAACAACAGAGATCGATACATGCCCATGGTGGACTTTTCCAGGTCTGCCCCCCGTGCGTTGAAGAAGAATGAAATGACAATTTTATCTTTCATTTTCCGCTTAGCTTCATTGTGTGCGAAGTTCATAATTGTCGATTTTCCTGTTCCGGGTTTTCCTTTGATCCAAAGAAAACCATAGTGGTCTTTATATTTGGTTGCATCAAGCCAGTTCTTGTATTCGTCTCTGCTGAGGAGCCAGCGACATGTTCTTTTGTGAGCCAGTTTGATGGTCTTCTGTCGGGCATTGAATTGGTCAAACTCTAGTGACTCCAAAAGCTTGTGTCTTTGCTCTTCCGTAAATTTGATGGTTCCACCGACTGCATGCCGGGAGGCGTTGACATCTTCCTCAGAATCAAGCGAAACAGTGACTGGTGTGTTGTGAACATGTATGTATGTAAGCAGCTCTTTAGCGCAGCCAGCAGCTACAGCAGCGGCGTAATGTTGCCATTGATCATTCTTGTGCGAGTCTGCATAGTCAGAAATGCCACGTATTACCATATAAGGAAGCTCCGTCACAAGCCCACACGCTTCCATCTCGAAACAGAGTATATCACCGATTCTGTCCCTGATTGAATCACGCTTGTGTGCGCTTTTAAGCACGCGATCTCCCGATGCTACGAGCCCGTAGTGGATATGAGGACCGCTAGGCAAGCGTGAGTTTCTTTGAATGGTCTCTGATTGATTGCTTGGTGTATATGTATCCCGACCGAGTGTGTCCCGAAAGCCTGACCTGAACAGAATATCTAAATCTGATGACGGACGCTGATAATAATTTAAAAGTTTTGGTTCCCTCTCTGTCATTTCCGTGATGAACTCAGCAATTCTGTTTTGCTTCGCGTAATGGTCGGATTTCATCAATGCCACGGCGTTTATTAGGGTTCTAGGAGGCGGGAGAAGAGATCCTTTGAGACTGAATCCATCTTCCGTATCTTTGCCCAAGTCATATTGGACCACCCCGTTATACTGCCCATCTGGCATGCTCAACACAACATCGCCAAGACGTATATCATGCCTGTCACTGGGTACACCACCCCCAATACCAACAAGCAGCCGGTCTTGAACGTGCGGAAATGTGCGCTCGAGGTCTGCCGCAACATGGGCAGCAGCGCTTTTCCCTTGAGTTCCGGGAAGGCAAGCGATAACGACGTTATGTCCATTAAGCTCGCCGAGGACGTAGGAATTCCGATCCCCCTCTTTCTCGGGTAGAGGTCGATGTTGACGATCCAGCATGAAGCGGACAGCGCTCATTTCAAAATCAAGAGCGCACACAATAGCAACCGTATAATCTGCATAGTCGCGCTGCTTGCCATTCTGGAGACGAACGGTAGGTTCAGAGTATGCGGGACGCTTGGGCGGTCTGTCTTCTCCGCTTGAAGAGCTGTAGATTCGTGGACGTTTGTGAGGCCGTGATTCCATCTTGAGAGAAATGACGATAAAAAATTTCAGTGCCTGATAGTCAGGTTGACAATCTCGTCATACCGCTAGATAGAGCGCCCATAGCAGAAGATGGTAATCAGGCTGTAAGAAGAATTGCTCAGGGCTGTGTCTATTAGCTCGCTGCAGGCGGTGTCGAGGCAGACCTTGTACATGTTCTGGCGCCTGACTGGCTGGAATATGTATGCAGCATGGCAGACAAGGCTGCGCAAACATTTTCCTCGGCCTCATCATTTTGTCGGCTTTTTTGGTTCTCTGCGTGGCAGTCTAAACATTGAAATCCTTGAGACGGCGTTAAGCTACGTGATATATTGAAGAAATGTAATTTGGTGAAGATATGTTAGGTTTGAAAGAGGTTGGTGAGGATCGACGAGGATGCGCATCGTGCATGCCTCAGGCAGAAAAGAAAGACGTTATTTGCAACAGGGAGGTGCCAAGCTGCAAGTTAAAACTGATGTCATTTGGCGACTTACTTTATAGTTTATACAGTGTCAGTATCTAAATGTACTATCAATGGATGAGAAAGAATTCCGAAGCTGGAATGATACCTACCTGCTTGTATATTCCATCACCTCGGCCGACGAGCCATTCTCTACGCTAATCAATGGATGTTTATGTAGCGGCACTCTGAAGGTTTACTGACAATCTCTTGATAATTTAACTGTCGGTTAATGGATAAAAGATTTGCTAGGCCTTTTGAATTCCTTACGTAGTCGATCGAGTCAACAGTCGTCTGGTCAAAACGCCACTCGCCATGATCACTTCACGCAAAACAGCCAACGGTCTGGCCACTCCGTGCCTTGCATTTTGTAGTTTCCAATATACACCAGCACTGTACTCGTCCGGAATTCCGTGTAAGGATACCAAAGCCAAGACACGTATCGGCCGTTACTTGGCGGATGCCGCTATCATTAGTTACACCTGGATTTCACTCGTGAGGTGTTAAATGCTGAGATATATGCTTTCAGACAGGGGTGCTTCCAAGCCTTTTCTGGTTTTCATGAAATCTGCAGCTTTTCGGACATTTGTTGCGGAGTTTTTCCAAGCAACAGGCAAACATCAAAAGATCTCTCCGAACACCAATAGACAAGTCACATCGTTTTCTTCTTGGAGTGAAGCGTGAAGATGATGCATCGTGGACAGTGGATATGCCTTGCAGCTTGCAACCAATCACAGGGCTGATTAGCCCCCTAGTCCCAAAAGAGAAGTAGGAATATCCGTTCGCGTGATCGGGGAAACGTGATTGGCTGATTGCGGCATCAAAACCCGATCAAGCTATGCTGATTGGAGCAGAACGCACCAACCGGCGCGCCGAGCTTCGCGCCGCCTATTTTGTCTCCATCTGTCTCCATCTGTCAGTCTCCATCGTCTCCAGTTTTCATCTATTCCGTCTGAAAACAGCATAATGCTATTGTCCTGAGACGTCCAAGGGCGTCTTATGATGGATGTCATACGGGAGAGGTGTCTGAGACTTGAGTCTCTTGACATTGGACTGTATCATGTTGGACACTCCGTAAACAACAACATCAACAACACAGCTTAATATGGACTGCCTCAGACAAGCGCCCACCAAACTCCACCACGCAATGCCATTAGCTGAGATGGCTTTAGTGTCGGAGTCGCCAGTGGTTCCTGCATTAGCGTCATGAGCAAATGCCCCTCTAAGCGCCCGCATTCGACAAAAATATCCAAGAGATTCGACCTCATCCGGCAGTCCCGCTCTGTCATTGGTTCTGCCACCATGTCGACTTCTCAAAGCCAATCTCCAAAAAAACCCAAAAAAGCAAAGACAGCTTCTCTCCTGCCTTGAACTTCCTTCCATCACGCACCTCCTCCCTTGCGTTCCTGCATATACCGCGCCTACTGAATCAGACTCCTAATAACGCCTCGGTTTCATCTTCTGCACCACCTGTCTGCGCTATTTCTCACCTACGAACCGCCAGGGTCTTTCCGCCTTTCCGACTGGACGACGTTGACGAGGTAGATCATGAACTCTCAGTGTTCGCGTTGGCTTTGTCACTCTCGCTCTCCACTTTGATGACTTGGTTTAATCCAATTCGACCTGGTTCAGACCCTGCCTTCATTACGACCAGAAATAGAAACATTGAAACAACGACGACAGCGACAATTCGAAACAGGCGCCTGCTGTCCAGTCTGTCGCCAGTGCCATACATATATTAACCCTGGTCTCAGCCCTCTGGTCTGACTTTAATTCTGCCTCACGATATCTTATTCCATCATCTGTCTTTTCTGTTTACAGCCACCTTTGCATTGCTTGTATTTCTAGTTGTCGTTCATTCTCTATTTCGTTCGTACAGACTTTCCTTCCATTCTCTACGTGTCAATTTCTTTTCTGATTATACGATAAAGTGTATATATACAAGACCTGTACATTCTTTTGAACACTTCCAGGCATCGCTTCCCCTCTTTGAGACGAAAAGGCAGAACGAAAGATGCTGTCTACTACATTGATCACATTTATATTGTGAGTACTGATCATCTCGGTGAAAAGACGACGTACTAACATAGTAATATCCAGACGTGCTCCATCCGATGTCAAAAAGGTCGAACTGTTAGGATCATGGGACAATTTCTCACGTTCTTACCCCATGGAGCGGGACAGACGCATGGGTTCCGGCCATTGGCGAGGCTGCCATACATTTACCGACATTGTACGAGATGGAACCTCCCCGAGTCAATCCCCCGGCCGGTCCGGGGGATTGAAGATGGGAGGTACTTATTGGTACTACGTGAGTACCGTTCTGAACTCGTCTGCATTGAGCATATCGACTAATTAAAAATCATTCATAGTATCGTTTAGATGGAGACATCGAGTTTTATAACGAGGTCGAGCCCGTGACCTCACTCTGCCCATTACTACCTGGCCAGCCCGTCAACATCCTCAATGTTCCCGTCATCCTTCCCGATACGGACTACTTGCATCGACGTGACAATAGTACAAGTTCGACCAAGTCTGAGAAGCGGACAATGGATCCCGAAGATAAATATATGAACCCCCGAACTCCGCCAAAGCCAAGGCCTGCGCTTGCACGCTTGAAGACATCTCCTCCATTCTATCAACTGACAACACCTTCGTCATCTTCGCTTAGTGTCTCGAGCTCCAATGAGGAGAGACCTGCCATGTCTCAACCGTCCAGTTCGACTCACGGCCCAATGTATCGTCTTGTCCCAAGAGTCAAGGCTGAGAGATCCTTGTCCCCTCCTCGCTCGAGAGGATTGCGGGCTGCATTGTTGAACATTGCAGGTGCTCGATCTCCCGGAGATCATGCCGAGGACCGTGGTATTAATAGACCCCTTGATGCTCATCCAGTTGATGCTTTTGCGCCATCCACTTCAGCTTCCAACCCAAGTTCAAACTATAGCTCGAGATTGACTTCTCCAATGAGCAGCCCGGTTGAACTTGACGGAAGAGAAATTGGCAGATTGCCTTTCCGTCATCCGCAGGATGAGTTTGAACAGCCTCAAGGGCCGCCTTCGATTCGGGTTCGCCGGGCTTCAAAGTCTAGCCGGGACAACACTCCTTTGGCGCTGTCGCTGGAAAGTCATTCTTCGCGAGAAACAAACAAGGCCGAAATATCTGGTTTCTCTCGTACTGCCCCACTCGAAACTCTTGAGGAAGCACTATCTCAGCAAGCTACACCAATGGCAGTGAACGAGCATACACCGGTTTTTCTCGACCTAAGAGAGAAGAGACTTCCAACACTACCAAATTCTCCATCCTCAGTTCTGGACGCGGAGTTGCGCGCTATTGAGGCTCGCTACAAGCCATTAGATATGGATCTACTCTATAGCCACTTCTCGGACGATACCTCTTTCGCTGTATCAAAGCTTTACGATTCTCCCCAGGAGCCCCCGGAAAAGAGCCGATTTTCAGAATGGAGCACTGATACAGAGCTTGTTTCTCCGGCATCCATGACATCTTCATCTACCTTTAATGCTGATCAGCTCTCTAATGCCTCGCCATTACTAGGCCATGAATACCAACACAATGCCACCACCACTTATAATGATTATACATTAGACGCACCCATTCCTACTATCGCTATCAGTGGTCCAACTACACCTGTTCTCGGAGACGAGGCAGAAGTCGTCCTATCTCCAACGGAGGTAGACTCGGACCATTCTCCACTTTTGATTTCTGCACACTCTTCCTCAGCTGCCGGCCAGTTGGGTTCTAATTACGTGCACGAACCATTTGAATTTTCTTCTTTGCAAATTGAAGATTACGACGATGCATCTTTCCATGAGCCAGACCCGAAGCGACAAGGGGCTATACTACCACTTAGTGTGGTTACCCCTTTATCTGTCGACGAATCTTCCTATCGCTTGACCAGTCCTACGCGAAAGGAGCATCAATACAGGTTGTCTGATGATTATACCTCTCAGTCAGCAGCGATGCAAGAATTGATGGACGAAATCGGCTACCTTGGAGATATGATTTCGTCCGGACTATAATGTTTGTTTTTATTTGAATTTTCATGGCATATCTGCGGAGGCTTTTCTTTATGTTCGTATATACTTTGTTGCATCACAGGCGTCGGTTAGCGTTCATGCATATTTGATTTTTACATGCAGTAATATATACGCATATCTTTGATATTTGTAGAAATAGAAAGTCATACTACTTGATTTCACTTTTCTTCACCAAAATATCCATAGCAAGCCATGCAAGATGGTGGTAATGTTGGCCTGAGGCTTCCACCATGATGTGCGGGAAGGTATTTTGTTATCGATAAACGGGCAACGACGATCAACAAACATCAACATCAACAATATTTGTCTTGAGCACTCGAACCAGGTTAAGTTTCGTCATCTCGATAGACATCTAACTGTTAAAAGCGCAATCCAAGTAATTTCTGTACATAATGCCCGACGCAATCGGGAACATCCTGCAGCCATGACACAACCCACCCCAAAAGACGCGCACAACACGCTGTCGTTACAACAACAAGAACAACCACCTGCACTTACTTCAGTCGCCGAAAAAACACTCCCATCAAAATGCAAAGATGGCTCATTACTTGCTTACTGTCCGACTATGGACTTGGTTGCACTAGCCACTGAAGACGAGCAGCTATATGTTTATAGGCTCAATGGGCAGGAAGTGCTCAGTGCTGATTTGGCGGGGGATCCGTACTTGGATGAGGTCAGAGGGGAGATTAGAGGGGTGAGATGGAAGAATGATGGTAACGATTTTCCTCTTTTCGGTGCTTGAATTCGTGGTAAGGGGCATGATACTGAATATATATTACAGGTCGCTTGTTGGCAGTTGCCGATGCAGAGAATAAACTCCGCATCATAAGCTCCTACACCGGCAAAACAGTGCACCACTTCTCGTGCTTGCCGCACGATGAAGAAGGCCATTCTTCTAGCCCCAATGAATCTATAAAAGACCCAAAAGATTTTCGAATTACGTGTATTGGCTGGGGCGTGAATTTTACAGACAGCAGAGCAGCCCAACACCATCTGCGAGACGGAAATGGACAGATATCAGTTGAAGACTTGTTAGCGCCTGATACAGACCCGATCAAGGCGGCCTTGCAGCTCAAAGCGGATTTACCGCGTGAGTTGGCGCTGCTGGATGTTGAGAGTTCATTGCCGAGGTTGAGCACGTTGCCTGGGAGTGGGAGCGAGTGAGTTGATCCTTCTTTCGATGTTTGGTATATATGCTGATTCTGTTTGGATTATAGTGAGGATCTATTCAGTAGTCGGGCTTCGCTTGATGCTATTTTTCAGTCTTTCAATAGGATGACAAGTGATGCCGTGGATGTGCTGTTTGTGGGCCTGAATGATGGCAGGGCTCATCTGCGAATTTTTGACTGTTTTGAGATTGGAAATTTTTCGGTAACGGCAAGCAAGTCACCAGCAGCGACTCACTTCGAGACATTAGCGCACTCATCACATCCAATGAGCTCGACACATGCTATCGTATTGTCTGAAAAAGCAGACGGTGCCTCCAATCCAGCTTTGAAAGTCATGTCACTGGATCTACGGTTCATAACCAAATCAGGGCGCTATTTATCGTTACTGGCGTTCAAGATCACACAGTTACAGAATCTGCTCAGATATATCAACCAGACGCAACGGCAGATTGCGCTCGAGTGGAAAAATGTATATGAGCTGCCTGCTCGGTTCATGAGGAGTATCGCCGATGAGTTGCAGGAAAAGTGCCATTGTGATTTCGTCACTGCTCTCTACCATTTGGTCGTTACGGGGAATTGTTTTCCGCCAGTGAAGGACTTTCTGGTGGATATCGTTGGTGAAAGGGTACATCTCCCTTCTTCTTTTGGTTTATTGCGTCTATCTGACATGAACAGGGTCATAAACGATGGGAAAAAACAGTGTCGACGGGGTACGAGAATGTACGCAGATTGACTCATGAATGTCTGCTGCCTGCATTACAGAGATGCGAGGTGCTTCTCAGTCGACTGATTGGTATATCAAAGTTCCATAAACTCAACCATATTCTCGGCCTCGAAACTCGAGATTTGCAAGAAGTCGTTGAGACACTTGACTGTCTTCATCTTCTGTCCCATTCGATTCTGACGAAGACAACTCACGAACTGCACCAATTCTTGGAATTCGCGAGATGGCTCCGTCACGAAATTGATATACAGACTGCTGAGCCAATGTCTCAGACTTTGGAGGAGTTGCTCGAGAAGAGTGATCTGATCGACCACGCTACGACGCTGGAGTATATAGAAGGCGCGCTTACCAAGAGTTCTCTTCGTCGGTACATTTCGTCCACTCCAGGGACTAACACGACAGCGGGTGATGCGCAAAAGAGAGTATCGGACGGAGAGAAACTCTCCTTCTACCAGGCATTCAAAAACACATTAGCTGCTGAAGAGGACGAAAAATCAAGAGAGCGCAATAACAGCAACAAGAACGAGTCGTCTCGTCCTGCCCTTCCACAGCTGAACGACCTTATTGCTCGACTCGAGTCTCAATGTGGCAAGGTCTTTGGCAAAATTGCTTTGACTCAAAGACGAAGTATTCTGCATCACTGTTTGCTGGTCCTTCACCCGGATTGTGATTCGAATGTTATTGATACAGCGATGAAATACGAGAGCCTTGACATCGAGGACGAGTATGCGATTTATGTGGCTTCGAGGTTGAGAAGTTCACCGAACACACGTAAGACCCATCCTTCGCGAAATACAACTGAATTTTACTGACCTATTATTAGTGCTCATATACAAAATTACAATACAATGCACGAATGGAGTGAGTTCCACCAAGAATATTGCAGTGGCTTCGCTGCGCCTTCCCGGAGGAGAGATCAAACAGGCCCAATTCGTAGAGGATGGGATCATTATGCTGTTGTATACAGAACAAGGTATTCTCCCAATCTCGATTTCTTTTGGTATCATTAAAGGCTAATCATTGACAGACCGGTCATACCTACTCGACTTTCCTATTTCTTCGTCAAACACAGATAACGAAGACGGATTCCGCCCAGAATACACTATCATAACAGACTCCCAGACCCTCCCAACCCCAACCGATCTCAATACATTCATATTACACATGTTCCCCGCCGCGGGCACAAAATCCAAGCCAGTCAGAATGAACGTCAATGGCCGAAAAGAGAGAAGAGCTGCTTGCATTCTCTCTGCAGATATGATGCATTACGAGATTCTAGACATTGATAGCCACGTCGAGCCAGAAGACGAGGATTAAATCGGATTCGTGAAAATAATGACGCACATCTACGAAATATTCCGCTTTGTTTGGTACGCTGGATCTGGGCCAGGCGGGGTTTCAGAGGGGTAATTCTCTGAAGAAATTTTGCATTCAAGCGCGACATACAATATGTCAATATCAACTCTAAAAATGAGAGCAAATTAAATATTCATTAACATGATATGTCGGAAAATTCCAGCCTCGTTGCGGCCAATAATATATCTTGCAGCCATCGACCTGGCGAAGATCAAGCACAGACCGGGGTAAATTACGCACCGTCAAAAAAGAAAAACAAAACAAAGCGTCAAGGGCGAAAGCAGTAGCAGATCACATGAGCAATACCTTGTAAAGATGGATGACACCGACACTTCTTAGACAACACCCAATTACTTAGACGGCTATTTCCATGCGTCCTATTAGAACGTATGTAGTTAAAAGAAGTTGGTAGATCAAAAGCGTCAAATGTACTACTAGTCAAGCCTAAAACGCAATGACCATCTTTATTTTCCCCTTGACGTCTGACGTACGTTGTGTATCGGTAAGGCTACAACAAATCTGATATCGCAGGGAGGTGCCTATCGCTTTCTCAGCCTCAGAACATCAGCCTTATGGCCCATAAATATCTTGAAGTGTGAAAACTCTCTACGAAGATAATTTCTCTTCTTCTACAACTGCTCCAAGAGGATCTTTGGCAGACAGCTCGCAAAGAAAAGTTACGACTACTGTATTGACTCACTCTCAACCATACGGTATCAGCTCGTAATAATACGCCATCTCAGGGTGCCACACACCTAAGACAGCCGTTATCCACAAAACGCCCGTCCGGCTACGTTTGTTACGATACGGTAACTATCTTTTTCCCACATCCGAACAGACATCGAACTTCCTGATCTAAACCCCCCCTCCCTTTCCCTTCTCATCAAATAAACATCAACAAAACCTCACTTGCAAAGAACCCGAAGACACGCACCACCACAACCGAAATAAGAGGACCGAACGAAGCTATTCTTTTCGTTCGTTTTTTCTCTTTTTCCTCCTTCCTTTTAATACCACCCGCTTTAGCATCAGTCCTTAAGATCCTTCGTCATTGACGTGAGGGAAGGGAAGAGAGCAATTTCGATCTTCTCGATACCAGTCCTTTTTTCTTCCCGACTTGCGCATAGTCACGAGTTTAGTCTTGTCGGACTACGAAATAGGGTCCCCGTATAGGCAATCATGAACGTCACTCAGGTGTTGGAGGGTACCCTGTCGCCTGGTATGTTTTTGTTGTTTTTGTTACTGCGATGAAATCAAACAAGCGTTCCTACCCAGTGCGTGATTACTGAGATGAGGCTAATCATATGAACAGATGCGAATACGCGTCAGGGTGCCGAGCAGCAGTTGATCCACGCTGCTGAAGTTGATTTCGTACGTTTCTCCGCCTTTTCATTTCTTTCAACCATTTGAACCCGCTTGCTAATTTTGTGTAGCCCGCCTATGTCATCACACTCTCCGAAGCCCTCGCCAACGAAGAATCTCCCAGCCACATCCGTATCGCCGCTGGTATCGCTCTCAAAAACTCCCTCACATTTAGAGATGTCACTAGGCTGCGCGAAGTCCAAGCCCGATGGGTCCAACAAGTTCCCCCTCAGACCAAAGCGCAAGTAAAAGCGCTTACGCTGCAGACATTAGGCGCTAAAGATGTTCGTGCCGGTCACTCAGCCGCCCAGGTCGTTACGTCCATCGCTACAATCGAGTTGCCCCGAAACGAATGGCCGGATTTGATGCAGGCCTTGGTGCAGAATGTGGGTAGTGGAACAGATGCGCTCAAACAGAATTCGTTGGCGACCCTGGGTTTCATCTGTGAAGAGCGGGATGCTGATATGCGTACTGCCTTGGCTGGAAGCTCTAATGCCATCTTGACCGCTGTCGTGCAGGGTGCTCGTCGCGATGAGGCGAATGCCGATGTCCGAATTGCCGCTCTGCAGGCTCTCGCGGACGCAACTGATTTTATTGGTAGTAACATGGGCAATGAGGGAGAGCGGAATTATATTATGCAGGTGGTGTGTGAGGCCACTCAGGCTGAGGATACCCGAATTCAGGCTGGTGCTTTCGGTTGTCTTAACCGTATCATGGCTAGCTACTACGATAAGATGCGTTTCTATATGGAGAAAGCTCTCTTCGGGCTTACAATTATGGGTATGCGACACGAGGAGGAAGATGTAGCGAAGCTTGCCATTGAATTCTGGTGCACCGTTTGCGAGGAGGAGATCACCATCGAGGATGATAATGCTGCGGCCCCAGACCCGTCGATGTTCCGACCCTTCTTCAACTTTGCTAGAATCGCCTGCCGTGAAGTTGTGCCCGTGTTGTTGAAGCTCATGACAAAGCAAGATGAAGATGCCACCGATGACGAGTACAATGTTTCACGCGCCGCCTACCAAGCTCTTCAACTTTATGCTCAGTGCGTACAGGGGGATATCATCCAGCCCGTTCTGACCTTTGTTGAAGAGAACATCAAGAGCGAGGACTGGCACAACCGGGATGCTGCCGTTGCTGCTTTCGGTGCAATCATGGATGGCCCCGAGATTGATGTCTTGGAGCCTCTTGTCAAGCAAGCTCTTCCGGTTCTTTTGGGTATGATGAATGACCAGTCAGTCATCGTTCGTGACTCTACTGCATTCGCCCTTGGCAAGATTTGTGAGGCTTGCCCTACGGGKGTCGATATTGATGTCCATCTTCAGCCTCTTATTGCTGCTTTGTTCGGTGGTTTGGCTAGCACCCCTAAGATTGCTGGATCTTGCTGCTGGGCTCTTATTAGTATCGCCGAGAACTTTTCACTACAGGGCGATGGCTCGACGAATCCTTTGTCGAAACATTTCGAAGAGAGCATCAAGTCTTTGCTTGCCCTCACTGAGCGGTAGGTTCAAGGTTAAATAATTATGTGTAACTTTACTGATATGTTTTAGACATGACACTGATAATCAGCTCCGCACCGCTGCATACGAAGTCGTGAACGCATGGGTTACCAACTCCGCCAATGATAGTCTTGCCATGGTTGCTAGCCTGTCTGATGTGATTCTTCAGCGCCTTGAGCAGACTGTGACTCTCCAACAACAAGTCGTTAGTGTTGAAGACCGAATCGCCTTGGAAGAGATGCAGTCTAGCTTGACTGTTGTTCTTTTGGTAAGTCTTTGACCTAGCCGTTTCATTGATAATCGTTCTAACATGTACAGGCTATTGTCCAACGTCTCGAAGGCGAGATCAAACCCCAAGCAGACCGCATCATGCACACTCTGCTCCAGGTTCTCTCCACCTTGCCTCCCAAGTCTAGTGTACCCGATATCGTCTTCGCAGCTGTTGGAGCCGTTGCTAGCGCTTTGGAAGAGGACTTCCTCAAGTACATGGAATCATTCTCGCCATTCCTCTACAAGGCTCTTCAGAACCACGAAGAACCTGGTCTGTGTGCAATTGGTGTCGGCTTGGTTGGTGATATCACCCGCGCCTTGAACGAGAAGGTGCAGCCTTTCTGCGACACTTTCATGAACCAGATGTTGAGCATTTTGGTAAGTCGGCTCTTGTGATAACGTTTTCATCAACTAACTGTTCTACAGACAAACAGCGGTCTCCGAGATACACTTAAMCCCGCCGTTCTCGTCACCTTTGGAGATATCGCACAGGCTATTGGCGTACACTTCCAGACCTATCTGTCTGTTGTTGCTCAAGTCCTTCAGCAAGCTTCTAGTGTCACCCTCGCCAGCGATGTCGATCCTGACACCGTCCAATATGTGATCTCCCTCCGTGAAGGTATCATGGACGCCTGGGGTGGTATTCTCTTGGCCTACAAGGGTACTCCTCAGATTGCTGCTCTTCAGCCCTACATTGAGCCTATCTTCCAGCTTCTTCACCTTATCTCTACAGATAGCCAGCGTAGTGAAGGTTTAATGCGTTCTACTATGGGAGTCCTTGGGTAAGTTCCATATCTTCTGATATTTGAAATCAATGCTAACGCGTTGTAGTGACATCGCCGACTCGTTCCCCAATGGCGAGTTCGCTGCCTTCTTCCGCAACGACTGGGTTACATCATTCGTTCGTGAGGTCCGCACCAATCCTCATTATAGCCAGCGCACTCTCGATACTGCTCGCTGGGCACGTGAGCAAGTCAAGCGCCAAATCAACCTTGCCACTGCCGCTGCTATGTCATGAAAAACCCTGGCCTGAACAATTAGCCAATTTTGCTCAGGTACAAGGTCAGGCAGACATGCAATTGAGCCTTACTTGATCGAGATGATCAAGTTACGCTATCAGGGTAGTTGACTCCGAGTGTGCCGGGCCGATCCAGGGCTTGTTGAACAGAATTGACGATCAGTCAGACTTATGGACGACGTGATCGCGTTGCTGTTCCTTATCGTTTCGGACTCTTCAATACATCCCATCACCGTACCCCTTCCCTATGCATCTCATCGTTTCCCCTCCCGCATCATTGTTCGCCTCCCCCCAAACCCCCTGCATCCATGATTCCCATGCCCATCATGCCTTTTAAATGCACACGGAACATCCAACATCATCCCCTCGATCTACCTAGGAGGTATTCAGTGTCTCAAATTATGAAGGCTCCTGAAACTCTCCCACCCGACCCTCGCATTATATTCCCATACTCCACTGTTTTAATTAGACTCTTAAGACTTTTCTATTATCTTATATCCCAAAATCATGTATGCCCAAGAAGTCATGTATTAACTCTTTTTATGATACACAAGAGATCATGAAAATCTCTATTGTTTGTTTTTTTTTTGCATTGCAGCTTTCTGTTATTTTATGTGGCTCCCTCCCTTTGCTCTTTTCCCGGGGAAGAACAGCAATATGTAAGAAAAGGAAATGGAAAAAGGTGTATCGTGAGCAGCTGTGTGTTGAAGTGAAGATTAGATTGACCAGAATTCTGTGGTTAACTATGTGTTGATTGTCAATGCTATCTGATGTCTCTTGTGCCGGCTTTGTAGATGATGAGAATGGGCTGTCTCGGTACACCAGTCAAGGCTCGAATCGATCTAATCATAATAAGTCAGATTTTGGACTGTAACTACTACCTAGTTATGTAGCAAGAACATCAAAACTCCTAGGATCGTTGCTATTTCCGACATGTGATTGGTCAATACCCATGCTCAGCTGTTTAGTCACGTGACTCATAGGGCACAAACCTGCAAAAACCCTAAAACCCACACCCGAAAAACAGAGAGACGCTAAGCTAAGCTAGTCCAGCGGGTTGACCCCATTACGAAGAATTCTTCGCTCCTCTGCTCAACAACCTCACGTTCTTCGTTCATCTACCACCGCGTCGCCGAATCAACGAGGTATGTACCTATCGCCTTTACCCCTGATGCCTTATTCTTCAGAACCCTCAGCTGGCTAGCCCGAGAAAGACAATCATCATCTTGAAACACAGTGATGATACGTCTTCTCTCTCAGCAAAATCGGCACGGGCTGAAGAACCCATTTTCCTCCATTGTCTCTACGAGTGTATTCGAGAGATAAATGGTGAAAAGGGCACTCTTTGCGCTCGACGGGCTTGTTCATATGAGGCTAACCCATGTGGATGTGAATGATGAGACTGAACTCTTCCCTCCTTTCCGCGTCTGCGGGACGGGGGGAAGAGGTTTCGGTTTCTATTCATTTCGCATTCCCGATTACGAATAGATACCTCATTTCCACGCTTTCCCGCCCGATTTGAGAATCTCTCTCCTTACAATACCGTCAATATGGTTCGCACTTCCGTTCTCAACGACGCTCTCAATGCCATCAACAACGCCGAGAAGGCTGGCAAGCGTCAGGTCTTGATCCGACCTTCTTCCAAGGTCATTGTCAAGTTCTTGACTGTCATGCAGAAGCACGGTAAGTTTGATCCTGTGTATCCGTGTCAAGCCAGCAAAAAGTTCGGAAAACGTGTTATCGACGCCGAAAGAAAGGGAAACATACAAATAAGGAGGAAAATTCGGGTTGATAACTAGGCAACGATCTCGATTTCAAACCCACTCTACGACGTCTGCCCTTTAAATACCCGAGATATCAAACACCCAATTCTCTTTGGCGGAGATCTTACACGTTTTCCGGACTTTTTTGTTTCTATGTGCTTGTTAACGTTTAAATTTCCGATACATTTCTGACTTTTTACTGGTTGATAGGCTACATTGGCGAGTTCGAGGAGATTGATGACCACCGCTCTGGCAAGATTGTTGTCCAGCTCACCGGACGGTTCGTATTCTTGTTGGTTTGCTTGTTGGATATAGTGCTGACGAAAGAATAGCCTCAACAAGACTGGTGTCATCTCCCCCCGCTACAACGTCCAGCTCCGTGACCTCGAGAAGTGGGTTGTCAAGCTTCTTCCTTCCCGTCAGTTCGGATACGTCGTCCTCACCACCTCTGCCGGTATCATGGACCACGAGGAGGCTCGTCGCAAGCACGTTGCTGGAAAGATCATCGGTTTCTTCTACTAGATTATCCTTCTATTTTCTAGTCGATGGAATAGACAGCAATAAAAAAGTTCATTTCGATTTTTCTATGAGAAAGGATGAATATGAGCAGGCTCTGATAAATTCTTGTATGACGGCGTCAATTTTGCTTTGGGCGAATGTTGATAATGATACCTTGCATATGTTATGATGTTACGTTTGTTGATGGGTGCCTTAATAGCCTGAAAGAAAGACAGATGGCCACTTGATTCATTCCATCCTTGCGAGTATCCTTAAGTCTTTTGACTCTGCCGTAGAGATGTCAAGCCGAGGTACGGCCAGTTTTTATCGCCCCACTAGCTTTAACATTTCGCGGCGGATATGTTTGTACATGAAGACTATTCAAGAACTGACTGTTCTTTGTAATTACTCTTTGTAACAGCGATAGACGGTATTCGGTGTTGATTTTGAAATATTCTTTCATTTCTTCTTCCGCTACTCCCTCATAGACCTACGAATACGTTCACGTTCATAGACGTAGCGATAGACATGCCTCTCGACACCATCTACCTCATCCGACATGGCGTGAGTCCACCTTCCGCCTATCCCCTTTGAACTTCTATCTAGATACTGATATGTCAAAGCACCGCATGCACTGGACAATAGACTACGCAACAGGCACCTACCACAGCACATACCCAACACCCACGGGCAACCCCGCAGATCCAACCCTCACGGCGCATGGAGTTCGACAATCGCAAGAATTGGCAAATTACTTCATCTCAGAGAACTTTCCCGGTCCAAGGCCATGGAGGATATATTCAAGCCCGTTTTATCGGTGTTTGCAGACTATAAGGCCTAGCGTTGAGGCGCTTGATGGGCGGGATTCTGGTGCTGGGAATACCAGTAATGTCTGGAGGAGGGAGAAGGGGGTTAGAATTGAGAATGGGCTTGGGTTTGTATTTCTCGCCTGGGAAAGGAGGTTACGTGTTTGTTGAGGACTGACTGGGGATAGGGAATGGTTCGGCTCGTCGACATACTTCGATCACCCACCTCCTGCCTCGGTATCGGAGCTATATCAACATTTCCCTAGCATCATACCAGACCCTTCCACCGGCCCCGAGAACATAATCCATGTCATCCCCTCATCTCGCGGAGAGACAATACCGCAATTACACAACCGTGTCGCTACAGCTCTAGCAGCTATCATCGCTGACGCAGATGCAGATATACGCGCGGATGAAGAACAAGAAACTGCGAAAGATAAGAACAGCAAACCAAGCAGTAAAGCGATCCTGATATGCTCGCATGCCGCTACATTGATTGCCATGGGTAGAGTATTGACAGGGAATATGCCCGATGATCCTAATACAGAGGATTTCCACGTCTATACGGCTGGATTGAGTACTTATGTTCGACGGGAATCAAAGCAGGATAATGAATACTATACAGAAAAGGAAGGGTTGTCGCTGATTGCGGCTGGGACGAAACTCATTCCCGAGCCGGAGGTACGAGTACCAGTTTGGAAAGACGGTAAAGKAGTTGGTGGAGGGTGGGATTGTGTTGGGAATTGTGATTGTAGTTTTTTGAGTGGAGGGGAGGAGAGAGGTTGGTAAGTTTAATTCTTTGAAGTCCTGTTTAGAGTGATGACTAACGAGGCGTTGTAGGCATTTCAGTGGTGAAGAGTCTTTTGACACGGGTTCAATGGGTGCTGCGGATGAGGCTGCTAAACTATAGACTGTACATTCTGGGATGCATAAACTAAATCAATGTACATACAAGTCGAAATCTTGATTATAGAAGCTTCTTTGGCTGCCCAGGAGTCAACCAGTAAACCTGTTTTCCAACACCCTCCTCCTCGAAATCCCGTCTGAGCTCATCCCCAAACTGCGTGAAATGACCCCAAGACTCAAAGTGCATCGGTACAAGAACATCTGCCCCAAGCTCCCGAAATAGTCGAGCACCCTGCTTCCCATCCATCGTAATCTGAAGCGAACCTCCATCTGACGTTGGGACTTGAGCTTTCCCAAAGTTCAGAATGGCGACTGTGATGTTCCATTTTGGCGGGATGGTGCGGGCAAGTTCTTCGACATAGACGGTGTCGCCGGAGATGTAGATTGCGTTTGGTCGTCCGTCTGAACTTGTGCCGAAGCCGTCGTACTCAACAATGAAGCCTGTGCATTCGCCGCCGGGGAGATGCTGGCATGGTGTACCGGTTACGCGGAATGTCTTCCCGCCGGCGACCAGGGCCACTGTCTCCCAGGGCTTGAGGCCACGGACACCAGGTCTAGGTGCAAGCTTCCTGGCACCGTCGATAGTGGTGAGTACGTGACGGCCATCGAGAAGACGACGACCAAGCTCATCTAAGTTGTCAGGATGATCTTCATGGCTGAGTAGGATTGCGTCGATGGGTGGGAGGGTCTCAAGACTTAAGGCTGGGGTATCGGTATTTTTTAGTATGGTAGCGCCGACGTCCCATTCTGTTCCGGCTGGGGAGAAGAAGGGATCTGTGAGGAGTTTGACACCGTCGATGTCGATGATGGAGGTTGCGGTGCCGATGTGGGTTATTGAGAGGGATGCTTTGGTGGATGCCATGATGAAGGATACTTAAAGAGAAATAAAAATCCAAAAGTTATATATGGTTGTGTGATGTCTTGTGGTCAATGAGATGTTTGAGGTCTGTGATCAGTATGAGGTCTTAAATCGCTATCCAGCGCATACGCTAGGCTTATATACTGTGTTTTACGCAAATTGTCTGACAAATCCAGGGAGTTTGATGACAGATTCTAAGACATGAATTATCAATCTCCTGTGCAATGCAATATTCGGGTTGAGCTTTCGAGCTTAAGCTAAGCACGATTCGTCAGATGAAGTCAAGGTTATTTCCTTTTTGGGAAGCATATTCCGCCAAGACTTGTCAGCCCCACTTACCTGTCATAGACGTCCATCTCTCCTCATCTTTGTCTTGTCAATCACAAATGTATATGCAAAGGACCTCTGGGCGAATATGGTCCGGAGCGATTGGGAATCGTGAGACTTGAGCACGCCATACATCATCGATGCCCTACACGAAGGTTCTTCGACCTCATTCTGGATCTCCAGCTGCGAGATGAAGGTCAAGAACAAATCGGTCTGTCAAACATGTAGAGCTAGGAAGTTAGGGGTACGTCCATTTCTCCAAGACTAATAAGCTCTGTTAATCCGCTAAGGTTTGACCCAGTGTGACGGCAATCGTCCAGAATGTACCCAGTGCGTTCATTCTGGGCGAGCGTGTGACGGCTATCAGACTTCGTGGACGTTCGTAGCTTCGTCGACATCCACATCTACAACAAAGCAGAGAAAAAAAGTATCAATCCATAGCTCTGGCCAAGCCCGGAAAGGTGCACAACGGCATTTATGGTCACCACTAAATCTTGCTCCTTCTCAAGCATCAATCCTTCATCGAACAAGTCAGGACGATTTCATTGCACTAGTTGTACGAAACTACGTGCCACAAGATACGGTAACAGCCATAAGCAACGAATGGATCTGCACAAAACAGCCCCGAATATGTGGTGCATGGGTTGAAGTGCTCCCCAATCTTCGCAACGGCGGTGGTACTCCCGATCTAGTTCTAAGTGCCGCAATCGAAGCATTAGCAACATCTATTACGACACAAAAGCTACATCCGAACAGCGATAATGTGGAAAGTTTTCAGAGCTACGAACTGGCGCTTCGCTCTCTACGGAAGAGCGTTGTTGTGGATGGCCGTTTTGATGCCGAGCTGCTGGCGTCGATTATGTGTTTGAGTTTGGTGGAGGTATGCCGTCCCTTTCTGACACTCTTAGATCTAGTCACTCATCAATATTGATAGCTCATGATGCCGAGTACATCTGCTGCATTGGAAGCACATTTGAAGGCTGCCGGCCAGTTGTTCCAAGCATATGGCCCGGAGGCATGCAGTGGCGGCATACTTCATACGCTATTTGCCGGGTTTCGACCACTTCTAGTTCGTTCCGTCACTCACAGCAATCATGTTCAGGTGAAGGCTAATGTATTCCAGATATTTGAAGCCTTTCAATTACGCCAACCCACATTCCTAGCCTCTACTTCATGGACTGATGTACCCTTTTCCAAATTCAGTGCATCGCCGATGCAAAGTCTTCTCAACAAAGCTGCCATCATCCCATCTCTGATGAGTCAAAGCGATTTATTATTAGATAAAGTACACCAAGCCAATTTTGGGTTCGAACTCAAAGACCTATTTAACCGCTTCGCTGATGCCCTCATCGACCTTGAGCGATGGGAAATGGACTATTGCCAGGAGGCAGATAGATGGTGCTACTGGCCTTCCAACATTGCCGTTTCACCAGCCACAGAACACTATATCTCGTACGGAAAACCCCTATGGTACACAAACGTGACCATGGCAAACGTTTACACTAATCTCTGGGCGATCCGCATCATCTGTTTCTCCGAACTTGAGCGTCTCGCTGCGCACCTCCCTTCCTGTCAAGTGACTCAAGACATACCACTGTTGAGGCCCCTAAAGCTCAAACACATCCACACATACAAGACCGCACTCGCGAAGCAAATCTGTCTCAGTATGGAGTATTTACTGCGCGATGAAATGGGCCTGTTTGGACCTGCGTCGACGTATTTCCCGCTTCAAGTGGCGTATGAAACGTTTCTAGAGGATGAAGGTACTATGCGAAAGGAAGGAGTTGCGTTTGTGCAGAGTGTTGTGTTGAGGTTGGTACAGAAGGGGTTGAGGTCGGCGCCTGTTTTGGTTTTTACGAGAAGGACTCTGAGGGTGTAGTCCTGTATAGATGCGACCATAATAAGACTTTTTACGATGATATGAATTATGAAGCTTGTGTATTTCAAGAGGATGGTATTTCAGATACGTCGCTAACAAGGAGATGCTAATGAAAGGTGGGGGGCAATTGAGAATGTACATGTATTTTGATGTGAAAATCCCAAGCAATCCAATCAAAATCGGGAGTCCAGTCATTACTGCTGAGCTGGTGGTTGCTGCTGTGGCGCCTCTACATTGGCAGCTGCATCTGCAACAGCAGGAGGCGCACCTCCTTCGTTAACTGCTGGCTCTCCCTGCGATTGCTCCTCATTCTGCGCGTTGGCTTCATCTATACGAACCTGTTCCTGTTCTCGAGCAATACGTGCCGCTTCTTCAGCTGCATTTCGTACTTCCACTTGTCGTTCTCCGAGACCCGGAATTAGACTAGCAATAAACAAAGCAAAAGCTCGTTCAATGCGTCGAAAACTTCCTTGAGCGGCAACCGTTGGTGCTCGATTCTGCTCCGGTTGATTGGTGTCAACGTTGTTGGTGCCGTTAGTGCTTTGCTGCGTTTGAGCAGGAGGCTCGCCGTGAATCAACCCCTCGAGATGGCGTTGGATCGGTTGTACTATGATACTGAACAAACGACTTGTGATGTTTGATTCGGAAAAAAGGGCAAAGATTGCAGCCACACCCACGAATAGATATCGCTCCCAAGTGTTCGAGTCGGTGAAGAGATAGCAAAAGAAGTACAGCCGCATAAAGAGCCAGAAACGTCGAAGGTTTTGTGCAAATTGGTCGTTATTGTTTCGTACTGGTCGTTGGTTTAGGACCGCCTGTCGAACGACATTGTGTAGGGCGTTGTTGGGAATCATGCCTAATTGGTCAATTTCGTTTCTAGCAGGCTGTTGCTCTGGAAAAACTAGGCTGGTCTCGGGAATATTCTGTGTTGTGGAAGGTGGCGGGGGTGTGAGAATCATCTGTTCACCAGATGGTGTTGTGATGAGATAGTATTCCGAGGCTTGATTAGTCTGAGCGCTGCTTCCGGCTGCGCTGGTATTCACTCCTGAGAAACTGCGGACGTGCTCAGATTGACGAAGCTGAAAAGCGCGAGCGTCTAGATTTTGCAAGCGTAACAGAAGTGCTTCAACCTCAATGCCTCTGGGACCTGGTGAAGGGTGGCGATAGCGAGCGTCGAGAATAGCGTATAGTTGATTGCGAACCGTTGCGATAGACTCGATAGAGGGAGCAATACCTCGATCAACTTCGAGCTCCAGTAACATAATCCAGGACGTAATCTGGGCTACCAGCAGACTTTGCGCATTCCCTTGGTTCTGGCGATAATTTACATTGGGTGCATGTGCATTAGGCACTGGTGTCGTCCCTAGTGGTGTTGTTGTGACTGCCGGATGACCATGGTTGTCGCGGCGTGGTACATTCAGATTTTGAAATCGCATGCGACTTGTGTGGGTGTTTATCAAAGCTCTGGCTCTATCGACAACCTGGTTTAGCTCTTCTGTTCTGCGCCTGTGTTGCTCTAAAGCTTGTCGCATTGTTTCAGCGTTCGACGGCTGACCAATTGGAGACGGGGTTGAAGTTTGCGTCGGATTATTGAGCCCTGAAAGAGGTGGTACTGAGGTTTGCCCTGGTGTTTGCGCGCCGGTAGCTGTTGCAGCTGTATCTGCGAAGATATTGGGATTCAGGTTGGGACTTCGGCCTGGAGGGTGTCTATAACGCAAGCCACTGTCAGGGGCTACATATATGTTGTTCGAAAGCTCGGGTCCTGGAGGTAGAACAAGATGTAACGTATGCACTGTGTTCTAAAATTCCGTTAGACGTAATTCCTGCCGCAAGAGGTCCAGCCACAACTCACCAGTGGAGGCTCCAACACACTCTCAAGGGCTGCGCTATTGTTCAAAAGAGGGCGCCCGCGATAAATGAGTCTCTGTTGTTCTGGGGTGGGATGATTAGGGGCGAGGGGCGCGATAAGGTTCTTGACATCTCCAACCGTCGTCGATAACGAGAGCTTTTCAAACGATAGGCGCTGAGTTGCTTCAAAAGAAGGCGATAATATCCTCAAAGAAATAGTTGAAGTTTCCTCCGGCGTGGGAGCCGAGCCCTCTGGCTGAGTACCATCCATTCTGCCAGGAAATGTTTGGCTAGTAGCGTATCTCAAAACTGCATACTTATCGCGGCGGTAGCTAAGCTCCTGTTTTTGATGAACAAGAAAGTAAAAAATAGAAATTAAGGACGAGGAAGGAATTGAAGGATTCACTGATGGCCAACAGCTTCGGAAGCTCTGCTTAGTCCGCAGTAAGCCGTTACATAACAATCTGGCCTCTTTGATAATTATAGCAGAATGAACAGTCACAACGGCACATCTGAGTTTTCAAGTATGGAGAAATCTCAGCACACCTTCCACACGAATTGAGGAATAGTCATATAGACTATGTGGATTACCACATGAAAATGGCTCATAGAATTCATCCGTTTTGTTGACAATAGAGTAGAGACAACTGGAGACAAAGAGCGACTCATTATGCCGGGCGGTGAGATCTGAAAGTGCCTTTCCAATGACCTCATTTTCAGACCGGTCTTCATTTTTTACCATCTGTCTTTACATCGATTTTATACGCTCTTATGACCGGTATCAACCAGACTAGGTAGCACGCCATGGCGACATGCGCAGGTCAAAATGCAGTTTGTCGAAGTTTACGCAGGGTTCGTCCTCAACGGTCGTTGAGATACACCCCGAAGCCCGCAACAAGAACCCGGCAATTCCATTCATCGAGAGCTCGTCGCGAAGGACATGAAGATAACCAAAAGAATGATAAGAACCAGTCATTTGGTTCCCGTTTGGGCCGCGCTTGGGGCGAAACAAAGATCGAATGGCATCCAATTCCCATCGGCTTGGGTATCGGCTTTCTCGGACTATGGCAGTTCTATCGGGCACGTAGGGATACAGAGCGATTGAGAGATCAGGAAATAGAAGAAGATGGGAAACCACCGCGGCGAAAGAGAATCCGTCCATCAGGACCCTGGCAGGTGCAGGTCATGTCAACGCTGCCCCTGAAAGCCCTGTCACGGCTATGGGGACGATTTAATGAACTCGACTTGCCGATGCCTTTACGTATCCCAGGTTTCAAACTATATTCGTGGATATTCGGCGTGAACCTAGATGAAGTTAAGGAGCCGGACCTACGTACTTATGCGAACCTAGCGTCATTCTTCTATCGTGAATTGAAGCCTGGTGCGCGCCCCATAGATCAGGATCCAAATGCCATTGTGTCGCCATCGGACGGAAAAATTCTGTCATTTGGCATGATTGAACGTGGTGAGGTTGAGCAGGTCAAGGGCATGACATATAGTTTGGAGGCACTACTTGGAGAGGCAAGTCCTTCACGGGCAGCAATTGAAAGCCATGGAATCAGACCTGCGGACATGGAACATGAACCTGGAAACGTGGCTATGGAGGAGGAATTCGCTACTGTGAACGGCATCTCGTACACTCTACCCCGTTTCTTGTCAGGCTCCAAGGAAAAACCAAAAAAAGAAGCAGCCATGGATGCGTCGACTGAGTCAGGTCCATCTTCAGAAGCAAAAGTCAAGGCAGACTTAGCGTTGGGTGACGGACGACCTTGGTATGCACCGAGTGCATCGAACAATGCTTTGTTTTACTGTGTGATCTATTTAGCTCCTGGTGACTACCACCGTTTCCACTCTCCAATTTCTTGGGTTGTCGAGAGCCGACGACATTTCGCTGGTGAACTCTACTCCGTGTCTCCATACCTTCAACGAACGCTCCCCGGACTCTTTGTGTTGAACGAGCGAGTCGTGCTTTTGGGTCGCTGGCGCTGGGGCTTCTTTAGTTATATACCCGTTGGGGCAACCAACGTTGGCTCTATCAAGTTAAATTTCGACGCCGAACTGCGGACGAACAGTCTTACGACAGATACTGCAGCTGACCGCGCAGCAGCCGCGGCAGCTAAGCGTGGCGAGGCATATACTGGATTCGCAGAAGCCACTTATTACAATGCCAGCCGGGCCTTGCATGGCCATCCACTGCAACGAGGTGAAGAGATGGGAGGCTTCCAGCTGGGTAGTACCATTGTACTCGTCTTTGAAGCTCCTATGGGAGTCCGCAAGAGCTTTGATGAGGGCTGGGATGGTGGTAGAGAAGGTGGTTGGACCTGGAATATCAAACAAGGCCAGAAGATTAAGGTTGGCGAGAAACTTGGTCATATCGAATTATAGCATGTGATGACGAGCTGTTCTGTTACCCCTTTGCACTTTGAGCATACCATTGCTTCCTGTACATTATTATAGAGCATTTTTCGAAGAGTTATCTGGTATATCAATAACTGAGTGGGCCGCATAATCATCCCATTGTTGGAGTTCATATGGTTAGAGGGACTGTTGTAGATCGACAAATGTGGGGAAGCTCCAGCTGGTTCGGAGGTAAACACAACTCCGCAAAAATTCCTGGGTATCGCGTGTTTACCTTCTTTACCTCTTTTCATGTTCTGTTCCTTACCCATAATGCTTCTACTACACGCCATTACAACAATCTACAACTGAAAATGCCACGCCAACCTCCACGACGCGCGCCTCCAGCTCCCGCTACACCATCGTTCGCAGAMCCCCCGCCAGTCATAGCTCGCCCGCCCGTAGTAACCACACCTGTTTTCGCAACACCCCAGGACTTCCAGCGAGATGAAGTCTTACCACCTAATATGCCTGCATGGCAAATACCGCCACCACAACAGCAACAACCGCGGAGGTTCAATCAGCCCGCACCCACTATGTCGGAGCCACTAGAGGACAGTGACATCGAGAATGATCCGGTCGACGATGATAGGGTGAGGGCGATTGATTTCGATGCATTGGATGATGACGATGGCGAAGACGATGATGAGGATCTGGACGATGAACTAGATGATGAAGATGTAGAAGGGGAGGATGACGAAAATGAAGAGATGCACGAACGACGTATGCCATCTAGCCTCTAAATTCTCTTTATGAATTGATGTAGCTGACATGTTGATTAGGAAAATCGCCATCTCCTCTACCTCCCGACCTCCGCGAAATCTCTTCTCTAGCATCATGGACCGTCTCAACACACAAACCTGGCTGCGGCGTCGCAGCCCTCCGCAACCCGTCACCACAACAATTCTGGCAATCCGACGGCCCTCAACCACACACTTTGACACTCCACTTTTTCAAAGTCGTGGCTATAGTCAAGATCCGCGTATACCTCGACTTTGATCTTGATGAAAGCTATACGCCTACTAAGATGATGTTTTTTGCGGGTATGGGAGGGAATGATCTCGTTCAGTTTGCGACGTGGGAGGATGATACGCCGGCCGGGTGGGTCAATATTCCTCTTACTGGGGTTGGGGGAAAGATTAGGAGGAGAAGGAAGAGTCGTTCTATGGGGAGTAGTAGCAGTCGACGACGGACAGGTAACGATGGGGATCTATACGACGATTCACTCGATGAAGAAGGAGAGGATGACCCAGATGACCCTTATGCGGGCAATGTCCTGAGGGCAATGGTTGTCCAAGTCCGTGTTTGCGAGAATCATCAGAATGGCAAGGATACGCATGTCCGAGGCTTTCAGGTGTTTGCGCACGATGACGATCGGCGGCGTATAGCGGCTGTAAAGGCAACGGCAGGGGCTGCGAATGCAGGACAGCAGGGACATAATCGACGCAAGTCTGTGCAGGGTGATTCCCAGGATGGATTTGGTGGTGCTGAGGATGAGGAAACTAAGGGTAAACGTCACGGTTTGGATGAGCCGGATTGGATGGGCGAGCCTGTTATTCGATAGGCTCTTTCTGAGAACTTCTACGGATTCAACGGAGGAAAAGGCGTTATCTTTATGCTCTCTTTGTATACATTTGCTAGTCTATAGTTATATACCCAGTCAATATATTTGTTATACTTTTTGCTTTCAGTGACCTTCATTATATGTATCTTTTGTAATCTCGTAGAACTTTCGTAACAGCTAAGCGTGATAACCCCGAAAATGCTAAGTATCAATCTATTGCAGCAACTTCTCCAACTCAGCAGCGACGGCATCACCGACCTCAACAGTAGTCGACTTTCCGCCGATGTCGCCAGTTCGGACACCAGCCTCAGTGACGTTTCGGACTGCTTCTTCGATGATGCGTGCCTCGGCGGGKTTGTTAAGGGAGKATTGGAGCAACATGGCCATGGACAAGATGGCAGCAACGGGGTTGACGATTCCCTTTCCAGCAATATCAGGGGCGGAGCCTTGTTCCGTCAGTACACATATGACTTTCCCATTTAAAGAGAAAAGGGGACATACCGTGAATAGGCTCATAGATACCATTAACCTTACTCTTGCCATCCGGAACACCAGTCAAACTAGCACTAGGCAACAGACCCAAAGAACCAGGAATAACACTAGCCTCATCGGAGATGATATCCCCAAATAAATTGCTCGTCACAACAATACCGTTGAGTTTGCGGGGATCCTTGACCATCAACATTGCCGCTGAGTCAATCAAGTGATGACCCAGCTTCAACTGCGGGAACTCATTGGTAATCACTTCCGTGACGACCTTGCGCCATAGACGAGATGTGGCAAGAACATTAGCCTTATCCAAACTCCACACTGGCAGGGGGGGATCATGTTGAAGCGCAAGATGAGCCGCAAGACGAGTGATGCGCTCAATCTCAGCGCGGGAGTAAGGTTCAGTGTCCATTGCGAATCCATCGCCGTTGTCTTCCTTGCGATCTCCGAAGTAGATGCCGCCCGTCAGTTCTCGGATGATGTTGAAGTCGACACCGCGGCAGACGTCGGCTTTGAGCGGGGAGATGTCGACGAGTGAAGGGGCGGCGAAGCTACAGGGTCGGAGGTTGCCGAATGTGCCCATCTCTTTGCGGAGTTTGAGGATGCCCTGTTCAGGGCGGACGGTACCGTGGCCCCATTTCTATTATATCAAATATCAATCTCTGTCTTCAACTTCATTGTAGTGTTATTTGGGAATATTGAGATACGCACAGGTCCTCCAATGGCCCCGAGGATAACCGCATCTGCGTTTTTGGCGGCTGTCAAGGCAGCATCGGTCAAGGGTTCGCCGTGAGCATCTATGGAAGCCTTTCACGAAGGACTAATCAGTAATTGAGCGGGACAGTTGGAGAAGATAAGCTTACACCACCAAGGGGATGCTCCTGGAAATTGAACTCGATATCACTACGGTGTTTCTCGATAACTCGGAGGACCTGTCAAAGCTTCATCAGTCTCTAGACAGAACTGTTGGCTTAATTGAAGTAGTAATGTACCTTCACTGCCTCTGCGGTAACCTGTCCGAGTCATCATTAGTTTCGTGGATCGTAGCTCGAGTGTGCAAATGTAGTAGATAGCTCACCTCTGGACCACAGTAGTCGCCAGCAAACACGACAATGTTGTAAGGGGCCATGGTGAGTATATCGGATATATTGAATCAGTAATATTCCAATCAAAATAGAAATTCGAGATTGAAAGGAAAAATTGAAATAATGCAGAGGCAAGAACAATCTTGACAGTTGAGGTACTTGCGGGGCTAAATATTCGTCCCCGCGGGTCCGATGCCGGAGCTGGAGATCTCCTTATCCATCATCTATGATCCATCTATCCAGGCCATATTGGAATGTGTGAACAACACTAATTGGGTCATTGACACTCTAAAGTTCTCTGTTGTCAAGTCACGGCTCAGATATAGTCATATAGTCCCAGCTGAAAAGTACATGAAATTACAGAATATCATTCTGATATTGTATGACCCGAGCCTATATAGCCACCCACCTTATAAAGCAATATTATAAGAAAAAGCAAAGACGAAAGACTGAAAGACATAGCAGCACCAGATAAAAAGACGCCAGTTCCTCCATATGACGATCAATGTACATGAAATCAACCCACCCCTCTAGACCGTATGTTCAATCCCCTCGAAATGGATTAAATCGATGAATTGTGCTATTAAAAAGTATGATAAGTTCGCTTGGCTTCAGCCCGGAGAATACCAACTCGAAAAAACTGAGCTGGTTGCCGTAAAGCTTGAAGATTTTTGCATGTATTGGCATTGTTGAGCGGTGCTCAGCTAAGATCGGAAATCTAAGCCAATTTACCCTCAGCCCGGTCGGCGCGGCGTTTGGCGAGATCGCCCTCTGCAAGCCAGTTGCTTGCCTTGACGAGCTGCACGATGTTGATGAATTGCTTGATTGCCATGATGGGAAAAGAGATACCAGTGATGATCCATGGCACAGTGCTGTCGATCTTGTTTGCACGGGCCAGTTCAAGTGCACCGGCACTCCAGGGGCTGGCAAAAAGTGTGCCCGGTGGTTGATGAGCTGGATTGCCGGGTTGAGGAGTCATGGGCTCGGTGTGAGGAGGAGGCTGCAACAGCGAAGGAGACAACTTCGGCGACGAGAACGAAAGCAAGTACAAGCCAATAAAGAAAAGCTCGTTGAGGGCGCAGAAAATGAACAACACAGTCTGTAATTGTCAGCTACATCAAGATGGCTTCATGGAAAGGTGACGTACCCTGCTGGTGTAGTATTTGTGCAAAATCCAGCTACGGCTAGAGTCAACAGCTTTGTGGCTCTTCCCGGCACCGCCCATGCTCAAGGTAGCATACATGTGCATATAGTGACTGGCAAGATCCAAGCTGATCAAACCCTGAAAAACGATCGAGTATCGGGGCCATGCGGAGGCCAGGAAAACTAGCAAACACGCAGTCGTGCAGCGATCTGTGACCATATCTAGTACACTGCCAAATGTGGTGGATTGGTGGAAAAGTCGCGCGAGGTATCCGTCCAGAGCATCCAATAGACATGAGATACTGTATAGAAATGAGCATGTTCGTGGGTGGAGGGGCATGTAGTAAAGTGAAGCTACAGCCAAAACAACTCGGGCATAGCCTGATAAGAGCCAAACAATCAGCATTCCAGAATCGCACAGGTCGGAAAAAGCTAGTATATACCGACGAGGTTCGGCCAGAATAAAAAGATATTCTCCTGTGGCCCTTTCTCGGCCCTTTTCGGTGTAGAGGTGGTATTGGCGATGCCATTTGCTGTTGTTGCTGGCTGCTCGTCAACAGCAGCCGCAGCGGCTTTTTGTCTTCGTGTTCGAACGCTCATTGTGAATGATAACCCTTCGACAATCACACCGATGAATGTTATTCGAAGAGATCGGAATTGTGTGTCTATCCGCCGTCTGGGATTGATCTGAAACCGGGAGGTGGGAACGAGCGAACGAGTTTTTGCGACGTGGAAGCTGGAAGCTGTTGCCGTTAGTTCGATTTCCATCAGGCAGAGCTTGGTGAAAGGGGGAGGAAAAATCCGGAGAAGACTCTGTCCGGACAATCGCTCGTAGTTCTGCAGCTTACATTGATCACAAGGAGGGGTAAGGCTTTTCACACCGAGAAGAGTGATGAGAGCAATGATCCGATGCAAATGCTAGGCTGCCAAAAAGTAAAGTCGAAAGTAAATGGGACGCGGAAGCAGGAAACGCGACGGCGAAATGAAGAAGACGGAGAGTTGCAAAGGAATGACAAGAATTAACGAGAGCGTAAGAACCAAGCGGGCGATATGGTGGTATGCACGACACTGGATCAATGATAAGGATTAGGATTAGAGACAGATGAGAGATAAGTTAGTGCTCCCTTAGCAGACAAAGATGATGCTGAGAAAGTCACCAGCTTATCTGACTTCCGGCCGTTCCCTGGCCCCGTTGGGTTTAGCAGCTTCCTTAGTTCAGGGTGGGTACCTCAGGCTCCAAGGCGCATCCAGTCACAACAACTGGATGATAAGGATGCAACTTATAGTATGTACTAAGTATGCAAGTATTTTGACGCTGATCACGACTTTATATTTTGCATTGACTATGTAGGCCTTGTACAATCGCTATTCTGAGCGTATGAAACATAAAAAAAATATGTATGCACAATGATCGCGAAGGTATTACATCTGTTGTATGTACAGAAAAAAATGCAAATGTTGAGCATGCAGACTGTATGCATGCCCTACAACTCAACTCTATGTACGTGATCGTCGCGGGTCTGTGGCTTCTTGTCTTCGGAAATCGCGAGCTTCCTTGGTGCCCATACTGCCTAATCCACCTTCAAGCCTGCGTTCCCACCCACCAAGACGTACTACCAGACAAGTAGCGTTGTCGGCATCCTTGCTGATCTCAGTCGCAAAATTCACCACATCACGGGCGCCTTGTTCAGGGGTGCGAGCCTCTTTGATGATATCCACGATTTCCTGGTCATGGAGCGTCCCACTAATACCATCCGACATGAGAACAAGAAATGAGAACTCGGCTGGAGCCATTTCAATGCGACGGATTTCTGGTTCCGCTGATACACCAATTCGTTTCGAATGAATATCGCCGAAGGCTCGCGTGTTAGCAAGTCCACTTACCCGCTCCTCTCCAAAGGAATCAGTAACAAATGTGGCTGCATACCGTCGAAGGCGATTAGCCTCGATTGGAGAGGACGGGTGGTGGTCTGTAGTCGCGGGAATCGCGGCACCAGTGCTAGTGTCACAGAGTAGAACCCTGGTATCACCGACATGCGACACCAACAGCGACGAAGGTGTTGCCGGGTTCCAGAAAGGTGTCGGGGTGGGGGTCGATATCATAGCCACACTGCAAGTACTTCCTCCTGGAAATCGTTTCGGTCCACCAATATATTCCCGGCGAGATTGGCTTGGGCTATAAAGTATATCATCGTTGTTTAATGGTTGGTCCGACCGGACCGGATCGTCGTCTTTCTTTGCCGCTTGAGCAGACACAAAATCGAGGTCAGCTTTCAAAAAGGCATATTCCATCACTTCTTCCATCGAGACTCCGTCAATCGAGGCTTGTCTGCTTTGGTTCGATCCGAGTGTCTGTGAAAGGTCCCTCGGAGCAGACTCTCTTCCGATACACGAGAAGTAGGCTGGTTTGAAGCGTCTAAAATAACCCCCGACTAGACTTTTCCAGCCCTCCACTAATTCCGTCTCAAGCTTTTCTATCTTTTGGATATTCGCACTCTGAATAATGGGTAAGTCGGCTCGATGCAGTCCGTGCTGACCGGCTTCTTGTCTCCCACGCCTTTCACGTTTCCTCTCTATAGAACTATCCTTATCCTTCAAGCTAGATTGGATCTCAAATTCTGCAGCACTGTCCTGTATGTACTCGTGTAGACGATCACGTAGAAAGTCGCTACATTCCGAACCCCCGTGGCCATCAAATACACCAAAGTAAAAGACCTGTGGATCTCCACTTGCGCTGTCAGCTCCGGAAGTGACCGCGGTGGACTCGGCGCCCGATGCTCGACGGATAGTCAATGATAGAGGTGACCGCTTCGCAAATGAAGGTACCTCAATCACACCCGCTTGATACGTGTCCTCATTGTGCTTTCGGGATCCGCGAGAAACGGACGCCCCAAAGTGATGTTTCGCACTGCGCAGAGGTATTCGTACTACGGTGGTGTCGCGAGTGAGACCAATGGGTGTCTGTATAGACGCCGGAGACAATCGACTGCTCTCGCTGGTGTGCGGTGTTGACGCAGAGCGAGGGAGCTTATGAAACGACGGCGGTCCTTGGGAATCAGGATGCAGCGAAGACGACGGTAGATGCGTGACAAAGTAATCGTGAAAGTATCGCTGATTCGCTTGATCGCGACATCTTGAATTATAGAGTATGTTCTGTAGGCTATTCCGGTGTGCGGAAACAGCGATAAAATCTGGTTCTGTGTGAGATTCGACTTGGATGAACGGTTTGTCCGTTGAGGGGTCAACCCACTATGACTTTCGGCCAGCGCCCAGATATGGACAGCCACCGGCCTGGATCGCGCCTGAATCATAGGTTGATAGCATCAGGTAGCATTTGAAACGTGAGCATTGCAAATAAAGGGTACGAGGTGTTGTTAAAGTGACTGGGAGGAAAGGCGCCAGTGTTGAGGAGGGAGAGAGAAGGAAGAAGGGTGAGGCCAAGCGTTCCTTCCCCGGTTTTGATGATGTCGTCAATGGCCCACTTTACTGCTCAGGTACCTCTTCTACTTCTACCACAACTTCATTCTCAGTTCTTCCTCTCTTCTTTTCTCTCAGTGCCATTACTGTTATTATGTATCATGAGTATTCTACTCCCGAAGAAAAGCCTACTGCAATTCATTGATCTCATAGTTGGAGATGATTCAAATCATAGTATTCCGTCTCACATCTCTGATCCTTTGTTGAAAGTCTGATACAGCTTCTTGAACTCGGAATTTTTTGAAAGCAACACGTCTGGCTCATCTACCTCCAGAAGTTTCGCATGCTGTAAAAGCACAACCCGGTCGAATTGGCGGATATACCGGAATCGATGAATGGCCGCTATTATGGTCTGCTCGGAGAATTCTTGCTCTATAATGGACTGCATTGTAGTTTCCGTATCCCAGTCGACACTTTTGAGCTGTCAGCATCTATACAAATTACAACACAAAAATTGGAGGAAGTCATACCTGCTGGTCGCTTCATCCAAAACTAAAATCGGAGCCTTGACAACAAGTGCCCGGGCCAGCGAAAGCAATTGTCTTTGCCCCACGGACCAGTCTGCGTCGGAGAAAGTCATATTGAGACTACCCTTTGCACTGATTTGGCTCCAGAGCCCGACCTTCTCAAGCGCGGCGATCAAACGTTTTTCAGATACCCGCTGGTGAGGATCAAGATTGAATTTCAAAGTCCCCGGCAGAAACAATGGTTCTTGGGAGATGACATTGATTGCCGAGTGGATGGCCTTCTTTTCTAATCTATAAACGTCTTGGCCATCGATTGTTATATGGCCGGAGTGAACTTCTAGCATTTGAGACATTGCCATTAGTAAAGATGATTTGCCGCTTCCGGAGACGCCGCAGATTGCTATCTTTTCTCCCGGGCTAATTGTCAGGGAAATATTCCTAATAATAGGGTTCGTGGCAAGACTGAGATGGAGTGATTAGATATAGACTCGAAATCGAAGGTGAATATGGGGAGGATACGCACTCATAACCAGCGGTGATATTGTGAAAGTTCACTGCGCCCCGCGAAGGCCAGTCAGGTGGTGGAGGAGAAGACACACTACGTCTCGAGGGAGTATCTTCAATAAAGCGTTGGATGCGTGAGACAGCACCAATGGAAGTTTCGGTCATGGTCCACATCTTGATAGTCTGAGTCAGGTTTTGATTGAGTGTCAGGAGGAGCGTCAGAGCAACACCAATTGACGCCGTATTGAATCGATCCTTTGAAGAGGTGACTATCGTGATTAGCAGGACTCCTAGCATCCCTACTACCAAATCCAGAACAAGTGTTAGCCATTGTTGTATGCAAAACAGCATATACATCGGCCGTTGAGATTGGTTCAAAAGAGTTTGGCTTATACTGCTGAAGTGCCCTTCCCAACCAAACGCCCGGATGCTTGAGATACCGCGAATCGTTTCAAGGAAATGGGCGTAGAGCGGTGCCTTGGCTTCAATGTCGAGCAGTCGGACTTGCCGGGAGGTACGTAGGTAATATGACTGGAGGATGTATAGAATTATCCCGAGTAGTGGAATTGAGGCTCCCAGAAACTTTCCCAAGGCACTGATGATGACCGTGTTTATGAAGACAAGCAGGAGACTCATGACAAAATTGACGGCATACATGGGAAGCATTATGTCCACTAGCTCTAAATCCTGGCTGAACCTATTGATCATTGATCCGGTATCTATGCCTTGGAAGAAACTGACTGGTGCCCTACACAGTCTTAGCGCAAGCTTTTTGGGGAGAGAGAAAATAACATACCTTAATGTGGTCTTGAGGAGATCTGAATGCAAATTTAGGGATGTGTTATTGAGCATTCGTATGAAGAGCACCCTACAGACTCATATCAGTCGCCAGGCTCCATCGATCTGCCCAAGATGAATACTAACCAACAMCCCGCCACAATCGCCAGAAATGTCACCCCAAAGAACATGGCTTACACACCCAGATACCTTCCCAGTTGTTGATTTGAATTTTTCTGGTTTGCCTCTACCCACCACTGCATCCATAGTGCTAGAAGAGGGGGTAAGCTTTTACATCAAGTTCTGGGCTCGAGGTTGACTTACTCTGGAAACTTGTGCAGAAACACTCGATTGTTGCGGATGCTAGAAAGAAGAACAGGAGCGTGTATCCTGCGCTTTGGAAGTAGTATTTGTACACGGACCAGGAACCTTGTTGTCGACTCTGGTCCTCTTTTCGAGTTATGGTTAATTGTTCGTTATCAGTATGAGCCTCTTCTTGTTTCAATGATAATGGAAGCTCTGAATTGTCACTCAGCTGAGGACTATCATTTCTAATAGTCTGAAATCTCGAGGAAATCTCTGGCTTTTGAGTGATGATTTCGTCGTATGACCCTTTAGCCGTGACTTCTCCTTGATCCAAGACGATAACCTCATCTACAAAAGGAAGCAACTGATCTATAATGTCTGATTAGATGTCCATATACAGTCTCCATGGGTCAGATACTTACATGTAGTCGTAGAAAGAATCACCGATATTCCAGCCTTTTTGAAATAGCTCTGGTCGCTAAAAAGCCGATCTAAGATTAAAGAGACATTTTTCGAGTCCAGTCCGCTTAAGCAATCATCTAAAAGCACGACACCGAGCTTGGAATAAACTGCACGAGCAAGTGCCTAGCCTTACATCAGCACATAAAAATCAACCGTACAATGACCAAGAAACTTACAACACGTTGCTTCTGTCCTCCACTAAGTGAAGAGCCATCACTTCCTGCCATGCGCAAATCACCTCCTGACATAGTCTTGAAATCCTCTTCGAGACCGCAGGCTGAAATTGTGAAATTGTACCAAGTCTGATCGAATCTCGAGGCGCCGATAATATTGTTCCGGATTGTATCGTTCTGTATCCAGGGAATCTGGGGACAGTATGCAGCTGTGAGAAAGGAGGTTGATACTGAGCCTCCGATCACCATGTTTCTATTGATCATACTTTCGAGTAACGTGGATTTTCCGCAGCCGACAGGCCCAATGATCATAGTAATTCCTCTGCGAATATTGAGACTCAAGTTTTGAAGTATGGGTTCTTTCTCTGGAGACCATGATATCATTACATTATCGAACGAAATTAAGGGTGTATCAGGTAATTTTTCGCATGGTTGTGCCTCATTGTTTGCTTGTATGATCTCCGCAGACGCGCGGTTCGATGAACTTTCCGAACAATATTTCTCAATCCGACCAAAACATGCCACAGCCTGCAACAAAGCAGGCATAGCCTGACAAAATGTGAGAAGCGGACTAGTAAGAATCGATATCAAAGCCAAAGTTGTGAACGCCGTGACCGAAAGTATCGCGCTATTGTGTCTCACAGCAGCTATGATGGCGTAGATTGTGATTGTGGCAAAAGGAGCAAAGGTTGCAGGGATATTAGCTATATTCACGTTCAGTTTCTCATATCATAGTATAAGATCTGTGAATTTCTTACATAGAACTATTTGCCATATAAGCAATTTTCGGAATCGAGATGAAGTTTGGATTTCAATTTCTCGCAATTGTGATATCAGTTTGTATAATGTATCGCCGAGTCCAAGCATTTGCACCGTCTTTATTTTGCCCAGCATGCTTGAGGTTACTGCTAATCGTTCCTGTACACGCTCAATCCATTGCTTTTGGGCTTGTCCGGATTTGGTTGACACTGGTATCATTGCTAACACAGCTCCTGGGCACATAGTTAGCTGGTGGAAGTAGATTATTTGACCCAGGGTCGAGTTACCTATTGAGATGACAAGCGGAACAATACAAGAAATCCAAATTTCGCGCTCCAATAACCAAATTGCGACTCCAACTTCCAAGATCGAGGCCCATATTTCATGAATGTTCCTCAGATTTGACACAATTCGTTCAACATCTGTGCCTATTAATGTGATTGCTTCCGAGTCCCCGAGTGCAGGCGTAGTCATGCCAATTGTTTGTTGGTATACCATTAATATCAAACCAGCTCGTATCTGGGTAAGCATTCGGACTGTTTGGCGCCAGTATACGGCTTTGGAGACCTTTGAATATGTCAGTTTGAAAAGCATCCTGCGATTGATTTGATGAATATACGTACAGCTAAGCCTACATACACCACGATATACGCACCAATGAGTGCCTGTCCAGTCAACCTCGATTCTGGCGTTGATGGACTTCCCAGGTAGTTTATGGTAGCCGTGATGAGGAAAGGCTGCGCAAAATTAAACACGCTCAAAGCAAGACGCAGGAGCACAGCTGATAGGAAACCCCATCGATATGCATAGAACGTGGCTTTAATTAAGTGATGGCTTGAGGTGTCGTTTGACTGCTGAGATTTCCAGGCTACCTGTAGCTTTTCACTACATTCTTGTCCTTGGAGATGTGTGTCGATCTCGTTAATGTCTTCAATTCGGAGTACTTTGGAATAACCTTTTTGCAAGAAAGGGAGGAGCCATATGAAAAAGCTTCGGTTCAAGAAACCACAAGTTTGCTCTTCAGGGGTGTTCTGGTATTCCAGCTTTAAGATCTTGGTTTTGGGAATTGATTCCACGATAAGAGCGAGCACTGTTATAATGAAAATTGCGAGCCAGAGATATCGACACGCGTTGTCTGATGCTGTTGGAAGCAACCAAAGGGACCGCAATCGAGGTAAGGCACAAAGGCTAGATACCATAAAGAAGAGTGCAAGAAGATCTGATGGTCTCAAGGAACGCTGGTCTTCTAGAACTGAGACGCATGCTGCGGCAAATGTTGCGACAATATTCAGCACTGCTGCCGCCAACGAAGCATGGGTCTGAAGGGCTGATGCTTGGATTTGGAATACGGTAAACACAAGATGAAGCACAAATAGAACTGCAATTACGGACTTCTTGATGTTAGTTTGAGAGAGGGCAGACTTCTAATAGAGGTACATACCAATTTCGAAATAGCAAGTTTGTAGGAATCTACTTTGACAGACCGATTCCACAAGGAATAAAGCCATGTCAGAACGGCCAATAGGAAGACAGAAGGTGGAAGACACCCGAAGCAGATGTCTTCAAACAGCAGCGTAAAATCAAACGGACGGCAAGAGATATCGGTTCGCGGCCCAAATTGGTTGTCAGCCCCGAATGGGCACACAGATGATGTACGAGCAGCCATGTATTTTGAGAATTTGTAGATGACTATAGGTTCGAGACGTTTGGATATGGACATGGACATGGATATTTATATAATGCAGTGTTCAAGATAAGTCTAATACTGTTTTGGGGTTGCCTAAGCACATGCATAAATTCGCAATCAGGGCTTTGTTTGCCGGCGTTCGGAGTTAGCCCTAATATTTCCCATACGGTAAAATTTGCTCTCCAACCCCGGAAATTGCATAAAGAGCCTAAGATTGATAAGTCTAACTAAGGCCTGGCGCTCATTGTTCATAATGTATTGTTTTCTAGTTGTTAATATTTGTGTGTTTTATTGGAAGAGATGACCACCGTTCCTCTTTGCTATTTGATTATTGGCAATGCTTCTACTGCTTTGCAATTCTTTGATATTTATTTTCTTTTTGTGGCTCGTTTGCTATCTAATGCTCATTTACATATGCTGTTTGCTAATCAATCGGCACATAGCTCAGCTTGAACTTCGAATGCAAATCTCATACCGTAAACAATTCCTTTCTTTCCCAAAATAACTTCGCTTTTTCTCCAATCCTCGAAGCACAACCTCCTGAAGGAAATATGTCAAATGAGACCACACCATAACACAAGAGCCCACGAAAGTATTGTCAATCTAAGATGGGAAACTGCTCACCCAGAGTACCGAAATCGAAAAATCGAGAATCTCAAGAGGAACTTCCGGAAATGTGTTTTTGAGTGGTCTTTTCACCAGGAACTCCAGTGAAGACTTTCGCACTGCAGACAATCCGCATGCGGATTGGCTCACAGTTGACAAATCCGAGTCGTATGTATGGTGTAACCGACATACCAACCCTAGCACGAAGTAGATTGGCGTTCAGCGAAGGGTCGAGATTCACCATGACCGTAGGATCGTATGTCTCATTCAATTCAGGGAAGTGGACGCGGACATCATAGGGGTAGGAATAAAGGTCGATACCAATCCTCTGCGCTTCTGTGACGATGTCTTTAAGCGATTCGTGCATGCTGTTGTTGTCTTCCATGGATGTCACCAGAGGCTTCAACATCTCAAGCAGCTCGGCGACGTAATTCTCCCGGTTGATAGAGCAGAATTCGGCAAAATTCGGCTTTTGTCGTGCGATGGCCATCTGGTCGGCGACTTTTTCAAGAAGGCAATGTCTGGCACTATTGGGGATCTCTATCGCGGCTCAATATGTTAGTGTACGTCATTCTAAACAGGAAAGTAAGTGAATGAAATGTACCCATTGTCATTTTTCTTTTCGCGATAAAAATTTCGCTGTCAATATTGGGACTAAGGTTCTTGATGATTTCGGTGTATTTGAGCACCTTCTTGCTCAGATAAAAATTGATCACCTTGGCGACACACATGGGCTTGGTTATCGCATGATTGAGGTACCGAACAGCGACGGCTGTCTTAGGATCGAGCATCATGTACTCTTTCAATGGTGCTGGAATGTCCTTAGGGTGCAACTCATTTTTGATGACATAAATTCTGCCGAATGTATCGATCTTTGCCCACAGAGAGCGAAAGCGTCCACCGAAATCTGTTGTCTTGGCCTCAAACTCGATGCCTGAATATGCGGTGTCCCCATATGCATCTGAGTTGCTCGCTGGTGTATTGAAAGCCGCCTGGTGCATAGTACTTTGAGGATGCATGTGCATTTGGTTTGGGCCCCCAACTGAGGGTCTAGGATTGAAAAGCCCCTGCAAACGTACGCCTGCAGTGGTGCCATTCAACTCGAACTGAGTGCCCATGGGAGGGACTGTCGGCTCAACGGGATATGGCATTTGGTATTGCATTCGTGGCGCTAGACCAATTGCATAGCCATGGGGTGGATAATACTGAGTGCTGTCGCTGTTGCCAGCAACGAATTGTTGTGGTCCACCAAGTGATAGTGATTGTATAGGGCCAACCAGCGACTGAGCATTCTGTGGAGACCAAGGTCGTGCGGTGGCAGATAGAGATGATGAAGTCTCTTCCATACGACGTTGGCGTAAGGACCTTGGATCTTGAATTGTTCGAGATTGTGTTCTAATGGTAATGTCCTGTTTCTCAATATGCGCATTTAGCCTGCGGATTTGAGCTTGAAGATTTCTGATCTCGTCATCTCGTGACTTGAGTTCCTTGTCGCGTGCTCTGATCTCGTTGTCTCGCACTTTGATCTGACCGTCTCGCAACTTGATCTGATTATCTCGCTGCTTGATCTCATCTTGGGCAGTCGCCAGGTCATGTTCAGTGGAAGCTAGACTCTCCTGAGCAGAGTCAAGGTCCTCCTGAGCAGAAGCTAGATCTTGCTGCAGAGACATCCTGAGACGCTCAGAATCTGATAGGAGACGTCGTAAATTGTGAGGGCCTGGAAGAGGTGCGAAAGGATCTCGACCTGGGGTGTGGCTTGGATTGAATAGAAAGCTTCTTTGGGGAGTCGTGGGCCCAGTCAGAGTCTGAGACCCTCCACCGTTTGCCATGGGTCCGGACCTCTGGCCGTGATTTTCTCTGAAAGGGTCTGTCATAATCACTTTGATTCGTGAACAAGAGACAATATGATCTATGAATAAACAATATGAAGGATTAGTCTCATGCTCCTAAATAGTCATAAACAAGCATTCTATGTTGAAGATCATGACTTACTGCAAGCTTCAGTCAGGCAGCACCATGTGTCAGTCTATCCCACAAGCCCAAAAACGAGCCTAAAATAAGGAATAATCCTGCGGAGCAAGGTCTTTAACGCGTCAAATGATTGGGTGAAACCAATTTCAAAGATGATTTGAAGGTTGAGATGGAAGCTGATGAATCTTGAAGGACTTAGAACTTGGATAAGTGCAGAAACAGAAAGACTCTGACATGCCAAAGATATGACAAAAGAAGATTTTCCACAGTGTGATTGCACAAGTTTGACATAAACCTCTCTAACTTAGCGTGATACCTAAAAGGGAAATCTACCTTTTCAATCTTCTTGTGCAGTATCAGCACACAATCGGGCGTAGATGTACAAACAATATGGAAAGATTGGATGCCTGAAATGGGCTAGACTTACTTGAGTCTTCGATTTCAAGAACTGCAAGCTGTATATGACGGATTCGCCGCAAAGCTTGGTCCATATGCTGATAAGATTCAAACGAACAATTCTGATATCTCATTTGCTTTTTCTAATTTTGATAACTTATATTCGAGCAAGCCATTTCTTCAGAAGCTTTCCTCGGATTCATTTCACACTCAAATAATTTTGAGTTCATAATCTCAAATATTCAAAACATGCGAGCTCTTTTCTGTGGCCTCCCTTCATCAACAAAGTGGTGAGATCGAACTCATCCCAAATATTTTCTGCCACCTAGGTATATTGAAATGACGAAGTGAAGCTGGTCATCTCATGAAACAATTAGTGAAGTGGACTCTTTGCGAAGGTAGTTATCTAATACCTAAGAACGCCATGGACTATTTCTTATATAGGTCCCAAGTCTTCTATACACCCAAGTACATTAGTAGCCTCTTTCGACATACGTGAAAAGACTTGTCTGATATCAAGAATGCTGGCATCAAGAAAGGCGAGCCCTAGAATACTATGATACTCTGCGCGTAGTAGATACAGACAGCTTTACAATGATTTATGCAAATACGGTTGAAGCAATGCATTCAACTAATTAATCAAATATACAAAGAGAACTAAATTATCGACAATGTGGCTCTGGCGAAATAAGGCTCCTAAAAGAATAAAAACATCTAGCTTGTAAAACACATTTGTGAAAGACATCGATCGATCTCAGTCTGAAGGTAGCACCTTACCAAGGGGTAGCATAATTCCAGCCTCGTCGTCCTTTTGAAGTGAAGGGCAAGAGAGGCCAACCGCGCAGCAAGAAGCTGTGAGGGAGTTGATTGAATCCTACCCATAGGTTAGAATCAAAAAACCTACCAAGCGAGGCAGTCGGCCAAGTCTAATGTAACGACTTCTTTCGAGTTGTCTTGTGTGTGGTGGGTGAATCTTGTGAGTTTGATGATCGATTAGATGGCTTTGGTGCGGGAGAAAAGACTGCTGTAGACTGCATCAACAACAGGCTGAGCGCTGATTTGTCTGCCGCCAAAGAATCGTCCGTTGAGACCTTTGATGGCGTTCTCGCCTCCTTGGACGCGGTCGAATTTGAGATAGATGTCTCCTTGCGAGTTCGGATCTAAAGATATGTGAACAACATGACCGTATTTCTCCTCACATTCAGCGCGAACGTCGTCTTCTAACTCCTTGATCCAGGCTTCACCCTCTTCCCTATTATCGTTGTTAGCATTCTGCTCAAATCAAAAAGATAGTTTTTGGACTTACTCGTTAGGGTCAAACATATTCCGAAGCAAGACACAGCGGCTTGCCATATTGACATTAACTGGCAATGGTTTGGGCTCTGTCTTGGGTCGTAACGGCTGCAACTTTTCGTCTGCAGAAGGCTCGGGTTCATCTGTTCTCGCAAGTTTCCTCATCAATGCATCTCTGCTATAATTGTTGAAGTTCACACCGGCAACATCTGTGTCATCAAGAGCGCTTGCTCCGCCTGTTCCTTTGTCTGTGTCTCGGCCACCTGCACGATCGAAATTGCTAGGAGTACCTCCAGCTTGTGCACCACGGCCGCCGTGGCCAGAGAAAAGAGAGCCCTGAAATTGTTGGTTTTGTTCTCGTCCCTGGAAACGTTGTAGAAGATTGGCTGTCGACTCAGGAGTGAACTTATCGTTTCCAAGGCCGACGCGAATGGGTCTACCGGCAAGATCAAACCCGTTCATTTTTTCCAACGCTTCTCTTGCCTGGTTAGGATCGCGAAATCTAAACATAAGTTAGTAAATGAGAAATGAATGTGGCCATGTAGTGCTTACTGGACAAACCCATAACCACGGCTGCGACCGGTTTCGTCTTTCTGAAGTTGGACGAATTCGAGTTCGCCGAATGGTTCAAAAACATTCTGGATATCATTCTCAGTGATACTGAAATGAATGTTACCAACATACAACCTGTGAAACGGCGCCGATGCCGATTGCCCACTGCTAGCTTCGGGATTGCGGGCCAGTCGATTTTTCTCCGCCTCAGTCAATTGAGCAATAATAGGAATTCCTAGAAGTTTTTGGCCGGTGAGTTGAATGGCAAGTGGAACAGATGATTCGTCCTTGAATTCGACATAGCCGACACTGGATCAAAGTTAGCATTCGCTTTACTGTATTATGTTGGGAGATAGAAGACTAACCCTTTCGACCTGCCACTCACGCGATCCTTCACAATCTGGGCTTCTTTGACGGGTCCCACCTTTTCGAAGAACGCAATGAGTTCCTTGGTCCTCAAACGAGCAGCGAGTTGTTGAACGAATACAGTACGTTTGTCGCGTTCATCTTCGTTTAGCTCTTCTTCTGGCGTCTTACTGCGGTGGCCGTGGCTTCTGCTACGTCTTCTGTCGCGTTCCCGGCGGGCAGGTCTCTCATCATCACGGTCGTCTCGTCGAGAGCGTCCACCACTCGGACGGTAATATCTATCATCGTCGGGAGAGCGTGACCTCGTGCGAGCACGGCCTCCGCCGCGGTAGTAGTCGCCTCCGGAACGATCACCGTGGCGGTCACGGCGACGGCTGCGGCTTCTGCGTCTGCTTCTATGGCTTCCGTTAGCACTGCCATGCTCGCTTCTTAGATCATCATCCTTGTCGTCCCGGTCACGGCGGCGGTCGCGGCTCCGATCTTTGCGTCGGCGATCTTTATCTCTGGAGCGATCACGGTCATGGCGATCGTGTGAGTCAACTTTTGAGCGGGCTTCGCGATCTTTGTCCGCCGCTTCGTTGAGGGAAGCAGCTGTCGACTCGAGAAGGGCTTCAACGTCGAGACCTGACATGATGGTGATGTAAAAAAGGCTTTCTGGTGAACGTTTAGAAAACCAACAGGAGCGGGAGGTTGGGTCACTTTTCTAGGCTGTTAGAGAAGAAAGTGAGATCTGGCGTGGTGTGCGAMCCCTTCTATTTGCAATAGTCCGACAAGCCACTTCAGAGTTATTTATCTAATATTGTGAGGGCTCAATATTCCTTTATGTAGCAGTTGAGTCTGCAAAAGGTGATGATAGAAATTTGGTGAAGAACCGTGATGGACATCGACAAAACCGGCGGACTAGTAGAATCTGCAGTCACGTGAAGAGACATCTTGGCGAGGCCTTGGTGTCTCGATAGCCAATCATACTTAGTTTCTGCCTGGATGCCAGATTCCGTGATTCTTATCAATTGTACCTAGTAAATGAGTAGTTACGGCTACGAAAAGATTGGTTATGATTGATTGATTGATTTTGAGGATCATCAGATATATTGATTTGATGAGCTCCTAGGAAATTATAACAAGCAATGAACGCCACCCATGATGGATATCCAGTCATTGCTAGCAAGCAACATGACTAGAACTGTATGTACCTGGCTTTTGATCGTGCTAAGGCAAACTCTCGAACGCACGTTGATGAGCCGCCAAGTATCTTGAAACATGAAAATATACTGCATCGACGACAATGGAGAAACTGTACAAAGGCGGCCAGGAAATGATAAGTAATCGTATAAACAAGGGGCATTAGTATTATTAGCGTAAAGTAAAATCAACAGCGTACAGACACCGGAGAAGAGTTGAGGAAGGCGATGGGCCGGTAGGGTTCCTGTCTACTGGGTTTTGATGACCTTTGGAGGAGGCAACTCTAGCTCGGTGCCGAATACACGATCCCAAAACCGGCTAGTAACGCCATATCCATTCTCAAAATCGGCGAAGTGGTGTTGAAGATGGTACTGCTTCAACTGCTTGTAATAAGCAGGAAGACTGCGTTAAACTATTAGCACATCGTCCAACAATATGGCATTCATGGAGATAACTCACTTGCGATGGTGGAGGAAGTAGTGTGTCATGTCATACATGATATAACCAGCGACGCCCCCGCAGTATCCGAGAAGTCCGGCATACCAGTTAAAGTAAAGGATCGTATGCGCAACTTTCCAGAATGGGAGAGCAAGTGCCACAAACAGTGTTGGGGGCATGACTAAGCGATACTTGTCCATAGGCAAATAGTGGTGAATGCCGTGTAGCAGGAAGTGAGCAGTAATCCCAACCCGGTTGTCAGGAAGCCACTTGTCAATGTGGAACAAAAAGCGGTGCATTCCATATTCCAGCAAAGTCCACACAAAAAGGCCAAGCACAAAGTATCCGACGGAAGCAGTAGAATTGTTCAAGCCAGCGGCACCGATCATAGTACCATATGCGACGCAAGGCACCCACAAAATAGGTATAACATACCAGGGAGTCTTCGAAAGGGGTTCCAGAAAGTTTCCAAACAAGGGCGCAGACTCCCCTCCCTTATAGTGCCGTGGTCGATGGACTTGATCAAGGTAGAATTCCTTCGAGAAACCGCCAAACCAGATCTGAGGAAACAAAGGCTTAGACAAATCCAAGAATTTATGCGTCTTGTAATCGGACGCAATATCGGTCTCGATGGAAAGATCGTTCTCGTTTGCCATGCCGGTCTTCTCATAAATAGCCTGCGAGTTGCCATTGGCCTGAGAAGACTCAGACTTGGAGACTACATTGGACAGAAAACCGATATGATACTCGTCCAAGATATCGTAAGCAGAGTCGGAATGTTCGTGAGAGCTTCCATCCTTTAGTATATTCTTGATATCCTTTCCTGCCCATTCCAGTATCACTTCCTCTCCTGCTGGATGGCCCTCGAGAAAATCGGTCACATCGTAAACTTTTGAATCGATTGTCACATAGCAGGATTTGCTGGAGTTGTGGGATCGCACTTCGGCCTCCGTAAATGACGGGAGAGTCTTTCCGGGCATGATGGACTGTAAAGGACTGGATAGAGATGACTGCGATGACGAGGAATCAAAGCGTGGCGCAAAACAGCATGCAAAAAAATCCGGAACGAGAAATTAGGCGGCAAGATTGAGGCGGAAGGAACGAGGTCTTTAATCAACGATAACGGATAGCCCGGTTCGCAGAGCTCAAGGTGGCGTGACTTGGACAACCTTGTTAATTTATTGAAAACGAGCAATATGGTTGACTGGTGTGAAGGCTCAACGAAACTGGAGATGTCTCCTTGAATGCATTTTTTTCTTCCGGCAGTCATACGATTTGCATGCACGTGATGTGGCGATTGGAATTCAGGGGCCAACTTGCTTAGTCATTGACTTTCTACGGGAGATCCTAACTTAACCCTTTCTACTTGTCGGAACAAAATTACCACCTAAATAAAAAGGAGATCATCCTAATGGGGGCTTGGCTGTTTGGTAATGTTTTGTATAGGGTAATGTGATGCCCGATCACCTGAAATTTTTCCAATACTCCTTCCCAATATCAAAATAATTTCTTTTCACGATGTCAATAGTCAATATTCGCTACTGCACTCAGATACAATAATCCGAGCCATTGCGCCAAGCTTTTGAGATGAGCCAGGCTCTCGCTTCTGAACGGATGACCGCGTTTTACGCGCCACTTCTCGGCACTTGATGAATTATTCTGCCTGACAATGTATTCAAACAAATTTCTAGAGACTGGAATGCCAATTGCCACTGACTGATCTGAATCTATGATCTACGGTTGAATTTTAACTGGGGCCTCAATTCGTGCGGACATTTGGACTTTTTACTCTCGATCAAGAACGATGTCTCATTCTCCGAGCGCCCGCAATCTATCTTGCCGCCTATTCTAACGGTGCTAGACCTGCCCACTGGGCTATCTTCATCCCCACACTCGCCGATGAGCAAAATAGAAAGCTATGCATATCACATGGAATAAAGATACTGCCTTTTCCGAGTTCAAGCGAACTATGATCTCCGTCTTGAGGACCGAAAATACCAGACGCTTCATCTTGCAGATGCCACTGGCTATTTGATATATGATGCAAGTGGTGACGGAAAACTAGGACTGGACACTATCGCTCGAGACAGACTGGAGTCTCTTGCTTTGACGGTGCTACCACCTGGTCTCAGTGTCAACCCATCTATCCTTCGGTCTCAGAACAGAGTTTACATGGAGTCTATCATCAAAAGCACTAAATGAAGGTGAAACACGAAAATATCTGGATAGATTTACTGTTGCTGAAGCAGTCTCTAATGTAAGTCTTAACAGGTTTTAAACTATCAGGAATAGATAGAAAGCTACATACAGGGGCTTATTGCAGAAGGCTATTGCCCGACAGCAGCATCACAGTGATCCAGCAAGGGCCGAAATGGCTATGATTGGGAGATGTATTCTATAAGGCTTAACAGGAGGCACCCGCTCTGAGATGCTCGTGCCTCTGCTTCTTGTTTGCTCATCATCTATTCAAATATCCCTTATTCAACAGTCAAGCGTTGGAAATGTCTGGATATCTGAAATTCAAGCAGGGTTAGGGTTGTATTTTTGATAGTGCACGGACCACGTGGCGGCGGAGTGGCGACAACTTTACTTTCTGTCTCTTACTTCTCTTTTCATTCTCTTTTTAAGACAACAGAGATAACGCCCATATCATGATTAGTCTCAGAAATTAAAATCATCTGCTCTGCAGAACAGAGTTTACATGGAGTTTATCATCAAAAGCACGAAATGAAGGTGGAACACACAGAGTAGAGCCCTGCTCCCGCCGAATCCGACTGGACATGTATTCAGGAACGTCCTCACACTTGATGATTGCAAACCAACTTGGGAAAGGAAGACTTTTTGTTAGGGGTATCGACTCGTCTTTCAAACTACCGGGACTGCACTGGCAGCATGGAGTCTGACTTTCCACCCCTTCCCAGCCATTCGGCCAGGCATTCAGCGAATTCATCACAAAAGCGGGATAGTGTGTCTGCTTCGGCAAATGTGACATCTGGCTATCGTGGCTTAGAGATCGCCGAAAATGGGTCGAAGATCATTCATAAAATCTTGACTCGAGATGGCGACGCTATCCTAGAATATGTTGATACCGACTCACGCAAAGCCACCACGCACTACCGTTGGCAGGTCTCCAGCGATAGGCTGAGAGAGAATAGTCCCTTCTTCTCTGCATTATTGGACCCAAACAAGTTTTCCGAAGGCAGGCGTTTTGTCGAAAGCAAGTCTCGATCAAAGGGATCATCAGCGACTACACGTGATACTAGAGTCGCCGATGGTTTCGCGATTGAATCAACGGAGCGTTTGCCGCTAGTTGGGTTGAATTTGACCCGTTTGATGGGTAAACATCGGATAGAGAGTCTCGAGCTGTTTCTCAAAGTACTACTATCTGCCTATGATGTTGATCTCGACACTATAATGGGAACAGATATCGTTCACCAATCCGTTCCGATGATTGCTGGCTTGATAGAGATTGCTGATCTTTTCAGCTCGTCAGATGTGGTTAATGATGCTCTGAAGCACGTGAATTACCGGCCTTCTATAAAGGGTATTCAGTCATTTGAGGTGTTCGCTTCATCTTTACTGAAGCTTAGTGACGAAAGGCTTCGGCAAATTATATACATAGCAATGTTCATACAACACGATACAATATTTCGGGTAGCTTCACATGCTTTAGTGTTGGCTGGGTCCGCCAGATGGTCAGATGGCGGTATCGGAATCAACAAGTCTGGCAGACATCGTTGGTCGTATTTTGATAATGGAATAGAAGGTACGTTCTAACCTCACATATATGTTAGGGCATTCAGCTAATAGCCATGACCGAACAGAAGAGTTGTATTACCGACGACAATGTATAATGAACACAATAACGGATCTACAAGCCCATTTTTTACGCGTATACGGTGCATTGGAAGATGATGCCGAGCACAACAGGCCTCAGCCGAAGCAGAGTATGATTATAACTGCCGTTTCATCAAACGTTAGGCCCTTCCAATGCCGTTGGGGGTTCGACAATTCCAAGGCTTGCGATTCATTTCATCTCGGTGAAATGGTTCGGTTCTTCACAATGCGATCGAAAACCATATTTATAGGTTCTACATTAATTGACCCTGGCTACGACAATGGCTCAGATGAAGAGGAGGATGACGATGATCATAATGGAGGGGAAGACGAGAACCACGTGAATCTACCATTAGGGGACGAAAAAAAACACCATCAAGACGAATTCGATCGCACGGCAAGTGTAACGTCTACTGATATACTATCAATCACCTCGTCCTTGCGGCAAATTCCCGACTATCAAATCGACAACAATCACACCGGTTGCGGAATCCGGCGGCGTTTACTGCCAGTACTAGATTGTATTGATGGATTTGTCGGTCACCGGAGAGCTCTTATAGGTCTAACGGACGTGACTATGTGGAAGTCGAGCACGCGTGCTACAGAAACAAAGACCAACCTGGATTCATGGAGGTCTTCTGGTCTATCAAGAGCCGAAGAAGTCGATATACGCGGAGCAAAGATTGTGGGAATCCGGAAGAGCAAACCAAGGTCATATATCGACATCATAAGAACTTCAAAGCTCTCTGCTACTACATTAAACAACAATGGCACAACGCTGGCGCTGAGCACTACGTCACCAGGTAAAGTTATACAGCAGCAGAGAGAAGAGGCAAGATTCTTTTTCACGGCTAAGAAAAGAAATTGGGAAAGTTGATATATTCAACCTTCATTTTGCCAATTCATGTAGACTGAAATGAGTTAATTAATGACATCCACAGAGTCAAATAGACTTCAATTCTTTACTGGTTGACGACATCCGCTAAAGAAGCGAGCCAAAGCCGAAAAGGCTAAGTCAGAGCGCGATCAAAAATACGTTTTTTTCGGTCTTATTCACTGTGTAGTTTCGATGCCTATCGGCGCTGATGGCCCAATTAGATCCTTATACGTGAAGTCAGTTGCTCTCAATCCAATGAATCAAACCCTCGTCCCTGGGTCAATGGTTCAACCACAGCTGTTCGGCGTGTGATTTGCCTCCAGAGATCTAGGTATCACTTTATGTACATCCACATATCAACTTGAGCTACCTAGATCGGTGGTCATTACTTCAAGAATGTCCTTGCCTACATCAGCAGTATGATCATCTAGAAAGGCGTATATGTCGAATGCCGTCTCTCCATTAACATTGTCTGTCTATTTTCAGCCATCGATCGATCCCTCTCATCCATAGCATTCCACAAGCCCTTAACCCCTTCCTAAATAGAGCAATGCGCAGTTTAAGCTTCAGGGACTTATTAATCTTCAAGTCTAGACTGTTTCGTTGTTGTCTAGACTGGTCTAGACTCCGGATTTCGTTTCCATGGTGAAAGGGTGAGGCCAATTCCAGATAGTTTGTGTTGCATCCGCGGGCCGATCAGGTACGGTCTGGCTTCGGTTCTTAAATTGACTTCATGAACGAAGATGAACCTCATTCAGCTACAATTGCACTCTATTAAGGGATCCAAAGACTGTCTAAGCCATCAATAAGTTGTAGAGAATTATATACGTTCATTACCTAGACCATTGGTATTCATGTCATGGCTACATAGAGATATCAGAAAGTTCGATGTACATAGACCGAAGTCATTGGAGGCAAAAAAAATCATTTTAGGAGCGACCTCTATGATCTGCGAATATACATATATTGACTTGCATAATGACAGAATACAAGATTATGTAGGTTTCCGTGTAATGTGAAGAGCTGAATGATTGTACAAGAATGGATGGAAATCCTCGATCAAAATGCGGAGTTTTCCCACATATGAGCGAAGTCCATGTCAATATCTGATGCTGATGATGGGAAGAATGAACCGGTGATCTGCCCAGTATTCGGGTCGTAGGGCAGAAAGTCGTCGAAAGCGTTATTCTGTAATGAGCCCTGAGTCTCGCTTTCTGTCTGCTGTGTGTCAAGGAAGCCCAAGGGGTCCGTCTCCAGGTACGGCATGAGTGTTGGGACCTGATGATCTAGCAAAGAGTTCTCTAATACCGAGACAAAATTGTTTGATGAATCCATAAGTATCTCACTATCTGGGAGGTCACTGATGTCAAGATTCAGTGGCGGCGCTAGATTGTGCAGGTATTCGTCGCTAAGCTTCCATGCACGATGAGCAGAGTCACTCGAATGAGAAAGTTCGAACAACCATTTGACTGCCTTTTTCAAGGCTTGTGATACTTCAACTGCCCTTTCTGGAACATGTTCAGCTCGAAATGACAATTCCAAAAGGAGCACTGTGGTGGCTTGCATAATATAATGGAGCGTACACCACCATGGAGAAATTTTGTACAAGGCGCTTGCTTCCATGGTTGCAGGCAGCATGTTGATCATTTGGGTGGCAGCGTCAACACATTCAGCAGCAGTCTTACTGCAAAACTCATAGACGCCATCGCTCTGGCAATCTTTCTCAAGCTGACAGAGACAAGGCCTGCTGATCGAAATTTTGGTGCTGTAGTATGCGAAAGCCAGTCCCATTTTCTGAGTTATCGTTGATTTATCCGTGGAGAAGACCCTAAAATCAAATGCTTCAGGTACAGTAGCAAGCCATACATCAATTTCCATAGTCAGGCTCTGAATGGTAAATTCAAGGCTTGTCCAGGGTGCCTGCGTTGCTTCGCCACTGTAGAGCTTCAAGTTGGCCCGTTTGGAGATAGAAGCAAGTGTAGCAAGATAAAAAAAGTACAGCGACATAGTTATTGGTAATGTTTTCAGCCAATCGATGCCGTCGGATTCTGTTTCGGTTTTAATTACAACGGTGTTGTCAGCTGAACATTCACCATTTTGAGATGGACTGGGCAGGCTGGAAGATGATGGTTTCCAGTCCTGTATCCATGACCCCTTTCGAGTATGGTTACTCAGCATCTGAGCGGCCTCTGGCTTTTGGAAGTCGTTTTCATCAAAAGGAATTGGAATAGGGGTTGTGCAGGCGCCATCAATGATGCACGATGGTCGACCAGTTATGACGTTCAACATGTGGTCCAGAGTGTACAACGACCACCAGACACGATATCGTATCTCCTTTGATGTGTCTGAAGTTGTTGTTCCTATATTTCGAAGGTGGAGCCCAAGAGATATTGCGCCTCTGACTGCACTGCCGGAAATCTTCCATGATCTGAAGGAATTTGAGCTGTTAGTATCGAGATGAACACCTGACATACACAGGTCCTCATACCTACCGGTTGACTTGCCCGATTGCAAGGAGGTAGAAAGATGTCAGTCCTTCGATCTGTAGTTGCTGCAAGTCCGGGTGATCAAAAAAAGTATCACGTATGCTCAATATCCGCGCTCTCTTAAAATACACGCTATGATGCTCCAATTCCATCTTCCAATCTGCTCCAACGAGCCGTGCATACACAGCCGATGTAGCAAAGATCAGGTTTAATATAGCCAACCACTTGTTGCCAGGCTTGGCTCCTGGCTGACTGAAAAACATATTGTATTGTGATTGGAAAGTAGACTTTCCTATGATTGGAAACGAAGGGTGAATAGACCTGAGATATGCCCGAAGAAGTTGGGTTGCGGTTTCTTTTGGAGGCATTGCTGCTGCTTGTACTTCTTCGGTCAAGTCAAAATCCTTGTTATCTGCATAGAAATTTATTGAAGCAATGAGGCCGTCATCATTTTTTTTCGGGGGCGTTAGAGGAGGAGATGACTGGCCCGTCTCTGGAACATCACCATTGACCTTTTTGCGTAGTTTCTGCAGCCAAAACATCTCCGAGCTGTTCCCAATATATCCGGTAGCTCGAGATTTGCTGTCCTTGTTAAAGTCCTCTTCAACTCGGTCGGTACCAGCAAATGATCTGGCAGACGGCGACTGTGACCGGCGTTGAGAACCATCACCAGCAAGGATAGAGCGGCCCTTGGTAAATGTTGATCCATCATCAGATTGATCTCCAAGGATAGCTTGCTTTGGGTCCTGTTGTTGTTTGGGATTAGGTGGATAACACAATCATCGAAGCTGTCAGACATACAGAGGATATCGCATTGCTCATCAGCTGTTCGTCCGAGACTCCAAAACGTGAGCTCATTTTCCTAATTACCTCCTCATATGTTTGGACCTTGGCTGATAGAGTTGCAAGTTGTCTTTCAGGTATCCTTAGTGTTGTGTGAGTATGGAAGGACAGTTGAGGCAACACACCTCTTTGACTTCTCCCTTTTCCCATCAGTGTAGCAGCATATGATTCCTGCTTCCCTACAATTGCGGCACCCGGACTTATCCCCTGTGCATTTTGTCTTTCTCTGCCTGCATGACTCGCATGCTCGACGAACATGACGACGGTGAAATCGTCCTAAGGAGCTGAGTGAGGCTTCTGTTCCTTCAGGTAGTCGAGGAATAGCCATTTTCTTTGTTTCGGTTTCTTTCTGAGGAGAATGTCGGTCATCCTGGTCAAATTGTACGCTTAGCCATACAACACCACATCTTTCTAAGGCAGTATGGTTCCTGGGAGAACTTACTGTAGCTGAGGAAGCACTGCATAGATCGGATTCTTGATATGGAAGTGTATAGCAAGTTGGTTGCATTTGCCATCTTTGATATCCCAATCCATCCATATCATAGGTTGTAATGGTCCCAATTTGGGGTAAAACCTTATAAGGTGAGAATTGCAGATTGCCTGCGGCAATCATCGATGGACATTGACTCGATTTGGGTAGCCCCTGAACAGGAAATAAGTATTGATGGCAGTCTAGCCACTTTCAGAGACTGGTCAAAATGGATCGTGAATCCAGAGATTGAGTGTAGTGTGTTACAGGCCATTGACTCATGCTCTGAGTCTGGATCATTGAGAAACTGCTACATCGATCGTTTAAAATTGTCCAAAGGATGTTGATATTTTTTTCATCTTACTCAGTGACTTTCTTACTCAAAGGTGCGTCATAAGAGAGTAAAGGCTACCAACTATGCAGATAAGAAAAACTCCTCATACTTCTTCGACTTACCACGAGGCAACCCAGAGAAAGCACTCCTGACGGCGAACAATCGGAAATCAGGTGCGACCACAAGACTCACCTAACTGAAAACATCGTAGATTATCTAAGCAGCAATTTACCAATCCCAAATATGGACTTGAAGTCAATTGTTGGGCTAGAACGTGAATAGTTGTGGTGAGCTTTCGGAGTGGTTATCCGTTCGATACATCTGCATTTATGTGCTGTGAGAGGCAAATTTTGTGGCAAGGATAAGTACTGCGGTGTCCTATCAATTTGATTCTCATTGACATACACCATATTGCATGAGGTATGCGGGAGAAGTTGAATGAAAAGAATTGGATCTTTTAGGGCACCATATCATGCCATGTGTTGGCCAAGACTGACCGAAGCTTCCGGCTGTCAATTAGCTTTATGCAGAGTTTTGTGTTCTCTGATCTACATCAGTAAGATTTACCAAGTATTCTCTTTTACCTTGTTATTCTTGGTCGATCCATAGGGGCGATCTCCATTTGTTAAGGTGTCAATATCTTCAAGGTCATGTCAACCTCATCTATGACGCGTCTGAGACCTAAAATCTGTAGGATTCCACGATATATCTCAAAGCCTGTGGCGTTTTTATTAATTATAATTGTGGCAACAACAAACTCCCTGACTGTACGATCAGTGAAGCCAGTGTTGTCTGGTCTGATAGAGATTGATACGCGTTTGCATAATCACTGCTGCCGCGAGGCTTAGGACGCCTGTTGCTCAACCCAAGCCACTTTTGGCTCAATTGCCATTAGCTTACCCTTTAATAAATGGGTTAGCATATTAAGCTTCCAAGAACCGTCTGATTCAAGTCCTGTATTCCAAGGATGCTGCTGAGACTAGTTGGGGCATAAAGTATCAGCTCATATTGACGTCGTTTACTACTCATGATATTCTCATTAATAGTGCTATTGAGATGCAAGTAATCAGATATACCTATTTATAATAGAAAACATTTTGTATGTACGATTGCTGATCTGATGATTAATGAACAATTTCATGCACTAATCAAGGCAGCCACAACGTAGATTTGAAATTCCAAAGACTTACATTCAGAACCAACGACCAACGTATTTTTATTGTAGAAGCTTCCCGCCATCTGAGGCTTATCTAAAACCCAAGTTGCATTGCCATAGATACGTGGGTAATAGTTGGATACACATGAACAACTACAATTCTATGCCCGCTCTTATGGCGGCTTGAGGGAATAGCGGCCACCCGTTCGTCAAAATTGTACCTTTTGGGACATCATTCTTCAATTCCCAATCCAGAACATCAGTTTTGTTCTCCTCCATGGTCAACTCGGTTGAACATGGCACTCCACAGTCCGCTCCGTATATGACATGATCAACACCCACCATCTGCACAGCAGGCGAAAGTCCCGTCTTTGCAGTAGCGGCTGTATCAACATAAAGACGACCAAGTTGCTGCTCGATTTCCCTCCTTGTAAGCTTGTTCGGGTTAGGCACCCACGATTCTGTTCCGAGCAATGACAATCGACCAGATAAAACAGGAAGAGCGCCGCCACAATGGCCTAGGACAAATTTGATATTCGGATAACGACGGAAAACACCATTATAGAGCATGTCCACAACTGTTCGCGCTGTATCAAAAGCCACCTCAATTACTGGTGACGGACGGCCGTGCGATGGCTGTGATCCGGCGTTTGGATGGATATGCACAACTGCTTTGCGAGCATTGAGATCTTTCCAAACCGGATCAAGACGGGGATCCCCCAAACCAACGTCGTTGAAAATCGTACTTGTCGCGAAGCCATCAGCAGGTATGTCGAGAGCCGTCAACCGCTCAATCTCTTTTAGACACAGGTCCGGGTCGTCAGTCGGGAGTGCTCCCAGAAGCCCAAAACGGTCCGGATTTTCTTTCACAAGCCTCGCTGCGTAGTTATTGGCTGCTATAAGCTTTTCAGGGTTGTTTTGTGGGATGTATGAGAGCATCTGCATCTGGATATTTGCACGGTTGTTGTAGTCGAGAATTGACTGGACATTCCACGTTACTGGACGGTCAATCATGAAGCAAACATCTCGAAAGGCCTTAGCGAGTGCCTCTGCTTCACTGGGTGATTGAGGAAGATAGAAATGTGCGTGGATGTCGAGCCAGCCTTTAGATGACATTGTGGATGTATCTGAAGGTCTCCAAGATGTACAAGCAATCCCAATTTCTAATATGTGAGTGTCAACTCTAAAATCATTCGGATTGCTTTTTTGTCAAGGATCATATATCGATTGATTCATTATACAAGGCATATCTAACAGTGGCGTTCATATCGACGCAATATCCGCGTTCCCCCAAATTACTGAAATAGGAAACCGGAGTTAAGCAGTCTAAACTCCGGATGATCTAGCCCATCTCCGTGCTTCATCGAATCGAATGTGCCAATGTGATCACTGAGTGTTGGCCACTAAATGATCTCTCAGAATTGGCCCATTGCTCATACAGAAATGACACGAAATGCGGGTTTAACTCATGGCTTTATCGACCAACCACCGATAGTGGATCAAATAGTTATGGATTTAGGTGTTTAATGTCCATTTTTCATCTAGACACATCGTAGGTGAGGCTACTACTATCAGTATTGCGATACCTAGGAAACTATGTGCGATGAAAACAATAATCAACATTGAAATTAACCGTTGAGAGATACATACTGCTTGCAATGCTTGTAGATCGTCTAGAAATCAGTTCTCGTGTAGAACGTGACGTGCTGGTCTACTGGAGACGATACTACGCATTCATGTAGTTGATCATGTAAGAATCTTCTCAGCTAATAAATACATTATATGTATGGAAAGCGCAAAAGAAGATTTTGGACCACTATCATGATCGTCTTGGACATGTATGTAGATAGGGAGTCCTACCCTAATATAACCAACCCTAAGATTAGCTGAACGGGAACGGAGTTTTATCTCACAGCCCGACCCCGAGTCCTCTTTCAATCTGACATACTTTGATCAAACCTCAAATTGAGGAGCATTAGGCAACGCGATTAATCAATTCTGCTCTTTATACTCGCTACAGGTACCGCTTCTGATACGGACGTAAGTAATGGACAAATGATTGCTCCGTGACTCTCATCACAATGAATCCACATATGCCTACAATTGCTTTCCCCAATGGCAATCATGTAAGGCAAACATCAGAAAAGTTTCCTCGCGCTTGTGCCAGTTGTGTTCGCGCTAAAACGAAATGTTCTTTTGTCGTGGCTGCAGGAACTAAGTGTGAAAGGTACTTTTTAGTTTCTATCGACTCCCATTGACAGTAAATTGGCATTCATGTTAACGACTGGGCAGATGTCGACGCATGAAAAAGGACTGTAAACCACCAGCTCCAGTAAGGAAGCGCAGAGTTGTTACCAAACAACCCACAAGTAAAGTTGAGAGACTGGAGAAGAAGATAGATGGGCTCTTCGATTTCCTGAAATCAACGACTGCCGAAAATGGCCCGCTCTCATCCAGCGCTGATACGGCGTCTTTTGATTCTGTCATCGGTGCAACTCCATTGGACTCCACCAGCCATTCCGAAAGACTTCTTAGCCCTCATCCCAGGTTTGATCTTTCTCATGATTCTTTTAGCTTACCGAATTCAACAAGGGTGGCATCAATGCCGGTGAATCTCTTCTATATTGACTCTACCTTGGAACCTAGTCTGGAAAACGCAGAGATATACCTGATCAATTTCCGGACCAATTTCATCAATAATTTCCCATTCTTAGTGATACCCCTTTCTGTGACAGCCTATCGACTGCGACAAGAAAGGCCAATACTCTGGCTTTGTATAATGTCCGTTGCTTCTAAGAATACAAACGAACAAATCATACTCTCTAAAAGGGTAAAGGAAGTGTTTGGCGTGGAGGCATATGTTCGAGGGACTAGAAACTTGGACTTTCTGTTGGGAGTATTGGTTTTTGCCACATGGTAAGAAACTATAAATCTTTCTCACTTTTCAGGGCTGATCGTTAAAAATCAAAGGGACCGACGCCTAGGTTTCGATAGGTCGATTTTGACCAGCGTCGTCCAGCTTGCAATAGCTATTCTGTGTGACCTAGAATTGGATCGGTCCCATTCGACGGATATTGGTTTCACCCTCATGAGGTCCGTCAAAGGGGAAACTGTCTCTCCTTCCCAGGCTGCAAAAGTCCCGACTATGGAGGAGCGACGAGCGTCACTTGGCTGTTTCCTCCTTAGCACTTTGTAAGCTATCAATGGTAAAAGGTTTAGTGAGCCTAAATGTACTGATTCCGTGTTGTTCAGATCTCCTCCGCTGCGAAAGGGTCAAAGTCTGCGGTGGACGTCACATTTCAATGATTGTCTCCGAGTCCTACAGGAAGAGAAAGCATGCGAAAACGATCTAATACTGGCTCAGATGGTGAAATTTCGGTTGATATCAGAAAAGGTCATAGATTTTACTTTTCGAGATTTGACTCGACAGGGCCATTATACCACTATCCCTGCTTCGTTCTACGTCAAGTCATTGGAGGCGGAACTCCGTGAATGTATAGCATCTATTCCCAGCGGGTTACTGGATAATAGTGAGTCAAAATTCTCTATTACATAAGATACGTGCGTGTTATAGCTCCTTACTGACAACACTACATGTATAGAGGTCCTGCTGCTAGAACGCTACTACACCGAATTCCGCATCTACGAAATTGGCCTCTCTCAATCCTCAGACATATTTACCGAACAACCAAACCTACGTCTTGACTGCTTGTTTGCTTGTCTCCAGGCCACAAAGTCTCACGGAGCAACTCTTATGAATGTCGACCCGAATCAGTTCCCTGGTCTATCAGCCTTGGTGACTGGTCAAATGACCAATTGCTTTGCGTGCCTGTGCCGGCTTTCGATGTGCGAGCAATCAGGCTGGGATCGCGATTTTGTCAATTCGACTGTTGATGTTTCCTTCTTTTTACAGGAGCTGGAGAAGAAGTATGCACAAGTCAGAGAGGCTGTTGGTATTGATACGGATAATTCTGGTGGTAGTGATTACTTTACGATCAAGGCGTCGAAGCTGAGGTCTATGAAGGCGTCGTGGGATGCGCTTACTCTTACGGCGATACCGCTGCAGGAACTTGAGTCGTTCTCTATTGACTTTTGGGACGCGTGCAATTGGTGACTACCTAAAAGTACAAAATCCTGCGGTCTCAATTTCAAATATACTTTGTATTATTAAGTGCGCATCCCCAACATCAATTTTGCATCTATGGAGCTTGAAGACATGAACAAGAACAAGAACCAGCCATACACCGCGCAAATCGGCTCATTCATCAACCCAAGTAGACACATCTTACTCAATCGTAAATCCGTCAGAGACACTCTTTACATCTTTCGCGAAATTGACTTCCTGGCCCTCCTCGAGAAGCGAAACACTAGAAACGTCTACTTCGACGAAAGGGACTGTCTTGGAGAAGTGCACGCTCATGGGAAAGAATTCATTCTCGTCCACGTCGAGGTCAACGACTTCATATTCAAAGCTGCCCGAAGCATTGCTTGTGTCGATGGAGCCGATGTTCCATTCTAGACTGTCGCCAGCAACTTCGTAGACGGCATCGAAGCTGGACACGGATGGTTCCGTGGCACCATATGGCATTGTCACCGAGACGTCCCGCAAGTTATCGGTACCGGTTAGCTCATATTCGACAGTGACGGTGGTCGAGTCGGAGCCTTTATTAACCCAGACAGTGAATGTGATGGGAAGAACGTCCGCGTGCTCTGAGCCGTTGCTGGCGACGCGCCATCGGAGAACACCGATAGCATTATTGGCCGGGAAGCGTTTCGTTGTGTCCTTCAACTGAATAATATTTGAGTTAGTGAACAATGCCTTGTCCACATTGGGATGGGTGCGAAATTGAGCGCCATGGCTAGTGTTGGTGAGTAGGTCGAGTTTGAGTTTGGTGAGAGCCGGATCAGAAATACGAAGTTGTAGATCACCCTTGACCTCGAATGATTTTAATGCACCCTCTCGGGTCAATTTCGCCGAAATGGTCTCTGAGACGGTGATTTGTACGCCTGCCCGCTCAGACGACAAAGATGCACGCGATTCCGGCACGACTGGTGTGGCTGCTTGTGGAGAAACGAGAGGGGCTGTTTCCTCAACTTCGGGACCAAGATCCTCGCGGACCTTTTCATAGATATCGGTAGTCTTGGATTTCTTTCCAAGCTGCATACCCTTGCCGCGGGTGGGCATTGGCCTGATAGCAGTTAGCATTTATGAGTCAACTCGAGCAGTTAAATCAAGCGGGAAGTATCCGTACTTGGCAAATGTTTTCTTCTTCTCAGCTTCATAGGTATCAATGGTCTCTGTAACAGCCGGTCGGGTAGGTGGAGTATAAATGGGGTATGAGGGAGGTCGAGATGGTATACCGCGATTGGTACGAGCAGCTTCCTTTCGCTGTAGCTCCAATTGTTTTGCCTTCCGCTTCCTCTCTTCGCTAGCCTCGAGTTCTTTATTCTGCATATTCTTAGTACTTCCATACGACACAGACAGGATAAATAGCATACCCTCTCAATGATTTCTTGAATTCTCTCTTCGTGACTCTCCATCTCTAGGAAGGTCTTGATCTGAGTGAGAGAGAGGTTCTCCCTATATCCGAGAGTGACCAACTCGTCGAAGGCGCTCAACAATTCAAATGCATTTCGTGTGATTTCCCGCTCATCCAGACTCTTACAGATGCTAGTGACTACTTGAGCGAACAAGTGCAGACTGTCGATGTCTTGTAAAATGTTCGATTGACGGTTGGTGATAAGTACGATGTATAGCTCGTCCAGGGGCTGGTAGACGAAGCGCACATTGTCCTGCTCGACAGTGGTATGCTGTGTACCCGAGTCTGCGAGTTTCGGGAAGGATGCGAGCAGGGCTTCGATACGCGTTCGGGCGATTTCTCTGAATTGACGTGAAAGTACTGCCTTTCCCCCGCGGGTGCATATCGAGGCTGCGAGAACAACCTGTGTGCGGCGGAGTGTTAGGAGCTGCTGCGACATTAAAACACGTCTGGATACTGACCATGATTGCTGTGACTCAATGCGAGTAGGCTGTAAAAATCAAGTGACCACCGCGCACAAAGAACAGCTTAATTGAAGAAGATGGACGTTGACAAGAGGCCAGATGAGCTGTAGGTACGGAATAGTTGTATGTGGTATGCTTGTCCGCCATCATCCCGCTTTGTTGTTCTCTACGGTACGCTCACCGCCTTGGGAATATTGTTCTGTGATTGCTCTGTCGCTGCCACTAAACATTTACTAGGCATTTCGCTTACTGCGGGTCATCCTTGCCTTTTCTAACCCGACCCCGACGCCTCTCAACTCCTTTACTTTCTTGTATCACTTACCACCTTCTTTCCATCTCATGACGAATTCATCTTGTATTGTGGCCGAAGAGAGAGTCCTATCCACCGTGCAAGTTGCAGTTATTTGGTTTTCTTTAGCGGCTAGGGACTTGTCGTCCCCTTCAGGCATAGCCTTACAGCAGCCTTGAACGCGACGCGTCGACGAAAGTTCATATTCTGGAAAATCATGAATGCTGCTTCATCGCTCGGTCTTCCAGCTATGGAAGACCCCTTCACAGATAACATGGAGATGGCGTCTCCATATAATGGCCATGTGGATGATTTCGAGATCGATATTGATATCATGGACGACCAGCCTGCGAACGTCGACAACGATTTCGATCTACAAGATGCCACTCCCGATGGAGCTTCGGGAGAATTAACCCATGATGCTGATATGATGGATGATGTACCTGAAATGACGGTCACCGATACGACCACTTACAATAACGATGGCAACATGCAGTACACTGACAACACATTTCCTACAACCCAAGAGCCGGTCGAGTCAGAAATGGTGGATGAAGAATACGAAGAGAATACTGAAGCCATCTCTACTTCCTTCGAAACCTTTTCAGCACCACAAGGCGGGGCCCGGCCAGAGGAAACGGTCGAAGTTGTGAACGAACAACCGGTAATTGTGGAAGAAAGAGAAGATGAGAAACCGCAAAATGCCGAGGAAGTTGTTGAGGAAGCACAGACTGATGTTGAAGGAACATTCAATCAAGAGTTGACTCAAGAAGGTTCAACCGAAGCGAAGCTGGCTGCACCGCATATTGCAGTGGTGCCACAAATCGAAGCTGCTGCTGAGCATCATTTCGAGAACCCGGCTGACGAAAATGAGGTTGTTGAAGAAATCAAAGAACACGCTACAGTGACCGAGATAGGAGCTGAGCATGAAACAGCAGACGCCGTAGATGTTGTCGATAACGACGGACTAAGCAATTTACCTCCAGCAGGTGAAACCGAAGAGGTGGTTGAAAACGAACATGATTCTACGGAGCAAACGCCTTATCTTCATCAAGTGAAAGTCATCTACCAGGAAAGTGAAATTTCGATGTTTCCTCCACGCACCGGCAATACTTCGGAAACGTATTTTCTTGCAGACGAAGGATTGGCGCATGAAAGCATCGGTCGCCTCTTCAAGGAGTGCCGTGCGATTCTTGGGGAACATGCATCTAGTGAGGACTCGTTGGTGTTCCATATTGATTCACTAGGTATTGAGCTATGCGAGGTAAGTCAAGAGCTCACTCTACTTCTTTTCAAGCTTCGTGCTGACCATATTATAGGATAATACTCACGTCACGGAAATTACACTGTCTCAGATCGTTGACACATACCTGCACTTATGTCGTAATAGTGGTATCGAACAACCTGAGCCGTTATACCTTGGTCTCAACACACGGCCTCATCTGTCCTCGGAGCTGGCAGCATTGCTCAATGCGGCAAAGGAAGGCAAAGGTATTTCAGACATACAAACCTGGGAAGAGGAATACGAGCATGAAGAAACGGAGGATGCAGGAGGTTCCAGCCGGGCTGAATTGTCAAAGCAACACGATGATGAGCGCGACCAAGGCGAGCACACCCATCTTCCGGAAGAGGAGCTACAGAACGAAAGTCTAGATAACGAACCGGCCAAAAGTCAAATTCATGAAACTGAAGTTCAAGAGGAACCCCAACCCGAAGGTGGCTTAGTAGACGTGCATGAACTCCGTCAAGCTGGCGTCGACTCTACCGACTTTCAGCAGTACCACGATGAAGAGGAAGACGGTGAGCCCAACACAGCAATTAACGAAAGCCATCAACTTGCCGAAGCCCAAGCAGATATGGAACGACCAGACGATGTTGAAGAAAAGGAACCTCTTGACACATCAAACCAGGAGCCAACTACAGAGGCGAAATATCAGCAACAGGAAGGATCAATCACCGGTCCTGGTGTAGATGAATTTGTTGCGGTTGATGCTAGTGTCGTAGGTCATGAAAATCAGGAATTCTTAGCGGATGAACACGATTTTGCATCTGACTCTCAAGTGGAGCAAGACGATCGTCAAGAACAAGAAGCTTCAACTGAAGACAATGTTGACGCCGCAGAACTAACAGAAGTATCTGAAAACGCTACTGCAACTGAGCAGTATAACGAGACAGGCGGTTATGAAGATGAAGAAGAGATAGTTGGTCAAGAAGAATCTGTTGAGCAGGAGGAAGGCGAATACGACGAAGTTGCCGGTGATGAAAACTATGAAGATTACGCCGAAGAGGAGTACCATCAAGATGATCTGCAGCATGAAGATGATGAAGAGCTGGCCGGAGATGAGCACACTGAAGAGCTTCAAGAAGGGCAAAATGATGGCTCCTATGCTGCTGATCAATTCGACGAGGCTTCCAGCAAAACAGTTTCTGCATCGAATGAGCCAGTCGATAACAAGGATGATTTGCTGGATGACTTACAAGCCGGTACAAAACCAGACCCGACTGGAGACCTTGATTATGCTCAAGAGATTCCAGATCTTCCTGACCTGCCGGACGACGACCTCCTTGATCTGGATGACGACATTTTTGCCGATACGGAACAAGCCACCCAGCGCGAGACGGAAAATGGTAACGACCATGATGTCTCTGCTGAGCAAGCGACTGTCACCAATGACGACCAACAGAATGCTCAACTCAAGCGTCAGGGAAGCACAGTTGGAAAAAGACCCCGTTCCGATGAAGAGGAGGAGATTGACTTTGACGGAGTGCCGAGTCCTGGCGCAAAGCGCACCCGGTCATCATAGACTCAGCGTCATCAACGTTCTCCAGCTACGGCCGCCTTTTATATCGCATGAGGGTCACGTCGATTTATTGTTTGGTTCACTATTACGTCCCCATGTCTTGGGTATGCCAGGCAGATGGCCTAGAGTGTCTGTGAGCGTCACGGCCATATTCATCAGGTACGTGGAGACCGTATGTTGCGCTATACTAATATCTAGGTACATACAATCAACAACAACGATATTTCTCACGTATGAGACGAGCGGCCAAGATATAATTCAGTATTTTGCATGGTCTTGTTGCGTTTCCTCTTCTCCCTGCCTCCCTGTTTCCGTTGATTTTATTGTTTACCCGCATTGTTTTCTTTTCATTATTTCCATCAAGGAATTCTTTTTACAACCTAGGGATGCATTTGACGACGGCGCATGGTCTGATTGAGTATTATACCTGGGAATCAATCGGCGTCTGGATTTCGATTGAGTGGGACGGTCTATGGTCGACTTCGACCGATGTACTAATTATCACAAGGGTCCTGTCGAGGCCAGTGTTGATATATGGCTGTATAGTCGTTTAGCTAGCGATTGATGGCAATAGGGCTGTCATCAATTCCAAAAATTCTTAATTTGACTCTCTTTAGTACTGCGTACTATAATGATGATTGCCATAATGCTGTAAGTCATCGATCAGTTTCAGATCTCTCAACCTGAAGCAGCAGCAGCGGGACCCTGCCCTGTCGAAGCCCCTGAATGCTGCGGGCCAATTGATGGCGGCGCGGGAGGGCTAGTGCGCGGCCTAAGGCTGCTAAGCACTGCCACTTTTTTCCGCTTTCGCACCTTTCCCTATTCGCCAAGAACATCACACAACCTCAGGCTCCAAGGCTTTAACTAAGGCTCCCAGGCAGGGCTTAGTGTTACTGTTGCAGCTGACTTGTTCACTATCTTCAATGTCAATGTGCTTCCCTACCAAGCCTCCTCAAACAACACCGACTCAGCCAACTCAGTGACCCCTTTCATCGCTGATCTATCACGGTCACAGTTTCTTCGAACCGGTAGTTCCTCGACCTAAGCGTCTTTTGTCTCTGGCCTCGGTCCTCCGCTCGTCATTCGTTTGAAACACGCGTCCATCAGGACGAACTCGTCGCACACCCCACTGCGAGTGATCCAGCCAACTACCTCTTATTCTCTCTTTTCGATCTGGACAGTTTGACAATTGCTGCTTTCTCCTCATCGACCTCCTCGGCTACCCATCATTTTCCCACAGAGCCTCTGTCAATACTCCGCCGCCAGCTCGATCGATTGACTCTGCGCCGGAGTGCTCACCACTAACGACGGGTTTGCGGAACGTGGCTGGTTCATTTCCGCACCATCTCCGATCTTTGCACGTTCGAAGTTTCAATTACCAGCACTCACGAGTTGATACACTTTTATCTTCTTCGAAGATCCTATAGTCTGTCTCGTTATCGCATACTCCGAGATCGTGAATCACGATCAACGTCAGCTACCTCCGTATACGTGCATGTGGATTCGTATCGCATGCCATTGAGCAGCGCTTCGATTTCAACTAGACTGGCGCATTCGCTACGTTGGGGCAGTAAGCTCCGGGATTGATATAAGATATGGTTTCAGACAAGTACGACCACATAGCTCCAGCCAGATTTTTGACGCATAGATGTCTGATGCAATCTTGATTTAGATATGTTGGATTGGCATTAGCCATTGTATCGACATTAGCTATAGGTCAGCTGATTCCCTGCCAGCATTGCTATCTTGCTTTCCTCTTTCTTCTTTCCTGTATACTAACACCTATATCAGGAACTAGTTTCGTGATTACCAAAAAGGTACGTCGCACACACTCCGCTGGCGACCTGCGTCGTTCCGAACGGCGCCCAGCTCATCGCTTACTCCATCAATTGACTAACACCACACAATAGGGATTGTTGCACGCTTCGGAAACGCACGGCTTTGAAGGAGAGGGGTTTTCGTATTTACGAAGCCCGATATGGTGGGCAGGAATAGCTACATGTACGCCAGCACAGATGCAATGATTCAGAACAAGCCGCTAATTCTGGATGTAAACAGTGGCTATCGGAGAAGTTGCGAACTTCGCGGCATACGCTTTCGCGCCAGCTATCCTGGTTACGCCATTGGGTGCTCTAAGTGTCCTGATAGGGTATGTTTCGATCTGTGGTTGTTTTTGTGGATAACTGATTGACAATGGATAGTGCCGTCCTCGGCTCATACTTTCTCAATGAGCGACTAGGAACGTTGGGCAAACTTGGCTGTGCCATGTGTCTTCTCGGGTCCGTTGTTATTGTTCTCCATGCGCCTCCAGACAAGCCCGTTGAGAGTATTGAGGAGATTCTCGGATATGCGCTGAGTCCAGGTAATTACTTCTCGAGGGAATAAAAATGATCAATAACACTAATCTATTGCAGGCTTCTTGCTTTACTGTGTCGCTGTAGCGATCTTCTCTTCAGTCATGATTTACCGTGTTGCTCCTATTCACGGAAAGAAGAACCCCCTTATCTACATTTCCATTTGCTCAACCGTTGGCTCAGTATCTGTCATGTCTATCAAGGCATTTGGAATAGCACTGAAGCTCACCTTCAATGGCAACAATCAATTCACGCACGCCTCGACCTACGTATTTGCGATTGTTACCGGCTTTTGTATTCTGACACAGATGAACTACTTCAACAAGGCTTTGAGCGAGTTCTCTACAAATATGTAATTTACCCGATCTACACTGCATTTGCATTGTCTAACTGACTCGTCAAATAGTGTCAACCCTCTATACTACGTTACCTTCACGACCGCCACACTGTGCGCCTCTTTCATCCTTTTCAAAGGTTTCAATACTACCGACGCTGTGAACACCATTTCACTGCTCTGTGGCTTTCTCGTTATCTTCTCCGGTGTTTATCTCCTCAATCTTTCTCGACATGACCCAGATGGCCGACAGCTCCTCGCTTCGAAAGATGACGAAGATGGTGTGCCCACAGATGCCATCGCAAGCTTCTCTACCAGGCGGTCAATGCAGGCACGCCGAAGCACAGATCCCCATCGACGAAGCTCTTCCAGTATTGCCTTCCTGAACGGAAATAGCGACAGAGAAGGGCTTATGAGATCGTATGATGCCGAAAATGGCGTCATTGGGTTGACTGAGCTCAGGGAGGAAGATGACGGCGCGCCTGGCCCTACACGCAAATCACATGTCGATGACAATCCACCATTCCACACCAAGCAAGACGATCGATAAATGTGGTATCTTCGAACTTGATACAATTGGCTTTGTCAGTCGACAGTCTATGATGCGTGCATGATCTTTTACTCAACGACATTTCAACCAGCTATATGCTTAATGGAACTTTTCTTCGATTGATTCTCAGTCTGAACTTCAGACACGGGTTCCTGTGGAACTCCGGCTTCACACTTTTGTACTCTATTGGATTTCCAGGCGTTATTGAGGGTTTCAATATAAGGAGGATCGACTATCGGTGGTAGGAGTGGAGGAAATTGCATCTGGTCCTATCAACATTGACCAGACTCAGCGCTTTTCTGTTATGCCGGTTCTTCACTGGGTGGAGATTACCGGTGGTGATCTCTTGGCCTGGGCTCATGATGTATATATCGTCCGTCACACCGTCACCCAGCATTTGTACTCTAGAAAGTTTTGGATAATGGTTGACAAGTTTATCGGCTTTTTTCGCAGGATGATATCATGTAATTGTAGGGTATCTGCTTCATCAAATCATCTTCATCTCAACAAGATTGAAGGTAACTAGGTAGTGTCCATTTCTCTGAGCCAGACACACTTCAAAAGCTTGTCTGGATCCCCCCCATTCTTCAGCAACGAGTCCCTCAGCCCAAGGTACCGCCAAAAACCCAACCCATCTTTACAAATCGTCTTTAATGCAACCGTTACACCGCGCCGTCCAAAGACATTTTTGAATCTCTCTAGAAGCCTTTGAGTGAGATCTCTTCTGCCATCTTCTACCTCCCTGTCTTCTGTAAGATCTACGAGCTCAACAACCCGTCTAGGACGACGCCCCGGATCATCAGACTCGATATATACATACAAATTCCTCAAACTCGAGAACCGCTCCGACCCAGGCGATAAATTTAAGAATGGGAGCACAGAAGAGGCAATATCAATATTCACCGCCAGATTTCGAATCCTCGCCAACATAGCGACATCAAATTGTTCCCCAAACGGGAAATATGCCCTCCTGGACACACCGTTGCTGCTGCTGCTGCTCGGCAAGAATCGCCCAAAAACAACGGTATCATGGTCAAAATTAAAGTATACTTTTGCGCAATGTTTCGCGACTTCTGCGGCATTACTTTCGATGGTCGTTGTTGGGTATTCTTGACCCTTGGCGGAGAAGCCGTGGTGAAGCACCACCCCGGCTTGTCGCAAGGGCGGGCAGTGCGCCCAGCCGAATGCAAGTTCGTAATGACCCAAGGCCAAAGCGCGTGTTTCGTGGCAGATGTGTAGAAGTATGGGCGCCGGGGTGGAGCAGAGACATTGATAGACGGATTCTTGGTTGTAGCCGCCGCAGACATAGGCGTCAGCGTCGGGCTCCTTTGGGGGGAACTCGCGCATGTTTAGGTATACGGTGCGAGGTTGGTGGAGGAGGGCCTCCCAGATGAGGAGGCGGATTTCATATGGAAGGTCGGAGAGGTTTGGCATGGCGGGCTTTACTTCATCTTCGTGGAAAAAAGGACAGTTCTGTGAGATTTCCGTTGCTTTAATCTAATCTGCATGTTTTGTTTTAGCGCTATAGGCATGGACTCTTAATCTAGTGTATTGGGTTGAGTTCAGGCCTACATCCAGACATCAAGAGACTGGCTGCGATCTCCTTTTCATGTTGGATTTCTCACATGGGGAGGCCAGAGACTGCATTAGAAATAAAGCCAGTAGTCTCCTAGTCACATTAGCCCATAGTTGTATATAGGCACGTGGGGACTAGATGGAAGGTGACGTTATCCCGCGGCACCGGGCAGGCACTTGATCATTCCACCTTTTCTTCTCCTTCACTCAACATTTCACCTTCAACATGAAGTACTTCTCCTTCTTCCGAACAAAACTCAAATCAATCGGAGTCTAAACTGTCCTCTGTCGCCTCACAACCCCCAACCCAAACCTATAACTTGCTCGGCCGGACACGGAAGTTACGGCGGCGGGGCGCCTGTCGAATTTCAAGATGCCCAGCTTGGTGCGAAAGCTCGTTATTTTCGCCGCTGTCGATGGCCTGATTCTACAGCAAAGTGATCGCGGACAGCGGGGCTCAATTAATGGAAATCTATCAGTACAGATCGACTACAAGACGAGGAAGATTACCTCGTTGTCGCAAGCCCGCTCCGAATCTAACGCGAAGTCAACATCGCCGTGTTTAGAGGTGTATGGGCTTGTGGGTATGTTCTTTACTGTGGTTTTGTGCAAAAATATACAAAGTGCTAATATAAACGACAGGATTGCTGAATATCGCCTCATCCTCGTTTCTCGTATCCATAACACAGCGCAAAGAAGTCGCCCAAATACTTGGAAAACCGATATATGCAATTACAAATGTCGCCATTATACCATTAACGTCCCAAGATGATGCAAATCGCGCTATTTTTCAGGCACAGAACACTGCAAAGCAGGGCGGAGACGAGTCTGATCAGAATACTAACGATGATACATCCAGTAGCGAGGCTGGCAGTGAGGCCGACAGTGGTGATGAGGGTATAGTAACCACGCCCGCGGTGTATCTTGATGATCAGCAAGAGCCACCACATAACAGTGTTGCGCAAGATGTGATCGGAAACAGAGGTCGCAACAACCGGTTTACGCTCAATTGGTTCTCGAGAAAGCGATGGGGAGCCTCAGGAGGCTCCCCCCATTCCAAATCGGACCCTTCTCCATCCGAGACTGAGAGAGCGAAAGAAGCGTCTCCGGAAAAGGTAGAGCCTCTTCGAGAATCTGAAGAGGTCCGCACCGAAGCCGAAGCCGCGCCTGTGGTTGAGAAGGCGGCCGAGGACGTTGAGTCTCAGTCTCACCTACCTTCCAGCAAGGCTATAGAACTCATGCCTAAGTTGCTGAGATATACGAAACTGTTATTTGCGTCTAGCAATTTCTTCTTCTCTTATGATTATGACTTGACTCGACGATATAATACCCAGGATCCTAGAACGGCTCAGCTGCCGCTTCATGTACTTGCTGATCGTATAGTAAGGGTTGCTGTTCTGTTGCATAGCTAACCCGTGAGCTGATTTTCATATTACAGTACTTCTGGAACAAACATTTGATACAGCCCTTTATAGACGGCGGCGACACGGCCCGATCGTTCGTGTTGCCACTAATACAAGGTTTTGTCGGCCAGCGTGAATTCACAGTTGCGTCTGTAAAAGACCGTGTTGAGGACCTGGAGAATATTCAGGCGCCTGATGATGTATTGCCCTCGCCAGCTACTGTAGTTAAAGAGGAAACAAATGAGGAGAAATTGGCAGAAGACCCCAAAAAACAGAATTTTCTTCTGACGCTCATATCTCGACGGTCAATCCAGCGCCCTGGGTTACGATATCTACGACGCGGTGTGGATGACGAGGGCAACACAGCCAACACCGTAGAGACTGAACAGATATTGTCAAACCCAGGATGGGACCCGGCCCGAAAAGTCTACTCACTCGTCCAACTCCGTGGCTCTATACCGCTTTACTTTACACAGTCGCCTTACTCGCTGAAGCCGATGCCCGTTCTTCACCATACCTATGAAACAAATCAACTCGCGTTTGCTCGTCATTTTCGAGACCTATCCAGGAAATACGGCAAGATACAGATTGTGTCTCTTGTCGACAAGCATGGGGTGGAACTGAAAATAGGCGAAGCTTATGAGTCTTACACACGAGCCTTCAACGAGAACGAAAGCTCTAATGGTCTAAACCTAGGCTTTGAATGGTTCGACTTTCATCACGAGTGCCGTGGGATGCGATTTGAAAACGTCAGGTGCCTTGTGGATAAGCTGGTCGACATTACGATGGACTTCGGAGAGACGATAATCCTAGGCAATTCGTTATTGAAAAAGCAGACAGGCATTATTCGCACTAATTGCATGGACTGTCTAGACCGTACAGGAGTCACACAGTGTGCCTTTGCCCAGAGATCATTGGAGCAGTCACTGAAAAGCGAGGGTTATACGATTGATCTGCTAGGCGACGCATCGACACATTGGTTCAATACTCTTTGGGCTGATAATGGTGACGCCATCTCGAAACAGTACTCTTCAACCGCAGCTTTGAAGGGTGACTATACACGGACGAGGAAGAGGAATTATCGAGGTGCGTTGAATGACTTTGGTTTGACGCTATCACGATACTATAACAATATCGTCAACGATTACTTTTCGCAAGCATGTATCGACTACTTGCTTGGCACTGTATCCATCCAGGTATTCAGCGAATTTCAAGATAACCTGAAAACCATCGACCCTGGTATTTCGATAGCGAAACTGCGGCAAAATGCCATTGAGACATGCAGTAGGCTTGTTGTGGACGATCAAACGGAGGAACTTGTCGGAGGCTGGGCTATGCTAAGCCCTCGACAGCCCAATACCTTGCGAACTTTTCCTTTCGAAGAAACTGTTTTATTGCTCACAAATGCAGCTCTATATAACTGCCGATTTGACTGGAACACAGACAAGGTCCTCTCATTTGAGCGGATCAACCTTAGTTCCATCCGCCATATCAATCACGGAACCTACATTACTTCTGTCTTGACAGATGCTCAGACCGATGAGCAACGCAATGTCGGCATGGTAATTGTCTATCAGGACAGCGAAACCAACGCTTTTCGAGTGAATACGCGGTCGCTCCAAAGCAGTTTCAACCAGGATCTCCAAGACACACCAGAGAAGAAAGAGGAATGGAATTTGTATTCCTGGCTCAGTGGTACGAAACGGACGTCTATGCGGTTGATGGCTTTCAAGGCACTTGCTTCATCTACCTCCGTGACAGTTAGCAACAACACGATCTCGGAAACCTCCATCAGCGAAAGGGTCGCTATTCGGTCAATATGCGAGGAAATTGAACGAGCCATCAAGGCAGCACAAATAATGAAAGATGGAGAGGAAAGCGATAAAGAGTCTATCATCGAGGAAAAGGAGATCATATCGCTGGCAGAGGCTAAGAAAAGGACAGGGTATCTGGAGCAGCTTGTTTATGATGTCAAGAAGCTGGTGTGGGCATAGACCTCCGCATTTCCTTCCATTCATGAGAATTAGATAGAATATATTGTATATAGTATTCTGTATGTCATTCATAGATAATTACCAACTTCTGATGTGTTGTTTGCTTGATGAGATGAAGATATCACACGATTTCAGCGGTTGATAAGCTAAGATTGTCGGTTGTGAGAACCACACTCCTTATTAAAATGCTCTAGAAGATCTTTGATAATTCAATATTTCATTCCGTTGAATTATTCTACTAGATTTCATCGGTTTATTTTCTGTATTTATTTTTTTGTATAGAGATGGCTCCAAGGCGGTCAGACCACCCCACTTGGCAGTCACCTGGCAGATTTGGCAGCCACAGAGAAGAACGACACAACATCCTGTTTTCTCTTAGCCATTGCACCTGACACTCAGCTGTCCTTTTTCTTTCTCCGTTCTCTCTTTTTATATCTGTTTCTCTTGTTGGACCCATTATATCCCGTACAAAGGGATGGTTTAGTCTGAAGCAGCGTCTTGAGACAGATAAACCAAAAAMCCTYCCCCGCCGAACCCGCTATTCCTCCCACCACCGAAAGATTTTGTCGCCAACACCAGCTTTGCGCAGACCTTGAACGGTCAAAATACCTCAAAGTAAGACCAGCACCAAATTAATTGGTGCTGTATACTTGAATTTCTCCAGCAAAAATACACTGTTGTGGGCTCAGTTTTTGCACATCTGCGACGGGTCCCGTCTATACACTTCAACGATGGAATGGCAACCGCAGGAAGAGCCATTGAGGCAGCTCGCTAGCTACCTCAGGGACTCTCTGAATGCGTATGATCGCAACCTTCAGAAACAGGCAGAACTGGTATGTTGAGTCGTCTGGATTCTCGTTTCCAGTGTCCAAGCACCCCGCGTTCTATACTCAATCAAGAGAAGAAATAGAAAGATTGTTGCGCTAACACCTCATGGTCGAGTACAGATGCTCACTAGAGCTACAGCGAGCCCCGATTTCGTAAACTACTTGACGTTCATATTCTGCACCGAAACCCCTCCCCCGGCCGTCTCCATGGATCGTGACACCTACAACATTGTCCGATTTTCCGCGGCTCTCAACCTCAAGAGTAAGATTCATATAGCTTACAACGGAATCCCGCCCGAGAGCTTGGTATTCGTCCGCCGAGCGACTCTTCTAGGGCTGCGAGACTCAAATCAGCAGATTCGCCAATCTGCCGGCAGTATAATAACGGAATTGATTCAAAAAGGGGGGTTACTTGCTTGGCCTGAAGTGCTGCAGGAACTGTTGGGTCTTGTTGCGAACGTGTCGGGTGATGTGACACAGTCTACTCAAGAAGCCGCCATGTCAGCTGTCGCAAAGGTCTGTGAAGACAACCGCAAGATTCTGGACAAAGATTACGGCGGTCAAAGACCGCTGGAGGTTATCATTCCTCGTTTGCTGGAGTTCACTGGCAGTGACAGTTCTATAATTCGATCCACTGCGCTCAGCACAATTCAAATCTTCCTCTCAATGAAGCCCCAAGCGCTGATCTCCAACTTCGATACATTCATGAACAACCTTTTCCGCCTTGCTAGCGATCCATCTACCGACGTCCGTCGAACCGTTTGTCAGGCATTTGGACAACTTGCGGAAATTGCACCTGAGCAGCTCATCCCTCATTTGGCGGGTTTGGTGGATTACATCATTCTGCAACAGAACAACAATGAAGACCCTGAACTTGCCCTGGATGCAGCTGAGTTCTGGCTCACGGCTGGAGAGCAGCCGATCTTGCAGCAACCTCTTGGACCGTTTCTTCCAAAAATTATCCCTTTGTTGCTACGAAGCATGATATACGACGAGGATGAAGTGGAACGCTTGGCTGCTGAGAACGATGATGCGGAGGAAGAGGACCGCGCTGAGGACTTGAAACCTCGTTTCGCAAAAGCCAAGGGCTCCAGATTAGAAGGGTCCACCGATCCAAACGGCAAGCCGGAGCTTGTTGAAGAGCGAGAAGATGGAGAGTTAAGCGAGGAGGAGTCTGACTATGATGATGGTGACCCTGAAGATGCCTGGACCTTAAGAAAGTGCTCAGCTGCCGCGCTGGATATTTTTTCGAATGTCTATCATTCACCTGTATTCGACCTTATTCTTCCTTATCTCAAAGAAACCCTTCGACACGAACAGTGGCCGAACCGCGAGGCCGCTGTTCTGACTCTCGGTGCCGTTGCTGATGGATGCATGGATGCTGTTACTCCTCACTTGCCTGAGTTGATTCCTTACCTCATTTCCTTGCTAAACGACCCGGAACCGGTGGTCCGGAAAATCACTTGTTGGTGTCTGGGTAGATACTCCGAGTGGGCTGCTCATCTCGAAGGGCCCAACCAATCTGCACAGTTCTTCGAGCCAATGATGGAAGGTATCCTACATCGCATGCTTGACAATAACAAGAAAGTGCAGGAAGCTGCTGCATCGGCATTTGCCAGCCTCGAAGAAAAGTCTGATGCCAGCTTGATTCCATACTGTGAGCCGATATTGCGGCAATTTGTTGAATGTTTCAAAAAGTACAAAGATCGCAACATGTACATCTTGTACGACTGCGTTCAGACATTGGCAGATTGTGTCATGGGAGAGTTGGCTAAACCCCATCTCGTCAATCTCTTGATGCCGGCTTTGCTCGATCGATATAACAGGATAAGCGATCAGTCGCAGGAGCTGTTCCCTCTACTTGAGTGCCTTGGCTACATTGCTGCTGCTTACGGCGATGTATTTACACAGTTTGCTGCTCCTATCTTCCAACGATGCTCTAGAATCGTGTACGACAATATACAGCAATCGGTTCAAGCAGCGCAAGACTCGTCTATCGAGGAGCCGGACAAGGATTTCCTCATCACTAGCTTGGACTTGATGAGCTCTATCATACAAGCCATTCCATCTGACGAGATCAGCCAGCTCGTTGCAAACTCCCAGCCAAAATTCTTCGACTTGCTGTGTTACTGCATGAATGATTCCAACAATGAGGTGCGCCAGTCATCTTACGCTTTATTGGGTGACTGCGCGATCCACATTTTTGACCAATTACAACCTTACATCCCGACTATCATGCCTGTTCTAATCAAACAACTTGATCTCGAGTCCCTTGTGGATGAGACAACTTTCAGTGTGGTTAACAACGCTTGCTGGTCGTTGGGCGAAATTGCTTTGGAAGAAAAGGCTGATCTGGGACCTTGGCTCGAGAAGGTGTATCCGGCATTGCTCAATATTATTTCTAATGAAATGGTCATTGATTCGGTGAATGAGAATGCTGCCGTGGCTCTCGGTCGATTGGGTATTAGCAAGTCGGAGCTACTTGCTCCTCATTTGCAACAATTTGCTCAAGAATTCATCAAGTCAATGGCCAAAGTTGACTTTTCACGAGAAAAGGCCACTGCGTTCCTTGGATTTAATCGTGTCGTCATGCACAACCCGCAAGCCATGGAGAGTTGCCTCGCCGAGTATTTTAGCACCATATCCTCTTTCCCTCAAAAGTCTCTGGTTCAGGAAGAGTATCGAGACCTGCACCAATCTTTCCAACAGGTAAATAATTCGTATACAATCTCTATGTTCTATTTCCTTGACTAATATTGCTGCAGGTACTTAAAGGCTATCGGGATATGATCCCCGGATTTGACTCCTTCCTTGCACAACTGCCTCCACAGGTATCGCAAAAACTCAAGTCGACCTACCAGATCTAGGGAATCAAAAATTCTACTCCGTTTTCCTTTCCCTCTGTTTTACTTTTTTTTATCATTCAGCGGGCGATAATCTCTAATGTTCCTTGATCCTTTCTTTGCTTTTACGTTCGTCGAAGATATTACGCAGTATATGCTTTGCCTTCACCGTTCACGAGTATACACATCCGGGCAGAATATGTCCCAAAACGTTATGTCTTTGCTCTCATCTGTTATCCTGGGCTGACCCGGTCTCTATAATATCATACACCCAGCAGGAGACGAAAAGCATGTTTCAGCCGATTTCGAGACAAAAGCTATCTCTCTCCCTTTTGGCATTTCTGTACCATGGGACATTGCATCCTTTTATATTTTCTTTTCTTTTACGGCCGTTTTGATTCCCGAACTGGATAGGACTCTAGTCCGATTCATGTTCACTTTTTTTAGATAGATTAGATCATGGCTGTCTCACTAGGAGACGGTTCCTTTATGTGACTTACGTTTGTTCTTTCTGTCTAGAACTACCCTTTCAAGGTTCACACGATTTCGTCAATCTAGCTACAATGAGTCTACTCCCATCTAAAGTTCCTCGCAGGATGGCCCTCACGAACCCTCGGCCCCTTGCCATCCAAGAAATAATTCTCCCTCGCCGCACCACCCGGGACCTGATACTCATCCCATATAACCCCTCTCCTCCTCAACTCCGGCCACAAGAACTCAATCATATCCTCAAAAGTGCCGGGAGAAATAGCATACGAAAAATTAAACCCATCCACATCCCCAACATCAACCCATTTCTGCAATATGTCTGCGACCGTACTCGGCGACCCGATTGCTCTCGGATGCACACCCCCCAGACTTAATTCCTGCAGTATCCGTCTTTTTGTCCATTTGAGTCCGTTCGAGTTTGGTATGGTCTTGGACCAACTCTGAATCAACGACTGTATACCGGCAACGGACGTAAACGCGAAATCTTCATCGTCCTCGTATTTGGACAAGTCGGCGCCTGTCCATCCGCCGAAGAGAGTGGCGGTACCCTCAAAGTCGGCGTACGAGAGGTATTCCTCGTATTTGGCCTGCGCTTTTTCGTCGGTTTCGTCGACAACGATGAGCATGCCGGCAACGAATTTTATGCTATTGGGGGCGCGACCGACGTCTACCAATTGTTTCCTGGAGTTGCATGTGTCAGTGGTTGGATCTCTGGAGAGAGTGTCGGGGTTTACCTCATGTCGTCGACGATTAGGCGTGTTTTTTCGGGCTCAAGGCCAGGGAGAAACATCACTTCGGAGTGGCTGGCGGCAAATTTCTTTCCTGCTCTTGATGGAGTCAATAAGGTAATTCTATGTAACATTTAAGAGGAGACGTACGACGATGCACCGGCCTGAAAAAGAAGTGGTGTTCGTTGCTTAGACGGAGGAAGCTGGTTCGCCGCGGTGCTCTTGAAGTACTTCCTACAATCAATTGATCAGTATACCTTCCAACTTACCACTCCCGCAAATATTCAACATACCCCTTATGCTCAATCCCCCTCACCTGCGACGGATCGCTATAGACCTTTGTCTCCGGATCCTTCTTGACAGCTCCATCCTGCCATGTCCCCTCCCACAGCTTATAAGTAAGTTCCATATACTCATCTGCACGCGTATATCGTTCGTCATGCGGGATCTGTTCGTCGAGGCCGTACGCCTTTGCGGCACTGTCAAGAAAGGAGGTCACGATATTCCATCCGATTCGGCCTTGGGTGAGATGGTCGAGCGTTGAGAATTTCCGGGCAAGGGCGTAAGGGGAGAGTTCGTAGGTTGTCGAGGCTGTGACGCCGAAACCGAGGGACTTTGTCACGGATGCCATGGCGGATATCAATAGACTATAATGCCCCAACGCTCAGTACTAAGTATTTGATTTACACCCGGTGATTATGAGGAGTGATAAATACAACGGATCTCCAATCGGGAACTGAGCCCCTGACAGTAACGCCGGCTCACGATTCGCAGGCCCCTTGTAGACATCATAGATTCCTAGATGATCTGCAAGAAATAATCCATGGAATTTTCCTTCTTCAAGAATTTTTGCGAGATTTATCCAGTATTCAAGATTCGCAAAGTCGCCTGCTTGGTCGCGAGGGTGCTTCCATAGCCCTAATTCGATCCATTAGTGGGATTATTTGTACTGCCTTGTTGGGGAATGGGTTTTACCAGGTGCTAAATGGCCAGGAGAGAACATGGCAAAGGCATTGAGGATCCATGGCTTAGGTCTTGATTCTGTCTCTGCCATGTTTGCTGTTGCTTGTCTTTTGAAAAATCCAATGAAATTGCTTTTAGGAGAAGAAGAAAATAAAGAGATCAATTGAGTTATTTGGAGGAAAAAMCCCCCGCCTCTCTTAATACAGTTATGTCACACGTCTACCTAATCCCTACATATGTACCTCATTAAACTTTCTTTACAGTGGTCAATCGTGGGGCAGATACTTGCGTACCTATCTGCGTAGTCGGATCTCTTTTCTAGCTTATCGGTATCTCGACGATTATGTCCAACAGAACCCGAACATTGCGCCATCTGAGCTCTATCTTAAGCCATCAATGAACATCCACCACGAGGCACTTAATTGATGCACATGCTTCTGTAGCAGAGAAAGATAAACCGCGGAGCAAATGCCGATCTATGGATATTGTTGTAGATTGAGGGGTCGGACTGTCTCCGATTCTGTATGGTGGGATGTATTGCAGAGTTATGATACAAAATTACATACAGATACGTGGTAAGTGTATGTATTGAAAAATAAACAGGTATGGTATTCTTGTCTTTACTATATAACCATGTACTTTTTCTTTACCCCCCAACGCAGGTGAGTCTTTGGACTACTGAATCGTGTATAAACCTCAGCTGACACTGAAATCAATGGAAGCATCCGCTGATTTTGTGATCCAACCGAATAATCACTCCGACTTTTCCAAGACCCCCGAACGGTTTTGCACAGATAGGCTCTCAGTCGACGCCTCTTTCTTCTCCGTAGTAGACGTAAATGTCTCATTCTGAGAATTAGCGGACTTTGCATCTTTCTTTCCTGTCAGAGATTGAAAGAAAAGAGTAAACGCCCTGGCCAAAACCTTTCGGCCATCAATAACTGGATATACGACTGCTACCAGAATGCAGAAAAACAACCATATCTCGGAAACGACTGTCCAGCCCATGAAAAACTAATGACCATTAGCTCAAAACAATATAACGATGTCTGAAGGTAAACATAGGACTTACTGATTTGCCAAAGATGTAGTCACGGTACAGTGGCAACGGCCATACAACCCAGGTGACGAGCCCGATCACTGCGCTGAAGATCGCTGCCAGAGTCGCGGCTCGATTCATCCGTTTCAGTTCCTGAGGTGAATATGGGTGAGTAACATTATCCAAATCTTTGATTTCATTAACGAGATTGTTTGTCGAGTTGTCATCGTCACTTTCGTCTCTGACCTCGCTTAAGAGCAGGAAGACTCTCCAATCAAAATTGTCAGGCTAAATTCTTTCTATTAGTGTTCGTTCCTATGGCTGTAATTCCACGGATATAATACCTTAATATAAGTTATCACGATTGAGTAGATAGCTGAAGAGAAGGTTGAGGTTAGGGCTCCCCAGAGACAGGGTAGCTGTGCCTCTGTTGATAAAATAGTCAATTCCCCGCTGTATGCATATGCACTTCCTAGCCAGACTGCAATTCCACTAGCCTGCTGCAATGTTAGACAATCGACAATTATTCTGACACAGTATTCCCCAAATGTAAAGAACGTACCAAGCCAAGAAGAGGAGCAATAATAGCGGCCGCCGCAGACTGCTTCTTCCAAAGAATCGTAAAAGCCAACGGAAACATCCCGGGACAGATAATCGTAGCCAAAAAGTATCCCATCCAATTCAAATCAATACCTCCGTAGTGTAGTGCAGTCGCGAATGCAGATGCAAAGACACCGAAAATAACGACAGTCCAGTGCGATACTCGAATAACTTGACGATCATGAGCTTTGGGGTTGATGTAAGTCCGATAGATGTCGAAGGAGAATATACTAGAGACGGCGATTAATTCGGCGGATGTTGTGCTTGTTACGCACATGAACACGACGAGGAGGAGGGCCCAGGCGCCTCCTTTTCCGGCTATTGCCATGACAGTATAAGGTAGGACGTAGCCGGCGTTGATTTCTTCTGTGGTCATCAGCTGTTAAGGAATTGATTAGTGTCGGATGATCAACGAATATAAGACAGACGTAGAAGACATACTCTTGGGTATGTTGGAAATATGGGAGACTTTTCCAAAGCAATTGCAGCTAGACCCGTAGTTGTTCCAACCTATGCGAGGTCAGTCATGCATGTTTTTTTGACGACATTAGATAGATACGCACAGCCCAAGGCACAGCAAAATAAGCAATTCCACCTAGCATATATCCCGGCTATCACAAATATCATCGTCAGATCACCATTCAATTTCCCAATTGTACCGTATAATACTCACCATTGTAGCCGCTGTGTCAGCAGCGAATCCTGTGACATAGGTTAGCCCTTATATACATAAGTAGATATGAATGTCCTCGATATATACCTTTCTGCCAGAAACTAGTGTCCATGATAACCAAAGCAAAATCTCCAAAAGAATGAACTAAGCCAAAGATGATAGAACTTTTAGACTTGAAGGAGAGTATAGATCCTTGGTAATTGCCAGCGATGTCTCGCGATTTATCCGCTTCGACGAGCACGTCGTAGAAAGAGCTGAGGCCGGTGATCGCGGGATTGTTGATAACCTTGATGGTAAGAAAGGCCAGGATGACCATGACAATCAAGGTGTGTCTACAACACACTAGTAAGTAATTGTGATGTTCAAGTTCAGAGGTCTCCCGACTTACACATAATCTGTCAAGAATGTTGCCTTTAGCCCTCCCGCAACAGTGTAGACAATCACACCCAGGGGCAATAGGAAGGTTGACGCAACGATATTCATGCCAGTGAGGGCAGTAATTACCCCGGCGGCACCAAGTATCATGGAGGTAACGGACAGCAAATTCGTGACGAAGCAGAGGAATATGTAGATGATATGTGCCGCCATTCCATATCGCAAGCGTACAATTTCTAGTACAGTGTGACCATTACTTTTCAGTCGCAGTTTGTTAGTAAGATCTGAAAATTATAAGTAAATTTAATATGAGAGTATCCTTACGGAACCTTGACTTTTGCATGAATAGCGAGAACCGTCATCAACGCAATCTGAATCGAAACCCCAGCCGCGTACCAGAATGGAGCTGCAATTCCATAGAGATATCCTTGTGCTGTTGTCCAGATGATAGCAGTTCTGAGAAAAGATGCATACTTGTCAGTTATCTCCTGTCAAAAGAACAACAGCTCTTAAGTACATACGCCCACATCCACGAAGACACTACAGCCGAAGCCGTCAAACCTGTTCCCACGCTACGATTTGCAACCATAAACCTGAATCAAGACTTTAATAACGGCTTATACTGCAAGTATTTTTCGCGATTTGCTCACATCTCTGTATGATCAGACTTTTCATTAAGGTACCGCTCGAGAAATCGATTGACCAGTACCATGCCGAGACCGAAAGCCAGACCAATTCCCACCACAACACCATACCCAGCTCCTTGCGAGAGTGGAACGAAGTTCTCGGATAGCATCTTTTTTGCCTAGTGCTAACGTCTGCTTTCTTTTTCTTGAATGTTGGGAGTGACAGAAGACTTGATCAAAAATTTGCTACACTCTCTGGCAGATAGAGCACTGTTTACTTATATATTTTCTACTAGTCCACATGGTACCTAAAGCAGCGTGTACTTGAGACCAACAGAAAAAAACGCATATCAGTGATGCGTGGTACAAAGTCCTCTTTGGTTTGACCACGCATAAGGACTTCCCAGAGAGCATCAAGTTTTGTACATAAATCCACTCTCAAAGGAAGCAGCAAGATTAGGCCTTGTACATAAGATCACATCATACTACTCCACACTAAACTCATGATAGCATGAAAAAAAAAAGGAAAATATGGATATCGAGTCGAGAAACCTCTGCGTTTTCGGAGCTTAGGCCGTAGTACAGTTTGATGTGAAGAAGGTCCACGGCAGGAATATTTCCGTATACAGGAAAGCCGTGCGGTCAATTAGAATCAAAGTCTAATTAGTGATCGACTCTGTAATCAAAGTGTGGAGCTTCTTTTCGTCTGTCTAAGGTCGTTGCGAGTCATTATTCTGTTGCATATGTCATGTGATTATCAAATACCCTAAGAACGGACGGGATACGTTACATCGTTACATGTTACAGTATTTCGGCATTTGTATTAAAACGACGGTTACTGTAAGGTCTATTACATAAAGTTTACCTGTTCATTGGTAACTGACAAGACATTTACCAGGTTGAGCTCTTTATTACTATTAAGACAATCAATAGACCTTGATCCACTGAGGGGTTTTAAATATGCTGTTATCGGGTCGATAATAACGTGATTGCTCGATCGTAAGAATCGGGCGAGGGCTCTCACGTGTATATTTCTTGACAAGATCACCTATTATTATGATGGTTTATGAGCTGCTCTTGATCTCTGATCTCAAAATCATATCAGCATCGAAATAGTTAATCCATCTGTGATGGCTCTACTACAAGAAAATCCGGTCTCCGGAGCCGTTCTCAATGGCCACACAATCGACTCCAATGAAATCAAAACAGCATTCAAAACAAGCGTTTCCCCGCTTTCAGATCCTAAGGTCGAATCAAATGGAACGACTGAATCCAAGCCCAAATTCGAGATTGAAGAGCATCCTATCGATCAAGTTCGCGATATTAGAGTCGGAATAATCGGTGCTGGTTTATCAGGAGTCACGGCAGCAATTTTGTTGCGTGCAAAGCTGCCTGGTATTAACGTCACAGTGTATGACAAAAATGGAGACGTTGTGAGTCGCAATAACGAACGAACATAGAGGCTTAGCGACTGATAAAAACAGGGTGGGACGTGGTACGAGAATACGTATCCCGGTGTCCGTTGCGATATTCCTGCCCATGTATATCAATCCAATTTTGAACCCAACACTCAATGGACCGAGGAGTTTGCGCAGGGGCATGAAATTCGCAACTACTGGCAAGGCGTGGCCAAGAAGCATGGTGTTTATGATCGCTTGAAAACGAAGCAGAAGATCTTGAAGGTGGAATGGATTAACGAAGAAGCCAAATGGAAATTGACTATCCAGGATTTAAATACTGACAAGGTGAGCTATCTGCCCTTTAACTTTGCCTTTGACAAAACAATAGGGACTAATTTAGGATAAAGCTGTATGAAGAGAAAGTGGAATTCGTCATATCCGCCATAGGTCACTTTAATGCCTGGAAACTTCCAGACTACGAGGGTATTGAATCCTTCAAAGGACCACTCTTCCACTCATCAAACTGGGATCACAGTGTCGATTTGAAAGGAAAACGCATTGCTCTCATTGGCAATGGTGCTTCTGGTCTGCAAGTGCTACCATCTATACAACCATTAGGTAGCCATATCGACCACTACGCTCGCAATCGTACCTGGGTTGTGGACTCGTTCGGTGCAACAGGCGTACGCAGACTAGAACCTAATCTATTCAGCGAAGAAGACAAGGAGTCATTCAAGGACCCACAGAAATATCTCGAATACCGCAAGAAGGTCGAAGCAGACTACTTCCGCCGCTTTGGAGTCATTTTCAAGAACGATCCGCAAAACGCCGAACTTCGTGACAAATGGACAGAACTTATGCTTCGACGCGTGGACCCTACTCTAGCGGACAAGATTATCCCCGATTTCCCGCCTAATTGTCGACGTCCCACTCCTGGACCGGGATATTTGGAGGCCCTCTCCAAGCCGAACGTGAGCTATATCCAAGATCGGATTCAAAAATTCACCGAAAAGGGCATTGTCACCGTGGATGGAATTGAGCGGGAAGTGGATGTGGTGATTTGTTCTACTGGCGCGCATATCGACATGGCGCCACATTTTCCCATAGTCGCCAATGGAGTCAATTTGCAGGATGCGTGGAAGCCTGACGGTCTCTACGGGTATCCTCTTACCTATCTCGGTATTACTGCGCCGGGTGCTCCTAATATTGCTTGGATTCTGGGTCCAGCATCTGCCGGTTTCAGTGGTACCGTACCAAACAGTGTCGAGAATCAAGTGACTTATATCGCTAAAGTCATTCGCAAACTACGCAGCCAGGGAATTGCAAGTATCGCACCTTCTTTTGATGCTACGAATGAGTATCAAGAGTATGCTGAGCAATTCTATCAGCGAACTGTATGGACAGGAAACGATGATTCGTCGGAGGGCAATAAGAATTGCTCATCGTGGTACAATGGTGGTATTCCTGGAGGTCGCGTAGTTGGTCTGTTTCCCGGTAGCGCTGCTGCCGTGAACTACATATTGAGAGACCCTAGATGGGAAGACTATGAATATACATACACGAGCAGAAGTGGCAATCGGTTTGCTTGGTTTGGTAATGGTTGGACTACTCGAGAGAGCTCGCCTAATAGTAGTGTCAACTGGACACCACATCTGAAGGACCCGGCGGCGATTGATTTGAGGACACATTTTGAGGGCTGGTGGGATGTATAGTAAAGTTGAAAATAGAATCTTTCAAATAGTTTAAGTTGAGTGGAGATAATAAATTATGGTACGGTCAATTGTTACGTTGGTAATAAGCGTATATCTGATGTATCACCTTGATTTACTTGCACGTCTCGTGTTATTTATGTAAAGAATATTATTGTGAGTACTACTTATCCCTATTTTTTATTCATCCTTTGTAGTACTCACAATGAATGCGCGAGATAACCCTCATTACATTGATAGAAAGGTTACCCTAAGTGTAAAATTACAACAATACCAAGAAAAAATACATAAATTACATACTATCACATTGAACGCAAGACGCTCGTAGAATGGCGTGACCATGATAGGCAGCCCAGAAACACTCGAACTGGAATAATAATACGGAAATCTTGCCGGGAGTTAAGGACGTAGTGGGAGGATTATTGGCTCAAAGAGATTGCGTATATTTGATTTTTATAGAATCAAATCAATAAATTAATTGTTTCAACTAATCCTTGCCCTAAGCACTTGTCTACTTTCTGAATTGATCATCCCTCGAATGCAGCCAAACTTTTGTATGTAGAGTACATGTCTACCTCCTAACTATCATCTAAAGCTGTATCACTATTTTCCTGTCTAGTCAGGTATCTATGATAAATGCAAAATCGTAAACATATACATCGAATGTAGGTACGAGCCCTGTTAACGAGCAGCAGTTCCTTTGACATCACCCTTTCTCAAATCGACCACAATCCTCTTTCCACTCACCTCGCCACTTCTCAACAATTCCAATGCATCATTAACCCCGCTCAAACCGCCTTCATCTCTAATAACCACTTCCGGTGGGATCAATTCTTCAGACTCCAACAGCTCCTCCAGCCATCTCACCAACCCTTCACCAACCTGTGGCGACTCGTGGAATATTTTAATCGGCACGGTATGATAGACTATACCCGCCTTTTTCTCCTTTGGTGAACCAGTAAGACCTAACAAATGCGATCGTGGCCTATTATCCCCTTCATTAGGCTGAGATAGTGCCTTTTCTAGAATAGTCGCTGTTTCACGTCCGACAATGTCAATGGCAAATCGTAATTGACCGCCTGTGACGCCTCTAATTATATCCACGGCGCGATCGGTATCGTGTCTGTCAACTAGAATATCTGCGCCGAGAGCATGCAGTCTTCGTCCGTGTCGGGCGATATCTGCTATGCATATAACTTTTAGTCCGCATAATTTTGCGATCTGTAAGGCTATGTAGCCTGTAGTTGTAGATGCTATACGCCGTTAGCTTTGATGTCCTGGGTAGGAGTGAATACGAATTACGTACCTCCCCATATAGCGATCCAATCCCCCCTCTGCACTCGTTCAGCACCTGCCTCGGACGAAGGAAGACATTCCGAGCGAATATCCTCGGGAATCTTCTCCGCATCTACAGCCTTCAGTATAGTCCTCAAATCCGGCCCAGGCACACTCTGCGCAAGCCCAAAATCCAGACCAAACGAAACTCCTAATGCCAACACCGCCGCCACATAAGCAACACCTATAGATGCTCCGCCATGTATCGATGTCGTTGACGGGATCTTTGCCGCATTATAGTGTGTAGTCACTGCGTATTCCTGAAAAGCGGCTTTTCGAATGTCGCGGTAATCTGTGGAAGGGACGAGGACGAGGTCGCCATTTTGTAGGCGGGAAGATGAGGAGGAGGTTTTGATGACTGTGCCAGCTAAGTCGCGACCGAAAACCCAGGGTAAACTGGGGATGCCAAAATTAAAGGCACTATTTCAAAGGTCAGTCATTTGTTAGTCCTGATTATGAGTGAATTCAACATACGGTGCTTTCCAGTCGATTGGATTCAAGCCAATAGCCGAAACTTCAATGAGTATTTCGTCCTGGTGAAGTATAGATGGAACCGCGTGATCCGTGACAAGTGTATATTTCTCTTTTATAGCATTTAGAAGAAGCGCATTCTGTGTCGTGGCAAGTTGATCATCAACTGGAACAGGCTCTGTATTTTGTTCCGAGTTGGAAGATTTAATTTCTGCAGTCTCCGTATATACTTCTTTCCTTATAGTTTTCTGTTCTTCTGTAAGTGGTAGCGGCTGTAAACTGCCGTTCCTCAAATATGAATCATTTCTCGAATCGAAATCATGATGTTTGTGCGATATAGAATCGGTCGTTACCCATGTAGTCGTCGTTGTCGCCATTTTGATTATATTCTTTTTCCAGATTGATATCGGTCGCCGAAATCTGCGATGAAATCTGTCCTCCCGATTTTCCTTCATGTGTATGTATGTGTTTATACAATCAAAACTGGATTTCTAATCGTGCACGTAGTGGCGATGTGATCGGATAGGTTAATTAATAACGACACTGATTACTCATATGAGAACATCGGGTTAACTCCGGTAACAGGAGTCTATATGCGAGCTTGAAATGTGGGCATATTGACCTAACTCGTTCAAGCATTTCAAGGCCCAGTAAACACGTTGCGATATAGGAGGATGAAAAAAGCTAAGATACTTTTTGTCGCGTCATTTTTGTCTAGATTAGATCTATTACCCCAAGATAAGCAGACTGGACGTATGAAATGCGAGTATATAAATTACATGCTTGGTATGATCTTCACTGACAAGGATGACAAAGGCGGAGCAGTTCCACGCTTGTATGAAGAGGGGACTATATGTCGTGATTGCGCTCAAATCGAAGCATGGCAACTGCAGTGGCTGTGATTCGGTCAAATGGCCGTCGCTAAGTATCCTCGGAACTTGGGTATCTTTATTTACTGTAAAACAAGAGATAGATAGTGAACTGGGCCAGTCGACAAAGAGACTGGCCAATTGTGGTGGTCCAAAGTGAGTCAGTGGATGAAGTGGCCTCGAAGATGCAAGAAAGCATAGTACATTGCAAACTACCGGGGACAAATTGCGTGATGTATCAAAAAATTTCCTATTTCGGGTATAAATCTACCATGTATCTGGTTTCTGTATTACGACGTATTAACAGCGGTATGGATTTCCAATACGGTATTACCAGTACATGTTATCGTACTACCCGTTAATTAGGGCTTGGAGGTCACCTGAACTGAACATTTGATTTCTATCATGATACCTGATATCCAAGCTCATCTTAACATCAAACTGCATTTCCTAAAGTCATGGCTCCATAATGGGGTCCGTGATGCTCAGGTTTAAGTCATGAGCTACAGTGACTTTCCAGACAGAAACAACTTGAAACATGGTGACAATAAAGATAAGAATGAACAGACTATACGAGACTTTACTTGTCAAACATAATGATATATGGTTAACCTAAAGTCTCTGTTAGCTTTCGAGCATTGAGGTATTCGTGAATAGCAGGAAAGCACCATGGTATGTGACAACGGCCAAAACCTGTATTGAGCTATACAACTAGGCGCGCCTATCTACAGAGCATTTCGAGTATAAAGAGGAAAAGGAGGGAGAAAAAACATGACTCTCCTTCGCGCTGAGCCGGTCTTTGTATACTGCTCTGGAGTTCTCTTCGAGCTCTCCCGCTGTGTAAAGGTTGACCACAAGGTAGTCATCGTTCTGGACGGTATCGATCAACCTCTGAAATTCGTCCTGGTTTTCTTTGGATAACTCTTCCCAGTGTGGGCTAACAAGGATATTAATGTTGTCCACGCGACGCTTGCTTCTCTGGTCGATGGGTGACTTGTCCTTGAATGTCGTGATGACTCTGGCTCCCTCTTTCTCACCGAACATTGTGACGGTGGTGCGCTAGTTTGTACTGGACGAGATGGCGAAGAGAAAAAGTGATAACAAAAAGACAGTGACCAACCGTGGTGAGAGGTGAAGAATAAGAAGAAGAAGGATGAGGAGTGGAAGTTGTTTTTGAGTAGAGTGAGATGGTGGAAATGATGTGAGATTTCTGGAAGATGGGTTGAGGAGTCTCTCAGTGTTTAGACTGCGGATGTTGCTTTTGCGATTAACTTTTGCGTAAATATAGGATGTTCCTTTATGTGGACGGGGCTTCCCAATATGGCACCGCTTCCAAATGTGGCATTCTCTTGCCTTTGAGCCCTATCTCGAGATAGGCCGGGAAAAGCCTCATGGCACGTACTTGTACGGGAAGCTCTCCCACGTGCCGCAGAGCTTCAGAACTGCCAAGCCTGTATGGGTGGCAGGTTGTCACATGGTAGGGAAGTCTTGCTACCTGGATGCCTGCCAATGTTACTACTACCATGAAATCTGAGATCCTCATATTTGATTATACGTCTCCAAGGACGTCTGAGTTCCCATTTAAACCTTGTTGACAGCATAGACGGCATGCTTCTCATGATTTCCAGTCAATATGATTTGTGTACTCTATGTTGCATCGAGGATCAAACTTTGATATGCCACGGTCTATTAAGAGCTCGATACAGCACTACTTTCGACACATTAACATTTTGCAAATCTATAGCAAAGCGTTTTTGCCAATTATACATATCTACATCGGAAGATATAAACAAGCATCTAGATCAAGATGGATATTTTCCTTGTTTCTCAAGTCGTTATCGCTCGATGTTTTGACTATATCCTCACTTGACCTGTAGTCATTCCGTCTATGGTAGCTTTAATTGGAAGTGTACTGTGTATCGGGACGAGCTTCTTTCCTGCAACAGAGAAAAAAACTCTGCTGGATCTTAGAGCCTCGATGTACCACCGGTCTTTTGAGGATCTTTGCCTTTATCGGTCTCAGACATCCAAATATATACGATCATGGTAGCCATCAGTCACGAAGAACACCAGTCTTTAAGGTCCTGTTCAAAGTTGCAATTTGGTTCCAAGAAGCCCCAAACTGAATCAATAAAATAGAAGATTTCGATGAGCATAAATACAGTAGCATCTAGTCTACATACAACGGTACGGACTGTGCATCACTGAGACCGAAAATAATAGACACAACAAATGCGTACGACACTGGAGGCTCTTCTCTACGACATTTGAATCCCAGTCCTGACCGAGCTAAGCCTGATACTCTTATCAGAGGTGAGTCGCAGTTCTTGCATCTAAGAGTGCATACAGATTCGCTCAAAACTGTCAATGAAGAAGATGATTAGAGTCGTACGCATACTTACGAGACAGGCAATTGTAGAGCACTAATAGCCGGACATTGTGCAAGCAAGATGCAGGCAAATAGACGAGATGTGTTCATCCGTGAATCACTCATGCCAAGGAGTAGGTTGATATTGCCACTTATGACTTTTCATTGACAGGACATTCTAAAGTGAAGTATGACTTCAAGTCAGAGTTTACGTTCAATATCAGTATACTATGCTTTAATCCAAAACAGTATGAAAAGGTGAATAACCCAATAATGTACCAAGTTATCTAGCTATTTTTACTCAGAATCAATGAATTGCTTTAGTTTGTCCATAGTCTCATATTTGGGTCTGAGTAGGCTGTGTGTACCTTGTATTTATCGAAGTACTGGAGATGTATTCCGGCGTTAAATTGGAACAAAGAAATGTGTAATCAAAGGCTGGGCTAGCCTGACCTATTAATTCTCTGCTTGCAGATGAACAAAGGAACTTCAATACGCCATGCCAGAAGCGAGCAGCCCTTTCTTTGTTTGCGGTCGTCATCGTCGGAGTCTGGATCCAACTTATTACCTCAAGTAATACATTCTAATCTTGGCTAGAATTGGTGCACGGCAGTCGAGATCTGAACATTCTATCTAAAAAAAAGATGACGATGAACAACGTCAAAGAACATGTGCAAGCCGCTGCACACTCGAGATATTCAGACGTAAACCTAACCTCGGGTAACGCTAGATTTCGCCGAAACTGTCAAATGGCTCAAATTACCAAGGGCATGGCTGAGATGGATAAATCTAGACAGCAGTATGATAATCCGAGTTTCATCCACATTTTTTTTTGGATCAATCGGAGCATCGTCCGGATGAAGAAGGTGATCACTGGATTCTTGATGCAACATTGCAACCTTGTTCGTTTTTCTGTTCTTGAATAACCTATTATTGAAGGCGAACTACCATGCATGATTCGCCAGATTTGAAAGATGCATTTGACATTCGACACAGGGTAGTTCGACTCGGTGGTTACACATATGTTGCCTCGAAACACATGTACGTACTCGAAGCTGGTAAACAGTTACGTAGCACAGCATACAAACCCGCAGAGAATTAAAGCGGTGTCCCCGCGTGCGTAGGAAGGCGACTTGTTTTGCTTTTGTTTTTCTGTGTGACATTGCCCCCCTCAGCGTTAAGTGTCAACTTATCCGTGAGATATGATTAGAAATGCGTCCATTGGTGTGTTACACAATCTGACCATATGTATTGTGTGAAATAGACCAGGGAATCAGCTTGATCTATGCGCTCCATCAGAGGATTGGTTCCATTACGTATAATCACCCGTTACGGGCTCGTCTGTAGAGTCTTCTCTGGACTGATMCCCATYCCGGAGCCCGCCGATGCAACAACGAAGAAGATATGTAAGAGAGAAACCGACAGCCCGCTACGTATCTAACAGCGCTGATCAACGCGCAACAGTTTTGCTGAGGTAAAACGAAATGCTTAATATATTGACGCTCTGTATTTAAGTTTTAACTAGGAAACTCACATAAGACTTTTCACTGAAACTCACTATGTAAGAAGAGGCTCGAGTCACAGGTCAACATAACTATTAACCGAGTGAAGGTGATCGACATCTAGATTCTTCCTTTTTTCCTTCTCTCCTCTTTATAAATCCTTCCAATGGCCGGGCGAACATACCGATTACCCAGTTGGGCGAATGTTGCGATTACATAATCAATAAGACCAGAAAAAAATGCTAAATATAAACAGAAAAAAACCAAGCGAAGGAATACAGAGCTGGGTGATTTGACGAACCACGGTTGAGGGCGAGTAAGGGTCTGTTGGTTACACATATTACAATTTACTCGATATCACACCTCTTAGGAGCAGAGACATGCTACGGCTATTACCTTCATTCTTCAAGGTTGGGGGCGCAATCCTAGGCTTCCGTCCAGCTGTGCAATTGCTAACTGCCCGGTGCGAATTGATTCATCCTGAAACAATAGTAAAATATAAACAACCTTGCAGGAATCGGCACGTGAAGAGTTTATTATATGATTGTATGACAGCACTGACGAGCCCATCGGGGCTTTGAAAAGTGTGTCTTAAATCGAGCAAATGCCGAAGGGGGTACTCGTTGCCCTCCTCTTCATATGGCAAGTTCAGCCGTACGGGTGAGTTTTTTACACGCTAGACCTGCAGAGAACGTGCCTCGATCACTTCTCATGCAGCAACTGCTTAAACTTCAGTGGACCTTTTCTACGTTTCGATTGAGGCTTTGCACTTTGGGAGGCTTGTACGATATAGGAATGCCGTGGACTTCCCGCTCGTGCTGAGTTTTGGCTGTCAAAGCTGCTTAGGATAGAAGCTAGGGAATCAGGATCAACCGGTTTATCTTATCTGGATTAGGGTTTTCAGGTGCAAGTGGGGCTCGATGTTTGATATACTCCATATTCTGTAGCCAATGAACCTGCAGTAAAACCGCCAAAAGCGGGAACCTGGAGGATGCTTTTCTGATTGGTCAGACCGGGTCGTTTAACGCAAACGGCTTGCACCATACAATCCAAGACTCGAAATTATTTTATCGTACGTGGCCACAATTATTTTTCGTGCAGGGTACGAACTACCTGCTGAACAAGCGATGCAAGCTGTAAAAGCTGGCTGACAGGCTTTGGGCTACCATATGGCATATGGCATATGCTAGCTATGCCTACCAAGCTGAAACAAGAAAACGGGCTAATTAAGTCGCGCTGCCTTAAAAGAGCCAAGGTTCAGGCAACCTAATATATTGCTGAACCGCTCAGAGCGCTCCCCAAGCGAGTCCTGTCTGGTCTTGTCTGGTCTTGTCCAAGACGACTCAACATCAAGTCAAGGGAACTACCTAATCGACTACGGAGTACATACGGAGTTATTCTAATATGCATCTCATAGAACGTTCTTAAGTAGCTTCATTATTAATCGTAGTATAGTCTAATGGCTATGACTCTATGCCTCCGTAGCGTAAATAGCAATCGTTAAATAAGACTAGGAAAGAAATAAAGCGCTAAAATAAACATCAGGCGACACTTTATCTTCACCTTCCTATTGCGTGCATGGGAGTTTTCAGCTCGAAACCTTGGTCAGAAATGGCCTCAAACAGACTCACCATCCTGGTGGCCGTCTGACAGGACAGAGTCCGTTAGACGAAAAGCGGAAATGCCCTTCCGGGATCTTCGTCCTTGGCAGTGCAGAGCAGTGTATTGACGTTACSGAGCCATACCGAACCATTCACTGCTTTTGGTATGGGCTTGGCGGGGCATATGTGCACATACGGTAAGCTCCAGTACTTGTAACTAGCGCATACAGATACTAGTCCCAACATCCCAAGACAAACCAAGACAAACCAAGACAAACCCTGCGAAGACTAGCTAAAGTCAAAATAGAGGGAATTTCCAACGGCCATACGGATGGCGGAAAGAGTCGAAAATCTTGAATCCTGGACTTCTTCCATTGTTCTTTTCTGCTTCTCCCGCCGAATTCAGTTTCAGCAAGCCACTAAGCCAGATTAGGAAGGGCACCTATAGCCGCCCGGTTCGTGCACGAGATCAACGTGGTGAAGATTCTGAAGAAGAAGGAAAAGCAAAGATGAATAGTGTCAAGCTCCTCGTCAAAAAGAACTTGATATACATCACTCGGACTCTGCTTGTTC